ATTAATTACACAAACGCGACAAAACCCTTTCCATATTCTAAAGAAATATCAATTTTACAATACCGACAATATTGTGAGCATGTGTTTATAAATCACTATCAAATAGTGATGATACCAGGTGAGCGTATCCCGCCCAAACGGTGGCACCCGTCTCAAACACATGCAGGGGCAAGTCAATTTTTATCATAAAAAATCACATATGGTACAAGTCAAAATGGAGAATTGCAGAGGACATCTTTTTGTCCATTTTTGAAATGTCTCCCACCTGTCTACCATAAACCGTTCTGAAAGCTTTACTGGGGCCTTGAATGTTGTAACCTTGATTGAACAACTTTTAACAAGAGTCGTAAGTACAAGAAAGTACCAAAATAAGGAAATTACTGTGACATGTTCTTTTATTACTAGATTGTGTCTTTTCTTCTTTCACGCCTGTTTGTTTTGTAATGATGTATGATGGCTGTACCGTGATTTCGGTGTGCTTAGATCATTAGGATCAACTTACACTGTTCGGAAGATGTCGGAAGTGTTCGGTCCCAACCGGGATTAAAGGAGAAACAAAATACGGCATGTCGTAAATTGGCTATTCATCAACTTCAAAGAAAAGGAAATCTCCAAGAGCGTATCATTCAGGGGTCTCTACACTCTGACGGATACCGGGCACCAAACAGGGGGCGGTATGTGTCCTCACATTAGTTCTTGTCCACAAGAATTAGCTGGGAAAAGCCAGATGGGTGGACGTATCGAAAAGAAGCCTTTGATAATGTACCCTGCCGAGCAAAAGAAAGTAAACACTTGAAAATTGGATTTGACCAAAATATTACAAACGTTGCTAGGCAGAAAACAGTGGCGATACTCATTGATATGATACATGTAATATCGGCAATGATATTAAACACATCACCATTGAATATCCATTTCTTGTTTGTTTCATTTTTAGCCACCCTCAAAAGAATATACTTTTTTGCCCGGCAGTTTATGTTGACTCCCTTTACAAAAATACATGCCTCTGTGATATTTAGTTTTCAAATCCGACGCAGAACTGTTGCGACAAACGTTGAGTAGATATATGAAGAGACGTTTCACAAAATAGTTTGCAACCTCTTTGTAGTATCATCCAGTAGAAAATAATATCATCTAGAAAATAATAAATATATAAAAAAAAATATGGCGTTTTTACCTTTTATCACTTACTCTGAAGTCAAGAATGTGAAAAAAATAGTTTAAATGTTGTTTTTCATTTACGCCGAGCCAAATAATCCTGCTTATGAATTAACAAAACACAAATTATTCCCCTGTCTGAATGAAATAGGTGGTACATGCTAAATGGCCATTATAAATTTATGTTGGCTGACATATGATTCATCACTTCACCGGTACTCCAAGCAGAGTTTGTGTGGTCTTGTTCCTCATGTCATGTCATGTCATAGCATGCAGTATTAACACCCTTTCACAACAAAGCACTAAGCGCTACGAATGTTTTGTTGCTGGTTTTCATAAATTAAAATACATTCATATTCTTCATGTAATGTTTATGTCTGAATTCCCATTAGTATTTCAAAGTCTTAATCCTTGTGTGATGAGAACTGCATTATTGTTGAGCCACAACAAGTCTGTTGGTTGGTTTACCTCGCCGTCAGCAACATATTAGCAATATCACGCTGACCTGTACATAATCGAGTCTGGACTAGACGAACAAGTGACTGATATTATGAGCAACAAACCATGCTGTCGTGTATGATGACACGCAAGTCAGCGAGCTGCCACCCATTACGACAAGCATAAGTTTCTGCGGGCCAAATCTAACCCGACTCCAGGTTGTACTTTGTTCTGTATATCTGTAAGGTGTTTGTAAAATAAATATTGGTCAAAATATTTCAAAATAATTTGAAGAAATGGAAGAGCCCATTGTAAAACTGCATTTAGGTACAAATAGACTCGTGAAGATCCGGGTTAGAACAGGTTTTCAGCAACCCATGCTTGCCGTTAAAGGCGACTAACGGGATCGGGTGCTCAGACTCGCTAACTTGGTTGATGCATTTCATCGTATCCCAATTTCGTGGATCGATGCTTATGATGCTTATGTCAATCCCTGTATTGTCTGGTCCAGATGCGATTATTCACAAACCTCCGTCATATAGCTGGAATATTGCTGAGTGTGGTGTTAAACAACAGACAAACAAACAAACAAACAAATAAGAAACCTATGCCTTTACACGATTGAGCCACCCGTGCCCCCAAAGTATGTGAGAAACGAAAGGTCGTGCACAAAATTGTTATCCCCCACACTGTTATAACCTTGATCTTAGTGGATAATCTAATCATAAAAGTAAGTACAGGATAATAATTATCATGTCAATTATCACCCCTGCTTCCCATTGGCGTACAACAGATGCAGGCTGGCTAGATGTTGTGTTTGATAGATGATGAGCTGTAATACCTCAAAGTAGTCCTCGACGGGAGAGCCTTTGTGCGACTTTCACGCTTGCTTTGGTTGAAAGCACTTGTCACGTGATGTTACTCGCTCCAGAAGATCAAAGGCTACACTGCTTATTAGAAGAAATGCATGTTGACTTGAAAATGGGAGACGAAAAACACGAAAGAGAAAATGCACCGTAATGGCGTTTAATAATAGCATTTAGGTGATATGCTGGTATAGGAATGGGATTTAATTAGGAGGAATGTATAAAAAAAACAAATACTCGATTTTTAAACTAAAGAGAAGGTTGTTTTCTTTTTGTGAGAAAAGGACTCGTACTTTCTGAACTTTCCTTTCCAGTGTTGTACACGCAAATGTTTAAATCTGTTTTTAGCTTTGTTTAGCGCACGTATATTGTCATCGTAGAAAAGCTACGTTCAAAGCTACGCCTTATCACCGCACAAACAGAAACCTTTTTCCATTCAAATTGTAATTGTAATTTTGTATCAAAACCATTACGTTGAACATTTTGTTAAAAAAAACACGTGATCAATTTACGCCTTGCATCATTAACTGAAACGAATATTTCCCTCGTTGGTTGGAGCAAGTATGTTTTATTAGTAGTCGCGATGAAGTAAACACTTGTTATGGCTTCTAAGAGAAACTGAAGCTTTGTCTTGCGTGCTCAATGTTCATATCGTCCCATTCTCCATCCTCTCCACTAAATCAAGCTTGTCTCAAATGTAAAATGGGTATCGTCTGCTTGTACACCAGCACGTGAGGATTCCCGCTAGTCAGAACTAACTTCGGCATGTCGTCTCCCTGCCAATATATTTGTCAGGAACATTTCCCACTGATATCAGAGATTGTCGTGGTATTAAGCTTACTTTGAAGGGAATTATCGTAAAATTAATTCTAGTAAGAAGTGAGCGAGTTGTGATCGATGCAGTCGATGCAGCATTAAGATGTCGACATGTTCAGCCCTTGTGCTCAGTAATGAGCGAGAAGATTGCGAGTTCAGTTGCTCGACCCACGAACTTCACATAGCCTCTGTGCATTTGAAGAACTAGAATAAATATCACATCCTGTGCTGTGGAGCCGATACTTTTACAGCAAGACAGTGAAAGAGAAAGTCCACATTGTGCAATGTGTTCATTAATCTTTCGTTGATATATGCGCATGCACACCTGTTGACATTCGGGGAGAATGTACACAAGAGAAAAAAATTAATGGAAGGACAATGAAATTAAGAAGCTTTCATTTATCTCTGGTTTCCGCATAAGTTTAGTCTTCTTTCCACCACCCAACAAAATATTTATATATTTCTTTTCTTTCATTCAAAACACTCAGATGCATGTTTCCGAGCTCTGAGTGACATAGTTGGTTGGCTGGTTTGTTGTTTTACGCCGCACTCAGCAATATTCCAGCTATATGACGGCGGTCTGTATATAATCGAGTCTGGACCAGACAATCCAGTGATTGATATCATGAGCATCGATCCACACAATTGGGATCGATGACATGCTTCAACCAGGTCAGCGAGCCTGACCACCGCGAGTGACAGATTAGAAATAACTGAGTCGATTAGTCATCGTCAAAGAGTGGTTGTATTTGGGCTGTTTTTAACTTACGAACGAGAATGAACTCGTAATTGAGGCTGTTTTGGGTACTGTTGGGGTAAATAGGTTTATCAAGAAATCTCATGTATATTCTTCAGTTCGGTTAGATTAGATTTTAAATTTACGGACATTTATGGGACAGATATCACGTGGAAATTGTTGCGCTCTGTCTGTTGTCAAAAGAAGCTGCGAAGATCATACTTTCACATAAATGCATTCTGTAAATAAAATTATTTTGTCTATTTTGTCGAGGAAACGAGATTGTTTCCTTTTACGACATTACACATTGCTATACAGTCAAACACCGCTGTGACGAACTTTGATGTGTCGAACATACGGTTATTCGGATATTTGTAACGTTTATCAACTCTTCAAGCTTCGGATATTTATAATATTTATCAACTCTTCAAGCTTCGGATATTTATAATATTTATCAACGCGATAAGCTTCGGATATTTATAACGTTTATCATCTCGGCAATCTTTGGATCTTTATTACATTTATCAACTCAACAAGCTTCGGATATATATAAAAGTTATCAACTCGACAGGCTTCGAATATTTACAATGTTAATCAACTCGGCAAGCTTCGAATATTTATAACGTTTATCAACTCGGCAAGCTTCGGATATTTATAACTTTATAACTTTTATCAACTTGCCTTCAACTTGGAAGACACTAGGTTGGGATATCAGTTATCATCCCTAATTGTTATTCCAACTTTTCTGTTTTTAAACAGTAACAGTGAGTGTGTTAAAGTTTAACGTCGCATCGGCGTAATTTCAGCCACAAAGCGACTAAACAGTAATAGCCAGAGTTCATAGCACACCTACAGCTTCAGTGGCAGAGAGATCAGTGTTGTCCTTTGATTGTGACGTCATGCGATATCTCACGTGGAAGTTTTGGGTGATAAATACAAGTGTATACACTCACTATAACGCAGAACGAGACAACAAAGTACTGGACATGGTTCTATGTAAGCTTGCTTGGCGGTTCAGGAGGCTCAGTGTTGCTGATGTCCCACTGTCTAGGGAGTGTTTCAATGTTACTGATGTCCAACTGTCTGGAGAGTGTTTCAATGTTACTGATGTCCCAATGTCTGGGGAGTGTTTCAATGTTACTGATGTCCCACTGTCTGGGGAGTGTTTCAATGCTACTGATATCCCACTGTCTGGGGAGTGTTTCAATGTTAATGATGTCCCACTGTCTAGGGAGTGTTTCAGTGTTACTGATGTCCCACTGTCTGGAGAGTGTTTCAGTGTTACTGATGTCCCACTGTCTGGGGAGTGTTTCAATGTTACTGATGTCCCACTGCCTGGGGAGTGTTTCAGTGTTACTGATGTCCCACTGTCTGGGGAGTGTTTCAATGTTACTGATGTCCCACTGTCTGGGGAGTGTTTCAATGTTACTGATGTCCCACTGTCTGGGGAGTGTTTCAATGTTACTGATGTCCCACTGTCTGGGGAGTGTTTCAGTGTTACTGATGTCCTACTGTTTGGGGAGTGTTTCAGTGTTACTGATGTCCCACTGTCTAGGGAGTGTTTCAATGTTACTGATGTCCCACTGACTGGGGAGTGTTTCAGTGTTGCTGATGTCCCACTGTCTAGGGAGTGTTTCAATGTTACTGATGTCCCACTGTCTGGGGAGTGTTTCAGTGGTGCTGATGTCCCACTGTCTGGGGAGAGTTTCAGTGTTGCTGATGTTCCACTGTCTAGGGAGTGTTTCAATGTTACTGATGTTCCACTGTCTGGGGAGTGTTTCAATGTAACTGATGTTCCAATGTCTGCGGAGTGTTTCAATGTTACTGATGTCCTACTGTCTGGGGAGTGTTTCAGTGTTGCTGCTGTCCAATTGTCTGGGGAGTGTTTCAGTGTTGCTGCTCTTCAACTGTCTGGGGAGTGTTTCAGTGGTGCTGATGTCCCACTGTCTGGGGAGTGTTTCAGTGTTGCTGCTGTCCAACTGTCTGGGGAGTGTTTCAATGTTACTGATGTCCCACTGTCTGGGGAGTGTTTCAATGTTATTGATGTCCCACTGTCTGGGGAGTGTTTCAGTGTTACTGATGTCCAACTGTCTGGGGAGTGTTTCAATGTTACTGATGTCCCACTGTCTGGGGAGTGTTTCAGTGTTACTGATGTCCTACTGTTTGGGGAGTGTTTCAGTGTTACTGATGTCCCACTGTCTAGGGAGTGTTTCAATGTTACTGATGTCCCACTGTCTGGGGAGTGTTTCAGTGTTACTGATGTCCCACTGTCTGGGGAGTGTTTCAGTGTTACGGATGTTCCACTGACTGGGGAGTGTTTCAGTGTTGCTGCTGTCCAACTGTCTGGGGAGTGTTTCAGTGTTGCTGATGTCCCACTGTCTGGGGAGTGTTTCAATGTTACTGATGTCCCACTGTCTGGGGAGTGTTTCAGTGGTGCTGATGTCCCACTGTCTGGGGAGAGTTTCAGTGTTGCTGATGTTCCACTGTCTAGGGAGTGTTTCAATGTTACTGATGTTCCACTGTCTGGGGAGTGTTTCAATGTAACTGATGTTCCAATGTCTGCGGAGTGTTTCAATGTTACTGATGTCCTACTGTCTGGGGAGTGTTTCAGTGTTGCTGCTGTCCAATTGTCTGGGGAGTGTTTCAGTGTTGCTGCTCTTCAACTGTCTGGGGAGTGTTTCAGTGGTGCTGATGTCCCACTGTCTGGGGAGTGTTTCAGTGTTGCTGCTGTCCAACTGTCTGGGGAGTGTTTCAATGTTACTGATGTCCCACTGTCTGGGGAGTGTTTCAATGTTATTGATGTCCCACTGTCTGGGGAGTGTTTCAGTGTTACTGATGTCCAACTGTCTGGGGAGTGTTTCAATGTTACTGATGTCCCACTGTCTGGGGAGTGTTTCAGTGTTACTGATGTCCTACTGTTTGGGGAGTGTTTCAGTGTTACTGATGTCCCACTGTCTAGGGAGTGTTTCAATGTTACTGATGTCCCACTGTCTGGGGAGTGTTTCAGTGTTACTGATGTCCCACTGTCTGGGGAGTGTTTCAGTGTTACGGATGTTCCACTGACTGGGGAGTGTTTCAGTGTTGCTGCTGTCCAACTGTCTGGGGAGTGTTTCAATGTTACTGATGTCCCACTGTCTGGGGAGTGTTTCAATGTTATTGATGTCCCACTGTCTGGGGAGTGTTTCAGTGTTACTGATGTCCAACTGTCTGGGGAGTGTTTCAATGTTACTGATGTCCCACTGTCTGGGGAGTGTTTCAGTGTTACTGATGTCCTACTGTTTGGGGAGTGTTTCAGTGTTACTGATGTCCCACTGTCTAGGGAGTGTTTCAATGTTACTGATGTCCCACTGTCTGGGGAGTGTTTCAGTGTTACTGATGTCCCACTGTCTGGGGAGTGTTTCAATGTTACTGATGTCCCAATGTCTGGGGAGTGTTTCAATGTTACTGATGTCCCACTGTCTGGGGAGTGTTTCAGTGTTACTGATGTCCCACTGTCTGGGGAGTGTTTCAGTGTTACTGATGTCCCACTGTCTGGGGAGTGTTTCAGTGTTACTGATGTCCTACTGTCTGGGGAGTGTTTCAGTGTTACTGATGTCCTACTGTCTGGGGAGTGTTTCAGTGTGACTGATGTCCCAGTGACTGGGGAGTGTTTCAGTGTTACTGATGTCCCAGTGACTGGGGAGTGTTTCAGTGTTACTGATGTCCTACTGTCTGGGGAGTGTTTCAGTGTTACTGATGTCCTACTATCTGGGGAGTGTTTCAGTGTTACTGATGTCCTACTGTCTGGGGAGTGTTTCAGTGTTACTGATGTCCCACTGTCTGGGGAGTGTTTCAGTGTTACTGATGTCCCAGTGACTGGGGAGTGTTTCAGTGTTACTGATGTCCTACTGTCTGGGGAGTGTTTCAGTGTTACTGATGTCCTACTGTCTGGGGAGTGTTTCAATGTTACTGATGTCCCACTGTCTAGGGAGTGTTTCAATGTAACTGATGTCCCAATGTCTGGGGAGTGTTTCAGTGTTACTGATGTCCTACTGTCTGGGGATTGTTTCAGTGGTGCTGATGTCCCACTGTCTGGGGAGTATTTCAGTGTTACTGATGTCCCACTGTCTGGGGAGTGTTTCAGTGTTACTGATGTCCCACTGTCTGGGGAGTGTTTCAATGTTACTGATGTCCCACTGTCTGGGGGGTGTTTCAGTGTTACTGATGTCCTACTGTCTGGGGAGTGTTTCAGTGTGACTGATGTCCCACTGTCTGGGGAGTGTTTCAGTGTTACTGATGTCCCACTGTCTGGGGAGTGTTTCAATGTTACTGATGTCCCACTGTCTGGGGGGTGTTTCAGTGTTACTGATGTCCTACTGTCTGGGGAGTGTTTCAATGTTACTGATGTCCCACTGTCTGGGGAGTGTTTCAATGTTACTGATGTCCCAGTGACTGGGGAGTGTTTCAGTGTTACTGATGTCCTACTGTCTGGGGAGTGTTTCAGTGTTACTGATGTCCTACTGTCTGGGGAGTGTTTCAGTGTTACTGATGTCCTACTGTCTGGGGAGTGTTTCAGTGTTACTGATGTCCCAGTGACTGGGGAGTGTTTCAGTGTTACTGATGTCCTACTGTCTGGGGAGTGTTTCAGTGTTACTGATGTCCTACTGTCTGGGGAGTGTTTCAGTATTACTGATGTCCTACTGTCTGGGGAGTGTTTCAGTGTTACTGATGTCCTACTGTCTGGGGAGTGTTTCAATGTTACTGATGTCCTACTGTCTGGGGAGTGTTTCAGTGGTGCTGATGTCCTACTGTCTGGGGAGTGTTTCAATGTTATTGATGTCCCACTGTCTGGGGGGGGGGGGGGGGGGGGGGGTGTTTCAGTGTTACTGATGTCCTACTGTCTGGGGAGTGTTTCAGTGTTACTGATGTCCTACTGTCTGGGGAGTGTTTCAATGTTACTGATGTCCAACTGTCTGGGGAGTGTTTCAGTGTTACTGATGTCCTACTGTCTGGGGAGTGTTTCAGTGTTACTGATGTCCCAGTGACTGGGGGGTGTTTCAGTGTTACTGATGTCCTACTGTCTGGGGAGTGTTTCAGTGTTACTGATGTCCCAGTGACTGGGGAGTGTTTCAGTGTTACTGATGCCTCTACGAGGACAAGCTGATACATAATGCACCAGGACCCTGTTCATCGCCTCCACATTTAACACGACGTTTGACTTCAATGGATCTTCTTCCTCCTTGTCACATGTTGTACAGTAACACAGTGATAGTGTATTCCAACAGGTACATCTACACAGCAATGCCTGTCGAGCTGTGTATTCCTCGAGACTGATTTGCGTCTGGGCCGTGTGCGTGGAACGTTAATTATATACGGACATACTATTTGTGGATCACGAGTTTTGGCTAAGGACAGATCGAACACTCGAGACAGACTTTTACGGTATAACTTGAAACGTTGCAAGAACAATTGGGCACTGTTTCGCCTCACAATATATCCTCGTAACTTCACCTTCATATAAAGTATCCATACGTCCTTTATTGCATTAAATTGTATACACAACATCCTGTCCAGTAGCGTCTCTACAATATCCATGACGATATGTCACATAAAGTATCCTCGTTTGTGTCAATAAGAAAGAGAAAATACTTTGTATCAACTTGTATCATTCACACGGTCAACTGGCTTTATTTGAATGGGTACGATTGGTATATACATGTAAATCGAAATCTTACTAACTGGGAGGATTGTCAAATTGCTTGATTTGAATTTCTTAAATATCTTTCGAAAGGATAGGTAATGGCTTGTGCCAAACAAGGTTATGATGACCTGTCGCCAAGAGGATAAGTGGCTAAGTTTTTCGGTAACGGCGTGGTTAACGATTGACTCATAGCAATGTTCAGTATTAAAGCTGGAAGAGTTATTCCCCTTAACCGGGTAAGCGAAGCGCCTTCAAATCTCCACAGTTCCAGTAAACTTGTTGAAGCGATTCGTCCTGGTACCTTTGTCCAATCATCAACCTTGAATAATCAACAGCTGCCATGCCACTTTACTTTGACAATTAATTGAGCAAAGTAATATGCATAGTTAATTACGCTATAAGCACCAAAAGTAATATTCTGCACTGTTCTTTTAGACTGCCATCTTATTGCTTGCATCGCGTGGAGATTTGGGGCTAGAACAGGTCCCCAGCAACCTATGCAGGCTAAAGGCGAGTAAATTGATCGGGTGGTCAGGCTCGGTGACTGGGTTGACGGTGTAAGACACTGATCATACTAAAACCACTGTGTCTGGTAAAGATTGAATATTTAAAGGCCGCCGTCACACCGCTGTTATACTGCCGAGTGTGGCCACTTAGAACATCAGATAAATAGGACTTCACAGAAAACACAAGTATTCTATGCGAGACATTTACAAGAAAGTTATCGAAATGAAAGTGCGGCAGAGACCTTTACAGTAAACATATATTATTGACAAGTAAATAACGATTACAAATATTGAAAAACAAAAGATAGAACAGCTCCAGAAAGTTGATTTTTTGCAATTTTACAACAATTGTTCAAAGCAACGTTACAAATAAGTACAGGAAATAAGAATGGTGGTATGGGGTATAGAAATAAAAAAGGGAAGAATATTAAAGATATATTATTAATTATATTGTAATGAAAGTTGTCTTACAGCTTTAACTTCATCATGATATTCATGGCAACCTCATTTGTGATGACTTTATCAGAGTTAAAGATCTGATTTTAGCAAACTCAAATTTAAAAAAATAAAGATCCTCTCTTCAGAGAGGTATCGCATCGCAGTAAATAATTTTATTTGAATATTTTCGGGAGTATTTTTATGACTGATGTTTTAGTCTTGGACGGGCGAGTTACATTTCACCGATAAACATGACCAGAGAAACGTTTTCATTATTGCATTAAAGTCAATGTTACAAAAAGTCTGAATTTAAGAAAATAAAACAGTTCCGATTTAAGACAAAAAAGTTCTTTATACCAATTTCACCAATTACCAATGACACTTACAATACTCGATAAAACCTTGAACATGTTGTGAAAAGATGTGAATATGGTCTCTCTTGGTTGTGACTTTGCCTTGAAAATACAACATCCCAGTGATTAACAATGCCATTGTTTTGAGCCATTACAAAATCAACCTTTACGTATTAAACAGTGTATAGAACATAACGGCTGCACGAAGAGATGCGATGTTCCGCGTTCTGATAGAGTCACCATCAGCAGTCTGGTCTGAGATGGTTTAACTTTTCTCAAGGGCTGATGACATTAATGTATTCACATTATTTATAACACTTTACATATTTACAGCTGCAATCAATACCTGTCTTTCATGGGACTATGCAAATCATGTTTTTTCAGCTGAATGAAACCGTAGAATTAATCTGAATAGTGTGGGCAGGTTGAATAGGTTCGTATTGTTGCCGCCATTCCTTGGAGCCGACTTCTCTTTAAACGTAATCCTATTAATAATAAATGTCTAGATTATTGAGCGTTTTGTCTCTAAAAAGGGAAAAGGCAGTCTAAATACCCAGGAGAATTCCAGTCATGTATAGAAAGCAATGTGTGGGCGTATGGAATAGATTTGCAGCACAAACACCTTAATTATCCTGCACAGTACCTGGTAGAGTTCCAAAATACGCCTACCTCGTGATACGAATTGTGAAACTTTTGCTTGAACGTGGTCATTCTGACCACAGCATGTTGCTACCAACCGGCCCGTGTGTGTGTATCCTACTCCTCGTTTGATGGGGATGAGTTTATATTGCTGGAATATTGCTAAAAGCGGCGGAAAACCAAACTCACTCACTCACCCCACTATAATCTCTATTCTAATGTTCTAATGATTTAGTAACCCTTTTGACAGACGGTAACAGGTTTGACGCTAAGGTGGGGCCATTCGAACATGCAGTTCATGTGGACCGTGAAGATCCGGGGTAGAATAGGTCTTCAGCAATCCATGCTTGCCGTAAAAGGCGACTGTGCTTGACGTAAGAGGCGACTAACGGGATCGGGTGGTCAGACTCACTGACTTGGTTGATGCATGTCATCGATCCTAGTTGCGTGGATCGATGTTCATGATTTCAATCACTGGATTGTCTGGTCCAGACTTGATTATTTAAATACCTCCGTCATATAGCTGGAATATTGCTGAGTGCGGCGTTAAGCAACAACCAAACAAACAAAGCAGTTCATGGGAATAGATCTATCGGGGATTGATTACGTAAGAAGGAGTAGTTCGCGTCAACATCTGAGATATATTTTCACCTTCCTTGGACATGGAGAACAAGTGTTTACTTCCCTGGCCAAAATGTTTGGGACTGAGACGGTGTTTTTCTATATAAGATTTATTTTGTATTCTAATAAGACGCTTTGGCAGAAATACTAAAGGAAATATCGAGCATGTAATGAACCATCAACCAAACATGACCTTTGAACTATTTATCGTACATTAAACTACGGGATAATAACACTCTGATTTGCGGGTATTATTCAGTACTTGATGCCCATATATTTTATTTGGAACCGACAACTGTACCCGGATTTCTGCGAAAGAATATGAAACAAAAAAGACATCTGAAATGTCAAATTTCAGTAAGTCAATATGGTGACGAAATGTCATATTTATGACGTCATGAACAATTGATGACGTCACGTGGCATTGAGAATCACTAACATGTACGTCAGACATTAGTGCACTCATTCATTCGTAATACCTGGAGAGTAACCTACCAAACATTACAGATGATCTGTCCCGCATGTGTGTTGTTAAATGTTGCGCTAAGTAATATTTAAACTACAATATTGAAAGTAGCTTGACCTCGCCTAGGTGAACACTACCAATAGTCCAGTAGAAATTGACGTCATAATTAATTAACCCGGACATTTGTGATAACAAACCAAATTATGGAATTTGCTCACGTGAGGCACTGTCTTCATCAGCTGATGAACGTCAACAAATACAATCTCAATCCTTAAGTGGAATCTGTTCAATTCGGACACAGTTGGGACCGGTAAAAATGTCCGGAGTACTAAAAAGTTGGACTGAAGACAAAACGAAAAGCAACGCTCATTCATCATTATTCTCATACACCTACATAGCCGATCACCATAAATACAAATCACAATGCTCAGTGAGAATTATTGAAATTACTTTCACCATATCCGTGTCCCTATGGGTACTATTTATTGGTGTTCCCGAAAATACAGCGTCTGAAACTCACTGCTTTCTATAAAGAATGGGTGTGGCGATTGTTTATAGAACAAACCTCTAGCAACAAGGAATTACGGATAATCTGTCTCAAGTCAATTAATTTTGTAACCCGTGGTCTTTTTTTAAAACAGTTTATAAAAATAGAGATCATTGAACAAGAATGTGTGACATGGTTTTACGAAACGAGTGTCAGAATTCTTGTATTTCCCGGGCCAGAGCGAGCGTAATACAATCATTAATTTCAACAAGTGTACTCGGTTATTTCAAATCCTATGAGTATTAAATGCGCTCATTTACTCTGATGTTAAAACTGTGTGATACTTGTCATTAAGCTCAGTGAGAATTACTGAAAATAATAGCTCCTGTTTTCTATGGGTATTATGCGCAATATTAGGTAATATATATGTTTTCAGACTTTTCTCTTGGTGATCTAGACAAACCTCGTTCATTTATAGAGAGAGCATAGCTAGAAATTGAACCTCTCCTCGGACATTTAATGGATTATTGTGTAATCGTGTGCCGCGCCTGATTAATGTGTGTGGCCTTTACTTCCATTATCTACTACACAAGATAGTTTAGATAAATCCTTCTATACAATATATCGTCGAACTGCCAACATTAAACGCTATATTCAGTATTTAATTATGTCCTTACGTGTTATGTTGTACTTTCCTTGATACGGAAATTAAAAGTAAATGTCATAGACGGTTCGTGTCTGATTGTAAATTGCCGAATGCATTTATGCCATTGATGGACGTATTCACTTCAGTGCCACGCATGCATATCTATCTCCAATTCAGAGGATAAACGGTACACTAGGTACATACACTAAACAGCGAGACAAAGAGCAACTTTGATAGGCACAAAACTCCTAGTAACATTTCCATATTGTGTCTATTGATTCGAGAACTGTGCGTTAGCCAATGCTCTGTACATGCAGCCACTGCTGACGCAAAACAGACGATAGCTATCGGTAACACCCTTAAATGCGCACATTTCGGACGCCTCCACGATATGTAGGCACAATCTTCACTTTCAGCGCGGATATAACTCTAGCATTCACAAATACTATCTCCACACCTAGAGGCGTTCACGTGCTGTCACCGGGTCAAAGAGCAAATCGAACATAATCAGCCGACACTTGATTCACATTTTGACTACAATTATTTTCCAATTTCATCCTATTCACGCCTTGTCAAACAAATTAAACGGTCAAGATAAAGATCCGCGGGATCCATCGTTCACGCAATCAGTTCATAATATAGACAGTGCGAAACAGCTAAAAACGTGTGAAAGTGGGATCTCTTATATAAACGCCAACGTGACACGTGTCGTCTGCTAGTTTAGTCACTCTTCTGTCAAAGAAGGTACGTTTTAGTCTCCACGCAAAGATGGCCGCGCCCAGTGAGAAACTTATGAAACTTCTACCTTTGATCAGAGATTATGCACGTTCTTTCAATGGGACCTATGGACATTCGCTTCGGGAAAGAAATCTCAGTCAATTGAGAACTCGGGGGAACAAGATAGGGGTAAGTGTGATCTACCGATCTCAATATGAACATTGACTGGACAGAGTGACTCGGTGAATGGCTTTGAGTATGATAATGTTGCTTGTAGTAGCAGCATAATTGGATACTGGCTTTAGATCTAGCGGTTATATCTGTGATAAGCAGGCATGTTGGTATACATATATACTTGTTTTGCATGCATTATGTTTATGATATATTTGGCATAGTGATCCAATACTGCTGATAGAATCAACTATTTCCTGCTCATGGTAGCCATGGTGATAATGACATTGGTAATAAAGCGCAATAAACATTGGAAAAGAAAATTGTGGACATACTTTTATTTACATGTTACTGAATTCAAGTATTCAGCGTATTTGCAAGTATGTTTTGAAGTCCAAATACCTGACAAATACAGAATTTGATTGTGAAAATGGTGCAATAGTCTGTGGTCACAAGGATACCTGTATGGTCTGAGCACCTGTCAACATGGTAAACTTTCTTTGAAATACTTTTAATATTTTTCTAGTCACAGATTAACACAGTATTCAGTCATCATTGTAGATCTAGAGAGAAAAAAATTATGGTCATCAATATTACATTTTTGTACATATTGTACGTGAACATAATGAATACATATTATCATAATATCAAGGTAATAGACACTAAAGATCATTGTTATACATTGTGCATGACTAAATTGGTACATAATGTTACAACAGGTTAAGTAGAAGTAAGTGTTTATGTATCATGGTGAATACTTTGTCAAAGGGTGATGTGTTTTGGTTGAAGAAAAGGATATATATTGAGGCAGTTTGTGCAAAAAAGACTAGACTAGGGTTTCAGACGAATGGCTAACGTCACAGACTGGTGAGGTTATAGGAAAATTTGTGGCATATAGACCAAAATCTTATGTAGGATGTTTGATTACTGTTGATGATGGCTGTAAGTTTGTCCAAAACGTAGGCATTTTCATTGTCATTTTATATCTGTTTAAGACTTGGTGGCGTGTCTGCAACTGGAAAGTTATTAATATTGTATTTTGTAATCGTTATTATATGATTGAGTACTAAGGCTGGGACGAGTCCAAATTTCCTACCCAACTACCCCCTATTACCCAACCCTACCGGGTACCTGCCATAGGTCCCAAGAGTTGGGTATGAAATGTCACACTGTAAATGTTTTACTGGAGCCTTGGCAGAAACTGTTAAGATACATGTATATAATGATCTGATCATGAATACACTGACGTTGACTGGAACTTTATCTTTGCTCAAACAAAGAAATGTCAGAAGTAAAGCATGCATAGTCAGAAAGAAGTGCTAACATTGGCGACTTGTAGGGGTGTCACGATATATTGCGATTGGTAAGCACTTAAAGTCAGTAAATCGATTGTTAAATCAGTTTCCGGTCAAAAGTATCGATTTCAGTTAGGAATATTGATAGTTTCAATTGTATTTACCATATCAATAAAATACATGCAATGCTTTTCAAAATTGTTTTTCTTTTGATCATGAGTGGTAGTAATTTACACATGGTAATGTGGAAGTTTCTTTTTCTTAAATTATTAGGGTAAAGAAAAAACAAATCAGTCATATCTCAAACTTTACTTTTTATTTGTTGTTATGGTTATCACATTCAAAGGAAACTTCAGTTCCAAGGTTTAATTCAACACTAAAATCCATCTCAAATGATACACTGAAAACTCAATAATAATCGCAATAGTTGCTTGCAATGTCAATAGTTATCGCAGTAGTGATTTCCAGACCAATAGTCACCCCTAGCGACTTGTGGTGTAACTCTCATTGTTACTCTCCTTAAACAGTATATCACATGACTAACCTCGGGTCTGGGTAGTCCTGCGGTAGGGCTAGGATGATTTCAAACTTACTATCCGGGTACCCAACCCCCTATTATCTGACCCTACCCAGGTATGAGCTATTTTGTTTCAAGAGATAGGTACAAAATATCTGATTGGGAATAGTTTGACTTTAGCCCTGGCCAAATGTATCTAGATACATGACTAAACCTATCTGGCCAGGCAATCACTGAAGTTGACTGAATGTCAGAAGTAATGCGTGCAAAGTCAGAAGGAAATTCGAACATTAGTGACTTGTAGTGTAACCATAGAGTTCTAGATAACTTTTGTCATAAAACAATATATTGGTCAATTGATTGGTCAAGATGATATTAAAATCAATCAGGTATCTAATTCTATTTGATACCTAAAAAACAACATGCCTTTTCAAACAAAAACCTTGCATATGTCTATGAGAATATTATATTTGTATGCATTCTAGATCGGAATAACAGCTTATCAAATCTATTTCAGAACACACAAATATGTAAAACACACACTAACCACTGTGTCATGGCCACACAGTCATTGGTCACAGAAATCAATCTAATTAAAATCAGACCTTAGTTCTCGCTCCCGCTAAACAAAGATCAGAAGACATCTCATTAGGGGTCACGTCAGAACGACCTTCCATCCGACCAATCCGTGCATCGCTTACCAGATTATGAAAGTGACAGTCAGAATGTGATTTCTAATCATGCAATCTCGAAAACTTTAACATGGGGTATTCCAAACGATAGTTATGGGTTTAATGACTGAATCCTTACAATCTAGACCATTCCAGAATGGGTTTTTTGTTGTTCAGGTTTCAAATTTGTAATCGAAAATTTGTTAAAATATGTTTCGAAGCGTAGTCGCCAATTTGAATTTTGTGCTGTAAAGCACGAAAAGCTGCCTTCTGATTGGTCATTCCATTGGTCGGTCAAAGTTCACGCAAGGTCGGTCTGACTTGACCTGTAATGGGATGTCCTCAGATCTTTGTTTAGCGGTAGCGAGAAATCAGATCTGATTTTAATGAGATTGTCACAGAAATTAGCAGTCTCTGACGCTTTCTTTTCGTACAATGGCAGCTCGTCCTGAGTAATTCAGTCATACTTCAGGGTGGCTCCAAAACTTCCAATACATACAGATGGGGGGGGGGGGGGTCCTGTGTCTAGGCAAATTGTAAATAGCACTGTCATTGTGAACGACCTGTTTTGGCAGCCATGGACAGTGAACAGTAACGAAGTAGGTCATGTTCAGCCATGTCAAATGCTTTCTTAAAATCAGTTAATGTCAGAGCCTGGTATTTGGTATGAATCTATATAATCCATCAAGACCTAAATCTTTCTGATTAAATCTGTATATCTACTGATTAAAAAGGTATTTGATGCACTTGAATGTCTTTGATTAGGTTTGTAAATGGAGCTGTTGTCAATTTATATGATGTATTAAGTAGGAAGATTTGATGCCAATTGTTCAAAAGTATCTAGTTTGTGTCTTATTTTCTTTTGCCATCATGTTATTAAACATTGACGTTATATATTTACTTGAACCGTGTTGATGTTTCTGTTCCCCGAGTTTCATCATAAGCTCAGTAGCATTTATCAATTATGTTGAGTCAACTACAAAAGAAATGTTTAGGCCGATACAGTAAAACTGCCCTCCACTGTGTTGCAAAATGACCAAATTTCTTTCTTTCTCTGCTTTTTAAAAGCAGCAGAATTATTGCAATTGTACACAGCAGACATAATTAAAAATTAAACTGTTGTTGTTTAGTTTAAACAAAATTGGTAAATGTGTCTGGTCTAGACACGATTGTTACTGGCCTCTGTCAAATAGCAGGAGTACTGCTGTGTGGCGTCAGGCAAAAAAAGCAAGGACATTATCTGCTTGTAAAACTTCTTTGCTACTTCATGTCATACACCATTTAAATGGTCGAGTCCTACTGTTTATAAATATGAAAGTTATGTATACCACATTTAATATTTAGATAATGCATTTTAAAGACAACAGATATCTGTTAAATCAATACAGTCAGTGAATATTCAGGATTAATCTATGATATAATTGAATCACTGATTATATGGAAATATGGATGAATTTGAAAAAGCTTTCATTGTGTAGAGTTCATGGAAGCAATATTCGACGTACTAAATTTGGGAAATTCAATGCAACACTGGGTGAGGTGGGGTAGCCTAGTGGTTAAAGCGATTGCTTGTCATGCCGAAGGTGCGGGTTTGAGGCCCCTCATATGTACAATGTGTGAAGCCCATTTCTGGTGTCTTGCCACCATGATATTGAAGGAATATTGCTAAAAGCAGCTTAAAACCCAACCCACTCAATACAACACTAAATACAAACATTCTACTGAAATATATGATACAGTGTGTAAATCGGTGTGCCTCTGACTTCACCACACTATCATAGAGCTGTAGACATGGTTACTGTAAGACAAGGAGATCCATTATCCCCCTTATATATTTCTAATTTGTGCAGAAACATTAATGATAATGCTTTGAAACATTAGGGTGGTATAAGCATGATAAGGTTAACACCTTATGTAAAAGGTACAATAATTGTTCCAACAGCATCTTGGATGAAGCGATTATGTAACTAATGCAAATCTACAATCACTTTCTCCCCAACATGTCAACAATATGGACATTTTACAGTGGTGATCATGAGATCCACAATACATATATATACCATACTTACACGATCCTTCTGAAACAATGACGTATTTGGTCCGGAAATCTTATTGTCTGGATGTTTTCAAATGAAGTCCAGCATACAGAAACCAGAATTATCCAGAGTTACAAGTATATACATTATGTCGAATAAACTATCAGCTAGCCCAGTAGAGAAGTATTCAGAAATAAGCCTTTAGAACTTTGTCTTTTTTCAGATGTTTCATATTCAGGTACTTTAGTATGTGACTAAAGATAACAATCTGTTCCTGATCAGAAAATTGTGAATTCTATTACATCTGTGCAATCCTATTTCAGAAGACAGCAGCACAACTTCATTGTCAGCCCAAAAGGCCATCATCCTGCACCAAACTGCCACTTGTCTTCATACCAGGACTGGCAGTGGTTAAGGCTGTCAGTTTTGGATTTGGGAACTCTGCGCCAGCTGCTAAAGGTAAGTGAGATGAAAAACATGTAGGCTGTAGTGTCACAACTCATGACAGGTATCTAGTCGGATTATCAATGACTCAACACAGTCTACATGATCATACAAGCAATTACCGGTAATATTATACATGATCAACATGATTTTCACCAGTTTTAAACAAACTTATTGGCTCAGCACTGTTATGGTTAGTGTGCGAACTAGATGTAATGTCCAATGTCTGTTTATGGTTATTTATTTCAATCTTTGTATTTTGATGACCTTCCAGAAGTGTTTTTTTAAAGGCATGGGCATAGCAAAAGCTGGGATTTCCGTATTGTGAGAAATAGATATGGAAATGAAAATGAAAATTTGTTTGGAAATAGACACTTGTTCGCTCATACCTACAGTGCCAAAACCACTCAATATTAATGTCAAGATTTCTCAGACCTTTAACACTAGTATAATAAGTTGTATAACCATGATAACAAGTAAGTTATTCTGGCCTAAACTATGCCACCATGGCTGCCATCATGTGTTCTGCCTCTTAAGAAAACGCGGAGAAAACAAAGCTACTTATAGAAAACTTATTTTTATGACCTTATTAATGATTCATGTTTTTGCTGCCGAAAATAGAGCAACAGTGATATCTTAATGTCAACATGATCATAAGAATAGATCGAGTTTGGAAATATGATAGTCCTGTTTCTTTAGCATCCTTCATGTTGGAATGCGTCAAATAGAATTGACTGTCAGGGCGAAACTTCAGAGATAAGTGAGGCCACACCTTTTTAATACTTGCTTTGCGGGTCCGCCAACTGTAAATTTTGTTGAAATGGACAAAAATAAAATTCTGAAGTTAATCTTATTTTTATCCCGCCAAGGCATATTGCACCAACATTTTCTAAATATGGACCCACTGAAGTTGACATATATTAATCTTGGGATTTACAGTATATGTTGTACTGATCCTACTATGGTTTGGCTGTAGACAAATGGCAATAGGACGTTTTCATTATTTTACTTTTGTTTGGACATATTCTATATCATTACCAAAATGAACTGATATGAAACCCTGATCCTCCAGGCTCCTACATATTGTCATGTCCTACTCAACAAGCACTTTCATTCTTAATGAGCCCTGTGAAGATCCGAGTTAGCATGGCTAGAATTAGTCTTCAACCCATACTTGTCATAAGAGGCAACTATTGGGATTGGGTAGTCATGTCATCGTATCCCAATTGCATAGATCAGAGCACTTGATGTCAATCACTGGTGTTGCTGGTGCAGACTCAATTTTTTACACACTGCTGTCTTGTAAAAAGAAACTTGCTGAGTGCATCTTTAACCAACAAACAAACATTGTGGATGCTCTCCACACTTGGGATACCTTATTTCCTTACAAAGGTACCGGTACCATCTTTCAGAGTTAACTCATTTGATATATTAATACACAAAGGATATTTGTATTTTGTTATCAGAAAACATGTTTATCTATCAAGTGACCTGACCAAGTTGATATTTGCATGAGAGAAAATATAAACTTTGTCAGTTTTCTTTTATACCTTGTCTATTACACTTTCATATTTTTAAACATATTATCATCAATTTTATGATCTGCTGCTAATTCATAAAAGTGAACTGGTATGATTGGAAAATAATCTAGCACAGATTTCATGATCAATTCCCTGGCTGGAAACTGACACCAATTAGATCTATTGGTGCGAAATCAGGTCCCTCGGAAGCGCTCATTAAATCTCCAACATCCTCATTATCATCAACACCATTAATTGATGAAATTGATTAATTTGAACAATAATGTTCATAATGGCTGCACGCAACAGGTACAGAGGCAACAATCTCATTTGCAAGAACTAAGTCTGGATTATGATGTAATAGAGTGGTTTAACTTTAAGCCACCTGGTCATGCTGTGTTTCTATGTTGGCCAGAATCCCCACCAAGTAACCCAGGTGCTGCCAAAACCCAGACAATCATTGCTGAAGCTGACCGCCTGTATGAAGACAATGATCCGATCCAGTTGTATAATTACCTCATTCAGTTCAAAGACATTGAAAACGATGGAATCCTGTGGCGCCTTGCCAGAGCTGCTTGTGATAAAGGAAAGTTTCTCGGGAGAAAGGACAAAACGCAGCGACGTGTTTGTGTTTATGAAGCATTCGAATATGCTAAGAAGGCACTAGCATTAAACAAAGAAAATTTTGCATGTCATAAGGTATGGGTTTTGTGCTTTATGTTGAAGTCAGTTTTATTGAGAAGGAAGAAGAGTTTTGATTCTTACAGGAATAAGGGGCGGTCGGGTAGCCTAGTGGTTTAAGTGTTTGGTCGTCATGCCGAAGACCCGGGTTTGATTGCCGACATGGGTACAATGTGTGAAGCCCAATTCTGGTGTCCCCCACTGTGATATTGCTGCAATATTGCTAAAAGCGGCGTAAAACCATACTCACTCACTCACTCATTACAGGAATAATGATGACGATCATGATGAGAAAACAGTATCAATATCCAAAAGGACACAGTATTTTAAGGAAATAATTCAGGAAATAAACCAAATATTTAATATTTAACTTGCGTGTAGTTTTATCTTGAGGTTTGTCATGTATGTTAGCCATATTTATGTACTATATAATGTCAGATGTCCAAAACTTTTTTACAGCCGTTTTTATATTTTTTTGGTTACTTTTGAGGGTTAGAAACTAACAGTTTTTGTCCACTAGTCCTTATTATGATAACATATAGCAAAACCCTTAAAATGGGCAAATTTCTAAAAGTCCTTATGATACCTTTACCATTGGGCAGTTTGGTAAGGACTACAGGACTAGTGCTAATTTCTAACGCTGCTTTTATATCTGACATTTCAGTTGGAAAGGACCTTTATCTTTACTTTTAAAGGGTAACCCAGCTAAACATTTGGTCAGTTTTAGTTGTCCTTATCCTTTCTAACCTTTCATTCCTTCTGTTCAGCCAGGTATGTCTTGAAGGAAATTATGTTTTGTCAAGTTGGTGGTTTCACATTCATAATTTAGAAATGCCAGAATAGATGAATATTGAGTGTGCCTGTCAGAGAACCGTTGAAATTTACAAGAATTTAGTTGGGAGATAATCCAGCTACCATTATAAATAGATGCATCTCCAACTGATAATTGGCTTCGTACTACAAAATGTTAAATACCAACTTTCAAGTTTGTGAAGCCAGGAATTTGTCTGAAATATATTGGTGAACAATGCGTGGAAGTCAGTGGGTCCTTGTCATTGACATAATGTTAAAAGTTCAAGATTCAGCAAACATGAAACCCCAGGGCCCATTTAATTTCCAACATTGATAAGAGGTGGCCTGGGGTCCTTGTATTTTGCTGAATTAATCCAGACCACCTAAATCTTTACTTTCAACATTTGACCAGGGTTCGAGATTAAACATAAGTTCACTATTCAGAGACTAGTAACATGCAGGAAGGACTATTGACATTTCCTTGTGGACGACCACTTTTACCATCAGTTTGTTGGTAACTCTACAATAGATCATTTTTGTGGACTAATGAAAACAATACTTAGTTTCTAACCCTGTTAGACCTGTGAAGATACAGGGTAGAATAAGATCTTCAATCCATGCTTGTCGTAAAAGGCGACTATGCTCGTCGTAAGAGGCAACTTATGGGATCGGGTGGTCAGACTTGCTGACTTGGTTGATGCATGTCATCGATCCCAATTGCGTGGATCGATGGTCATGATATTAATCACTGGATTAGCTGGTCCAGACTCGATTATTTACAGACCACCATCATATAGCTGGGTTTCGGAGTTAAACAACAAACAAGCAAACAAATTCTAAACCTGTTTACTGAAATGCTTAATTTCAAGTACTGGAGATGAACATAGATTAAAGGTATTGGTAAGTGCTATGCTATACGGTAGGTAGGGAGTGTTGTGTTGAAAGTGTATGTCCTCATTGTGCCTGGAGAGTTACACTGACAGACACTTTTATACAATAAGCTATCTGGTTAAGCAGCAATGTCTTCAGTATGATAATTAGGGTCTCTGTGGTGACAGCTGACTCAAGTCGATCATCATTAATTCCCTTGGCTCATGAATTGTAATCAAGCTATGCTGGAGATTAGATTTTACCACCCACCTGTTCTCCACTGAAGAACAAAACCTGTCAATTTGGAGATTTGCATGTCAGAACATTAGGAATGAAAAGAAGGGAAATTGTTTTGGCAGAGAGGCATGTATTCTTGAGAAATTTACAGCCAAACGGCATGGGAATTGGACAAGCTCTATTAATGTGTGGGAAACGTCTGATGTCTGAAATGGCTGTGATGGTCAGGATTCTGGTTTGACTGAAACACTGCTCACAAGTCACAATAACATGTGTATCGTGACTCTTTGTTTATGATTCAATACATATTGTAATTTTAATACATTATTAGCAAACATTAACATTCACTTTGATGATTAATGATCATGATAACTGATATTGAGACAACACCAAAGTAAGTTCAGACTGAAAGACTACATGGAATAAAAATATCTGAAAGAAAGTATCAGAAATTATTTTATGCATGTCTACAAAACTTTAGGAAGTCTAAATCTAAATTATTTTTTTCGTCTTCTTCTTTTCTTTTTTTAAAAAGTCTAGATTTCTTCATTTTCTGAATATAAAGAAATTCTCAATTACTGGTTTGTATTAAAGTTGAGTTTAACAAACAAAAATAACACAATATTTTATTTTTTAGAGACCAAATGTTAGTATATGATAGAGTCAAACATGTTGTATTTTGGTATTGTATCATTGAGCTCAATATCACGGTACACTGGTGAATCCTTTCCGCTTTAATTTCCAGCACTTCATTGATGCGTTTTTATGCATGATATAAAGATCAAGATTCAAGATTCATTTATTTCTCTACAAACCCACCAACTGTTGTACATGAGCAATTTATACAATGACAAAATAACTAAATATGCACCAAAATGATGATCATAAAAGTTTTATTTATCAAAATGTTTATCTAAAGTTAAGTTTGGCTTTTGAATGTACACCATATTTAGAGAGTGTTGTTTAATTCAGATTTTTAGGCATAAAACATTTCTTTAGTGCTTTTAGTGCAGGTATGTTAGACCAGTGGGGATATTTTTGTGGTATATAATATCCTCTTAGATGCACTTCTAAAGAGAACGTGGAACTTTCCTCTAACAGAACAAGAGGTGAACAATGTACAGACTCTTATCTTCTCTATAGATTGGTTGAAGATTCTGATGAAGGCTGATGGAATTTTGATAGGGATGGGAACTTGAAAGAACTTGGTGAAGTCATACGTCCAAAACATGCTTGTTATGGAAAGATAAATGGCTAGTCAGTCATATGAACATATCAGATGAATTTCAAAACATTGTTTTATTGGTTTCTGTATTTAAAAGAGAGAGCTATTTTTAGGGTCCCCTGAGGGGATTGTATGCTTGTTTCCACTGTACAACAAAGCTTGTGATGTTTGAATGTGGATGATCTGTTTCAGTGGTATGCAATACTGCTGGACTACACAGGGGAATATGAAGGCATGAAGCAGAGGATATCCAATGCTTATACAGTCAAAGAACATTTCCTGGTATGTTTGTAAACATATTTTTATGAATGGCGGTTTGAAATAAGTGATATTGTCTCTGCATCAAATTGATCTGTTCCCTCCCCTGTGGGGATTTGGAGTTAGAATTGGACTATAGCGACCTCAGCTGGGCGTGCAACGCAACTTAATGGATTAGCTGGTGACTTGGTGGATTGTATGTGATTGTACCCTGATGGTGTGGATCGATGCTCATAATATGAGTCACTGGATTGTCTGGTCCAGATGGGATTATTTACAGTCCGCTGTCATATAGCCTAAATCAACAAATTGAATCAAACATGTGAAGCTGAATTTCTGAGTTCAGAAGAAGCTGGATTGTTTCACAATATGTTTTAAATATTTGGCAAAAAAAATTGATGAGATATTTCACAGCTACTCTCCCATACTTATACCAAATTTGCATATGCTAAGTGGAATTTCTAGAAAACATCTATCAGAGACCTAATATCTCCAATTTCTTCATACTGATAACAAAGATGTTACCATGCTCTCCAACAGCACATGTTTTGATTTCAGAAAGCAATAGAGCTGAACCCAAGAGATTCTACCTCAATGTACTCAGTGGGATACTGGTGAGTGTGTTAGTGTTAGAAATTGAAGCATTTTCACAGCGTACCTTGTCAAACAAAGTTGATATTTCCATGAGCAGGGATTTAACTAGACCAGCTCAAACGCTGATATTCAACACCACACACATCTGCAGCAAATGTCAGTAAAAATTCCCTAATTGGAATTAAAAATTTCCCAATTCATGTTAATATAATTATAACTAAAGTTCTGGGTTTGTAGAGGTAATTGCATATCACTGACAACAGGCAATAAAGTGTAGGAGGCAATAATGCTTAGTTTGTTAAAATACCTCTGAATTTAGGAAAATAAAGACTTTAAAAATAAAATCCGAACTTTGAACAAAATGATTAATTTATTTTCCCAATTTGCAATCCATGGACACTTAAGGAGGAGAATGGAGCATATACTCATGATAGAGAAGCTGACATTTACCTTCTCTTCCTTATGCGTATCACTTCTAAATGGCTTTCAAAGACTTGATCATGGAAACCTAATTCTGAATCATTTATAGATCTCTGTTGAGTGATGGTGCAGTGAGTGTAATTGTCACTTTCGTCAGTTCTCAAGATGAGATAAACATTTTATTTGACTAGAAAAGATAAATGTTAATTTTTATATGTATTTTCCTACTGATCTTCACAATCTTTTTAAGAAAACCATAGTGGCATTGAAGAAGTGTGGAAGTAGTTCTGGCATAAAGTGTTATTCATTCAAGTGAAATATGGATTATATAGTTTCAGATAAATACAGTATCTCACTGAATACATATTCAAATATTTAAATATACACAATAGGAAAACCAAATGTTGAATGAATTGTGTATATATCGTTGAAGTTTGTATGATGCTGTGTTTCCACACACTCTGTGAAGTGAGCTGAGTTGTTCCTGTATGTGTCTAGGTGCTATGCATTTGCTGACCTGGCGTGGTACCAGAGGAATATAGCTGCTGCGCTGTTTGCCTCCCCACCCAAGTCTACCTATGAAGAGGTAAGTCTCAGTCAGGGTAGTGTTGTGAGGATCTACTTCAGTCTGTCCATTTGGGAGTCCAGATGATTCTCGAGAACTCTTGATTCTTGGGAGCTGAACACTAAAAGTTGTAGTAGTATCATGAGGGGTACATGGGGTTTTATGTAAGGGATGCATAAACCCCGTGTACCCCAAGTGATCCTGCTACAACAAATTTATCTTACGGACTTGTTTTAATATGACATTGCATAGGAATTAAAACAAATTCAAAATTTATAGAAAACAGCTGTTTGATTGGGCTGAGGTTAACTTGTGCTATGTCATGTGACTTTCTTTGACTCAGAAAAAGCGGGCAGCTTTTTGCTTCGAAACGGGGTATAAGGGATTTATTCTACCTCTGAGAAATCCACTTGCTCATGGCGGGGTATAAGGGATTATTCTCCCTCTGAGAAATTTCCCCCCAAGGCGGTATACATAGTATTTTATGAAAATCTCGTGAACCAGTCGAATCTCATCATTCTGATATGGAGGTATAATAATATGTGTTGTCAGATTTGTGGGTTTTATTGAGTATTCAATGCCTGTAAATTTTGTTTGGACATTTGTGAAATGTGATGCGGGGTGTTTGGTAGTAAGATGGGTGAGGATAACTATGGCCATATTTGAAACGTTGTGTATGCTTGAAATATGATGGATAAGCTGTATGTTCCATTCATTGTGTTTGCAGGCTCTGGGGTATTTCCAGAAGGCAGAGGAAGGTAAGAAAACCACCTCTTTACATGTACAGTAAATATTTGATTCGTCATGTTACTGTATGTTACTTGAACCGCTTCACTGAGACACTATACAATCATGTAGGCAGATGTCCTGTAAGCATTATGCAAACTAACATCACCAGAGAAAATGAAGCGACCTTTGTAATGTTTTGTTCTGAAGTACACACTATAATGAAGTCTTAGTTCTACAGATGGGATGTAATACCATGACGTCGTAATAGTGTGTACTTCAGATGGGATGAGACCCGTGAAAATCTGGGGTAGAATAGGTTTTCAGCAACCAATTCTTGCCGTAAAAGGCGACTATGCTTGTCGTAAGAGATGACTAACAGGATTGGGTGGTCAGGCTCGCTGACTTTGTTGATGAATGTCATCCTATCTCAATTGCATGGATCGATTCTGGTCCAGAATCAATTATTTACAAACCGTCGTCATATAGCTGGAATATTGGTGAGTGCAGCGTTAAACAAAAAAAACCAACAAACAGATGGGATGTCTAAGCATTGTGACACAGTAGACATGACACAGTATGTGATAGAGTAATGTCAAAGTCAAGCTGTGTTGATGTTACCAAAGTCTACAATACACTCTCTTAGTATTTGTTTGTTAAGTTTTCTGCCTGAAATATATTGCCATGCTTGTGGGAACCACAACATGTTAGTCAGCAAGTCCATGAAGATCCGGGGTAGAATAGGTCTTCAGCAACCCATGCATGCCCTAAAAGGCGACTATGCTTGTCGTAAAAGGCGACTAACGGGATCGGGTGGTCAGGCTCACTGACTTGGTTGATGCATGTCATCATATCCCAATTGTGTGGATCGATTTTCATGATGTAAATCACTGGATTGTCTGGTCCAGACTCAATTATTTACAGACCGCCGTCATATAAATGGAATATTGCTGAGTGTGGCGTAAAACAACAAACCAAACCAAACTATTTAGCAACATTAATAAAGTCAGACCAGTATTTGAAATTGACAAATGGGCGGGTTTGCGAAAGATGTACTTCTGAATAAATATTTTCATTTGCGATAATGTAGTCTTTGGCAAAATTATGGTCTAACATACATTTGATATTGCTGGTTGACCAATCAGAAAGCAGGATTCTAAAATGTCATGGTAGAATAATGTATTATGTCGGCTTCTGATCTGCATGGTGATTTAGTAACCCAACCCAGTTGGTTTATCATGTGTCATGGTGCTGGCTTTCATACCTATCAACTATTTAGATTTCTGACAAACTGAGATCAGAAAACCTATAAACAACATGAATCATTCATAAGACCTAGAAATAATTGTCATGGATTTGATTACATTGATATCAAGATTATAATCTTTCAGTAGACATGTATAGAAAATTGTTCATATTCAATAAAGGCTCATGGAGTTAAATATTTAATAAAACATTGGGTCATGGTCTGTGAATATGTATGAACTTTGCTAAAACGTCCTGTGCCAAAAGTGTGGACTAGAAACCAGTTGGTTCATGTTGGAATAAAGTTAATGTTCTGTTCAATGTTTACTCATATTTGTGGTTTGTTTTTCCAAGATAGTACTGGTGGTTATAAAACTGGTGTAGTGTGCAGAAAGGGAATTCCATTGTAACATATGTAGGTTACATGCAGTCTCTCACACCCACCCTGAAACAATTATATCCAAGCATAACTCCAAGGCATGTCTTGGGTGGTCGGGTAGCTTAGTGGTTAAAGCGTTTGCTCGTCACGCCGAAGACCTGGGTTCGAATCCTGACATGGGTACAATGTGTGAAGCCCATTTCTGGTGTCCCCCGCCGTGATATTGCTGGAATATTGCTAAAAGCGGCGTAAAACCATACTCACTCACTCATTCACCCAAAGCATGACTACAATTCTCTGGCAAGTCTAGATTTCTTTAGCATGTTTAGTCCCTGGCAAATGAAGATATTCTCTTGGCTCCCTTCTATGTATGAAACATCAATTGAAAAATGAAAATCTTAAAATATTTTCATTTCAGAAAGTAAATGTTAGTTTAGGCCACATGGTAGTTTTGTCTTCCTGTCTTTGGTTATGACTCCATGATGACCTTCAATGAATTGTCATTATATGTGTAATTTGGTGATTCTGCCATTGAGAAGCACTCAATAGGTTTGTATGTCTTGCTTCCAGTTGACCCAGGGTTCTACAGCATGAACCTGGTGATGTTGGGAAGAACGTACATGCATCTCGGAAAACCTGAACCTGCAACCCACTACCTGAAGATGGCCATACAGTACCCAGTCAAGACAGCTGATGATGAACAGGTACATCAAAATTTACATCGTGATGAATATTGTTTTCTTAATCCATCTTGAAACTTTTCAACCTCATAAATGTTTTCATTCTGACCTTTAATAATCACCTGAATTAGTATGAGACATTACAATGCAAATCTACAGTTGTTGTTGCACTTATAGAGTTATTGTTGAACTTCCAGAGTTATTGTTGCACTTCCAGAGTTATTGTTGCATTTCTAGAGTTATTGTTGCACTTCCCTCTCATATGAGTGTTTTAAAGTTGTCATTGCCCACACCAAAGATCCAGTTTTGAGTCTCCATAATGGTACGGTTCATGTTGCCCAGATCTTCCTCCTCCATGGGGCTTTCCAGATCAGTTCCCCAGAACCTCATCCTTGATATGCCAACTTGGATGTGTGGGGGGTTACAGTGGGGGATCTGGCTGATTGAGTGTACCAGAACAGATGCCATGTATTGTATAATCTATCACCATATGATGATATGTATAGCTCCCAATATTATTAAACAGCAGTTTTTGAACCTTGTGTATGTTTTATGTTAATCTTTTCCATGCATAATGCCTATTTATTTTTCACTTTCCAGGCTCACAAAGAGGCTCAAGAATTATTGAAGAAGTTAGGAGTTAAGCAGTGAAACCTTCCATTCATTTCAAACAAAATGTTAAAAATCAGTTATTTTTAATAGATGCACTCTGTGGTATTTATGAACTTATATCATATTCATTATTGTATGGAACACACTTCTGTCTTCTGTCACAAATATGTTTTAAAACTGTTGATTCAAAATAATGGATCTTTCTGTGAATGAGAGTGAGTGAGTGAGTTGGGTTTAATGCCGCTTTTAACAGTATTCCAGTTATATCACGGCGTGTCAGCTTAATGTGGGAGGAAAGCCCAAAGTGATGCAGGTCTCAGACATTTATCACTTTGGTGAAACCCACAAGCACGGGTATGGTGCTGACAAACCTAGAAACATAATCGGGGTGAACCGGAATTCGAACCCACAATCATAGGTTTCTGGCATGCCCAAGGGATGCAAGTCTGCACAGCAAAGCGTGGCACCTTAGACGACTGGGCCACCCGACCCCCCTGCATGTAAGAACGGCCATGTGAATATGCAGTTTGTCTGAAATATTGCTGATGTGTTGATGCCTGAGAACAATTTATAGTGTTGTGTAATTTACCATCTTCCATCATACAAAACTAACTTCATCATCCAAACTATCTTCATTACACAAAGCTATCTTCATCAAACAAAACTGGCTTCAACAGGAGATATTGCTTGGGTGAGATCAATATCTCCTGGATGATGTTGCAAGCATCCCCATGCTTTTACTATAACCAGTCAGGGCAAAATTATACTTTATTAGATGACATATAGGAGTAGAGAAAAACCTTATGTCTTTATTGCAAACTGAAAGGTTGGAAGAATGATTTTGGATGACAACTAGAATCTCACCCTCGTATGAACATTTGTTGACAAATGTTTACAACTCCTTGGCAAGCCTCAGAGTTTTAAACATTTGTTTGACTTGTGTGTGTGGTATCAAAAGACAATGTCATTAAAATCAGATCTTTGTGCTCGCTACTGCCACACAAAGATCGGTGGACATCCCATTACAAGTCATGTCAGAAATCTGATTTTATTGAGATTGATATTTTCCATGAAAAGTGTATAAAGAATTATGATTGATAAATATTATTGAAGTTTTTAATGTGTGACTGCTAGTGTGACTGATTGAATATTTGGTCAATAATTTTATGTGGATATTTATTAATCTACTATCATGTCAAATCAGTCAATCAACTTGATTTTATAAAGAATTTGATGGTATATATCTTATATCATTTCAATAAACTGTCTACTTAAGTCGTCTTGTGTAACTATTTCAGGGTGATATGGAAGCTCTACCGCTGATATGAATCTTCAGAGTGATAGCCAGCAGTTGGTATCCATATGTGCTCTCCATGACATTTACTGATAGGTCAGCTTGGTTGTATACTCCCCAGGGAGCTGAGCATGAAACCTGAAATTATTATTATTATTTTTATTGTGTACTGCTAATTCCATGCAAGGCACAACTCATACAGCTTTTACCCCAGTTAACAGATTACTGTACATACTTTGCAGTCTCAGCTCCCTGGGGAGTACACAACATGCACAGTAGTTGATAGAAATTGGTCATTATGGAAATACATTTCCTGAAATCATGTTATTTTGCATAATTATTCTACCAATCACTGCCATTCCAAGCAATATGTTTGCCAGCTACAGTTTACATGTGTGATCATGGGGAAAGGTTTCAGGTCTGTATTCTCATGACTTACATTACAGAATATATTTTTTCTGTATCAAAAATGCATTTGTCACCTCCGCATGGGTAGTTCTATCTACTTGGAAAAAAATATACACAAAGTGTACAACCTGTATTCATTCTGCAAGAGGTCATCAAATGCACAAATTATATACTTTAATATATATTATCTAAATATTCTGATAAAAGAATGACATGGTCTCTTTAAAGTTGTTTTGGAAGTTAGTGCTGTTTAGCTTTGGAAATTTGTTTTAGTTAAAAAGGTCATTCCAAAGTCATTACAATATTAAACATAATTTTCTGCAAGTCCAGTTTGATATAGTATTTGAGGTAAAAAACTCTGCATTGAACAGCAGTTTTCCTGACACTTGGGGTTCTCTACTAATAGGGAAGGTATGTACAATATGAACAGCCATTATTAAAGTTTTTATAACATTATAGGGGGTGGGGAGTGACTTGGGATTTTGTGTGGAGAATATATATTTTTTCAGCTACCGCAGCTAAACAAGATTTTTTATTTTTAAAAATTAAAACTATGAGTCTAAGTAAAAAAACATAAACCACGTTGCAACAATATATGTTTTGTGGCAGACTAGCTTTTTTTCAAGCATTTTCAGAGACAATTTATGTTTTTGAAGTGTTCCAGGACCCCCTCGAGAATATATAACGGTTGATCCCTAATGCAATCTCTTTTGGGTGATTACAAGTTGTATTTGACATTGTATTACTTTGCAGTGGGTTATTGTAAAAGCAATGCAAATGTTATTCCGGAACAATCAATTGTATGAGGCAAACCCATTACCTGAGACCATCATTGTGAAACACCTAAACCAGATCAATGATCAGCTAATGGTGAACTGTTTATGTTGACATCTTTGTTTATCCATATAAATCACTGAATGTCAGCAGCTTGGCTGACTCACAGTAAACCATTGAAATGGGAGGCTTCTACACTTAATCACTCACCTCCCACCAGAAGACCTATTGTTAGATTGTTAATGTTTTCCTAGAGGCGTTTTGAAACCACTATGGTACAGTGTTCAAGTTGGGGTAGTTGACAAGCACCAAGGACATCCTCTTTGAAATATCATAAAGGCATTAATTATTGTTAAGTTTCATGGTTCTGTGATGTAGTAAGTGACATTGATATATTATTTTACTGAGTTTTCATATGCTGCTTTTAGCTACTCATGTTGCAATCATTGTTTCTGCTGATTGGTCTCAATGAAACCAGAGATGCAGAGTAGCTCTTTGATAACAACAACTGTTTCTAGCAATACATGCACAAGTTGTTGATTTTTAGGTCAACATTATGGCTTTTGGTAACACTGAATGAAAAATAGCAGATTGTTTTTACTGAATGTGTGAGAGAGTATTATGTTATACCAAGAAAGCCAAGTTTGGCTTCAGTGGTAAATATTCTTTGTACAGCCCCAGACGAATCCTGGTAACAAATATCCAAATTCTAGGGCTCAGATTTCACAATTCTGCGGTTATAACATAATCATTTCCCACTGAATAATTGATACAAACTCATTTTTTTACATTTTGACTTTTAAGACATAACATTATACAAATAAATATGCATAGTGCCACTTATGAACATTTATGTTTAGATGAAAACAGTTTATGTAGTCATCCCACAAGAACGTTTGAGAATTATTATTTCAAATGTTTTATTGTAGGATTCATATTTTGTATGTTTGAATCGCATGTTAAATGGTTGGTCACTGTGCAAAATTTTATTCCAAAAGCTTGATTGGTTGGTTGGTTGGTTGTTTTACACTGCACTCTGAAATATTCCTTCAATATGACAGCGGTCTGTATATAATCGAGTCTGGATTAATGTCCCGTAATTAATATCATGAGCATCGATCAAAAGCTTGAAAATAGTGACAAGTTGTGTATTGGTTGATAATAAAGAGAGGCAAATTCCATGTTTTTTCTGCTATTCTGCGGTAAGTAACGTTTACGGCAAATCTTTCCGATCACGGAATTGCAGAATCATGGTCTGCAAATTGTGATTGTTTACAGGTTGATATGCATTTTCTCATTTATATTTTTATTTGGTAGAGGATGTATCTTTTCATCAACATTATATGTACACGTAGTGTTTGATTTATTATTTAAACACAGGATCAAATGTTTAGGAACAAGTGCACTCGATATATTTATTTATCATTTATAATTTACCATTCATTGATACAATATATTGTTGAGAATGTTCATTGGCAGGCGTGTGTGATCATTCTGTCTAAGAGACTGTACTGTGTATTGCTGATCTGGGATCAATAAATCATTTAACTCTTTGTGTTCTTCATGAGTGAATATTTCTTCTACCTTGTATCGCTATTTTTATACTGAGACAATAACAACTGTGATACTACCAAAGAAGACCGGCAATGAGCTACTAAACACTGGAAATACCGACACACTTTATAGAGAAATATCCACACAAATTACGAACAAAGACACAATTCAACATTACGAAATGCCACGCCTGTCCGAAAATGAGCGTCTGCGTGCCATTGGTAGGCTTGAAGCAGGATCGAGTCAACGTGATGTTGCGAGACAATTTAACGTCCACAGAAACGCCATTTGGTGTTTATGGCAACGTTGGCAACAGACGAATGCAGTCAGAGACCATCCTCGGACTGGCAGGCCACCCGTAACCAATAATAGACAAGACAACTGGATTCGAACAACACACCTACGAAATCGATTCCAGCCAGCAACAGTGACTGCAAGAAGCAGCTCTGGCCTTCGACGAATATCTTCACAAACCGTACGTCGTCGCCTCAGATGTGCAGCTATCAGTAATACATATGAGAGCCTCTGTTGCACTTGATGTTGTTTTTCTGGCAAACATGCCCAGGACTAAACACAATTTAGGTGTTGCATTTGCAACGTGAATAACCATCCCAAGCCTATCCATATAAACCTAATTAAGTCAATCACTTATCTGTCATTTTCTTGTATCCTGTTCTGATTTAGAGAGACTGTTTGGTTTTCAAACTTCAGTGTTTGACAATATGGTCCTCAATCTTTTGCACTGAAAATTTTGCCTTTGTGAATACTTTAGCTTAAATAATTGACTGCCAAAGACAATACCATTATTCAGATTTGTAGAAACACTACTTTGTGTTCAATAATTATTCATTCAAAACGGCGGCGAGCAAAGCCACTGGATATATAATTCATTACGTCCCGGAAACTGATTCCCCTGAGACTTGCGATATTTGGTTAACGCCGCCATTGGCTACCAAAGGTGACCTTTCAAAATCCACCAAAAGCGATAACTTGATTTTACAAACGGAAATTAGCGGTTACTTTAGACTCGTATGTATAAAACAGGCAGGGGAAAGGTTAACGTTTCGTGTTGATCAGTGAATCAATCCTTTCCGAGCACAAACGCTCTGTGGCGTCGGTAGCATTTAGCATCAAGGCACATCAGCACTGGCATCAGAAGTTGTAGTATCAATGAAGACATGTTTAACTTCTTTGTGGGGCATTTAGAAGTTGGAGTACTCAGTAAGGATAAGATTTATGGATGAACAACTTCTTTATTACAATTAGGAGCGACCTTTCCGTGTAGGTTCTAACACCGTTATCTAGCAAGTTCCTTCTAAACGGTTGTTCATCTTCTTTATTACAATTAGGAGCGACGTTTCCGTGTAGGTTCTAACACCGTTATCTAGCATGTTTATTACAATTAGGAGCGACGTTTCGGTGTAGGTTCTAACACCGTTATCAAGCAACTTGCAACTTGCTTGATAACGGTGTTAGAACCTACACCGAAACGTCGCTCCTAATTGTAATAAAGAAGTTGTTCACCCATAAATCTTATCCTTTCTGAAGACATGTTTGTATTATTGATATCAAATTCTTTTATTACTTGATGCGACTTTCCGGTACATTTATCATCTACTTGACATAGGTACTAGTATCTCTACCACAATCTCATTAAAACTGCGATCTTTGACTGCGATACCTCTGTTCGTGAAGATCGGACGACACTTCCACAGCAGGTCGTTCGGAAACGTATATTGTATGATATATAAGTCAGTACACAAACCCTGCCTTCATAAATCAATAAATCAGAGGTGATCAGTTTGATCTAGATTCCCCTTCGGAGGCTATCCTTGCCCGACGTTTGCGTCACAAATGGACAAATGAACTCCGATATTGCCAGTGTTAAACCATTTCCACCAAGGTACGGCTACACACTGTGCAATCATGGGGTGAATGACGCGCACGCGCAGGTATTTGATTACACCACACCTATGATTTAGCATCTGTATTTTAGATATTTATTAATGCAACATGTACGTGAATAACAGTATATACAGTTCAATACATGAATGGTATCCAACAATTGATGCTCCTGGTTGAACAGTAGAACTGAAGGGAAAATACAATCACCCCCTTACTGGGGCTACGGGACCGACGAGTATCAAGTTTTTGGAAGAAAAAAACTATATAAGTATGATATGGGGAGGGGTGGGTGTGGCTGTTCTAAATACAATTTTACAATCCCACACATAAAATTCAAAATAATTTTTAATTTTTAATTTTCCTAGGGGTGTTGGGTAGTTTTTTGGGCGGCAGTTGCCAGGGCATCGTGTTTAATATATCGAGGAGCAATAACAGGTCACTGACGAATTTTCTAAATGCTTGGTGGCATATTAAAAGCCGGTCAAAGAAAGTGTACCCCCATGTTTCATGGTGGCTAAAATGAAACAAAGAAGAAACGTTTTTTGGATGGTGATTTATTTGATACGAATGTCAGATCTTACGTGTGCAGTGTCTCGGTGACTGTTTTTAGTAACGTTTCGATAACGTTTGTAATTGTTTGGTCAAATCCAATGTTCAAGTGGATACTTTATTTTGCCCGACAGTTTACTAAATAACGTATTTTGATGGTGAAACAAGTGGAATTGAATAAAATAAGGACCAGGGTTTGGTTGGGTACAGCTTAAAGAAACGACGTGTGGTGTTAGAGTATGTGAAGCTATCTCAGTGTTGCAAACATTTCTTCCATTTAAACAAACATTTCTTCAATTTAAACAAACATTTCTTCAATTTAATCCTGTTAAACTGATTAAAAGTGAGCGGATAAAACATTTAAGGAAGATAGCATTTTACTTCATTAACATCATAGCCGCCTCCGATGTTAAGTGGACAGGGCGTCTTTCTAGAGAGCGGAAGGTCGGTGGTGCGCTGTGGGGGATACAGTGTTTAGGGTGGGGGACTGGGATGGCAAAGTTAATAATGGTTTACATGATGTGTATGTGGTTTCTGGGTGGAACACACTCCCCCCCCCCCCCCCCCCCCCCCCCCCCCTCACACACACACACACACACACACACACACACACACACACACACACACATTTACACACTGAAGTGATAAATGGGCCAAATGGCCACCCCGCCCCACCTTCTTTTCTTTTCTTAGATTCCGGGATCCGTCCCTTTTGCGATCCACTTATTATCTTGCCTGGTGCAGACGGACTGACCGGATGTAAAACTGCCTGGTATCTCTAGCACTATAAATCTGGCAGAATTAAGAATGTCAGAATAGTACAAACGCGCGCGCACGCACAGACACACGCACGCACACACGTCGCTATATAACTGCAATAAACTTGACGTTAAACCCCATTTCACCTCATTCACAGCACACAGCTAGTTGCTACCAAAAGTGTATATCCCTTTACATATCAAAATACTTTCAACATAAACAAACAACACGTATGGTAATGAGTTGTTGAAAGCTTGCATGGGAGTTTTAACTTTTATCTGAAGCTGATTATCAAACAATACAGCACGGCAGTACAAGGGGACCAGCAGTCTGATAGTGACGTCTGCTTCACTGAAGCCACATCGAAAACACTCAGCAAGATGAATCACCGATACCATCACGTATGTTGTATTTATTCATTCATCAAAAATGTTCCACGGCAATTGTCGTAATCCAACTAATGGTTTGCTTTGTGTTGTCAAGGACTGTCAAGGCATCACTTAATCAGTGTTCGGCGTATGGTAAATGTTTCAATGGACGCCATCGTCAATACTTCACGATTCGTACGCACAACTACCCTCCATCACCCGTTTACACATACGGTCCATATGCGGTGTCGTAGTGGCGCATGTCTATTTCATCATCATCATCATCATACTACTACTGATACTAATAATAATAGATAAAGTTTATATAGCGTCAATGTCCAGATTGGATCTGCTTTAAGGCGCTTTTGCACGAGTCGTATGGTCAAAGAGAGCCTTCACTGAGAGTTGTATAGGCGGATTGGAACAAATAGGTTTTTATCAGTCCCTTAAATTGGTTGATATGTTTGGCACTTTTGATGTTGAGGGGAATATTGTTCCAAAGTTTTAAGAAGGTCGTTGTTAAGTAGCGTCACCATGTGACCTAGTCCTGTTGCCAGACCCGAGTGGTCTTAAGTCAGTTAATGAACTGAAGCCGTGTATATGTTACATATAAATATATATACATATATATTGACTGATTCACTCAGACAATGTTCATATTGGCTGAATATTTTAATCAATATACATATTGCCTGAAATATGAGGCTGGATTTTAGTCACATTGACTGAAATGAATTAGACTCCTTAATTTTAATTTCGGATCTATTTGGATTTATTTTTATATTGGAGCAATGTGTATTTTTTGTTTGTTTGTTGTTTCAACGCCACACTCACCAATATTCCAGCTATATGACGGAAGTCTGTAAATAATGCAGTCTGGACCAGACAATCCAGTGATTGACATCATGAGCATCGATCCACGCAATTGGGATACGATGACATGCATCAACCAAGTCAGCGAGTCTGACCACCGATCCCGTTAGTCGCCTCTTACAACAAGCATAGTCACCTTTTACGGCAAGCATGGGTTGCTGAAGATCTATTCTACCCCGGATCTTCGCGGGTCTTACCTATGTCTTCACACGTGGTGGAGGAACGTAGCGTGTACAGACACTCGAAGTCCTGACGATTTATAAACGCCTGGGCGAACGTTAAATGGGTTTGTTTGCGTGTTGTTTAGCGCCGCACTCAGCAATATTCCAGCTATATGACAGCGGTCAGTAAATAATCGAGTCTGGGCAAAACAATCTTGTGGTTGTTATCATGAGCATCGGTCTGTGCAATAACGATACGAGGACATGCATCAACGAAGCGAGCCTGACCACCCGATCCCGTTAGTCGCCTCTTATGACAATATGGGTTGCCGAAGCCCAATTCTAATCCAGGTCTTCACGGGTGTTCAAATGGAAATAAAATGATGATGTCAAATATGTTCAAGGTTTATCGTTTTAAGGAGAGTATAGTTTTATCAGTGCCATTATCAATTTAGGCGGTGAATATAATTGATAATAAGGAATTATTATAACTTTTTATCTGTTCCCATACATCTTTTAACACATCGAAAAGAGACATTTGAAACGAAAATGAGAAAAAGCCTCTTTAAAGACAACAACACATCCTTGAATAAAGTGAGTGAGTGAGTGAGTTTGGTTTAACGCTGCTTTAACGCCGCTTGTTGTGGGAGTTAACCCAAATTGTACAGGTCTTAGACGTTTACCACTTTGGTGAGACCAGCGAGCACGATATGGTGATGACAAACCTAGAAAAATAATTGGGACGGACCGGGATTCGAACCGACAATCTTAGGTTTCTGGCGTGCCCAAAGGACGCAACTATGCACAGCGAATCGCCGTGCCTTAGACGACTGGACCATCCGTGCCCACTACATGGATTTACGGTACGCTGGTTGTGTTTGTCTGGGGAATCTTCTTGGTCTGTTAGCCCTACACTGGATGTATGGCACAAGTGTAATGAACCGCGTCCTCACTGGAAACTCCGTCGCCCACTGTACGTCTGTGAGTCATCCCTGTGTTAAGTCGTCTGTTAATACTTCAACTACACTTTCTGGCGTTGTTCTCGTGGGGAATACACTTCACTCCGTAACACACACTCCGTCGATTGCGGCACAGTCGCTGGTTAACTCTGGCAACGTGTGACGAAGTTCTCTGACAGTGAACTCCCCAAAGTTGTTTGTGAATATTCTGTTTGGAAATTGTTACATGCATGGGTTGTCACGTGGTAAATGTGTCTGACTCACGGCGGTGCCTGTTGCGTCAGGTAGCTAGGTCTTTACTTTGTCTCTGGCCGTTTGAAATTTGTCCACAAACATGGCCACACTGGAGAACAAGACGTCGGACGTCCGGTTGGAAGCTTCGCCATAATATGCCTGAAAATACGCCATAGTAGTTAGTGTATGTTTTTTGTTTGTTTGTTGTTTAATTCCCACTGAGCAATATTCCAGCTATATGACGGCGGTCTGTAAATAATGGGGCCTGGACCAGAAAATCCAGTGATTAATATCATGAGCATCGATCCACGCAATTGGGGTACGATGACATGCATCAACCAAGTCAGCGAGCCTGACCATCCGATCCCATTAGTCACCTCTTACAACAAGCATGGGTTGCTGAAGACCTATTCTAGCCCTGATCTACGCGGGTTAGTTTTTGTAGATAAAAGAACTAGCCAATAACCCCAAACCTGTGCTATTGTGATATTTATGTTTTTTATTTACTTTGGTACGTTTTTGAATGCACTCTTTAAAAATAGTCTTTAAGGGAAAGTAAAGTGGAAACATTGATTGCGATGGTGTTGCGAATATCAATTTCCCTATTCAGTAGTATTCAAAATCATGGGAAGTTAAAACACCCACAAAACAAACATTGTTGTGTTCAAGGAAAGTTGGCGAGTGAAGTGGTCCTATGATGAAACAAGGGTTGGTGTCGTTGATAGCTTTACACATCTGGGAATTATGTTTACTTTTAATACAATGTTTACTATTGCTGAAAAGTATGTTTAGTTATAATAATAAGTTATTATTGCTGAAAAGTAGTTATCTGAACAAGGTCTAAGGCAACATTTGCGACATATAACACTACCAAGTCTCTTTGTCTCAATACCGAGACACTACTGTCATTGTCCCACAGTTACACTGGTAGTGTTTTATGTTACCCATCAGCTAACTTGGCCTACAGCAAGGGACTGTTCCATAGTTACACTGGTAGTGTTTTATGTTACCCATCAGCTAACTTGGCCTACAGCAAGGGACTGTTCCACAGTTACACTGGTAGTGTTTTATGTTACCCATCAGCTAACTTGGCCTACAGCAAGGGATTGTCCCATAGTTACACTGGTAGTGTTTTATGTTACCCATCAGCTAACTTGGCCTACAGCAAGGGACTGTCCCACAGTTACACTGGTAGTGTTTTATGTTACCCATCAGCTTACTTGGCCTACAGCAAGGGATTGTCCCATAGTTACACTGGTAGTGTTTTATGTTACCCATCAGCTAACTTGGCCTACAGCAAGGGACTGTTCCACAGTTACACTGGTAGTGTTTTATGTTACCCATCAGCTAACTTGGCCTACAGCAAGGGACTGTCCCACAGTTACACTGGTAGTGTTTTATGTTACCCATCAGCTAACTTGGCCTACAGCAAGGGACTGTCCCACAGTTACACTGGTAGTGTTTTATGTTACCCATCAGCTAACTTGGCCTACAGCAAGGGACAGTCCCACAGTTACACTGGTAGTGTTTTATGTTACCCATCAGCTAACTTGGCCTACAGCAAGGGACTGTTCCACAGTTACACTGGTAGTGTTCTATGTAACCCATCAGCTAACTTGGCCTACAGCAAGGGACTGTTCCACAGTTACACTGGTAGTGTTTTATGTTACCCATCAGCTAACTTGGCCTACAGCAAGGGACTGTCCCATAGTTACACTGGTAGTGTTTTATGTTACCCATCAGCTAACTTGGCCTACAGCAAGGGACTGTTCCACAGTTACACTGGTAGTGTTTTAAGTTACCCATCAGCTAACTTGGCCTACAGCAAGGGACTGTTCCACAGTTACACTGGTAGTGTTTTATGTTACCCATCAGCTAACTTGGCCTACAGCAAGGGATTGTCCCATAGTTACACTGGTAGTGTTTTATGTTACCCATCAGCTAACTTGGCCTACAGCAAGGGATTGTCCCATAGTTACACTGGTAGTGTTTTATGTTACCCATCAGCTAACTTGGCCTACAGCAAGGGATTGTCCCATAGTTACACTGGTAGTGTTTTATGTTACCCATCAGCTAACTTGGCCTACAGCAAGGGACTGTTCCACAGTTACACTGGTAGTGTTTTATGTTACCCATCAGCTAACTTGGCCTACAGCAAGGGATTGTCCCATAGTTACACTGGTAGTGTTTAATGTTACCCATCAGCTAACTTTGCCTACAGCAAGGGACTGTTCCACAGTGACACTGGTAGTGTTTTATGTTACCCATCAGCTAACTTGGCCTACAGCAAGGGATTGTCCCATAGTTACACTGGTAGTGTTTTATGTTACCCATCAGCTAACTTGGCCTACAGCAAGGGACTGTCCCACAGTTACACTGGTAGTGTTTTATGTTACCCATCAGCTAACTTGGCCTACAGCAAGGGACTGTTCCACAGTGACACTGGTAGTGTTTTATGTTACCCATCAGCTAACTTGGCCTACAGCAAGGGACTGTCCCACAGTTACACTGGTAGTGTTTTATGTTACCCATCAGCTAACTTGGCCTACAGCAAAGGATTGTCCCATAGTTACACTGGTAGTGTTTTATGTTACCCATCAGCTAACTTGGCCTACAGCAAGGGACTGTTCCACAGTTACACTGGTAGTGTTTTATGTTACCCATCAGCCAACTTGGCCTACAGCAAGGGACTGTTCCACAGTTACACTGGTAGTGTTTTATGTTACCCATCAGCTAACTTGGCCTACAGCAAGAGACTGTCCCATAGTTACACTGGTAGTGTTTTATGTTACCCATCAGCTAACTTGGCCTACAGCAAGGGACTGTTCCACAGTTACACTGGTAGTGTTTTATGTTACCCATCAGCTAACTTGGCCTACAGCAAGGGATTGTCCCATAGTTACACTGGTAGTGTTTTATGTTACCCATCAGCTAACTTGGCCTACAGCAAGGGACTGTCCCACAGTTACACTGGTAGTGTTTTATGTTACCCATCAGCTAACTTGGCCTACAGCAAGGGATTGTCCCACAGTTACACTGGTAGTGTTTTACGTTACCCATCAGCTAACTTGGCCTACAGCAAGGGACTGTTCCACAGTTACACTGGTAGTGTTTTATGTTACCCATCAGCTAACTTGGCCTACAGCAAGGGACTGTTCCACAGTTACACTGGTAGTGTTTTATGTTACCCATCAGCTAACTTGGCCTACAGCAAGGGACTGTTCCACAGTTACACTGGTAGTGTTTTATGTTACCCATCAGCTAACTTGGCCTACAGCAAGGGATTGTCCCATAGTTACACTGGTAGTGTTTTATGTTACCCATCAGCTAACTTGGCCTACAGCAAGGGACTGTTCCACAGTTACACTGGTAGTGTTTTATGTTACCCATCAGCTAACTTGGCCTACAGCAAGAGAGATGATGTAGAACGATTACAATGTTGTTTTCTGTATCTGATTATTAGGTGTTAAAAGTTTTTCATGCATGCTAGGCTAGGTCGCTGCCTATTACAATATAAAAGAATGTACAATATTATTAAACATTGGAGCAACGTGTTAGTAACTGGTAAGTGTATCCTACGTGGCGGCGATGGATGTCCATAGGATGATGGTGAATCCCGTGACGTAAAGAGCCGGGCATATCGGTTATGGTGAAATGTGGTGTCATCAAGAATTGGACATTGGTCATTTACCCTTAATGAAACTGAGAATTATACATCATGCCTTTCAGTTTATTCGAAGTCAACTGACAAGTTCTTCCAAATGTATAATTTAAAAAATATAAAAATTGTTGATATTTATACTTTATCCCTTCTGCACACATAACATATTTTTGTTCACACATTTTGGCCTAACAACTATAAGGTATTAGCGTATTGATGTTCAAGACAGAAACTGCACAACGTGTCCCAGTGATATGGAAGAAGAATTAAGTGTCCACTTTACGCAGGTGTAGGAATATGTGCACCAAACAATACTGTTGGAACAACCCTTTAGTCTTTAAAGACCTGACATGTTAAGAAAGTTTAGTATAAGCCTTTGCTGTTCAAACTCCTTATATCTTCATCACTGTCATGAAGACGATGTCTACCGTGTCAGGGGTTACCCCCAACGATTGTTACTAACCACCGATAGTCTTTAATGCTTAAGGGTTAATATAGAACTGAGAACTGAGAAGACAAATGAAGGCATCTGCTATGCTGTTACTAATTCATAGCATAAGTTGTGGACACGGTTATCAAACGGATGAGCAGACAGAAGAGCCCAGTGAAGCGATTAAAATTTCCGAGGTGGGAGCGGGCAGACTAGGCGCCGACAGATCGTTGAAATTGTGCAGCGCTACAAACACCGGAAACCGTTTTAATCCAAGTTGCGGATATTTTCGTTTGGGCGACAATTTTTTTAATCATCTGCTACCGTTTTTCAAATTTAATTTTGGATAGGCATTTGTGATTAAGGAGTCCCTAAAGTATTACAATCTGCAAAGTTTCTATATTGTGTTTACTTGCCCTTTAAACAAAGTTAAATGTATAAATCGAAATAAAATTGAATGTGTAAACTGTTCTCTCACGATTTGCACGTGTTCTCGATTCCAGAACAGTTGGATGCAACGCAACATTTTGATCGCCAGTCTTCAACTGATCATGGGTTTTAGCAGTTTTGTATTTTAACTCTGCAACCAAATTAATGTGTGTCTCCATGCTTCTTGTTCAGTTAATCCCTGTTGACAGGCGTTCTGCTGATACACTAGTGTGAAATGTGAAATATGTAGTCAGCTGCAAATGTATTCTCCGATCACTTTGATTAGCTCATAAACTCTCTTCTTTGAAAGCGCTTAATTTCGCACAGATGCAAATTTCAATCTTAGAAAACAAATTTCTGCATAAACAAAATTACAAAAGCTATTTCAAAACGAATGCCATGTATTAAGATGACATCAACATACTACATGTCCTGTCTAAGATATGAAAATTACTGGTGCTAACTCACGAGTCACAACTGGTTACCGTTAGAATTTGGCTTAAGACAAACAAATCTTCTTGAACACAGTCACGTTATCGTTTGTGGTTAATTTTGAATCTATAAACTATTGTAGCAAGATGGCCGTCCATACGTATTTAGAATCTACTTAAATGAGATGTCCATTAGACATTCCACTGACCCTCCATCAACAAAATATATGGGCCCACCCAGGTGACAGTAAAAAAATATGCACCCACCACTGGTCACAAATATTTTTTTAGGGGGTGTCCCCCGGGTCTCAACACGTTCCGACGCCACTGTTACATTCCCAGTATGAGAACAACAGTGGGCCGATTGTACACTAATCAATATGCCTGTCATTACCGTGCATATGGAGCATATCGCATACCTATCCTAAAACGACCACAAAAAGTATACACATTGAAACAAAAGACATTTGTCTTACCAAAATGGAGCGAAATTTTTTCCCGAGGTTTGCACACGTGGAGTCCATCTTCTGTATCTTTCTCTCGTACTCCGTGATGAGATTCTGAAGTGGGTGAAATAATACATAGTAACGTAACAACAGGGGGGGGGGGGGGGGGGGGGGGGGGGGGGGGGATATGTACAAGACTGACAGGACCCAAGATTTTCATTTCTGAGATTACAGACAGGAAATGGTGATTTGAATTTTGCAGGAAACGGTGATTTGAATACTCCCGAAAACTGAAAAATTCCACGCCGTACGATGCTACACAATCAGCCAGGTCACACATTCTGACCGCCCCATCTTACGTCTCCATTTACGGGAAAATTGGGATACTTTCAGAGGACACATGATGTCGAAGTTTACCAACGGATCCAAATGCACCGTTTGAAAATGCATCATTGGACTCCTAAAACTATCAATACCATAGGATGGGTTTGTCAGCGATATTCCAGCTATATTGACCTGTTGACATACGAGACATACCAGACAACCCAGCTGGATATGTTGATGAACACCGGACGCCGTCGAGGTACGTTGACAAGCACCCAGCCAAGCCTCAGGACACCTGACCCATGTAAATCGCCACTTACGACAAGTAACGGAGTTCTCGGAATCTGTCACAACCCGCATCCCCACTAGGGTGATAACAAGAACTTTGTATGATCATTTTTATAACTTCAGTGAAAGTAGTCTTATCAGTCGGATGTTTCGAACATCGAGCTAAACCGTGCTTCACGTAAATGCCGGATCATATCTTATTTTAGTGCTCCCTGACAGTTCCTACGTGAGTATGGTTTTACGCCGCTTTTAGCAATATTCCAGCAATATCAAAGCGGGGAAATAGGTTTCACACATGTGGAGAATCGAACCCGGGTCTTGGGTGTGACGAGTGAACGCTTCAACCACTAGACTACCCCTCCTACGTAAGACGATGTCTTGTCACCTGAACATCGGACATATGCTTCTTCTCCTGCTTGCTCGGGGAGGACAGTGTGTTCCGTAACGCCTTCAGGTTCCTCTTGATCTTGTTGATGCCGTTCTTCAGCACTGTGTAAAACAATAACAGAATGTACAATCTACCTGACAGTGAGCCAGTTACATTCTCGGCGTTTTCAACATCATTCTGATTATATACTACTCCAAAAGAGGTTAAGGGACACCCGATTCTTTCATTTTACTATAGTTAAGCTGTCACGGCATGGCAGATTAACCAATAGTCATATGAAAGAGTCGGGTGTTCCTTTTCTATTTTGGGGTAGTATATTGACATGTCATGTTAACCTGGGTAGAAAGAATAAAGTGATGCAGTTTACCACTTTGGCGAAACCCATGAGCTCGACAATGGTGCTGATAGATTCGGACCGGGATTCGAACCCTCGGCCACATCCTGGCATGATTATGGGACGATGCGAAGTCTGGGGGCTTCCACCACTGGACCACTTGTGTCCTTACATTGTGTATTAAGCCGAAGTTTGAACAGTATTTCAATCATATCACGGCGTGTCAGATTGACGAGGGAGGAAAGCGCGAAGTGATGCAGGTCTTAGACATTTATCACTTTGGCGAAACCCAAGAGCACAAGTATCATCGAACCCAGAAACATGGCGAACCTGAGGTTCGAACCCTCATGCATAGGTTACTGGCACACCCAAGGGACGCAACTCTGCACAGCGAATTGTGGCCCCTTCGACGACTGGGCCATATCTATCTGTAATATATTGATCATGGTTTATTGAGTGGGTGAAAGTTGTTTAAGAAATATTCCAGCTTAATGTCGGCCTGTAAAATAATCGACTGATAAACCGGTTGTGTGTAAATAATCGAGTCTGGATCAGACAATCCAGTGATTGATATCATGTGCATCGATCCACACAATTGGGATACGATGACATGCATCAACCAAGTCAGCGAGCCTGACCACCCGATCCCGTTAGTGGCTTCTTACCACAAGCATAGTATTCTGTTATGGAAAGCAAGGGTTGCTAACGACCTATTCTACCCCGGATCTTCACGGGTAACAAGCCAGTGACTGGAATCATGAGTAAAGGCCCGCGTCTGTACACGCAATCAGCCAAGTATTTTAGACGTCTCTTTACAGCAAAAAGTACTAGCGACCGATATTAACCGTGATCCCAACCTGTTGTGTTTTAAAACATTCATGTCTTCGTTATGGCGTGACCAATCCCACCAATCATGTAGGGATCGAATTCTCTCTCACCTTCAACTTCTGCGCCGACAGCCTTAATTGACAGATCTGCGCACTTCTGCACGTGCTTCATACCGGAAGTCCAGTCTAACAGTGGTGGATTGGTCAGTCTGATCTGCTCCACCAGGAAGTTGAGTAAGGTGTAGTGAGGGTTGCGTCCCTTGATATCCAGCACCTGAAGCGACAGATAAGATGACATTCACAGGACACCTTGTAGTGTTCTCATAGGGGAAGGGTCGGGTGGGTGTGGGGTAGTCCCCAAAGGCTCCTTTGATATGATCCCTGATTGGCACTGATTATGTTTCTATGATTTGTAGCACAATACCCGTGCGTAAGGTTTCAGCAATGTGGTAAACGACCTTCATCACTTTGGTTAGGTGAGGTGAGATGGGGTTTAACATCGTGTGTGTGTGTGTGTGTGTGTGTGTGTGTGTGTGTGTGTGTGTGTGTGTGTGTGTGTGTGTGTGTGTGTGTGTGTGTGTGTGTGTGTGTGTGGCTGCTTGTACTTGTCCGGACTGATGCCGATTTATAGTGCTAGCTCACTGAGATACCATGCCGCAGTTTAACATGAATACCCCACTCAGACACAGTATACTGACTCCGAGCCGACCAGTCCTGTTTTAGCCCCTTTATGCCGAGCGCCAGACAAGGTAACAACAAGTACCATCTTTTAACGTCTTTTGGTATGACGCGGTCGGGGATCAAACCCCGGACCTTCCGCTCTCCGGGCGGACGCTCTACCACTAGACCACGGAATGAGAGCAATTATATATAAAAAATAACCTGAAGCCGGAAGTACGGAATATCTGTGTCCCTCGTGAATGAACGCTGTAGGTCCCTCGTCAAAGGTTCTCGGCTTACACCATTCCTTGCTAGGGGCAGGTAATCCGTACTTCCGCCGAGCTCGTTGGTTATTCGCTAATCACCAATTCTTGATAATATGTTCACAATAAAATTCTGTTGCTGCAATCATTTACTAGGTTCAACAATCATTATAATGTATTTGATCAGTGTTCTTTTTTAAATCTCATTGTTTACATATGTTCAATTGAAGAACCATTTTCAGGTTACAGAGAGGGCCGAGTCAAGCCTGTGTGGTGCGGGGGCCTCACCTTGTCGATGGAGGTTATCTGGAAGCCGTGTGCACCGATCCCCGATGTCCACTTGGCGTTCATGTAGTTGCCGATAGCCAGGACGTACTCGAGGACAGCGGTCAGCGTGGTGTTGGCGGTCAGTTCCTCACACGCCACGCCCAGCAGGCTCACCTCCTGGGGGGTGGAACATTTACCTCACTAAAATACTGACCAATTAATGTTGTGTGAATGTATGTGCGTGCGTGTGTGTGTGTGTGCGTGCGTGCGTGCGTGCGTGCGTGCGTGTGTGCGTGCGTGCGTGCGTGCGTGCGTGCGTGTGTGTGTGTGTGTGTGTGTGTGTGTGTGTGTGAGTGCGTGCGTGCGTGCGTGTGTTTAGCGACAGAAAATATTTCTAGTCACAGCTTCAAGACATACAGTTTGTTCTCTGAAAGGAGAGGCCGGACAATATTTTTTTTTCACAACACATTCATGCAGTATGTCCATCAAACATACATATTCGAAAATCTGATCAAAATTCATTTGTAAAATATTTTCCAAACCAAATTGTTTTTAACACAAAACTCCCCATCCCGAAAATATCGAATGGACGGCCCCTAACTATGATATACAGATTCAGGCCGTCCCGAAGGATCACAAAAAAGTGACCTACATATGAAGCACATACTGTGTTCAAACGAATGTGCTTAAATACAGTTGCAACATGATCCATCCTTCAAAAGGGACCTTCTTATTCTCACTTCAACATTCAACTATTAAATAATAACATTTACATGCATATACTGACAAATTTGTACCCCTCGCAAAAGATTTAGCAATTTTTTTATTCAAAGATTATTTATCAACACACACATGCGGCCCAAGGTGAGCGAGGTTGATGCCAGACATACCTCGGACAGTTCCTCGAACTGACATGGGAAGTCCAGGATGGTGATGACCAGGTCCAGTCGGATGTCCAGGGCGGGGACGTCACACAGGTCAATCATGAACCGGTCCACAGGATGCTGGTCCTGTCGTGTACTGCGGTACATCCGGTACATCTCCATGTCGTCTGCTGTCGGCTGGTACCTGTCAGTATACAAGTACACACGTGGGGACACACCTATTGTTCATTAAACAGGACATCGTAGTGTTCGTCCCAGAGGACACCCCTATTAGTACTCAAAGAGGACACCGTAGTGTTCTTCCCAGAGGACACCTTATTGTTACTCAAAGAGGACATCCCTACTTGTCAGCAAAGAGGACACCCTACTATTCATCCCAGAGCACACCCTATTGTTACTCAAAGAGGACACCCCTAATTTGAATCAAAGAGGTCACCACTATTTTTACTCAAGAGGACACCCTACTGTTCATCCGAGAAGACACACCTACTGTTACTGAAAGAGGACACCCTACTGTTCATCCCAGAGGACACCCTATTGTTAATCAAAGAGGACACCCTACTGTTCATCCCAGATGACACCCTATTGTTAATCAAAGAGGACACCCTACTGTTCATTCCAGAGGACACCCTATTGTTAATCAAAGAGGACACCCTCCTGTTCATTCCAGAGGACACCCTATTGTTAATCAAAGAGGGCACCCTCCTGTTCATCCCAGAGGACACCCTATTGTTAATCAAAGAGGACACCGTATTGTTCATCCCAGAGGACACCCTATTGTAAATTAAAGAGGGCACCTTATTGTTCATCCCAGAGGACACCATACTGTTAATCAAAGAGGACACCCTACTGTTCATCCCAGAGGACACCCTATTGTTAATCAAAGAGGGCACCCTACTGTTCATCCCAGAGGACACCCTATTGTTAATCAAAGAGGACACCCTACTGTTCATCCCAAGGGACACCCTATTCTTAATCAAAGCGGGAACCTACTGTTCATCCCAGATGACACCCTATTGTTAATCAAAGAGGGCACCTACTGTTCATCACAGAGGACACCCTATTGTTAATCAAAGTGGACACCCTACTGTTCATCCCAGAGGACACCCTATTGTTAATCAAAGCGGGCACCTACTGTTCATCCCAGAGGACACCCTATTGTTAATCAAAGTGGACACCCTACTGTTCATCACAGAGGACACCCTATTGTTAATCAAAGTGGACACCCTACTTTTAATCACAGAGTGCGCCCTGGAAGATAGATCCAGTCCTGCTGTTATAACCTAAACAACATGAGGCCAGAGTGGTGTGCAATTTAGTTGTCTCTTTCAAGGTAATGAATTGACAATATGTATAGATTACTGTACTTTCAGTGAAACCAAAACAGACGTGGTGCTAACAAGAATGGACAGGCGTTGTGCAGACATACACAAGGTGTGTCATTCAGGGCCCATGCCATTGTCCTGTTTGCGTACATCTTGTATCCTATTGAGGACATGCCGTCTCACCTTCTAAGTGTGCTGAGTTTCTCTGTAGGAAATGCTTCCATTTCTGAAATGGAGTTCAGGGCATCTGTCAATTTTTCCACGACGTCGGGTTTCGGGCCGTTGAACATGATGCTGAGGTTCTGAGCTCGCTTGGGGTCCAGTAGAATCTGTTTCCTGGACTTCGTGAGCGAGGCTGAAGGACAATTGATGATGCTAACCTTTCATGACTATATAAAACTAGTCAATTTATCACAAGGATTGAGCGTGCGTGAGTGAGTAAGTGAGTTGGGTTTAGAGCCGTTTTGGACAGTATTTCAGTCTTAGACGTCTACCACTTTTGTGAAACCAACAAGAACGGGTATGATGCTGACGAAGATAAAAATCATAATCAGAGCAAATCGGGTTTTATGCCGCTTTGAACAGTATTTCATTTATATTAGCTTTATGTTGGAGGAAAGCCCGAAGTGATGCAAGGTCTTAGATGTTTACCATTTTGGTGAAACCCATCTTTCCGAGGCAAAGGTGTAAACTGACTTTAAAAGTCTAGTTTCCACCCTTGCCGAGCTGGGCAGGAATTCCGGAGTTACATTTTGGCTGGACTAACGAGTCTATGCATAGTAAAAATCAAAATCGCACAACGAATTACACATCCGGTCCGTAAACAAAATGGATTTCAAAGTGCAGATTTCAGTCGACTGCAGGATTTGCGAAGCATGTGAACTGGTAATCGGCAGACATTTTCTCATATTTCTTATGTTTCTAATCAATGTGCTTAAATGATTTTATGCACTTCGCAAGGTAAGGCCCGTTTTATTACAGTATAGATCTTGATTATCGATCAGATCGTTTTCACTTGACGCCGCCATTTTGTTTGAAGCAAATGCTTAGTGATATAATAGGTGGAATATGATTGGTCAATAGGAGGGACAAAGAAGGGACATAACTCGTAATAGCCACTGGTGGCGCAAAGATCAAGCCACGAAATTCCAACCAATTTCGGCAAAGGTGAAAGCTGGACTTTTGTAGTCCCAAGCCTCGGGAAGATGGTGAAACCACGAGTACGGCAGACAAACCTAGAAACATAATCAGGGCGAATCTGGGATTCGAACCCACAACGATTATGATTATACACACTGTGTTCACCACACAACATCACCCACCCTGGGACTGTATGTTGACATAGTCTTTCTCTTGAAGCGCAAACATGTCTTCAAGCGTTGTCAGGTCCAGACGGGAAGTGACGTCATGGGCGTTCTTCCACAGAGAGTGCGACACCTGTCATCGACATAGTCACATATAAGGTACATAAAAGCACCATCCTGAAAGTCACATGTATTTTTTCATTTTCCATATACAATGTAACAATCGTCCCTTGCTATTTCAAATACAAAAGAGTGAGTGAGTGAGTTATGAAGATATTGATTTGTCCAAAACAATTACCATTCTTATAGTTACTGAAAATCATATTGTCCAATCTGTAAGATATTTGGAAACATATTTGAAATTCAAGGTACACATACATTCTACCTGTCACACATCTGCCTTGTCTATATTTGATTCTACGAATACAGCAATAAATCTCAAAATAAACATAAAAAGGTCACCCCCCTTGCATTTGTATGGTTACTCGAAAATACAAGTTCCTTAATGGTGTGGGACAGCCTCATCAGCTAAATCAATTGAAGTCACATTTAAACTTTTCACAAACTTTGGTTACTAAAAACTAAATAAACTTCCGAAAGCAGTTTATCGAGGTGATTGAAAAAAAACCGTTACTCGTGAAGGAGCGCGTATACATCTATGACCACAATGTCGTAATGTGTACGGTAATATGCATGTGGCCGCGATCACTTCTGTAAACGGAGATGACAAGTTACTGTTGGTACTCCTAAAACCACTGCCCTTAATGAACTCACCTCTGATGGAGTCACTTTAGACCAATGGATTTGCTTCAGTTTCATTTTGGGAACGACCTTCAGTTTGATCCCAAGTTTATTGCCCTTCAGAGGAGGAGGCGCGGGGATGTGGGATGGGATGGGTGGTGGCGGGGAGGAGGGGGATGGAAGAGGACGATCCTTGTACTTGTCATCAGTTTCGGCGGCGGCACGTTTTGCTGGTGATGTTGGAGTGGGTGGTAAGTCTGTGTGATTTGTCCCAGCCGTGTCATTGAGGGGGGTGTTATTTGTGTTAGAAGTGGTAGGTTCAGTGTTACTGGATATTAGTGTTCTGGGTGCTGGGATCGGTGCAGGTATTGATGGTGGTGGCGGTAGTGGTTGCGATTTTGATGTTGTAGCTGCTGATGAAGGAGATGTTTTGTCGTCATGGGGATAATCTGGTTCGGGTTCTGTGAAATCAATTTTCACCTCCATCGTTGACTGTTCTCGTTTTGACGTTTTAACATGCCCTGTCTTCTTTAACCCGGATGGGACGTCTGCTTTATCGGAGCTATTTTCAGACGACTTTTTGTCCATTACGTTCCATTTGGCACGGACGGAAGCCACGTCATCGGTGCCACTGGTGCCATTATCAACGGACACCTCGGTCTCTGAGGGACTGCCATCTACAACATTAGACACATCGCCTCGGAAAGTCGCGTCCTGCCTGACGAATGCAGGAGGCTTGGGTCTACTTGAAGTGGGCAGATGCTCTAAGGGAGTCGTCTTCTCCACGTAGCTCAGATGAACGCTGAAGTGTTTCGTCACTTCCGGTTTCCTGATTACCAATAGTATGCGTCATTCATTAATAGGAATCATAAATTCAACGTGAAATAAGCGAAAATTACAACATTGATTGGTTTCCTACCTCATTGTAACTTGTTCCGGTTCGTTGTTATTCTCCTCAACCTGTTGTGCTGATTGCTAAATGTAAGAACATATATTTTTATATTTAATGGAACTGACCCAGTGTCTAGTTTGTTAAAAGAAATGTTGAGCTGAAAACCTTTAATTTCTAATTTTCTAACTCTTATTCCGGGCAAGATAAACCTACCATTAACTACGCTTATAACGAACTTCCAGATATAAGGAACTGTTTCTTGGTTCCGTCCATTTTGTGTATTTATGTTGTACATATGCTTATAACGAACTACGGTTATAACGAATTAAAATTAGTGGTCCCTTTGTGTTCGTTATAACCGTAGTTTACTTTATGGGGAATGGCTGTGTTCTACAAAGCAACTCGGATTTATAATGTAAACTCGACACTTACAGACACACGTAACACTAAAATTAATATAATTCATGTCATGCTATATCATACCAACAGATGAAGAACTGCCTCCAAGTACATTCTTCTCCATGATTCGACTTCACAATTTTTTTAAAATGTAAACAAAACTGTCGGGCAAAATAAGCACACTTGAAAATGGATTTGACAGACAAATAACAAACGACAGTCGCCGAAACATTGCCAACTTATGGTCCAAAACACAACTCTGATGCTGATATCAAATTCATCACCATCGGTTAACCTTTTCTTGTTTGATTAATTTCTAGCTACCATCAAACATGGGCATATACTTTCTTTTGCTCTCAGTTTAGTTTAACTTTTAAGGCGTCTCTTTTTAAATTGCTTTGCTGCAGTGTAGTTGGTGTAAACAAATATAATTGCAAAAACGCATTCAAATATAAGTTGGTGGGATGAAATAACAATGAAATGAGATTTGCATCGAATGATAAGCAAAACAGTCTTTCCATATAATTTACTTTGAGACTTTTAATCCTGAAAGGTTTTAATAGACTCGATATTTGTGAATTTTTGGTTGGGTGGACCCGTAAACGAAACAATAATACAATGTCTAAATAATAGAGATAAAAAAATCAGTAAACCTTATAACTAATTTTCACTTCGTAGTTTATTAAATGATTGTACAAGAATTTACTTTGCGTCTTTTGATCTGTTCATCGATAGAAATGGGTTCCTCTTCGACAGACTGGCTGGGGAACTCGAAGGCTGTGACGTTGCTCCTGGGCGTGTCCAGTGTCTTCTCCAGCATGACAAGAGTGTGGCGCTTGGACTTCATGGCCTTCTGGAATGCCTATTGTCCAGTCGGAGAGTGAGAGAGTGAAGCCGTTTTAGCACTATTCAAGCCTATCGCGGAGGAGGCATCAAGTTGACGTGGTGAAATGGGGTTAAACGCTACGTTCAAGATTATTGCACTTATATAGCGATAAATAGCGATGTATATGCGTGGTTGCTTGTACTAGTACGGACTAATGCCGATTTTAGAGTGCCAGTCCCCGCTGTTTAACATGACTACCCCACTCAGACACAGTATACCGACTCCGAGCCGACTAGTCCTTGTTTTAGCCCCATAATGTCGAGCGCAGGCAGGGTAACAACAAGTACCATATTTTAACGTCTTTTGGTATGACGCGGCCGGGGATCAAACCCCGAACCTTCCGCTCTCTGGGCGGACGCTTTACCTCTAGACCACGGAAGCGGTCCCATCAGGATCAGACAAACACTATGGTACATCTCTCCATAGGGTTTGTCCGATCTTGACATATATAGCCACTCGTGCCATCCCGGGACCATTCGTGAACAACTCGTGTCATTCCGGGACAACCCGAATGCGGATTCGTGCCCCGGGCGTTGCCACCTTCTCAACTTGGTCTTCGCGCAAAGGGGCCATCTTCCTGAGGCAAGGGACTTAACTGACTACAAAAGCCCAAACTAGACTTTTACAGTCAGTTCACTCCCTTGTCTTGGGAAGATAAAAGGGGCATGGTGAAAAGAAAATAGTCAACTTGTACCACATCCGCCTTTGCTTTGTAAGGTTACAAGAATATTTTCAAAAATATCACAATTGCCAATTACAATCACTTGTTATTCAGTATGGCAAACCATTTAGCATGTCACGTTTTTTTTATAGATGCAAGCTATACCAATAAAATATAAACTGTAATAAAGGGGGGATTCTTTGACCAAAGAACTTATAGTCATACACAAATTCAGACTGGTGAGTAGTGTTTTCACACATAAAATACATCGACAGGGAGACGTGTCTTCTTGTAGGTTACGGAAAGTGGAGAGTGGCAACGAATGCGATCTCGACGGAGGGCTGTATCGAGTAAACAATCTGATTTGAATCAAATTGAGGCGCTCATATTCATAACGAATATACCAACATGAATGTTTTATTCACCATATGGCGATGGTTATGTATATCATGTGATCCACGCTATCTGTATATATTTACACCGTTCGCAGATCTACTGAAACCTGCACTGAAGCGGGTACATTACCCTGGGGCTATGTAAACCCTCAAGAAGGAGGTGTATACAAAGACGTCATCTCACCTCAATCCATTCTTCCCTCTCCACTTCCGGGTTGTTGGCCCTCTGGTCGTGAAGCAGTCGAAAACTGTTGACGTAAGCAATACAGGGGATCAACTCTTCACGTGAACTTTTAATTGTGAACAGAAACTTCCATTTTTTAAGAAACAGAAGTTCTTTGTCTTAAAGAACCAATTGTTTTAAAATCAAATATCATAAACTTTAATTATCGACAATTTATCGAAACCCGATGAAAGAATAAAATGTACATTTTCGACAACAACAAAAACTATTATTAACAAAATTCCAACGACAATTTATCGTATTCTGATCCAAGAATAAAATGTACATTTTAGAAAAACAACAACGTTAAATAAAATTAAACAAGTGATACACAATAACATTTCAAGCCTGCGAATTTAACTGGACTGTTTCCCGTTGGTTGTTTTGCTTTTAATATCTCCAAAGAATATAAGCTTTAAACACATCGAAGTCAAATTCTCATTCTTATAAACACATCTGATAACGATTTTAAAAAATGTTGCCAATGCCTTTCATTACACAGATATAGTTGTCAAAACAGGGTCCGTTTAAGCCCAAGAAGAGCGGTCGGGTAGGCTAGTGGTTAAAGCGTTCGCTCGTCACGCCGAAGACCGGGGTTCGATTTCCCACATGGGTACAACCTGTGAAGCCCATTTCTGGTGTCCCCCGCCGTGATAATGCCGGAAAACTGCTTAAAGCGGCGAAAAACCATACACACTCACTCACTCAAGACCAAGACTAGAGACCGCCTCCGTGGTCTTGTGGTAGAGCGTCCGCCCGGAGAGCGGAAGGTCCAGGGTTCGATCCCGGGCCGCGTCATACAAAAAGACGTTAAAAGATTGTACTTGTTGTTACCCTGTCTGGCGCTCGGCATTAAGGGGCTAAAACAAGGACTGGTCGGCTCGGAGTCAGTATACTGTGTCTGAGTGGGGTATTCATGTTAAACTGCGGCATGGTATCTCAGTGAGCTAGCACTATAAATCGGCATCAGTCCGGACTAGTACAAGCAGCCACACACACACATACACGTGCATGCACGTCGCTATATAAGTGCAATAATCTTGGACGCGACGTTAAACCCAATTTCACCTCACCTCACCTCACCAAGACTAGATCTTATCATCGGAAACTTCCCCGCCTTATGTCGGGGAGTATTATCTTGACACACGCCACCAGGACCAGGCCCAACACCTAACTTCCGGTGATGACCGCGTGAAACCTCAGTACAGATTGTTTATGTTGCTTCTCACCTTGGTTGACGCCATGACACTTCCTGTCTTATATGGGTTTTCTCTAGAATTACTTTGTTAATAGTCACGACTCTTGATTAAACAAACACTAGAGCGGACGTGACATATACACTACACACCGTGGGATGGACTGAACGTGACCTATATGTACATATACACTACACACCGTGGGATGGACTGAACGTGACCTATATGTACCTATACACGCATCACTATTCCATCTATACGACTGCTGCACACACTTGAGTAAATTGTCTTACAAGTTCTGTGACATATTTATCCAGGTACGCATTTTAGTAAACTGTCTTACGAGATGCGTCACAGTATAATTCAAGTACACATTTCAGTTAAGTGTCTCGCGATTGTAGAGCAGTATGATCGATCTTGGTCAGTATCTCTTGGGTTGAACGAGTGACCGAGTTTGGTTTAACGCCGCCTTGAAAGCTTTTCAGTTATCTTGTTTGTTTGTTTTTTTAACGCCACACTCGGCAATATTAAAGCTATATGACGGCGATCTGTAAATAATCGAGTCTGGACCAGACAATCCAGTGACTGACATCACGAGCATCGATCCACGCATTTTGGAAACGATGACATGCATCAACCAAGTCAGCGAGTCTGACCGACCGATCCCGTTAGTCGCCTCTTACCACAAGCATATTCGCCTCTTCCGGCAAGCATGGGTTGCTAAAGACCTATTCTCTACCCGGATCTTCATTCCAGTTATATAACGACACATCAGCTTATATTAACGTGGGAGGAAAGCCTGAAGTAATGCAAGTGTTAGACGTTAACCACTTTGGTAAAACCCACGAGGACGGGTATGGTGGTTTCAGCGCTAATTCGGATTTCGTATTCCGATGAGAATTAAGTGGTATACATATACATGTACACGATATCAAAGATAAAACGATACAAATATTAAATGTATTTGGGACCTCTCCTGGTTTTCCTCATTTGAACATGTTACCTTAATTAAGTCCCACGTGAGGGTCTGCTACCACCCACCTGTATACCCTGTTTCTGACGGTCACGTTGAAGCCATGTTGCCCCGAGCGTCTAACGCTGCAGATGTCATCCCATACTTGCACAATGTTTAAAGCCAACTGAAAGCAAAGTTCAAACAGATATCAATACAACAGATTAGTTTGTTTGTTTGTCTGTTGTTTAACGCCGCACTCAGCAATATTCTAGCTATATGACGGCGGTCCGTAAATAATCGTGTCTGTACCAGACAATCTAGTGATTGATATCATGAGCATCGATCCACGCAATTAGGATACAATGACTGGCATCAACCAAGTCAGCGGGCCTGACCACCCGATCCCGTTAGTCGTCGCTTACGACTCCGAACCCTACGTTGTGTCCTTAGATCGTAAAATGAACCAATCAGACAATTTACTTCAAGGCCAAAAAAACTCCGATCGGATGGGTATTTTGGTTTGTTTGTTTGGTGTTAAAGGTCGCACCAAGCAATATTCCAGCTATATGACGGTGGTTTGTGAATAATGGAGTCTGGACTAGACAATCCAGTGAATGACATCGATCCACGCAATGGGGATAGGGTGACATGCATCAATCAGCGAGCCTGACCACCCGACCCCGTTAGTCGCCTCTTCCGACTAACATTGGTTGCTGAAGACCAATTCTAACCCGGGATCTTCACGGGTCGGTTAATTAGGTTAACAAGTCACCATTTCAAACTACACTCCTAATACAACTATTGCCAGGCAGAATGTTAATCTATTTATTGTGAAACCCAACACATGTCGGTAATGAGTCCACGGGATCTCTCACCAGCTTAAGGCCCTTCGAATCGCTTTAAGTCTTCATAGAAACTGGCAGTCATTTTTAAGACGTGAGCTTCTTATTAACCCCAATATAACTAAAAACACGATCAGTTGCCTTTGAGCATAGTTTTGGTTTGACAAGCATAAATCATTAGGAATGTCCCTTAAGACATGGATGGGCATTCAAGCAGCTAAACATGGCGCGCGTCAAATACTGCCACCAGGTTGTACTTTATAAAGCGGCAGAACTCAAACGTAACAAAGTAAACTTGATACTGGATATATTGTGATAGCTGTAAAAACTTTTTCTGATTTATTTAGGATCTAACGATATTTACGTCGGATATTGTATCTCCGTCAATAAAACGGTCAGGGCATTTATGGATTATTTTACTTGATGATACGATTTTGTTTGTTTGTTGTTTAACGCCGCACTCAGCAATGTTCCAGCTATATGAGGGCGGTCTATGAATAATCGTGTCTGGACCAGACAATCTAGTGATTGACATCATGAGCATCGATCCACACAATTGAGATCGATGACATGCATCAACCAAGTCAGCGAACCTGACCACCCGATCCCGTTAGTCGCCTCTTACGACAAGCATTGTTGGCTTTTACGGCAAGCTGATGATACGAATGGTTTTAGGAATAGTTCATTCGCACAGATAAGAATCACAGTTAAGTCTCCCACAGGGACGCTGATATACCCAACACGACAGGGGCACGTGTTATCGATCCCCGCCGCTGATGAGCGACTCGTGTTGTCGGTGCGGGCCTAGGACACTGAAACAAGTGTGTAGTGTATATATTATCATTATCTATATCCTCTGGGCATCGCAAACCTAGATCCAGGGAATTACCCAGCTTTCCCTTGATGCACAACCAGAAAAATTAGACTACATCTGGCATTTCTTCCCATCACCATTGAGATTGTTTCCCCTGTGCTAGATGTCAGGTGGTGTCTCAAGTGTTATGTACGTGGTACCATGTTACATTGACCTTTATTTTGCTTCCTTAGCATAGACACCAGATTGGGGTCATGTTAAAACTTCAAATACTGTCATGAAACGAGGGCAGTGTGTGTGTGCGTGTGTGTGTGTGTGTGTTGAGGGGGAGGGGGTGCATGGGCGAGGATTTTGTATGGAGACTGGGTATGTTTTCAGTTGCAAGCTGCAAAACCAGATGTTTCTTTAATTAAAACTAGGAACATAAATATGTCTTTAAAAACATCTTGGAACAAAGTATTTTTGTGGCAAGTATTGTGTATTCACTTCAACAGGCAGGAGCGTAATTAATTTTCTTCAAGCATTTTCAGGGACAATTTATTTTTTCCTTATTTCAAGAAAATACCTAGCCCGTAGTGACTTTTGCACTACAGCTTTAAACAACATTTACCTTTAGACATCAAAGTTTGTTCTGTGTAAACATTCTTCTCGGGACTCATATATCGAAATTGTGTTTCTCATATGCTTTCATTTCAATTTACTTATATATTTGATTGTTTTCTCGACAACGTCTATTTCGTTTTGTCCGATGTCAGATGAGCACATCTTCACTCCATGCATCACCACGGTACATAATCCGTGTGTGATTAATCACCCAACTGAAGCCCGCCCCCACAATCCCGCACCCCCTGTGTCCTCACCTCCGTGCCAGGCTTATAATAGGAAAACTCCCCTGGGGTGATCCTCAGCCGTCTCCTGCAACACAATCATTGAAATCTGTTAAATACACCTGAAACTCGCCTTTACCTTCAGTCACTGGAATCTGTTAAATACACCTGAAACTCGCCTTTACCGTCGGTCATTGGAACCTGTTAAATACACCTGCAACTCGTCTTTACCTTCAGTCATTTGAACCTGTTAAATACACCTGGAACTCGCCTTTACCTTCAGTCAATGGAACCTGTTAAATACACCTGGAACTCGCCTTTACCTTCAGTCATTGGAATCTGTTGAATACACCTGAAACTCGCCTTTATCTTCACCTGTTAAATACACCTGAAACTCGCCTTTACCGTCGGTCATTGGAACCTGTTAAATACACCTGCAACTCGTCTTTACCTTCAGTCATTTGAACCTGTTAAATACACCTGAAACTCGCCTTCACCTTCACCTGTTAAATACACCCGGAACTCGCCTTTACCTTCGGTCATTGGAACCTGTTAAATACACCTGAAACTCGCCTTTACCTTCACTTAAGACACACAGTCCGGAGTTCATTCTGACATCACTTCAGAGGACTGTAATTAAGACAAGACTCGTACATTAATCGATATATCTAATTTTAGGGTATCTTTAGGCAGAAAGAAATATCACGTTGAGAGGTATACATTCCAGGTTAAAAGGCTTTGACAGACTTCTTTTTTTGTCTGATATCGAAACCTTCTATACAAGTACACCGAAGATTATAATTATGTCGATATAAAGTATTATTCCTGGAGTAATAAATGAGTGAGTGGGTGAGTGAGTCATGTTTAACGCCGCTTTTAACAGTATTCCAGTTATATCGCAGCGTGTCAGCTTAATGTGGTAGGAAAGCCCGAAGTGATGCAGGTCTTAGACGTTGACCACTTCAGTGAAACCCATGAGCACGGGTATGGTGCTGACAAACCTAGAAACATAATCGGGGCGAACGGCGATTCGAACCTTCAATCATAGGTTTCTGGCGTGCCCAAGGGACACAACTCTGCACAGCGAATTGCGGTGCCTTGGACGACTGGGCCACCCGTGCCCCCAGTAATAAATGAATAGATCATATGTTTTCATGATATATTTTTCTTTAAGTGAAGTATTTGTGTAATGAGGGAGACAAGTTATATCAAAAGTAGTTGTGATTATAGTACTATGACTAACACGGCCAAGGCCCCGTTCCACAAAGAGACCGTAGCGCGACGACTGTCGTAAGTCTATGTTAAAGTATGGGACTTACAATCATCTTAGCGCTGCGATCGCTTTGTGGAACAGGGCCCAGGAGATAAAACAAAGTCGGAGTGAGTGAATCAGTGTTGTTTTGCGCCATAGTAGGGCTCATCACAGGGTCTTGTAACTGATTCTGGTCCAGATGATACGATGACACGCAAAGAACCAGGTCACACACGTGGTTACCAGTCGATCCACATTGACTATCTCGATCTGAGGTTAGCCTAGTTTATGTAACACGTTTTTCCTATTAATTCCGATGATATTAATTTCCATGCGACAAAGACAGCTATGATTAACAACCAAGCCGTCGAAGACAGCTAGTTCTTTACAATCAATACACTGATGTGAACAGGAACAGAGCACCTTTCGTGTCGACGTTGAGCATGAACTCCACGTGCATGTTTATCACGCCACCGCAGTCCCCTTTTCAATTGAAGTGGAATCTTCCGTTGCACGAGGAACACCAACTGTCCTACAACTCGGCATTGACGCTGATTTGTTTGTTTAGCTGTATTTCAACATTGCAACTGGGAATAACAATAGAAGTCGAATGATTAATGACATCCCGTCAAAGAGACACGTTAACGTTGCTATGATTCTGTGCTATCTAGAATTGAATAGCTCACTTCAGGCTAGACACTTATGTTATAGGACTCTTTGCTCAGTGCACAGGTTTCACTGATACACAGAAGTAATAAACATGTCGGGTCTCTTGAGTTATACGTCAAGTTGATAGTGTGTGCTGTATTGCCACTATCATCACTGTGCTCTAAGCTTAAAACTTGAAAGCATTAGATGGAGAAAAATCCCGTTGTCGGTTACATAAAACGTCCGATACATTATTATCATTTCCGTAATTGTAAATTTTCCATTTCCATTTAGCCACTGGGGGCACGGGTGGCCCAGTCGTCTGAGGCGTCGCAGTTCGCTGTGCAGAGTTGACGTCCCTTGGGCACGCCAGAAACCTATGATTGTGGGTTCGAATCAAGGTTCGCCCCGATTATGTTTCTAGGTTTGTCAGCACCATACCCGTGCTCGTGGGTTTCACCGAAGTGGTAAACATCTAAGACCTGCATCACTTCGGGCTTTCCTCTCACATTAAGCTGACACGCCGTGATGTAACTGGAATACTGTTAAAAGCGGCGTTAAACATAACTCACTCACTCACTCCATTGAGCCACTGACACTGACCAAACCTCGTCATGTTAACGAACTATTTCAGTGTCAGTCTTTCTCTTGCTGGTGTCACGCTTTACAAGATCACGAAGCTAACATAATTTCCATCTTTCAAATACTGTCTCCTTGCTCCCCATAAATATAAGAACGGAAAAAACTGTTTGTTTAAGAACTCATAGATAAAACACCCGTGGGTTGTTTGGCACTGGCCACTACAAAATGACGCGAAATATTCGCCTATTACAAGGCAAAGCTGGAAGAGATTTGAAAAGAGGGTTACACACAATCCCGCGTAATCCCAGCAGGAAATTTATCCGATATTACACAGCATGGAGGAAGCGTCTCTGATTGGAAGATAACAGGACGCAAGGAGATTTGACGTGAAGCGAAATACTTCTAACCTATATCAACACGTCTATTAAAGATTACCCACGTGAAGCGTGTATGAAATGGTTTGTTACGACTTCTTTGTGTATGTTATCAATAGCTGCCCCCGCATGCTTCGCGAATTAAAACATGGTTCTCACTCTCAGAATAATGTAAGAACTATTAGAAAATGGAAATCTCAAGTGACGAGTGGAAAAGGGTTGTGAAGCCACGAGTAGTATGAAGTCTCTGTTCCGCTGTTGAGTGTGAGTAACACGCTGTACTTGGAATATAAGGGTCCTATTGTGTACTGATGAGTTCGGGAATGGCGATGCCTTTGGGGAAAAGAAAACTTAACAGTCCATTAGTTAATAAAATAAAATTCGCAGCAAAAGTTGTTAAATCTTACATAAATGGCTGTTCGCTAACCGTGCTGTTGTGGATAGATTCAAAAGAACCTGTCTAATGGTACATCAAAACAATTTGATTTTTGGATCGTTGGAAATATTTTTGAAAAAAGAGGAGTTTCCAAATGACTATTAGTTTTACAAATGAAGGGTTTATTATAGTAGAGTTAGTGTTTTCCATTTTTAACCTTGAGAAACTATTCTTGGTTGAGGGTTAGTTGTGTCTTAAAAACAAAGCACTGCATTATTTTATTTTAGAAAAAGAAAAACATCTTTTCAACATACATGAAAAAAGTTACAATACTCCTGAAAATCACGATTGCTAAATAACCGAGTCTGGACAAGGCAAACCAGTGATTGAAAGCATGAGCATCAGAATTGGAGTTTCGATGGCCACCCGATCCCGTTAGTCGCCCCTTTCGACAAATATATAAGTGCCGACTATGCTTGTCGTAAGAGGCGACAAACGGGTTCGGGTGGTCAGGCTCGCTGACTTGGTTGATGCATGTCATCGTATCCCAATTGCGTTGATCGATGCTGATGATGTCAATCACTGGATTGTCTGGTCCAGACTCGATTATTTACAGATCGCCGTCATATAACTGGAATATTGCTGAGTGCTGCGTTAAACAACAAACAAACAATCACAAGGCCCGAATACCCATCAATTCAGAAGCCTCTTACAACTAGCGCGGGTTGCAAGGTCCGAATGTCCGGGTTGGCTTTGTAGTATTGCTTTTGATGTAATGAAATGAGTACTGTGTTATTTGGACTGACTTGTTCCATGTGGTGATAGTGGTGTTCCCCTTCTTCTCCAGTACCGCCTCCTTGATCACCTTGTCCGCCAACATCGGCAGCGTTGGCAACACCGATACTCGCCGTCCCGAATCTTTGATTCCCGGAGTTGTCGCCCCTGAAATGTGACGGTTCTGATCAGACACATCATTTTCATTTTACGCAAGGACTGCTCATTTATAAGGGATGGTGGTGGTGGTGGTGGTTGGGGGGTAGATTGGTCTTAGACCAGCATCATATTTTGCTAATCCCCCATTTTAGGGTACATTTTTTCATGCCGCCCACCCCCTGTAATAAATGTCCAGTCCCTAAAAAATGTTCAAATTTATACATATATTTGAAAAAGTAGAACTTCGGGCTTTCCTCCCACAAACTAGCATGCCGTGCTTTAACTCAAAACATTGTTGAAAGCGGCGCAAAAGCAAAAGTTAACTCATTCAAGTTATAGTAGCTATCCTCGATTAATAAGTGTATTCCGTCTCTATTCTATTATGCTAAATATTCTTGTCGCATTTGTCACCATAGCTTTATTTTCAGTCCGATTCGTATCATGGTATGTCTAGGTCTAGAGATATATTACACTGGGTAATCGAGGATGGTTTATCACGCTATAATAGCGTTATATTTCCCTGGATAATCGAGGGTGTTCCTGAGGCATTGAATAATAAATCTGTCTGGCGCTGGACATTAAGGGCCCAAAGCAAGGACTGGTCGATTCGGGGTCAGTATACTGTGTCTGAGTAGGGTATTCATGTTAAACTGCGGCATGGTATCTCAGTGGGCTAGCACTATAAATCGGCATCAGTACGGCAGACACACAGGCGTGCATGCACGACGCTATATAAGTGAAATAACCTTGCACTACGTTAAACCCCATTTCACCTCAACTAACCTACATCTATGTATGAAATGAGATCGTTTGAATATTCACTTGTTTGATGTGTGCGACATAAGCTACCACTGCACTCACTTACCATCCTCGTCTTCGTCTTTGTCGAGAACGAGGCTGATGAGGCGACATAAGGTGTACTTCTCCTCGACATTATCAGCATCAAATTCAAATTCATTGTCCTTGAACTTTAGAACTATGTGCAGTCCTTCCTGTTGAAGAAAAGGGTCAAAAACAACAATATACAAGGCTTCCGCCAGACAGGTGCACAGGTGATGTATGTTCAATCGTCACCCGGTTCAAAACATCGATCGTCTTGTTTGACCTACTACCGCTATGATTTGTTTGTTTGTTATTTAACGCTGCACTCAGCAATATTTCAGCTATATGATGGTGGTCTGTAAATGGTCGAGTCTGGACCAGACAGTCCAGTGATTGACATCATGAGCATCGATCTCTGTATTTGGGAATCGATGACATGCATCAACCAGGTCAGCGAGTCTTACCACTCTTACGGCACGCATGTGTGTGTGTGTGTGTGTGTGTGTGTGTGTGTGTGTGTGTGTGTGTGTGTGTGTTTGTGTGTGTGTCTGTGTGTGTGTGTGTGTGTGTGTGTGTGTGTGTTTGTGTGTGTGTCTGTGTGTGTGTGTGTCTGTGTGTGTCTGTGTGTGTGTGTGTGTGTGTTGTGTGCGTGTCTGTGTGTGTGTGTCTGTGTGTGTGTGTCTGTGTGTGTGTGTGTGTGTGTGTGTGTGTGTGTCTCTCTGTGTGTGTGTGTGTGTGTGTGTGTGTCTGCACATGTGTGTGTGTGTGTGTGTGTGTGCGTGTGTGCGTGTCTGTGTGTGTGTGTGTGTGTGTGTGTGCGTGTGTGTGTGTGTGTGTGTGTGTGTGTCTGTCTGTCTGTGTGTGTGTGTACTGTGTGAGTGTGTGTGTCTGTGTGCACGTGTGTGTGTGTGTGTGTGTGTGCACGTGCGTGTGTGTGTGTCTGTCTGTGTGTCTGTGTGTGAGAGAGAGAGAGAGCGAAGATTGATAGCTTCATATGAGTAAGTAACTAAGTGAGTGTGCTTTTACGGCGCTTTTAGCAATATTCAAGCAATTTTCAGAAATGTTTTTCACGCACTGATCCCATGTGAGGAATCGAACACAGGGCTTCGGCGTGACGAGCGAACGCTTGACACACTTGGCTACACCACCGCCCAGATTCAGATGACTCAGGGCGTGACTCACTGACAGTCAACATTCAGCTTAATATAGGTTACCCTGCAAATATAGCATGCCCGTGTTTACGTAACATTTATTTTCCAGTACTCTCTCTCTCTCTCTCTCTCTCTCTTGTAGCGGGTTGCGGAATAATCAATAACAACTATTCTGTAAGACATATCTGTCGCTAGGGAATACTGAAATGTGGAGTAGCATGAACGAGTAACTCGTTCCCGTGAAGATCGAAGTACCCGTGAAGATCCGGGTTAGAATAGGTAGGCCTTCAGCAACCCATGCTTGCCGTAACAGGCGACTATGCTTGTCGTAACAGGCGACTATGCTTGTCGTAACAGGCGACTATGCTTGCCGTAACAGGCGACTATGCTTGTCGTAATAGGCGACTAGCGGGATCGGGTGGTCAGGCTCACCGACTTGGTTGATGCATGTCATCGTATCCCAATTGCGTAGGAAGAAAACGAGCGCGTGCTCGTATTATGCAGGTGTAATGTTGTCACTGTATGTTTACTTTACCTCGGAGTCGAAGTGTTGCAGCTGTTCGAAGGTGTAGGTCTTCTTGATATGTCCTCTCTGTATAAGGAAGATACTTTCTCCTGGGAAGTCTAGCTGTGGATGAAGCAATGATAACAAATAGAGAACCTCATATGGGCGTCTTTTGATATCAAATATATCAACAGGAGTTGCGTCTATGCGTCTATATAGGATCTTATAGGACGCCCTGGTTTATCGATAATCAAACTAACCATTTCTTGTAATACATGTGACAAAAGAACAAGCTAGGGTGAGGCGCGAAGGATTCGTGTTAAATTTGAGGGGAGGTGAAATGGGGTTTAACATCTCGTCAAAGACTATATAGCGACGTGCAAGCACGTGTGTGTGTGTCTGCTTGTAGCGATTTATAGTGCTGGCTCACTGAGATACCACGCCGCAGTTTAACACGAATACCCCACTCAGACACAGTATACTGACTCCGAGCCGACCAGTCCTTGACCCTTCCATTCCTAGCCCAAGACAGGGAAACAACAAGTACCATCTTTTAACTTCTTTCGGTATGACGCGGCCGGGGATGGAACCCCGGACCTTCCGCTCCCCGGGCAGATGCTCTACCACTAGACCACGGAGGCGGTCCTGTGTTAAATTTGAAAATTACGGGAAAATATTAATCATTGATAGTAATGTTATTAGCAATGTACAAAGGACTGACAACTAATATTCGTATTTTTGGACTTTCGGCGTAAGTACATGGTGGTGGGTGGGTGAGTTGGGTTTAACGCCGCTTTTAACAGTATTTCAGTTATATCACGGCGTGTCAGCTTAATGTGGGAGGAAAGCCCGAAGTGATGGAACCCCGGACCTTCCGCTCCCCGGGCAGATGCTCTACCACTAGACCACGGAGACGGTCCTGTGTTAAATTTGAAAATTACGGGAAAATATTAATCATTGATAGTAATGTTATTAGCAATGTACAAAGGACTGACAACTAATATTCGCATTTTTTGGACTTTCGGCGTAAGTACATGGTGGTGGGTGGGTGAGTTGGGTTTAACGCCGCTTTTAACAGTATTTCAGTTGTATCACGGCGTGTCAGCTTAATGTGGGAGGAAAGCCCGAAGTGATGCAGGTCTTAGACGTTGACGACTTCGGTGAAACCCACGAGCACGGGTATGGTGCTGACAAACCTAGAAACATAATCGGGGCGAACCTTGATTCGAACCCACAATCATAGGTTTCTGGCGTGCCCAAGGGACGTCAACTCTGTACAGCGAATCGTGGCGCCTTAGACGACCCGGCCACCCGTGCCACCCGTAAGTACATGGGTATGGCTAAATGATTGAAAATGATGAGTTTTTAGCAACTTGAAGAGAAAATCTGACCATGAGCAGGTCTGTGACCCAAGATGATCGTTTACCATATCTTGTGCTGTCTTTATCTACATCTTCAGGACAAAACCGGCTCGGGTGATCAAAACATTTTCATTTTCAAATATTATATAAATGCAAACCTCTAAAATAAATTGTCTTTCGACACGGTACCTATACATTTGATGTTGTCATGGTCCTGTGAATGCAAGTGTCGTCGTGAACAAAGTCTAGTTCTCATTCGATAACCTAACCAGAAGTTTTGCTAATTTAATAAATTATGCATATTATTTATAAATTATGCAGAAAGTGTAAGCAAAACAAGTCCCTCGTTATACCTTGGCGTTTGAAAATGAGATAACATTATGTTTAAACACATTTGTTTTACATATCATTATCCGATGGTCACGAGTGTAGAAGTATTGTGCAGCTGAAATCGTATGGATATCCTACTATCACATATCAGTGACAATTTATCCCATGGTATGTATTCATTATGCATACTGAAAGGCGTTACCCGCGTGACCTATGACCTAGGCTCGCCGATCCGAGGCGCTGTGACGTAAGAACATGTCTGAGTGTTAGTGGTGACAGAGTGTCCGTCCGGACAATACCTCACAGCGTACAATTTGGGTTTTATAAGAGGGAGACAGTATTGTTCGGCCAAAATAATCTTCCTCGTCCGCTAAACAAAAGTCTGGGGACATCCCATCATGGGTCACGTGAGAACGACCCTTCATCAGAGCATCTCTTATGTGGAGGAAATTTTCAAATTTGCTGCATCAGTGACAAAAAGATGTCCGATGCAATTCCCTATTTTGACTTGTACCATATGTTCCAGTGATTTTTGCAAGTGACAATTGACTTCCCTTTGCATGTGTTTGTGACGGGTTCCACCGATGGGTCAGGATACGCTCATCTTTTCGGGAACACCTGGTGTCTTCACTATTTGATAGTGATTCATAAACACATGCTCGTGATATAGTCGCCATCACACAATCGACTCTATTGAACATGGAAAGGGTTTTGTCGCCTTTATTTACCAGGTCGGGAAAGTGACAGTTAGAATGTGTTTTTTAATCATGCAACCTCGAAATGGTTAATACGGGGTATTCGAACAACAGTTACGGGCTATTTACGACCTGATTATGTAAAAAATATCGTCAATTTCTCGCTCAAATGGGATAAACACTTGAAACAAAACGGAAGTTGGAAGTACTGCCATACAATCTTTTAGACATCTTTTAGACATTCAAGAATGTTCTTTTGTTCGGTTTTCAAATTTTGTATCGATATTTTTCAAAGCGTAGTCTAGAATGGAAGTCGCCAGTTTAAAGCTCGAGGAAATCTGCTTTTTATTGGCTAATGTCACCTTCTTGTTAGTCATTTCATTGGTCGGTCAAAGATCGGGAAAGATCGTTCTGACGTGACCTGTATTGGGATGTCCTCAGATCTTTGTGTAACGCTAGCAAGCACATCTGATTGGAGCCAGTAGTTGGGCGTTTCAGTGACCACTTTCTGCTTATCTCCCTGTAGTATATCACTGTCTTTACACATGTGTCCGGTATGTTGTGATCTTGTGCCCTCTAATTAGCAAGCGGTTACCCAAATGAACAATGTTTTAACCGCTTACATTAACAGAGTAAATTTAGACTAAGCCAGTCATTGACATCAATGATGGTAGAGGTAACCGGTTTGGTAACAACTGAAGAAACCTTTCCAAGGACACATCCGACAAACCAAGCTGGAATATTGTACATTTATGGAATATATTCTGACAAAATGCCTATGACCACGACCCATGCTTGCTGTAAAAGGCGCCTCTGCTTGACAACCCAGTGATTAAAATCATGAGCATCGATACGTCGACACGTGTGTGTGTGTGTGTGTGTGTGTGTGTGTGTGCGTGTGCGTGTGTACGTGTGTGTCTCGTGTGTACGTTGTAACAGACTATGATTAAACGTCTTCATTAATAAGCTGATGTGATATGTATCTCATGATTTCCGGGAAGATCCGGGGTAGAATAGGTCTTCAGCAACCCATGCTTGCCTTTAAAGGCGACTATACTTGTCGTAAGAGGTGACTAACGGGATCGGGTGGTCAGGCTCGCAGAGTTGGTTGATGCATGTCATCGTACCCCCGTCCCCAAACAAAGCCTATGAACACGTGTGAGCTAACCTTCTGAGATGTAAAGTCTACTAGGCGACTCAGATACCCAGGGGAAACATGAACACAGGTAGGACGTGGGTTGGTGTGCACCAAGCTGGACAGACTCTCACTCCTGGACAACAAGTCACGTGGGTCAGGACTCTCTCACACAACAACTCCGGTAGCGGGGGCTTTGCAGTGAGAGCTGCGTCAATCACGTATGGTAAACATATCACAACAGTCAAAGCTTACAATACACCCGCGGCTCACAGAACATGATATGTCACGCACATAGGTAACGGACATCGTGGGGGGCAGGGGTAGACTAACATTTCGTCTCTGAAATGAACATATCGTACAGAAAAAAACAGTTCAGTTATCTTAATAAAAATATACTTAGTCTAGTAATATAAGGGAGCCCAGTGACTCTCTTCATTTTCAGATACTGCAGTAATCTAGACTTGCCAAACATTATAGACTTGCATGGGCTGTATTTGATATATATTTGTATCAGGATCTGTAAAACAGACCAGGGGAGGGGGTCCTAGGTCCGGAGCCTACCCTTTTTAAAACCAAAATAATGTAGTATGTTGTAGACAATTCCATCCCACCCCCACTGCGAGAGGAGTTTGATATTTTGGACACCTCCCTTTTAAACATGCAGAATCCACCCTTGGACCTGGATCACGATGATGTTTTGTGCGCGTGCGTGGCGTATTCATTTATGGATCACTACAGCAATACCTTTAAACCATGGCCGGTTACCTGACGAGCAATTCCATCTTGATTCGCCTAATTAGTAATAAGCACATGGTTTTATTTGTTGTTGAACGCCGCACTCACCCATATTAACTACATGGCGGCAACAAGCATATGGAACAGGTTGTCAAGCGCGGGACACAATGGATACGAGTGACATTGGGTCATGTTTATATTTCTTTGCGAATGTCAACCGACAGACTCTTGTTGTGAGTAGCCAGGCAGTTGGCTGACATATTTTGAATTCTTTAATACTCAGTAGCATATTGTATAATGACAACGTTTTTAAATAATAATAATAATTACTGATAGTTTCACTTGTTTACGCATTGTCATTGGAATAAAAAGAGCAATATAGTTGGGTGTACTGAATAAATATCATCTAAAGGTTTGGCTCTCTTGGTTATTTGCCTTCAGTTTGGTAGTAGATAAGCGCAGTGGTTGAAGCGTTCACGCTTTTATGCTGAATGTCCAGTTTGAGCTCCGCGTGGTTGTGTCACGCCATATTGCTGCAGCATTTTTAACATGTGGCATAAAATCTTACTCACTCGTCCAACTATAACTTGTCAAATATTGTTTTCATGAACATGACGTGCAAGTCACATATTAAAGAAATAATAATAAAACTCCTCCCTACAGTCAGTTTCACAAGAAACAAGAATATTATGTTAACTTGCCTGCTCATGGCGCTCGTGTTTCACAGGAAATGTAAACGTAAACGTTATTTCATGCCAAGCGAAATGACGTCACGGATGACGCTCAGTAACAACAACATATACTGCCAGGCATAAGAAAGTATACAGCCATGTTTGATGGTGGCTAATATTAAACAAACATGTTATTTGATAGAGGTATCAGAGTTGTGTTAACATTCGCAGTTTTATGGTTCCTGTTCTCAGCCTCGTAACGTTTTGATGACATTTATAATTTTTCTGTCAAATCCAATTTTCAAGTGCATACTTTCTTTCTACGGCTGCATATATGGAGGAATAAAGAAAACGTATTCTCATATTCTCACCTGTAAGATTGCCCGTTTGCCATTTTTCTTGTATATTCCAAAGTTGTGTATTTTAACGTGCAGTTGGTCACAGGAGGCCATGCTGTCGTCTGCCGACCCCGCTGAATCCTGAAAAATCAACGGGCGACACGCCAATCAGGGCATATAGCAATTTGTTTACATTCATGACATTGCTGGTCGGCTGGTCCCAACATCAATCCATCAACGTGAGTTGTTTAATGATTGATAAACACATTCCTCAAAACACCTCGTGCATAATTAGCCGACTAATCGTATGACACGTGCACACTGTCATGAGTGCTATTAATAGACATTGTTATGGATCGATATTGCGAAACCCCGTTGAATCGAACTCCGTCATCTCGAAAAATCGTTTAATGCTTTTGTCACCCGATTAATGTCGAACATCCGCACTCCACTTTTCTCGAAATACGGTTATCTCGACATGTATTCGACTTGGCGTTAACGATGTTTCGCTGAAGATAAATTATGTGTGAATGTATGGTAATAGATAAAAAATGTTTGAAGGTCTAGGTTTAAAAAAATGTACAAATTGAACTCTTGCCAGTGAACATCCAAGGGATTCCGGGTCAGAATAGTCCTCCGTAACCTATGCTTGCAACAGGCGACTTAATGCCTCGGGTGGTCAGGCTCGGTGACTTGGCCAACTGTGTGTGTCATCGTACCCTGGCGGCGTGAGACGATGCACATAATATCAATCACTGGTTTGTCCGGTCCAGATTCGATTATTTACGGGCCGCTGCCATTCAGCAGGAACAATGCTGAGTGCGGCATAAAACAACAATAAAGAGAGAACAAAACAAACAGTTTAAGGGATTGCTAAGCAGTGCTGTCATAACGTTTAAGTGACCCGTGAAGATTCCGGGGTAGAATAGGTCTTCAGCAACCCATGCTTGCCATAAAAGGCGACTATGCTTGTCGTAAGAGGCGACCAACGGGATCGGGTGGTCAGGCTCGCTGACTTGGTTGATGCATATCATCGTATCCCAACTGTGTGTATCGATGCTCATGATGTCAATCACTGGATTAACTGGTCCAGCCTCGATTATTTACAGACCGCCCATAGCTGTAATATTGCTGAGAGCGGCGTAAAACAACAAACGATGCGATGATAACGTTTAAGTTGAGGCTCAACCTCGAGCTAGCATCCTTCCCTTAGGATACGTCGTGGAGATGTGCCTACATGCCTCCAAGCGGTGATCCCAAAATGAGGCCTTCATTATCGTGCTAATTTTAGCGTTGATCACTTCACTGGTGACATTTTGACGTGTTTAGGGTCACGTGTTAATTAGGTCTACCAGCCTTTGGGTATCACTCGATGACATCCTTTAAACACTAGATATGCGTTTGTTATTTCAAATTCTCGTGCAGTTGGTGGTCTGAAGGGGCATCTCAGCGCTATATTCCGCCAAGACCCACGACACATGCGTGTTGCTTACATATTGGTAACATACTGTGTGACATGGCTTGGTATGGTGTCTTTAGTTGCCGTGTACGGTGACATATTAGGTTAGCAGAAAAATGTTGGGCGTGAGCCAAATTTATAATGCCGAAACGTTTACACTGTTTGGCATCTTTATCGCACATGTCATGTTAAAATGAAAACTTGACAATTACAGCCGGTATGAATGACAGGGGGCGGTCGCGTAGCCTAGTGGTTAAAGCGTTCGCTCGTCACGCCGAAGACCCGGGTTCGATTCCCGACCTGGGTACAATGTGTGAAGCCCATTTCTGGTGCCCCCACCCACCCCTCGTGATATTGCTGGAATATTGCTAAAAGCGGCGTAAAACCATACTCACTCACTATAAATGACAGGACCAGTACAAATGTTTCCGATACAACGCTTTAATGTAAATATAAACGTTAACATTGGAATATAGAATGCACTAAATGTGAACGTTTAAAAAGGTATTATAGCTAAAATGGGTAGAATTATCATAAAATGTAATGTTTTCAGGAATCTACAGTTCACTATATTGATAGCAGTCCTCTTTTCCCTTACGACGGGCTGCTATCTATTGCTATGTGAAGTCATTGGCGTCAGGTTTCTTGTTTGTGACGTCATCCTATAGTATGTTCTATGACGTTGATATTTGTAAATCACTGACCTCCGTCTTTTTCTATAAGTCTTATTCATAAAGTCAGGGACGTGGTTACGTTAAAAATTTATGTCTTTGCACATCATTATTAACGATATAAAGACACAAAACAGTGTCGAATAACGAATTTCTTTACCAGAGTTTTCATGTGAAATATGTGACAACCATCTTGGATTTTCACTGATGATATACGGGGTCATGTGGGGTTAGTCGATCTGCTCTCTGATTGGTCACTGTCACTGTGAGACATAGTAGATCTTTTTACACAAAATGAATTATTTATGGGAAAATTAATTATGAACCAACTTCCTGGTGGTAAAAGTTTCCCGCACAGGGAACACGGATAATGATTCGCGTGTCTTTATCGTTCCCTGTTCCTCTTCTCTGTCACTCAAAAAGCAAGAGTGAGTGAGTGAGTTGGGTTTAACGTCGCTTTTAACAGTATTCCAGTTATATCACGGCGTGGCAGCTGAATGTGGGAGGAAAGCCCGAAGTGATGCAGGTCTCAGACGTTTACCACTTCGTAAACATTAGAAACATAATCGGGGTGAACCGGGATTCGAACCCACAATCATAGGTTTCTGGCGTGCCCAAGGGACGCAACTCTACACAGCCGAAAAGCAAGAGCTACCTACCCTGCGTTTGAAACATGGCTAGATAACTCTGTTAAAAGAAATATGTTAAATCCATATTATTGATATTTTTTACAAGAGAACGAAGTTCATAAGACAAGAACATGCCTAGTATCTGGTAAAGTACAGTGGGGAAAACAATTTGATTCAATCTGTGTCTCGCTCTGTCACACCGTTTCACAGATTCCCCTCTCTACATTGTAATATGTTAATTCGTTGATAAAAGTATAATTATCTAAATATGTTATCATCGAGCAAATCTGTTGATAATATTATGTGTTCAGTGTATGGCAAGAAGTAATGCTATGAATTAGGATAAAACACATGACTAGATATATGTCATAGGATGATGATGATGATGTTTATGTACATAGGTATTGTATTAGTGCTATTATTATCATTCAAAATGAGAAGCTGTGAATTTTGTTCCATGACATGCGGCTGATGCCCGCCGTGCAGTAAACGCATTCAGTATCTTATTACCCATTTCAATTATAGGAAGCGTGATTCGTTGATAGCCGTACGCAAAACAGCTCAACTATATCCCTCAACTCATGTTTCCACGTCTTCAGCAATCAGATGGGAAATGAACCAGCGGTGATGAGGGCAAGACAGATGTCGGTGTGTCTGTCACGGTGATCTACTGTCTGATTACTGGCAATCCACGATAAGCTGAACGAACGCGTTTGAGACAAGTAGGCGGTGCACAGAATTTGGGCCAACATATTTGGTTTGTTCAATAACCATCAAATAGCCAATTCCCTTCCATTTATTTAACCACCTGAACAAGTAATAAAGGAGACCAGTGAGACCGCCTCATCGGTTTCATATTTAGATCTGTGCATCAAGATTCAGAGTGATAAAACACTCCCCACGTGGCTGAATGACAGGAGGCATGACTTCAACTTTCCAAACGTCAACTTTCCCTTCATGTCGAGCAATATTCCAGCAGCTCTAGCCTTTGGTGTCTACATTTCATAACGTTTGAGACACAATCGAGCATGCTCTTTCAACAAAGATTTCAAAGAGCGTCATACGACTCTTGCTCAGAAAGTGTTGGATCAAGGTTACAACATTCAAGGATTTAGTAAAACTTTCAAAAAGTTTTATGGTAAACAAGGGAAGGACATTTGCAAAATGGACGCATCAGTGACAAAATTGTTATCCGATGCAATTCCCTATTTTGACTTGTACCATATGTTCCCTTGTTATTTAGGTGAACAATTGCCCTGTCTTGTAATGTGTTTGTGATAGGCACCACTGATGGGACAGGATACGCTCAGCTTTTCGCGAACACCCGGTATCATCACTGTTTGATAGTGATACATAAACACATGCTTATGATATAGTCGGAATCGTACAATCGACTCTGCTTTTGGCAGATATTTCTAATGAATATGGAAAGGATTTTGCCGCTTTTATTTACAGGTAGAGAGGGTGTACGTATGTTATGCGTCATGATGCATGCCAATGAAATTGACTACTCCCCCGTGGACACACGTGTTGCTCATAAGACTATTCAGAGGTCTCTAAAGTCGCTTTATAAAGTTAATTACAAACAATTAAACATGTCAAAGCTAGGTAAGCATGGCTACATCTTACATTCTCAGGCTCGAGAAGTGACCTATAATGTCATAAATTTCATGGAGAAAGAATGTGCTACTAGTTGTTAGCCGAGAAAGGACAGCATGACATTGTTTGGAATTCGTTATCATAATATAATAAATGCAAAATATAATTGTAAAATGGCTGAAATATTATGGCTTTTTGTAAATTGCCTAAGTGAAGATTTCAGTAATTTTACACATTGACTGTAACGTGTATATGACATTGACTAGGCCAATCAACATCGTGCAGTTGTGAATCGACAACTATGATAAATGTGCGTTACTGGCTACAGCTTTAGGCGATATTTATAAAAGATGGAAATATTTGTATAAATATGAGTTCACGTGGTTCAAACTTATTGCCTTAAACTTAAGGTACATGTGTCCTAATAAACTAAAAAATACCAAGAAAGAGACACATGGTTTGTTTGTTTGTTTGTTGTTTAACGCCGCACTCAACAATATTCCAGCTATATGACGGCGATCTGTTAATAATCGAGTCTGGACCAGACAATCCAGTGATTGACAACATGAGCATCGATCCACGCAATTGGGATCGATGGACATGCCTCAATCAAGTCAGCGAAACTGACCACCCGATCCCGTTAATCGCCTCTTACGACAAGCATCGTCTCCTTTTACGGCAAGCATGGGTTGCTGAAGACCTATTCTACCCCGGATCTTCACGGGCCGAGACACGAGGTAAACCTACACTGATACCTTGCATGAGAAATGATGAGCTATTTGCTTGCACTCCCAACGTAAACGAAAATCAGTAGAGGGACACTACTCACTGTATGACCAAAACGACCGCATACTGTTTCAAAACATATAACATGTGGAAGTATAAATAATTATTTGTTTAAAAGATTACTTCACAATATTGTAGATTTCAATCGATTTCGAGAAAAAGAGAATTGTTCACACCACCGGTCATTCGAGATAACCATTTTTGAAATAGCCGAAGTCGACAGCGCTCTACATTTAAGGGGGGACAAGGCCCGAGCAAATGGGCAGTCCTGGCAATTTGGTTCAAGTCGTTAACAAACCACATTTTCAGTCTGCTTACTCTAATCTAAATTTGTAGATCAATCTAACAATCAATGATGACCTTAATTACACAGTGACAATGTTTCATGTCATGCATGACACAATTTACAGACATGCTTCCAGACAGACAGACAGTTAAGCTTTTTTTCACACAAGCCAAAATTGGTTTCTGATCATACATGTTTGTAATAATTAATGCATTGAACACGGTCTATCGTAAACATTTTGGTTTTTTTGGTACCTGTTAGATAGTCTGCTAATCACAGACTGTGGAACACTGAACGTATTGGCCACTAAACGCTAATAGCCCGTAGGCAGATACCACATCGCTAGTTCATACACAACCAGGGAATGAAATCAAGTAAACTGTGTGATAAGTAGAATCAATACGATCGATGGAAATAATGGTTCACAGGGATTAGTAGACCGACTTTGAAAGTGTCGAACGCTGAAATGACAAAACTACGCACGTGAGTGGGGCCACTGCGTGAGGCACGTGCAAACTATAGGGTGTGTTTTGGTGTTAAAGTTCACAGACATAAACGCTCTTGCATAAAATGTTTGTCGTCAACACTTATGTTTATTCTAATACTTTGTATTAACATATATACTATGATCCCGTGCGTTTTTTTTAAGAGTGTATATTACAGCGTATAGACCTAGACTGAAATGGAGACCGGACCTTACATCATAGTCTCCCTTTAAAGACATGGGCGGTGTTCGCTCAACTGCGACATTTATCACAACTATATTGTACACAGGCCACCGAATAGTTACCCTCATTTTCCAGTCTAATTTCTGAAATATTCGGAAAGTAATGTTTACGATGTCATTAACTTTGACTTTTGTGAAACTATGAGCAAATGCGATTAGTTCAGTCAGTGGAAAAAGTTTGAGGCGATTTTGGAAATAGAACGTTCCCGTCGACCGACTGTACCAGGTAACGTCATCGTCTTACGTGAACACGTGTACAAAAGCCTATTGGGGTCAAAATTTAAATATTGAAAAGACACGAAAAGAAATTCGTTATAACGGAAAAAAGATTCGTTATTACGGAAGAAAGATTCCTTATTACGAAAATAAATTCGCTATAACGGAAAAAGATTCGTTATTACGCAAATAATTTCTTTTCGTGTCTTTTCCTTATTTCAATTTTGACCCCAATAGGCTTTCGTACACGTGCACTTCTTCAGTTAGCAATTTACATTTTATATAACCTCTGTTATTACAATCATATATCGTATAATGAATGTTTTTTTATATAAAGTGCAGTTTGCTAACGGGCGTAAATAAAAAATCCCCACATTCGATCTGCACATGCTTATAAATAACACTATATACTACAGGACCCTTGGTATGAGTGAGTGAGTATGGTTTTACGCCGCTTTTAGCAATATTCCAACAATATCAAGGCGGGGGACACCAGAAACGGGCTTCACACATTGTACCCATGTCGGGAATCGAACCCGGGTTTTCGGCGTAACGAGCGAACGCTTTAACCACTAGGCTACCCGATCGCCCCTCAGGACCCTTGAAGGGATCGGGTTCTCAAGCTCGCTGACTTGATGCATGTCACTTTATCCCAATTGCCTAAGAAGAAAACAAGCGCTATTATGCTGGTGAGCTTATTACATCAATCGCTGGATTGGCTCGATTATTAACAGATCGCCGTCATATAGCTTGACTATTGCTGAGTGAGGTGTTTAACAACAAACAAACAAACCAATTTACTACAGATTTCGCGATATACTAGTATTCAGGTTATAATATTCATGTTTGAAAAAGTGCTACATTAGCTTGTAAAATTGTATTTTCAGATTACAATTAATGCCTGAACTATATGTGCATACTTGTATCCGCGTTGGAAATTTGTTTTTACGTGAACTAGTCACATGACACCGCGACCCGTGAAGATCCGGGGTAGAAAAAGTATTTTATATATATATATATATATATATATATATATATATATATATATATATATATATATATGTGCGTGTGATAAGATGTGCGTGTTCTTAAAACGACACTCGGCGGTTGTCTTGTCACTGAGTAACGTGATATACGGTCGTATGTGACCAAGTGACGCCACGATTTCGCTTTACAGCGGGACAAACAAGCACGTTCTTCGTGTGTCGTCAACCTTCTTTCTTTTCTTTCCAGTCTGATTGTTCGGCTAGTGTAAAAAGTTATCTCTATGTGTTCAGCCACCGAGATACCCTTTACGTATTATGGTTTCGGATGTATCGCGTAGATTGCCTTCATTGTGTGAGTTGAAACATAAACGCCCGGTTTTCGTTGTTGTGGGGAGCTAGAATGAGAGCTACGACCTATCATGCGCTTTTTTTAAACTTACAAATCTGACACATTCCTATGCATTATCATTTGCAATGCTCGAGCGCTATAAGGCTTTTACAGTAGCCCATAATTGATATATTGTTGCTGAAACTAATACACAATACCAACAAAATAAATAATCATAATAATTTATAATTAGATGTAAAATATTAAAGCAATATTTATAAGATTATGTCATACATTATATCACTTGTAGTTAAATATTGAACCGATAGTAATGACTTATATCAAATATTATGACAGTGTGAAAATAGATATTGAACCAACATTGACACTATCATTACAGCATGTCATATAACAATGACCATATCCACACTATGTCAAAGTACAACATCCAGCTAGACTGATTACATGATATAGAAACCCAAATTCGCCGACCATTGAAAGTCAGCCACCAGTTTGCCATTTTAACCAATAACACAAAACCTTCTTTTAAGCAGAAACAAAGAAACAGACACAGGACACGTATTTGCGTCTGGGACACACCTGCAGATAGAATAAAACCCAAATCAAAACAACGACAATATGAAAGCCGTGATCGTTAAGAAATAAAATATACTGAAACTGACTTACATAATCCATACTATCCATATCGCGTAGACTATAACCATCCACCCGGCTCGACTCAGTGTCAGACTGTAACTGACAAGGTTACGGGTGTAAAGCGGGTATTTCCTCTGGGGCCCGTATAATACTCAACCCGGAAGCTATTCGTTCGTCCTAATGTAGGTTCATAGTCTTGGCCAGACGTTGCTATATGAGAAGTAATATTCACGTTACGTCTAACGACATGTATCGATTATTTTGAAATCTGGGCGTTACTTCGAGGCGTCTGTTTTCATTCAAAGTGACAATTCAACATTTTAAGCATTCATTGGTGTTATCTGTATTCCTTGTGGGTAAACGACCCTCAAATCAATTGATTGTCATTTCTAACAATGTTAACAGTTGGGACATAAACGTTCCATTTTAAAAGAGGAAAATACGATGCTTGTGACATAGTAATGTAAATTTAACATCAGGTAATAGATAACAGATTGTTTTCCAGCGGAAACAAGATTTGATTAATATTTATGCCTTTGCATGTAAATCACAGTTATCAATCTGAATGGAAATTATGTGAATATCCGTTGAATATCGATTCGTAACATGAAGCATATGCTTAATATTTCATAAATACGATAAACAGTTTGATCCCCCACATACTCATGTCCCCCCATGTATTGTGTACATATTATGAGCCGTATGTCACCTACCGTTATCAATCAGTACACACTATCAGTCCATATACTGTGCCAAACAGGTAAAAGACACGCGTCAAGATAACCACCTTGCTACCGCATGTAGTTAGGCCCGTTAACATTTAATGTGTCAACGGTGATAACATTGCTGATCACATGATTTGTTCCTCTTTCATGGTGATTGATGGCTGACCTCGCGGTCACGTGGTAACAGAAAGCCAGAGAGTCTTATCTTGTAACATACCCAACCCGGAAGTAAATTCTGCACCTGTCTGTGAGGACATCTGAGTTGTGATTTACGCACGCCTTGGGGGTACGGCGAGAACGGTCGCCTCCAGCACCTCGGTTGTTTCGAGTCGTGTTTAGGGGGATTGGTTGGTTAAAATGTCTGACGTGGCTGAATATGTTGTCGAACAAACTGAGGGCATGTGTCGTTTCTTAATCAATGATTGTTTGATAAACAAATTCTCTTTTTATAACCTACGAAGTAATATTGTTGTGGCGCAAAGCAACATTCATTCAATCAATTCGTGATTTTCACGTGTAGGAGTATGTATGTAAACATTGTCTAGAATTTAACCGTAAAAGTATAAAATGGTATTATATTAATTGTTTCAATTATCAATAACTGCAGTCGTATTATAGAATTCGTACCCCATCCTTGTTTACAGAACATGAGGATTGGGAGGACATTGTGGACTGGCGGATGACGTGACCAGATCGTTGCTCATGCTGTCATCCACTGGTTTGCCTGGTCCAGACTCGATTATTTACATGGCACCGTGATAGTGCTGGGATGTTGACAGCAGCAGAGTCACTCACGATAAGTTGGACAGGTGATGGTTTTGACATATATTCTATTTTTATTGCACCTCTTTTGGGAAATGATTATGCAGTCATACTTTTGAAAATAATTATGGCCGCGGAGATGATGCTTATCCTCATCACAGATACAAAACAAAAATAACTTTAAACCATTAATTCATAAATGTCCCAAACAAGTAGAATGGGAGTTCCACGGAATCCCGATTAAACGAGGATAAATAATTTTTTCAAAAAGAAATCTATACAGTAAACTACGGTTATAACGAACAAAGGGACCACTTATTTTAGTTCGCAAAACCGTAGTTCGTTATAAGCATATATACAACAAATGGCTGGGACTAAATAATAAGTTCGCTATATCGGTCAGTTCGTTATAAACGTAGTTTACAGTACTTGGGTTCAAACTGTTAACAGACCATTTTCAAATGACGTATGACGTATGATTGTAGTTTTAACAGACATGGTATATGCGGTCAGGACAAACAGTGTCAAAATAGAACCACTTGATGCACCTTGTCCTTAAAACGCCGCCACGTCAAGCGCGACTTGCTCATCTAAAGTAGATTTCGTTGTACATTTAAGACTCGTTTTGAGTTTGACGAGGAAATGAAGGCGATGGATGTGGTTAGTAAGAGGTGATTACCACAGGACGCCCATTAATCAATACAAACGTATCCCGGTCAGTCACAGAAATTTGATCTTTGTTTGTTTGTTGTTTGTTTGTTTAACGCCGCGCTTTTCCTGCTACATGACCGCGGTCTGCAAATAATCGAGAGTGGACCAGACAATCCAATGATTGATATTGAATCGATCCACACAATTATGATACGATGACATGCATCAACCAAGTCAACGAGCCTTACCACCCGATCCCGTTAGTCGTCTCCCATGACCTATTCTAACCCGGATCTTCATGGGTTGATATTTTTATGTGAAATTTCAAAAGGCGAACGGGTGAATGTTGTTCACGTCGCTGTCAGCAAGATTCCGGTTCTTTTCTGGCCTGTAAATAATCTAATCTTAATCAGCCAAACCAGTGACTGAGAGAATGAACACCAATCCAGGCCATCAGTACGATGACAAGGTCGCAGAACCTGATCCCCCGTTCCATCTGAGCTGACGATCACGACATGTCAAGCATTGTTTACTGAGAACCATTATACACAGGAATGCAGAGAGTAGCGAGAGCTTGTGTTATAGATATATCACGTCTATATAAATAAAAGACATATAAATTCAAAGTAATAACTGGAAAGAATTAATACAAAATGTTTTATGAACTACATTCGTATTTTACAAATACAAAACGTTTAAACAATATAATAATTTCCATGACGCCACTTGATACGAATTCTGTAGCTGTAGCGACCCAATATCATCCTCGTGGTTCCAGGGAGTTGTACACGTTGCTATGCCCTTGAACCAAAGACAACACGCTCTCTCCACGAGGTCATGCATTCTATAAAAAGCGTGACACGTATACATCCGCTAGCACATGAAATACATGCATATATGAAATTAGAAACTAAGGACGATATCGAATGTATTCAATATTGAATATCATATATCATACATCTTGTTGACTAGTGGAAGGTTCCATAAAAAGATTTCTCGGGCACATTTGTCTTGAATGTGATGAGGGAGGTAGGACTTTAAAGGTATTTTTTAAAATTTGAAAACATAAGTCCGGAGGTAGGATTTTTTTGTCTTTTGTTCCTACCAAGAAGACCAAGAAACACAACTGCGCACACATTGAATTCGGTTTCTTAATACAGTGACAGCTGTCAAGTTGTCAATGTCACTGTGACATACACATTTGGCCGATAAACATGTCCACAATCAGCTGAAACAACTGCTCGTGCCGCTAGGTGGCCGACGTTGGCTTGTGGAAATGTAATACCGGGCATTATTGATGACTTAATCTTTTCCTGGCGTCTCCGCATGCAATGTCGTCTATGTCCAAAGTCCACAATCGTCGTAACAAAGGATCGTACTGGGTCCACGAGCGATAAACTTCAGGGCATATGCTTCGTCTGTTTGGCCAAAATTATAAACAAAACCATATATTCTAAAAAAAACACAAACTATTAACAGTGGTACAAAAAAAGTACATGAAGATAAAAAATATATAAAAACAAGATAATGTTGTTATAACTGGTATAAAGATGACATTGCACTGCATGGACACATTTTTACACACTTTACTACCAGTGTCCATATCTTGTTCAGAACATCTTGTCCCTATTTGCCAATCCAGTGTGGCAGATGGAATGAAACCCGATTTGATCAGAAATGGCCGATGAGTGTAACTATATATCTAAATGTGATAGTTTAAATCCAAATAGACATGTGTACCTGGCAGTAAGCGTCAGTGCCCATTTATCAACGTGTTGACGTACTCCACCGTTTCAATGTAAGTAGACTATCTTATTAAAATTAACTGGCAAAATGTTGTTAAATAGTAATATATACCTTCCAATAACTATCTTTCCACAACCATCACTCTGATCTCATTTAGAGGCGGTCGGGTAGCCTAGTGGTTAAAGCGTTCTTTCGTCACGCCGAAGACCCGGGTTCGATTCCCGACATGGGTGCTATGTGTGAAGCCCATTTCTGGTGTCCCCCGCCGTGATATTGCTGGAATATTGCTAAAAGCGGCGTAAAACGTCACTCACTCACTCACTGATCTCCTTAAAACCGTCAACATGGTAACTATGTATATTGTGAATAAGTTGGATTCTACGCCGTTTTGAATAGTATTCCAGTTATATCACGGCGTGTCAGCTTGGTGTGGGAGGAAAGCCCGAAGTGATGCATAAATGAATAAATATCGAAACATAACTTATTGTGGGTTAGGTCTCTTCGTGGTCAGGCTATTGAACGCAAGTTTACAGACATACGGAATATTCGATTACCGAGTGCATTAGACAGAATGATAGCTTCTCCGATGAAGATGCCCTTCTCTGTAGCCACATATTTTGTCGGACGGATATAGATACGAGAGAAATCGATATGTCACTAAGTGGATAGTAAGTGACACGCAAAATAAAATACATATTAATAAACAATGATATAAAAATTAAGTCTGCGCCATGTATATATACACATGTAGACAATGTGATACCACCACTTCCACTACGAATGTTTACCGAGTAATTATATAAACTAACCACGAACCTTCTTGTTCAAGCAATGCCGCTAAATCTAGAACCAAACGAAAATAGTTTACTTAAATAACATTGCACAAAATCCCAAAATATTATCAAGAGATAGAAAGCTGGGGCAACTGCGTGGGTGCAGATCATAAGATAGTTCCTGAATAGGTTCTCGTTCAACGTTCAATTTCCGTCATAATAAAAGACAACCTCAGTGGACTCCAACTTTGACATTCAGTCCTCCGCGAATTAGCCAACAGTGAGAGTTCCCAACCAGCGAGGGTTGATAGAGGAGTTCTGAGCCTCACACAGAAGGGATTGCCTATTCCACTGTTAAGAGGTGGGCAGCAGAGTGCAAGCGTGGCAGGGAGTGCCTTGAACACGACTCCCATCCTGGAAGGCCTGTGACGTCAGCAACACCAGAAATGATCCTGAGTATGATCCCAGTATGGTGATGACCGAACGATGATCGACTGAACGTCATATTTCTAGTTCAGCAGGCATTTCCCAGGAGTGAGTACAGAGACTTTGGCAATGAAGAAAGTATCAGCTCGTTGGGTTCTAAAACTTCTGACATCTGATCAAAAACGCACCAGGCACATGTCTCGTGATAATCTAGCTGTTTGAAGCTGATCCAGAAAGGTTCTTGACACGATTTCTGACTATGGATGTTAATCAGTCCATACAGCAATCTGCAAGTTCTTGATCACTCCACATTCCTCAAGTTTGTCCATTTTCCAAAGGTCACAGACCCCTGTTTAGTTTGCTCAATTGACTAAAGTTCTTTCTATGTCAAACGCCTACACGTCATCGCCGTGTCATGTCTCTCTGCGGTATGTTTCAATCATGTTTCAAGTTACATATATTTCTTCTGTTTCATATTCAGATCTATACTTAAAGATTCAGAGTGACAAAATACTCCCCACAAGACTGTATGACAAGAGGGGTGACTTCAACTTTCCAATAGTCAATTTTCCCTTCATGTCGAGCAATATTCCAGCAGCTCTAGCCCTTGGTGTCTACATTTCACAACTTGTGAGATACAATTGAGCATGCTCTTTCTACCCAGATTTCAAAGAGCGCCATGCCACTCTTGCTCAGAAGTTGTTTGATCAAGGTTATAACATTCAAGGCAACAGTAAAGCTTTCATAAAGTTTTATGGTAGACAAGTGAAGGACATGTGCATATACGCTAAGCTTTTCGCGAACACCTGGTTTCATCACTGTTTGATAGTGATTCATAAACACATGATTTAATCGGAATCGTACAATCGACTCTATATCTCTAATCGAGATTTCTATAGAATATGGAAAGGGTTCTGTCGCTTTTATTTAAATGTTAAACTCTGTTTCATTTTGGGACAGACATAGATGTATTTTATATATATAACAATGCAAACGGTAGAAACCATCCCATTTTAGTAACTAGTTCTTATATTTAATAATAGACTGGTACATGACCATCTTAATATTATGAATTTTTGGTTCGGACAATTGGACTAGTTTCTGACAAAGTATGGGAAATGTCCCGAAGTGTAAATTTGAAACTGTATGTCTATGTACATTTTTGTTCAATGCCACTTGCAACAGTATTACAGTTATATAACGACGTGTCAGCTTGATGTTGGGGGAAAGCCCTAAGCGATGCAGGTCTTAGACCTCCAACACTTTGGTGAAACCCACGGCAACTGGCATGGCATCGGTTTCCGGCACTCCTAAGGGACGCAACTCTGAAGCGCGAATTGCGGCGCCTTAGACGACTGGGCCACCCGTGAACCCTCATCCTCGATTATCCAGTGTATTATATCTTGATTACGATAATATAATGGAAATATAAGACACTGGATAATCGAGGATAATGCCACCGGTACAAAATACATCCGAGAGAAATATTAGATATTTAAAAAAACATATATATGGCCATCGCCCGCACTCACAAAGCCCAATTTATTTATATTATGAAGTGATGTTTAAGGTTGTGCACAACTGTTTATAGCACATCTGGATATTGTTCTACGCGGACACTACATTGCCAATCCATTGTTTATCGTTATCTAAACCATTGCAGGCTGTGTTTATGGTTACCGCTTTTATAATAATAATAATAATAATAATAATTATAATTATTGTTTGGGATAAGGGCAAATGGTCATCTGTCAAATGCATCTTTCAAGGTTGTCATGAAGTTGCTCGCTTGCGCTGTCATCCAGACATGTCACGTGCTCTTTATGTTGTGTGCACTGCTCTGAAGGTCACGGACGTTGATGAACTTCCGCATGAAGTCTGCGATGGCGGAGAAAACCTCGTCAGACTTCCGCTGAGGTGGCTCTCCCAAGTATTCCTGAAACGTAAATACTCCAAGGTAAACAACATTTCTCTTAAATATCACTGTTACAATATTTGATCATGTTTCATAAATATATTTAAATCCGAGTTACATCCGGGGACTCTCTATAAACTGGCCCCTAGCATAACCTATCAATCCCGACCTCAACCTCACGACTGAACTGTTCGAGGAATGGTATGTAATTTAAAACATATATTGCTACATATTGATATACTTGTGAACGTGTGAGTGGATGTTGTTTAATGCCGCAGTCAGCAATAGTAGTAGAATATGGTCCAGCTACATGGCCATCTGTATATAATCCAGTCTCAGTCAGTTAAACCAGAGACTGAAAGCATACCCAACGATTTACGCAACAAGGGCACGATGACACACAATAGCCAAGTCACCTACCTTTTTAGTTTTAGTTACCTCTTACAGCGAGGATAGTTTAGTAAGAATCAATTCTAACCTGCAAATCTTCATTGGGACAACGATATTTGAAATAGGCGTAGCTACGGTAACCGTATCATTTTATTCCTCCCTGTTATACTATCAGTAGAACGATGAGAATATAGAGTGGGTATATTTCTCTCGGGGCTTGTAACGCAAAACATAGCAGCTATATGGTCACACCCAGTGTCAGTATACTACCTTGTAGCTGCTATTCTTTGCGTTACAAGCCCCTGTGGTATATGTAGTTCAGATTAGACGACTTAAGTGTTTTACACAGACTAGAGTAGTCCAAAGAAGTAGAAGATTGAAAGAAACCTGTTTGATCTTAACATGGAGAGAACGATAGACTCTTCTTCGCACCAATGTCTTTATTCAGACCATTAAATGCATACTGTCAGTACCAAGTGAATGTCTATGAAGGATCACTAACTGTTAACACTGCTGATTTCAGTAGATATACGAGACGCTTCACTCAGTAGTTCAAAGCGTTTCCTCAGCTATATTCAACTCACCAACATTGCCGCGTACTCCCGTGTTAGACGCTCGTAGAGCTCTGTCAAACTGGCCACTTCAACTTCAAATTTCGAGAGGAAGCTCTGTCAACATTGAAACGTGTGGTGAAATCAATGGTGTTTCCAGAATATGCTCTGGTCACTTGTGCCAAAGGGGGCATTTTCACATTTGTATTTCATTGATTACAATATTCCAAAAGCCATGCAAACACGAAAGCGTCGTTATTTACTGTATAAAATCATTTGAAGAACAACGGCGGAAAATTCAGTACAATTGATTAATTGGACAGCGCCTAGAAGGCGTCGAAAGTTCGTTGTAAATTTCAAGCTAAAAATCGACCCTCTTTGGACGCTTTAGTTAGAGGGACAGATGGACGTCAAATCGCATGACGTCTAATACGCAAGTGATACCAGCATCCATTTTCAACGCATTTTCTACTCGTTTTCCCTTCTCTAAGCCTTGCCCTTTCTTAATGATTTTGACTAAAACTTCTCACCGCTGTCATTCTGTTTGTTAATGTGGATGACAGCTGGCAGCAATTGCGATGTGTTAGTGCCGCGAAATACCGCATGTGCAGAACCGCCTATTCAGTTAAGAAGTAACCAATCAGCGAAGTAGTGCATGCGTACAGTAAAATTACGAATTTCCGTTTAGAGCCCGGAGCGCCGCGTTGACTCCAGTCTGTAATCTGGCACGAGAGGACGTAGTTCTGTTGACCAATGAGAGCCCGAGAAATAAAAATGCGCGACAGACGTTGTTGCTTGATATACCATATCAATGAAGAAAAGAGGGGAGATTTATCACATCGAAATATCGGTCTCTCTCAGTAATTACCGATTTCAAATTTTTTACGCTCTTTCGTCCCACAATCGCCCAAAATGCGTCGAAAAATCCAATTCTCATATACGACGCTTTCACGTTTGCAGTGTACTGATCCACAGTTTAGTCAGCTCTTTCGACTTGCTCTTGCTCTTTTCGGGTTGTAAACGTGGTCGATGTTTTACGCCGATGTTATACTATTCCAGCCATATCATGGCGGGGCCAACTAACCATGGGCTTTACACCTTGTACTCACATGGCGAATCGAACCGGGTTTTCGGGGTGTCCCAGTTCTTCTGTTCAGGGTGTCAGGGACAAATGGTCAATATATTTCATAATATAATATTCTTAATTCTATTTAGCGGTCGCACGTGAATCACGTTTTTTTTCCAGTGGGTGACACTATGAGCATCGGGGTACGGGTATGATCACATGCAAGCCTTACCACCCGATCCATTTAGTCGTCCCTTGCGACAAGAGCATTTTCTAACCCGGTCCATACTAGGTATTTACAATGTACTGTACATAAATACATACCTTGACGTCAGAGAAATACGTCCTCTCCTGTTTATTCCACGCCCCTTTCTCCAATTCCTCCGCCACACACCTTCGACGAGCAAGTTCCTCCCTTAGGGCTGACAAATAAATAACTCAGTTGTTATTGCATAACTAAACGTCTGTATGTATTGGACGCAAAATATTCCTTGCTGGCGTAAAAGTACTTGAAAAAGAAATGTATTAAAGCATTGTAGTTTGTTTCCTCCCTCACCAAACGGGCACGCCGTAAAATAACTGAACAAAAACACTCGACCATAAGAAATAAGTTAACCCCCACGCGCTTATGGTCACGTGGTCTACCATAAAAAAGAAGTTACATGTACAAATGATTAGATAACATGAACTGTGCACTAATCGATACCTTTGCCCCTTTGCAACATAGATGGGCTGTGGTTTGGGTTGGGATGGGAGGTTTGTTTGTTTGTTTGTTTGTTTGTTGTTTAACGCTGCACTCAGCAATATTCCAGCTATATGACGGCGGTCTGTGAAGAATCGAGTCTGGACCAGACAATCTAGTGATTGATATCATGAGCATCGATCCACGCAATTGGGATCCATGAGATGCTTCAACCAAATCAGCGAGCCAGACCACCCGATCCCGGGATGGGAGGTAGAGGAATAGCTCTAAGTATTAGTAGAGGAATAGCTCTAAGTATTAGTAGAGGAATAGCTCTAAGTATTAGTAGAGGAATAGCTCTAAGTATTAGTAGAGGAATAGCTCTAAGTATTAGTAGAGGAACAGCTCTATTAGTTAGTACTTGCCTTGCGAAACAAATTTTTTTTTTTTGTATATCGTTTTTGGCCTATGTCGTATGAAATAAACCTTTTCTTGTGTGGAGCCTGACCACCCACCTTTCAGCTCCGCTTCTACTGCCGGCATGGAGAGGTCGGCACATAAGGATACATGCTTCAGCGAGTCCGGCCAGTGTACAAGCTCCGGGTGTGATGTCTGCAGGTGGGCCAGGAGGTAGTCCATCACGCTGTACCCTGTGTCTACGTTCTTTATATCAAACACCTATTTCAAACACAAAACAACTTCAGATGTATCGGGTATTTGTTGTCCATCAAACTATAATAACCTAATGGTCAGACCGGGGTGAATGAGTACAAATATTGACGAAGTAAAATCTCCGCCAGAAATTGACCATCACGCGGAAGAGTGAGTGAGTGAGAATGGTTTTACGCCGCTTTTACAAATATTCCAGTAATAGAACGGCGGGGGACACCTAAATGGGCTACACACATTGTACCCATGTGGGGAATCGAACCCAGGTTTTCGGCGTGACGAGTGAACACTTAACCTACTAGGCTACGCACCGCCCCTCACGCGGAAGAATCTGTACCAATGGGTAACATATGTGAAGCCAATTATCACCAATATACTCGAAATCATTGCGCCTGAGCCACATTGAAATAGTCCCCTAGTTCCGGTTCTGGTCCAAGGCGTGAATTAGCCAGACACAATCGACTCCATAGTTACAATGTTGTGATGACGAGAGATGTTGCTTATGTGATCAAGCACTGGTAAGATTGTTTTATTACAAGACGCGATTGTTATAATAGTGCTGTTCACAACGTCACAGGAGTTGCGTCCCTTTGGCGTGCCAGGAACCAATGATTCTGGAACGGCACTGATTATGTATCAAGGACAACACACGTGCCTGTAGGTTTCACGAACGTGGTAACAGGCTTTCCGCCAAGGTGACACGTCGTGATTAGATCGGAAATCTGTTCACAATGGCATTTAAACAAATACCTACTTACGTCAAAAACATGAATTTCGTTGTTGAAATATTTTTTGGTATATTGTATTGTATTTTGTATCATCACATTATGTCAAGAAAACAAGATGTAGTTGTTATGATGCCGTTGATGTAGATGCCAATGGTGTTACGAAGCCACCCACCTTATCCACAGACGTGATCAGGAATCCATGAACGCCGTACCCCTTTAGTCGTTTGCCGTTGAGGTAGTTGCCCACCGCCCGCAAGTAACCCAAGACCTCCTTCAGAGGCTGACTGGACAACACCTCCCCGCAGGCGTGTTTCAAGCAGGACACTTTCTGCAGGATACGAGCAGTTGTTTACAATAATGTACACGAATAAGCTTGATATAACATGATTCAGTAGTGCCACGGCAGTCGTCAGTCAACACAGACATACGCTGTCTGCAATGATATTTAAATATTGACTGCATAAACACTGAGGAGGAAGAAATAACATAAGGAAGAGAATTTATGGATGTCAACGTCTTAATAATGAGGAACACAACATTTCGGAGTATATACTAACTTCTTAATCAAGTGAATGATGAAGGAGTAAGCATATACTCCGAAACGTTGTGTTCCATAAAGTTGACATCCATTAATTTTCTTCCTTATGTGTATAACTTATAAATGCCTTTCAAAGACAAGAAATAACAAAAATTCAAAATATTTAAACAAAATATGATGTCATCAAAAGAAGAGACGTACACGCTTCCTCAGTCTGGTAAGTTCAGACGACAATATGAAAGGAGAATTTCTGACGAGAAAACAGACGCCGACGATGCCGGACAGGCAGGCCATGCCATAAGCTCACTTGACTTTTAGTCGGGTGAGCTAAACATCATATATGTTCCTCTCCATTCGTCCCGTGGAACTATATGAAATATCATTCCGGGGATATGCCGAAATATTGTCCTCATATTTTACCCCAAATACAAATCGTTGACTGGACATGATGACGTTCTAAAAAATAATATGTTTGGCTTCCCCTATCAGTGAAATAATTGTATGTTTGAAGCATGAACAATATTTCTATTGTCGCAAACAAATAAACATGCATATTTTCTTGGTTCGTTTACAATATTGTGACTTCTGCTTGTTTCAATAGGAAGCCAATAACTGGATGTTCAATATAATACTGGCGTTAAACGACGTCCATGCCCTATCGGAAGATCTTAATGTACTGGGCTGTATTCTGTACGGCACAGCGTGAGGGGAAGGTGTGTGCTGGGCTGTATTCTGTACTTACCTCCACACGGTCGGTGCAGCGTGAGGGGAAGGTGTGTGCTGGGCTGTATTCTGTACTTACCTCCACACGGTCGGCACAGCGTGAGGGGAAGGTGTGTGCTGGGCTGTATTCTGTGCTTACCTCCACACGGTCGGCGCAGCGTGAGGGGAAGGTGTGTGCTGGGCTGTATTCTGTACCTACCTCCACACGGTCGGCGCAGCGTGAGGGGAAGGTGTGTGCTGGGCTGTATTCTGTACCTACCTCCACACGGTCGGCGCAGCGTGAGGGGAAGGTGTGTGCTGGGCTGTATTCTGTACCTACCTCCACACGGTCGGCGCAGCGTGAGGGGAAGGTGTGTGCTGGGCTGTATTCTGTACTTACCTCCACACGGTCGGCGCAGCGTGAGGGGAAGGTGTGTGCTGGGCTGTATTCTGTACCTACCTCCACACGGTCGGCGCAGCGTGAGGGGAAGGTGTGTGCTGGGCTGTATTCTGTACTTACCTCCACACGGTCGGCACAGCGTGAGGGGAAGGTGTGTGCTGGGCTGTATTCTGTACTTACCTCCACACGGTCGGCGCAGCGTGAGGGGAAGGTGTGTGCTGGGCTGTATTCTGTACTTACCTCCACACGGTCGGCACAGCGTGAGGGGAAGGTGTGTGCTGGGCTGTATTCTGTACTTACCTCCACACGGTCGGCGCAGCGTGAGGGGAAGGTGTGTGCTGGGCTGTATTCTGTACTTACCTCCACACGGTCGGCGCAGCGTGAGGGGAAGGTGTGTGCTGGGCTGTATTCTGTACTTACCTCCACACGGTCGGCACAGCGTGAGGGGAAGGTGTGTGCTGGGCTGTATTCTGTACCTACCTCCACACGGTCGGCACAGCGTGAGGGGAAGGTGTGTGCTGGGCTGTATTCTGTACCTACCTCCACACGGTCGGCACAGCGTGAGGGGAAGGTGTGTGGTGGGCTGTATTCTGTACTTACCTCCACACGGTCGGCACAGCGTGAGGGGATGGTGTGTGCTGGGCTGTATTCTGTACTTACCTCCACACGGTCGGCACAGCGTGAGGGGAAGGTGTGTGCTGGGCTGTATTCTGTACTTACCTCCACACGGTCGGCACAGCGTGAGGGGAAGGTGTGTGCTGGGCTGTATTCTGTACTTACCTCCACACGGTCGGCACAGCGTGAGGGGAAGGTGTGTGCTGGGCTGTATTCTGTACCTACCTCCACACGGTCGGCACAGCGTGAGGGGAAGGTGTGTGCTGGGCTGTATTCTGTACTTACCTCCACACGGTCGGCGCAGCGTGAGGGGAAGGTGTGTGCTGGGCTGTATTCTGTACCTACCTCCACACGGTCGGCACAGCGTGAGGGGAAGGTGTGTGGTGGGCTGTATTCTGTACTTACCTCCACACGGTCGGCACAGCGTGAGGGGAAGGTGTGTGCTGGGCTGTATTCTGCACTTACCTCCACACGGTCGGCACAGCGTGAGGGGAAGGTGTGTGCTGGGCTGTATTCTGTACCTACCTCCACACGGTCGGCACAGCGTGAGGGGAAGGTGTGTGCTGGGCTGTATTCTGTACTTACCTCCACACGGTCGGCACAGCGTGAGGGGAAGGTGTGTGCTGGGCTGTATTCTGCACTTACCTCCACACGGTCGGCACAGCGTGAGGGGAAGGTGTGTGCTGGGCTGTATTCTGTACCTACCTCCACACGGTCGGCACAGCGTGAGGGGAAGGTGTGTGCTGGGCTGTATTCTGTACTTACCTCCACACGGTCGGCACAGCGTGAGGGGAAGGTGTGTGCTGGGCTGTATTCTGTACTTACCTCCACACGGTCGGCGCAGCGTGAGGGGAAGGTGTGTGCTGGATTGTATTCTGTACTTACCTCCACACGGTCGGCACAGCGTGAGGGGAAGGTGATGGTGCAGATGGCCAGGTCCACTCTCGCCTCCAGGTGGGGGATGGAGCAAAGCTGCAACATGAACTCGTCCATTGGAAGTAGATCTGACCCTGCGCGGGATTTGTACAGTTTGATGTCGTCTGCTGTCGGCACCAGTCTGTAAACACGAGGACAAGAGGTAAACATTCCTCGAATCACATTAATATCTGACCCTTTACTCTGACACCAAACCTACCCTAGGCCCACTTGCCACCAGGGGGCAAGGGTGTCCCAGTCGTATAAGGCGCCGCGATTCGCTGTGCACAGTTGTGTCCCTTGGGCACGCCAGAAACCTATGATTGTGGGTTCGAATCCCGGTTTAACCCCGATTATGTTTCTAGGTTTGTCAGCACCATACCCGTGCTCGTGGGTTTCACCGAAGTGGTAAACGTCTGAGACCTGCATCACTTCGGGCTTTCCTCCCACATTAAGCTGACACACCGCGATATAACTGGAATACTGTTAAAAGCAGCGTTAAACCCAACTCACTCACTCACTCACTTGCCACCAACATTTCGTTTGGGATGTGACAGCACAATCTCCATATCTGTTATCACCAACTAAATTACAGTCGCCCAAATAGCGTGAAATCAACAACCAATCACAATGACTCTGAACGAGAGTTCGGCACAGATCCGTTTTTCAAAATGCGAGCTAGCTGCTGTTGTCATATCCCTATCGTCTGTATTTCACAACCAGAGGATCGACCCGTTAAGAAAGTATGTCAAAGTATTTAAGGCGAAATTTACAATTATCAAAAATATTCACAACATCTTCTATAATCACCTATATCTAAATACGTATATATGTTTACATTGAAAGGATTCCAGAGCGAAAACAAACACCGACATGGATCTTGGAAAAGAAAGATGGCTATTGCTGATTCCCTTACTTCTTTGACCCGTGAAGATCCGGGTTAGAATAGGTCTTCAGCAACCCATCCTTGCCGTAAGAGGCGACTATGCGTTTCGTAAGAGGCAACTAACGGGATCGGTCGGTCAGACTCGCTGACTTGGTTGATGTATGTCCAAGTTGCGTGCTCATGATGTCAATCACTGGATTGTCTGGTCCAGACTCGATTATTTCCAGACCGCCGTCATATAGCTAGAATATTGCGGCGGTAAACAACAAACAAGCAAACAAACAAACACTCACTTCTTCATTGCGCGCAGTTTCTCTACCCCGAAGACGTCGATCTCGGTGATGGAGGTGATTGCGTCCCGGAGTCTGTCAAGGGCACGGCGGTAGGGTCGCCCTAATACAATCCCCACGATCTGGGCACGTTTGTGATCCAGGAGAACGTCGGTTCGGTTGTCCGTTGTGTCTGTGCTCTCTGGAAACATGTAACAGTTCAGACAGTGTTGACGGGAGCAGCTGTACACTTCAAGCTACACACAACACTTAACAGGTGCTATGTAACACATAAAGTGATATTGACGAGCTACATACAACACTTAACAGGTGCTATGTAACACATAAAGTGATATTGACAAGCCACATACAACACTTAACAGGTGCTATATAACACATAAACTGATATTGCCGAGCTACATACAACACTTAACAGGTGCTATGTAACACATAAAGTGATATTGACGAGCCACATACAACACTTAACAGGTGCTAAATAACACATAAACTGATATTGACGAGCTACATACAACACTTAACAGGTGCTATATGACACATAAACTGATATTGACGAGCTACATACAACACTTAACAGGTGCTATATAACACATAAACTGATATTGACGAGCTACATACAACACTTAACAGGTGCTATATGACACATAAACTGATAATGACGAGCTACATACAACACTTAACAGTTGCTATATGACACATAAACTAATATTGACGAGCTACATACAACACTTAACAGGTGCTATATAACACATAAACTGATATTGACGAGCTACATACAACACTTAACAGTTGCTATATGACACATAAACTGATATTGACGAGCTACATACAACACTTAACAGGTGCTATGTAACACATAAACTGATATTGACGAGCTACATACAACACTTAACAGGTGCTATGTAACACATAAACTGATATTGACGAGCTACATACAACACTTAACAGGTGCTATGTAACACATAAACTGATATTGACGAGCTACATACATACACACTTAATCCGAGCTCACTAGATAAAGCTTAATAAGGTGTACGAAAATATGTCGGATCTGATTTTCGGTTTCTGGGTGATAAAGGGGGATGGGGTGGGGGCAATGGTAAGGTATATGCAGTCTCACTTTCTGCCTTTTTGTTCTCTTTGACGGAAAAATGCGAATCCAGTTTTTCCAGGTTCAGTTTACAGCTCACATCCTCCACACTATGCCACAGTGACGACTTGAGCTGCAAGTGGAAATACAAGTTAAATATATGTGTACTAAAACTTGCTTTGTGCCTAGCTACAATAGACCTCCAGAAATCATGTTTGTTTGTTTGTTTGTTTGTTGTTTAACAGCGCACTCAGCAATATTCCAGCGGTCTGTAAATAATCGAGTCTGGACCAGACAGTCCAGCGATTGACAACATGAAAATCGATCCACGCAATTGGGATCAATGACATGCATCAACCAAGTCAGCGAGCCTGACCACCCGATCCCGTTAGTCGCCTCTTACGACAAGCATAGTCGCCTTTTACGGCAAGCATGGGTTGCTGAAGACCTATTCTACCCCGGATCTTCCCGGAAATCATGAGATACATATCACATCAGCTTATTATTGAAGACGTTTAACCACAGTCTGTTACAACGTACACATGAGACACACACGAACGCACGCACGTACACACGCACGCACACACGCACACTGAAAGTTAATATGGAACACCGCCCTCACCAAATGAAAATTATCCCGTGAACATCCAGGTTAAAATTCAATGCACCCAATGCTAGTCGTAAGAGACGTCTAACGGGATGAGGTGGTCAGACTCGCTGACTTGGTTGTTTCATGTCATCGTATCCCAAATGCGAAGATCGATGCTCATGATGTCAATCACTGGATTGTCTCGCCCAGACTGGATTATTTACAGATCGCAGTCGCATTGCTAAGTGCGGGGTTAAACAACCAACAAACAAACCATATTAGTATTCAATAACCTCACCAGCCCTGGCTTAAATGTGAAAGGGTATTCGCCATACTAACCAAATAGTATTGCAATGATAGCGCAATAGTGAAACAGTTCCCCCTATACTCACCATGGTCGGCGGTACTTTTGACCAGTGTGCCTGCTTTAAGTTCTTCTCGGGTTTGTACAGCAACTTCAGCCCCGATGGCTGAGCTGGACCCTGTGACGGTGGGGGTGGGGGTGGAGGAGGGGGTGGTCCTGACCCCGAGGAAGGGGGCGCGGGGGGCTGGGGACCTGGTGGAGGAGGGCTGGGGACTATCGGGTGAGACTCTTCTTCTTTAGGTGCGCTGCTTTCTATTTCAACCCCCGAGGGTCCCTGCTTGTCCAAGGCCTTGGGGTCTTGTTTAGGCGGACTTGGTGTCCCTTCCTCAGCAAAAGACTCCACCAGATCGGACCTACATTTCAAGAGATCCTTGAGTTCAATCATGACGAACTCTTCATCCTCAGTCGGGGGCCTGGAGGGGGCCCTGGTCTTGGGGGAGAACATGTTCAGGATAAAGGCCCCTGCAACTGCTGGGTCGGGGAAGTCGACAGTATCCTCGCCCTCATTGCCAGAGACTGTGCTGCCTTGTCCCTCACTGGTACCGACCACAGCCGCTCGTATGTTTTTCTCGGTCAACATGTTGGGATCTCTCATTGCAGAAGTAAACGTCTATAAAAGGATGATTAAGCATAAGTTAACGAGGACAGGGAGCTCAAATGGGGACTAAGAACCGAAGAGATGCTGACATGTACCATGCACCAGGGAACCGACAAGCAGGGACACAGTGCTAGCAGACCAAGGGTCATTATTGTGACGAAGCCATGGTATATAAAAGTGGATACGGTTTAATGCCGTTTAGCACTTTTCCAGAAATATCACGGCGGGGCCAAAAATAGCCTCATGTGGGGTATCGAACTGTGGACTTCAGCAAGGCTAGCGAACGCTTTAACCACTTGGCTACGCTTCACCTCCTCAGTGCTGTATCAACAACAACACTAACCTGTATCCAGACATCGGCAGTGTTTCCTTCTTCATCCCTGTTGCAGAGGCGGAAACTGAAAAAATAAAATAATACACGATGGAGATTAACCAGGGTTAGGACACTACATGACGCATCCCTTTTTATACAGTATCTACGTTCGTATGTCATTTAACAATACATTCAGCAATATTCCAGCTAAATGATGTTAATACAAATAATCGATTCTGGACCAGACAAACCAGAGAGTGATATAAAGTCAAGTTACCCGAGCCTGACCACCTGGTCCATGTGGTCGCATTTTAGGAAAACCACGGTTTGCTGGGGACGCATGCTCACCGGAACCCCGACGGAATATTGTATGTAGGATTGTGTTGACCCGGATACACAGTAGGTACTCACCTGTAGCTGTACCCAGATACAGAGACAAAGAAGGACCTATCGTCCAGCTTCTGAACCCAGCAAGTATCCTTCCATAGCTCCACCACATCCATCACATTCTGAAACAGTCAAGCGGACATTATGGGGCCGACCATTTGATATAGCTCGGGGTGGGGGAATTTTTTCGAAAAAAATAAATTGTCAACGAAAATATTTGAAAAAATAATTTTGCCTCATAATGCTGAAAAAGAAGAAGAAACAAAAACTATTTTGGCTCATGGTTTTAATTAAAAAATATCTGGTTTTGCAGCTGTAGAATCTGGTCTCAATACAAAATCCCAGCCCCCAGCCCATTATCTGTCAATCAGAACATACTCAGGGGTGGATTAGCACGGCGTTCTCCGAGACCGATATTCGACAACAGGTCTACGGTTTACGTCATAAAAATGCCAAATGTTTGACAAAATAATGTATTTGCCTACGTATTCCCTGTATTATAATGTATTATGCCCGCCAACAGTACGTAAACTGCCGGGCAAAAGAAAGTATACACTTGAAAATTGGATTTACCCAAAAAAGTACAAACGCTATCAGACGACTAAAAACACTGCAAACTTAAGGCCAAAACACAAATATGATACCCGTGTCAAATACATCACAAACAACTAACCGTTTGTTTAATTTGTAGCAACCATCGAACATGGGCGTATACTTCCTTTTGCTCGGCAGTTTACTTTGAAATCCTAGACAAGTCCTCGTTAGTGAGATCAGTATAAGGAGCACCGTTACACATAACGTTCGTAGCAGTGAAGTGTAAACAGGAAAACAATGCATGTAAATGTGCTACTCGTGCTAGGAAGATAATGTGTTAAGCAGCACCTCGGTGTATGTATTAACTTGAACTGTGTTGTTCAAGGGTAGATAAGTTTCCTGTTATAGTGTATACATTACAGACAGTGCATGCGTTGCCCTGATCGAGTATATATGTACCTCTTCTCCAGGAAGTTGATACGAAAAGCGGCCATGTGACACTTTTACCCGTCGACTGTAAAAATAAAAGATTCAATTTAAACATAAGTCTTGACCATTACAATTTCTTGCTCTATTATGCTTATTTGTCGGGATTCAGGTGTCAGAATAAACATTGTTTTAAAGAAAGTCAACATTACTGTTGTATTAAAGATTACAAGTCATCCAATGAAGGTTCAAAATGTGCATCATTTAATTACAGTCAAACACCGTTGTGTCGAAGTTGAAAGGACCTGCGTAAATACTTTGAGTTATGCGAAGTTCGATACAACCGAAAATGATGACTAAAGAAGGAATACGCTGGAACCAAACTTTTACTTCGAGACAACCGTAAGCTCGACACAACAGTGTTTGACTGTTATATAAGAAATACGACATCTGTCACAATAATGATAAGTGTATGGTAATAATATTTCCTGGTTTAAGATTGTAGTCATGTCAATTACTTATTCACAAACAATCGATTAAGTATTCTCTCAGTATTTCTACACATCCACTCGGCTCTTCTAGGTCCATATTATGTTGGTAGCGGAATATGCCGAATGGCCCCAAGTGCTAACCAAGTCAGTGAATTATCTCCCCTTTATGATATGGTGTGGATGCACAGGTGGCAGTAGAGCTGAACAACCAGGCACTCACCTGTTCCACATCTCGACTCCCATCTCTCCCTTCTTTTCAAGGTCCCCCGTCTTGATAGGATCATCTTTAAATTTACCTGCGAGGGAATGTAAGTTAGCAAATACATTTCAATAATGGCACGAGAAGACAACAATAAACTGAGTTAGTGGTTTGAACGCCGTCTTGACTAGTATTTTTTTAGTTATATCACGGCGTGTCAGCTTGATGTAGGAGGAAATACCGTAGTGATGCACAATTACTTCTTTAAGGGGCATTTATTATAGAAGTTGGTATGATGACCAAGGATATAGTTCTTTATTACAGTGAATACGACGTTTCGGTGTAGATACTAACACCGTTACCAAGCAAATGCTATCCCTTGGTGCAACATTGGATATTTAACACTTTGGGTGAAACCTACGAGCACGGGTAATGTTGGATATGGTGCTGACAAACCTAGAAACAAAATGAAGTCGACTCTGGGATTCCATCCCACGATCATAGGTTTCTGGCACGCCTAAGGGAGGCAACTCTAAACGGCGAATTGCGACGCCTTAGACTACTAGGCCAGCCGTGCCCCCAATACATTGTTTACTCTAAACTTAGAGTGTAGTAATCTACGTTTACCTATATCCTCGTATCAGTTAGCCCTTCAATTCTAAATAATAAGTAAACGTTCCCGTGTTTTATCTTACACCAACACCATCTCTACTTCATACCCCATAACATACCAGGATTGAAGCCACCTTGACATCGAGCCAAAACGAGGCTCAGCAAGTCAAAGATGGCGGCCTTGTCTTTGTAGTTGTCAATGTTGACAACAAGTTCTCCCTCCAAGAAGTCAAGTCTCAGGGTCAAGTCCGACTGCAAATTAAACCACAGATGAAACCTCATGTTAAATGAGAGATCGTCAGTTAATCTCATGGAGTGTATTAATATCCTGATATATACACGTGCCTTCCTTACAAAACGTGATTTTTGGGCTGTGTTTTAAGTGAGATACACCACGCGTAAGAGCACATTATCGGAATATAAATGTAATGAATCACGAAGAAATGGCACCGTCTCGCATTGTTTACGGCTGCATTCAACAGGTTTTCATAAAAGGAATACACTTAATAAATCACCTATTTTAGAATCTGACAAAAGATCGTCCCGTGCAGCTGATTGGAAAATTAACCCTGAACTCTTCGTTGTCTAAAATTAAAATAATGTTATTTATGTATACAAGTGTGTTCTCTGCTACTGATGCACGTGTGCAAGGGCTCCGTCGGGCGTTTGTCTTGTCATGCCTGACATGATGGGAATACGCAAACTAAATTTACTAATGGAGATAGAACAGTATGGATCTGAAAACAAATGTCCTTACTTCCTTGGTACTCTTACATGAAAATAACATTTATCTGTAAATGAGCAGATGGATAATTACCTCTGTTTAAAAAAAACATATAAATTAATTTGTATTTGTTTGTTTTATGTGAAATAAATATATATTGTATTTTTAAGTTAATATTATACAGCACTTCAAATTTTAAATATTATAAACTTGTTAACAAGTGGAGATACGACACTATGGTTTTTAGGCGATGATATAACTGACATTATATTCATATTCTTTTTAAAAATAATAATAAAGGATTATATAATGTCTTTCTAGAATTCTGTAAATTACCTGGAGCGGCACATGAATTACATAATCTGACATGATGGTAACCGATGTGATATTACATAATGATTACAGGTCACCTAATGTGATGTTACGTGATGGTTACAGGTCACCTGATGTGATGCTACATGATGGTTACAGGTCATCTGAGGTGATGCTACATAATGATTACAGGTCATCTGATGTGATGTTACGTGATGATTACAGGTCACCTGATGTGATGTTACATGGTGGTTACAGGTCACCTGATGTGATGCTACATAATGATTACAGGTCACCTAATGTGATGTTACGTGATGGTTACAGGTCATCTGATGTGATGTTTCATATGGTTACAGGTCATCTGATGTGATGCTACATGATGGTTACACGTCACGTGATGTGATGCTACATAATGATTACAGGTCACCTGATGTGATGTTACGTGATGGTTACAGGTCATCTGATGTGATGTTTCATATGGTTACAGGTCACCGGATGTGATGTTACATAATGATTACAGGTCACCGGATGTGATGTTACATAATGATTACAGGTCACCTAATGTGATGTTACGTGATGGTTACAAGTCATCTGATGTGATGTTACATAATGATTACAGGTCACCTAATGTGATGTTACGTGATGGTTACAGGTCATCTGATGTGATGCTACATGATGGTTACACGTCACGTGATGTGATGCTACATAATGATTACAGGTCACCTGATGTGATGTTACATGATGGTTACAGGTCATCTGATGTGATGCTACATTATGGTTACACGTCACGTGATGTGATGCTACATAATGATTACAGGTCACCTGATGTGATGTTACATAATAATTACAGGTCACCTAATGTGATGTTACGTGATGGTTACACGTCACGTGATGTGATGTTACATAATGATTACAGGTCACCTGATGTGATGTTACGTGATGGTTACAGGTCACTGGATGTGATGTTACATAATGATTACAGGTCACCTGATGTGATGTTACATGATGATTACAGGTCACCTGATGTGATGTTACATGATGATTACAGGTCACCTGATGTGATGTTACATGATGATTACAGGTCACCTAATGTGATGTTACGTGATGGTTACACGTCACGTGATGTGATGTTACATAATGATTACAGGTCACCTGATGTGATGTTACGTGATGGTTACAGGTAACTGGATGTGATGTTACATAATGATTACAGGTCACCTGATGTGATGCTACATGATGATTACAGGTCACCTGATGTGATGTTACATGATGATTACAGGTCACCTGATGTGATGTTACATGATGATTACAGGTCACCTGATGTGATGTTACATGATGATTACAGGTCACCTGATGTGATGTTACATGATGGTTACAGGTCACCTGATGTGATGTTACATAATGATTACAGGTCACCTGATGTGATGTTACATTATGATTACAGGTCACCGGATGTGATGTTACATAATGATTACAGGTCACCTGATGTGATGTTACATTATGATTACAGGTCACCTGATGTGATGCTACATGATGATTACAGGTCATCTGATGTTATGTTACGTGATGATTACAGGTCATCTGATGTGATGTTATGTAATGGTTACAGGTCACCTGATGTGATGTTACATGATGATTACAGATCATCTGATGTGATGTTACATAATGGTTACAGGTCATCTGATGTGATTTTACATGATGATTACAGGTCACCTAATGTGATTTTACATAATGATTACAGGTCACCTAATGTGATGTTACATAATGATTACAGGTCACCTAATGTGATTTTACATGATGATTACAGGTCACCTGATGTGATGTTACATAATGATTACAGGTCACCTACTGTGATGTTACATAATGATTACAGGTCACCTGGTGTGATATTACATGATGGTTACAGGTCACATGATGTGATGCTACATGATGGTTACTCGTCACGTGAGGAGATGTTACATAGTGGCTACACGGCACATGAGGAGATGTTACGTAGTGGCTACACGACACATGAGGAGATGTTACGTAGTGGCTACACGACACATGAGGAGATGTTACGTAGTGGCTACACGTCACGTGAGGAGATGTTACGTAGTGGCTACACGTCACATGAGGAGATGTTACGTAGTGGCTACACGACACATGAGGAGATGTTACGTAGTGGCTACACGTCACGTGAGGAGATGTTACGTAGTGGCTACACGTCACATGAGGAGATGTTACGTAGTGGCTACACATCACATGAGGAGATGTTACGTAATGGCTACACGTCACATGAGGAGATGTTACGTAATGGCTACACGTCACAAGAGGAGATGTTACGTAATGACTACACGTCACGTGAGGAGATGTTACGTAGTGGCTACACGTCACAAGAGGAGATGTTACGTAATGGCTACACGTCACGTGAGGAGATGTTACGTAATGACTACACGTCACGTGAGGAGATGTTACGTAGTGGCTACACGTCACGTGAGGAGATGTTACGTAATGGCTACACGTCACAAGAGGAGATGTTACGTAATGGCTACACGTCACGTGAGGAGATGTTACGTAATGGCTACACGTCACATGAGGAGATGTTACGTAGTGGCTACAAGTCACATGAGGAGATGTTACGTAGTGGCTACACGTCACATGAGGAGATGTTACGTAATGGCTACACGTCACATGAGGAGATGTTACGTAATGACTACACGTCACATGAGGAGATGTTACGTAGTGGCTACACGTTACCGATGTGAATCTGTGGAGCAGGAGCAGGCTGTGGTGTCGCTTGGTAACGCCGTTCTGGTGCAGGTACAACCGGAACTCACTCAGCTTAATCTGCAAGACGAATATAGACTTCCATAACACTGGCGGCCCAGTTGGTGTTTGTTGTTTGATGCCGCACTCAGCAATATTCCATCTATATGCGGTCTGTACATAACCGAGTCTTGACAATCCAATGATTGACATCATCAGCATCGATCAACGCAAGTGGGATACGATGACATGCATAAACCAAGTCGGCGAACCTGACCACCCGATCCCCTTTGTCGCCTCTTACGACAAGCATGTCTTGCTGAAGACCAATTCTAACCCGGATCTTAATGGGTCGGGATAGGAAGTGAGTTCTTTAGATTGTCTGGATCATACTCCCTTGCTCATATCAAACATATAGAAACACAAGGAAGAGAATTTATGGATGTCAACTTCTTTATTATGAGGAACACAACGTTTCGGAGTATATGCTTACTCCTTGTTATTCACCTGATGAAGGAGTAAGCATATACTCCGAAACGTTGTGTTCCTCATAATAAAGAAGTTGACATCCATAAATTCTCTTCCTTATGTGTATCACTTCTAAATGCCTCTTAAAGACCTGATATAGAAACATTACTAAACCTCGAACTCTGTTTTCTCGATAAAACGATGTCTTGTTTGGCATAATTTGTATCCGTTTGTCTCGAACAACGGATAATTCGACATACAGTGGGTGGTCCAGGAAGAATCAAGTTAAGGACTACCCGCAATGTACACGTTACATAATGTGAGTCCCTGTCATTCCTATATATCGATGTGTACAAAGTATACTGACCTGCAATATGGCGGTTTTCCAGTCGGGTGTGTAAACACTGTATGCGTAGACGTCTTTGTCCATCGTTGTTGCTGTTGTCGTCATGACGTGTAGTGACAGTTAAATCTGTTAAAGTAACCTCAAATTATTAACGATTGAGTGTGTTTGGTTTAACGCCGCTTTGACCAGTATTTCAGTCATATCACGGTATGTCAGCTAGGTGTGGAAATGAGCAGCGTGATGCAGGGTGATGCAGCGTGATGCAAGGTGACGTAGCGTGATGCAGGGTGATGCAGCGTGATGCAAGGTGACGTAGCGTGATGCAGGGTGATGCAGCGTGATGCAAGGTGACGTAGCGTGATGCAGGGTGATGCAGCGTGATGCAAGGTGACGTAGCGTGATGCAGGGTGATGCAGCGTGATGCAAGGTGACGTAGCGTGATGCAGGGTGATGCAGCGTGATGCAAGGTGACGTAGCGTGATGCAGGGTGATGCAGCGTGATGCAGCGTGATGCAGGGGGATGCAGCGTGATCCAGGATGATGCAGCGTGATGCAGGGGGATGCAGCGTGATGCAGGGTGACGCAGCGTGATGCAGGATGATGACGTTTACCACTTTGGTGAACCCCATGAACACGGGAATGGTGCTGACAAATCCAGGCGAATCTAGGATTCGAACAACGGATTCTGACTCGACAAAGGGACGTAACTCTGCACATTGAATTGAGCCGCCAGCAATAATACACATGGATACGATGACTGATCTGTGAATATAATTCTATTTAATTCTCTCATGACGTGTTTTTCTTAAATATAATGCCAAACAGAAATATGAACTATAAATATGCAATTCATCTGCTATCGTTTAAGGGGGCCACGTTATTGCTTCCGCTTTTCCTGCTCTAAAATATGATGGAACATATCTTAGGCGACGATCTGAACACAAACCCGCAACTCAAATGTTGGTGAGTGTGTTTCGGAGCTTTATTCAGTTTGATCGTCATGCTGTATATTAAATAATACAATCATTGGGATGTCATCATAACCGCATGTCACTATTCTAGATCCGCGTTGCAGCTCACTCGGAACATGGGTCGTATTTCCACATGTTTACTTTATATTCAACTAGTTCACATAAATATGTGTTGATGCTCAGAATGATTCATGATTCAAACACTAGGCGGCAGCTGGCGACTGCAGCGGATAACTGTGTATAATAACCTCACTGTGCAGTGTATTTGATGAAAAACTAAAGAGCGTGTCTCTGAAATTCATACTCTTGACCTGTACCCTAACACTACGTGGAAGCTCCAAGCCACTAGAGTCACTGTCCAAAGTCTCGTAAAACATGCAGTAACCTTTCCGCGGATTATCAAAACAAAAATATGACGGTTTTTTGGGTTTTGTTTTGTTTTAAATTGAGAAGTTTTCATGCATATTTCCGACAGTAGAGAGACAGGGTGAGAGAAACGCATCCCGTATATGGCGGAGTAGCAATTATCAGCCTCAGGATCATCTACCTCGTGAGTATTTCTGATCGGTGTAGCCAGAAATGGGCTTCACATATAGTACCCATGTGGGAATCGAACCCTGATCTTCGGCGTGACGAGCGAACGCTTTAACCACTAGGCTACTCCACCGTCCCCGTTTGTCGTAAGAGCCGTCTAAATGAGGATCAGGTGGTCAAAATGTGTGTCATGGCTGGTTGTGTGTGATCCTACCCACAACGTGGATCAATGCTCATCTTATCAACCACCGGTTGCCCTGGTCCCGATTCGATTATTTACAGGCATATTACATGACAAAGTTGGACACTGCCGAATCCGGCGTAAAACAGCATCGTTGTATAAGTAACTTACAGTGTTTACATGTCAAGTTAACCTTAAGTGGTGTCGTGTTGGGTGAGTCAGCACGCATTGATCACAAGGGCTGGATTAATTTGGTTGCCGTGAAGTAGTTTAAATCAAGTCTAGCCTTGTCGTCTTGCTCTGTTATTTTAAAGGCGAGAGATTCAGGACAATAGACTTACAAAGGTCTCCTTTTATTATTTGTTTTAACACCTGTGGTGTTAATTAACCTGCTGGCTGCACATAGACTTCCCTGGTCAGGTACATTTCATGTTTACGAATCAATAAATATATATATATATATGTAACATTCTGTCGGCCCATTGCTACAATCAACTGGTCTCCTGCCATTGTTGGAATAACGATGTTTCCAGGTAGAACATGTGTTGCGTTTATACTCAAAGCGATAAGCATTTTTTCCTCCTTGTTCATTCCTTGTTGAATTTATAATTGTGATCAATGCAGCAAAATAAAAGAAAGTATCGGGACACCATTTATGGGTAGTGGTCACGATCAAGATATCACAAATATGACTGACATGTTATTTGTAATGCTATGTTTCGTCCTCTTTGGCAAAGATACAAGAACTGTTATAAATACATTCAAATTGTTCAAACACTATCAGGAACATCGGCTTCGTGATGATAACATTTGGGACGGTCCATATATTTACAAATATATATTCCACAGTACCAGTGATTCTGTATTCAGGACGATTTCATTGGGACCATCCATTATAAATCAGTATAAAGTGAATGATCCCTGATGCGACCAACACTACTTTATACGCTATTGGGTATATTTCATGTTAATGAGAGTGAGCTTAACACATTGTACCCAAGTGGGATTCGAACCCGGGCCTTTGGCGTGACGAACGAATTCATAATAACCACTACTTACCCAACAGCCCCTAAATTACTGGAATATATGGTACTTACCTGAAGGGGTATGTGGACTGACTTGTGCGTGTACAACTATTCTATAATGAAAATTCACATGACAGATCTCATCACGTGACGTGAAGTGCCCTTTCCGACCTGCAAATAGAACACACAGGACCGAGTTCCGAGTATTTCAGTTTCCGAGGGAATCCCAACTCCGTCAACAGGAAATCCCACAGTGGGGCTGCGACAGACTATCACAACACATACTGGTGTATTAGTCTGTCTTTGTTAATAAACATTCTTGGTTATATAAACTACGTTTTACATAACGCTGAGCACTATATAATCACTGAATGTATGTATTACTGTGTGTTCATGCGTTCAATGGTCGATAGAAGGGCCTTGGTTGTATTGTGTACCTTGTCGTATTTTATAAACAAGGATACGGTTCGCTTCGTACTTGTCAATATAACCGGCTGTTGAAGATAATTGTTGTGTAGATTCATCATCAAATGGAAAATGATTACACTTACGTGTCCTGGAGCTAGGACTCGGTGACCTGTCAAATATCCTCACATGACGGGTGGAGTCACGAGGGGTGCAGACGGTCACCCGTGACGTAGCTATGTCTACCCGGTAGAGCTATTTATATACATTAATGGTGACATACTTACACAGGAAGTGATTTCTCAACAGATCACTGTCGGATGTTATAGCTTCATTCAAACGTAAATAACATGGTAAACGCGTAATTCGGGAAAACCATTGCTTGAAGGTCACTGATTTTATGGATTGGTAGCTCCGTATATTCTTGCTTTTCTTCTAATATAGTGTCGCGAAAGTATTGTTCATATATATTTAAGAATCAAATTCAACAAATTGTGAATGCGCGTTGATACAGAAGTACTGGACTGGTTGGCTCGGAGTCAGTATACTGTGTCTGAGTGGGGTATTCATGTTAAACTGCGGCATGGTATCTCAGCGGGCTAGCACTATAAATCGCATCAGTCCGGACTAATACAAGCAGACAGACAGACAGACAGACAGACACGCGCACACACACACACACACACACACACACACGTGCATGCACGTCGCTTTATACGTGCAATGATCGTAGACGTGACGTTAAACCCCATTTCACCTCACCTCCTCAGAAACGGTTTCTAAGTTTTCCACATGCCATTAATAGCCGTTACCTGAAAAACAGGGGTTGAAGACGCTTGCCCACCACACCATGACTTGAATTAAATGTTTTCGTAAGTAAATGATAGTTTTAGTTAATGAAAAATGTAAGTGTTTGTTGAAATGTGGGCCGATGGATTTAACAGATGAGGTTGCCGTAAACCAATTTCTATTTTCGAATTTTTCGATGTTGATGTCCAGTTTTCAAAGCATATAGTTAAGAACCTTGAATACGTTGACGTTTGTGTTAACTGAGAGGTAAAGCGAGTGAGTTGGGTTTTACTTTGAGTAATAGTCCAGTTATATGTAGGACGCAGTTCCTAGGCGGTTCTCACCTTGGTGAAACCAGCCAGTACGGTATGGTGTGGTACTGACAAATCAAGGAGCAAAGGACACTAGGAATCGAAGCAACAAACATTGAAGAGCATGCAACTCTACACAGCGAACTGTCGCTCCTCCAGGACAGGGCCATCCCGTCTCCTGGATCTGGAAATACTTAACGCTGCTTTTGTATTCATACAACCATTTTAAGATTTTTGTACATCGAGATCTCTTCTGTCGCTAAAATCGTCCAGCCCTACTGATGGGTATTTGCTCAAACATTAAGAATATGTTTTTCTATTTATGCAAATTGCGTTTTCTGCTTGACCACTTCTGAAAATTATTTACACACATTCATATTTCGAGCTTCACTGCATAACTGCATACTACCATGACAACAGAAGACATATCAACACTTTCATTCATTTATTTACATCACAAATCAGGTCAGTATTGGTCCCATTCAGCATTTTAATTTTATTGCAAAAAATATTTCTATATTATGTAGGAATAACATTATCACAAATTAGTTTTGACACATTTGGCTATCAAAACCTGATCAAGGTAACGCCATAGTTGACAGGATACTTACAAAACACATATTATAAAATATGCTGATGCATAGCTTGTAACACTGTTGTCAAAAGAAGCTTTCGTGGATTGAGAGTAAGTGAAAATGTTCTTTTTCACTGATAATGTCACAAAACGGTTTTATTGTCTTTCATAGAGTTAACATTGATAACGTTTGACATTTGCATGATTAACTTTCTTGGTTCCTTCAGTAAAAAAAGTGACTTTAGAAAATCAGAATGCCAAGGTCCAATAACAACGTGAGAAATAACTTTATTGGTAGAATTTTGGTACAATGTCAGAAACATAGCACCACAAGAGATCATCCAGAATCAGGGCGACCCAAATCAGCACAGCGCCTCAGGATCACCACATAGGCGCCCTTTAACTTTAAGTGACACTCACGGATACCTTCCGCAACTGCAACTCAAATTCCTGGTTGCCAATCTGCACGCACTTTCCAGAACCGTTTACGAGCGGCTGGAATCTGGGCAAGAAAGCCCTACGTTAGCGTTACTTTACCTGAACAAAATCAGTTCCAGCAGCTTCCCCAACGTTGACGAAGCGTTTTGTGTAGTGTTGCCTTTTTCAATGGAGAGATCTGCGGATCAGAGTGTATCTGCGACGGAATGAGGGTAATACCAGATAGGTCGACAGATTCGGTGGAGGAAGTGTCATGATATAGGCACAGAGGAGATCATGTTTAAATCCGGGGCAACTTAACAGGTTATAGTGAGGGGATCAATCATCCTCTTGTGGTCCCGCTCTGCAAGTGCCAGGCGTATTTTCAGAAAAATTACTGATTTTCAGAGAGCTCAGAGCATATAGGTACTGCCGTGGTCGTCAAGGTCATGGAATTTCAACTGAATTAAACATGAGCTCTGTGGGATGAGCTAGACAGGCGTTTATGTCAACGTCAACCAGGGGAATATAATCTCCAGCAACTAAGCCAAGCTCTTTTTCCACGAGATGTCATCAGCAGCCTTCTTGGGTCCATGGACAGGTGTGGTGCAGTCATTCAGGCCAATGGTGGACAAACATGATGCTAGGTTTTACCACTGCAGAGCAGCTGGCACATGCAAACACTTCTCCGTTCCTGTCTTACATTGTAATCTTCCACACACACATCCCATGTATTGCTTTTAAAGCCTTGTAGTCACTATATGGCTAAAATACTGCCAATGTGAGTTAATGATTGTAACTCACTCACTTTAAAGCCTTGTCACAGAATAAATCTCTAGAAGTGAGGTGAGGTGAAATGGGGTTTAACGTCGCGTCCAAGGTTATTGCACTTATATAGCGACGTGCATGTACATGTGTGTGTTTAAGTGGCTGCTTGTACTAATCCGGACTGATGCCAATTTATAGTGCTAGCTCATTGAGATACCATGCCGCACTTCAACATGAAGACCCCACTCAGACACAGTATACTGACTCCGAGCTGACCAGTCCTTGTTTTAGCCCCTTAATGCTGAGCGCCAGACAGGGTAACAACAAGTACCATCTTTTAACGTCTTTTGGTATGACGCGGCCGGGGATCCAACCCTGGACCTTGCGCTCTCCGGGCGGACGCTCTACCACTAGACCACGGAGGCAGTCTAAATCTCTAGAAAACCACAGTGTGTTTCTTTTTGGGGGATTATGTCAGTATCAAGAACCGGAATACTAGTATTTACAGAATTCACAATGTTTCTAATTTTGCTGCCTGATTTATCCACACATTTTCATTTCTCATTTTCTATTCCTGTCTGTATTCTGCACAGGAGAATAGAGGGCCCCTGATCAGGGACTACCACAGACATTTCCATACATATTTGTCATGTATCTTCAGAGTCCTTCTCATGACCTCATCGTCACATTGTTCACAACTGTGGGAGATCTTCATCTACCCTTTCTGTATTTACATTAAGATACATATATACAGGAGGCCTTTGTACACAGAACACGGCAGACACTCAATATGCTATGCTGAACAACATTTAAGCATCAAACTTGACTTAGCCGTGAGTACTGACTGATGTTAAAGTATGAAGAAGTCTGTCTGTCACGTTCACTATGAGATGAAGCTGGTCCAAGAGACTCCTAGCCAGTAGCCAGACCAGCAATGACATCTGTGTGTGAGATTGTGTGTCGGTGTTGTTATGGAAGTCCCAGACCTTGAACTAATTGCTCATCAGAGTTGAACCTTGGTACTGATGCTGTTACATCATTGGTCAGGAAACATCACAGTTGTTCCTCTATTTACACTGACCTACAAAAGAAAAGAAATTCCAATGGGGATATATTTGGAGTGAGTTCTGCCAAGGTGTCAGCTTACTGTGTGCAGATAGGTGAGGTGAGGTGAGGTGAGGTGAAATTGGGTTCAACGTCGCGTCCAAGATTTTTGCACTTATATAGCGATGTGCATGTACGTGTGTGTTTGTGTGGCTACTTGTACTAGTCCGGAGTAATGCGATTTATAGTGCTAGCTCACGGAGATACCATGCCACAGTTCAACATGAATACCCCACTCAGACACAGTATACTGACTCCGAGCCGACCAGTCCTTGTTTTAGCCCCTTAATGCTGAGCGCCAGACAGGGTAACAACAAGTACCATCTTTTAACGTCTTTTGGTATGACGCGGCTGGGGATCAAAACCCAGACCTTCCACTCTCCGGGCACGCTCTACCACAAGACCACAGAGGCAGTCTGTGTGCAGATAGCCGCAAGTTATGCTGATGAGAACCCGAATGTTTGTAGGGGCAAATGTAGGACTTGAACAGACAGCCATAATCAGCAAAGCAAGGGATGCACAGCCTTTCACTGCTCAGTCAGATTATTGGCTAATAATTTACATTATTACCCATAGGGTTAGAAATAACCGAGTTCATTAAAGTTGTATGAGCACCAGAGCAAAGATCACTTCACGCATACCAGTGTATTGTTTACGTCATCCTGACAGCATTGTTGATGTCGATCGAATGTTATTGTGACGTAAGGTCGGAATGACTTTACACTAGAAACGACGCCATAGTTGAAGATTGTTGACATCATTCGATATCTGTGGGTTTCTAAGGCGGTCATGATCAGTTCATTGTTATAAAGGGGAGCTCAAAAGGATTAAGAAATAAATCTTTAATAAACAAATTATTACACTTGCTTGTGTGTCATACAGATTTTACGAAACTTGTGTGAGAATTCATATATTACCTGTGCTCTTGCTCAGGAAATACAATCTTTCTGTCACTCAATTTGAAAACTCAGTATGATACGCCTGCTTATATGATAATCTCCATGTATGCAACAGGAGGATCTGGGCACTTACTGAGGAACTCTGAGACAGGGTCTTGACCGTCGTCTGACCGGAGGATGCCGGTGATGGTCTTGTTCTCGATGAGTGGGAGGAACAGTTGGACAAACTCGGGCGTGTAGGGCGGGGCAATCACGTCCAGCACCTGCAGGTCAGGCAATAAGAAATAGAAATGCAGTTACAACATGTATCTTGATGTACAATATTCATATTGCAAAGTATTACGAAGATGTTGTTTGCCTCTCAAATATTGACGCTGCAGCCAAGAATCTGCTCCCAGACAGGCCCCCTTGTCATTTTGATACTAAAAAGAATTTGATGTGTGATAGACCACTGTGGCAAAGTGTCTGACTAGTGTTCATGCATGACAGACCTTTGTGACAAAGTCTCTGACGAGTGAGATGTTCTACTGACCTCTGTGACAAAGTGTCTGATGAGTGAGATGCTTTACTGACCTCTGTGACAAAGTGTCTGATGAGAGATGTTCTACAGACCTCTGTGACAAAGTGTCTGATGAGTGAGATGTTTTACTGACCTCTGTGACAAAGTGTCTGATGAGTGAGATGTTTTACTGACCTCTGTGACAAAGTGTCTGATGAGTGAGATGTTTTACTGACCTCTGTGACAAAGTGTCTGATGAGTGAGATGTTTGACTGACCTCTGTGACAAAGTGTCTGATGAGTGAGATGTTTGACTGACCTCTGTGACAAAGTGTCTGATGAGTGAGATGCTTTACTGACCTCTGTGACAAAGTGTCTGATGAGTGAGATGCTTTACTGACCTCTGTGACAAAGTGTCTGATGAGTGAGATGTTCTACTGACCTCTGTGACAAAGTGTCTGATGAGTGAGATGTTTTACTGACCTCTGTGACAAAGTGTCTGATGAGTGAGATGTTTTACTGACCTCTGTGACAAAGTGTCGGATGAGTGAGATGTTTGACTGACCTCTGTGACAAAGTGTCTTATGAGTGAGATGCTTTACTGACCTCTGTGACAAAGTGTCTTATGAGTGAGATGCTTTACTGACCTCTGTGACAAAGTGTCTGATGAGTGAGATGTCTGTGTCTCCCTTCTCCAGACACTTTCTGATGTAGACGACTACGGGGAGGACAAAGCCCCGACTCAGCAGGTGCACCATCCGGTCCAGAACAGTCTTCTTCAACTCCAGCTGCAGCATACAGACACATGGTTACACACAGCTGCAGCATACAGACACATGGTTACACACAGCTGCAGCATATAGACACACATGGTTACACACAGCTGCAGCATACAGACACATGGTTACACACAGCTGCAGCATATAGACACATGGTTACACACAGCTGCAGCATATAGACACACATGGTTACACACAGCTGCAGCATACAGACACATGGTTACACACAGCTGCAGCATACAGACACATGGTTACACACAGCTGCAGCATATAGACACACATGGTTACACACAGCTGCAGCATATAGACACACATGGTTACACACAGCTGCAGCATATAGACACATGGTTACACACAGCAGCCACATACAGACACATGGTTACACACGGCTGCAGCATACAGACACACATGGTTACACACAGCAGCCACATACAGACACATATGGTTACACACGGCTGCAGCATACAGACACATGGTTACACACAGCTGCAGCATACAGACACATGGTTACAAACAGCTGCAGCATACAGACACATGGTTATACACAGCAGCCACATACAGACACATATGGTTACACACGGCTGCAGCATACAGACACATGGTTACACACAGCTGCAGCATATAGACACACATGGTTACACACAGCTGCAGCATACAGACACATATGGTTACAAACGGCTGCAGCATACAGACACATGGTTACACACAGCTGCAGCATATAGACACACATGGTTACACACAGCTGCAGCATATAGACACACATGGTTACACACAGCTGCAGCATACAGACACATGGTTACACACAGCTGCAGCATATAGACACACATGGTTACACACAGCTGCAGCATATAGACACACATGGTTACACACAGCTGCAGCATATAGACACACATGGTTACACACAGCTGCAGCATATAGACACATGGTTACACACAGCAGCCACATACAGACACATATGGTTACACACGGCTGCAGCATACAGACACACATGGTTACACACAGCAGCCACATACAGACACATATGGTTACACACGGCTACAGCATACAGACACATGGTTACACACAGCTGCAGCATACAGACACATGGTTACAAACAGCTGCAGCATACAGACACATGGTTATACACAGCAGCCACATACAGACACATATGGTTACACACGGCTGCAGCATACAGACACATGGTTACACACAGCTGCAGCATATAGACACACATGGTTACACACAGCTGCAGCATACAGACACATATGGTTACAAACGGCTGCAGCATACAGACACATGGTTACACACAGCTGCAGCATATAGACACACATGGTTACACACAGCTGCAGCAAACAGACACACATGGTTACACACAGCTGCAGCATACAGACACATGGTTACACACAGCTGCAGCATATAGACACACATGGTTACACACAGCTGCAGCAAACAGACACACATGGTTACACACAGTTGTAAGATGTAGAGACAACAAAAACAAATAGAAAAACATTATCAGAATGAAAGTGAATCCATTTTAGTCTGTTAACTACTGCTAGGAGCATCTACATATTTGAACATTTGATGATGACTAAATCTTAAATGGGTTAATTTGGACGATTTCCCTGGAACTTTGTGCCTGATTAACAGTACTCTGGAATACAAAGCGATTTGACAAATTGAGGAATAATATTTTTTCATGAAACAGGATTTTTCTTTGTAAATTCTTTCAATATCTAGTTTGAAAAAGCATTCACAAAATCCTTACCCGAACCAACACATCTAATTCCTCGAATGAAGATTCAAACACTCGAACAAGAAGATCTAAAGCTTTTTGGTGCAACAGGACATGGTTGGTGACAATCTGAAAAAGTAACAGTAGCAAAACATCAAAGTAAAACACAATAAAAGGTCATTTGGTTACACAGAATTCACATTAGTACTATTTTATCACAATCAACCAGTTACATGACGAAGTAGTGATGTTTCACCTCGTCCACCATGACCAGGTGTAGAGGGGTATGGTCTGTGTTGAGCTTGAAGTAGCTGGCGTCAGACACGGTGTAGTCCACCCACTTCAACACGCCCATAGACACTACAGGGAATCTGCAACATTCAACACCACAAACTTAAACAGGAAAAACCTAAAACAGGCAAGGAAACATATGTAAGAAAAATAGATATAATTGGAAACATTGTTCCATTTGTTTTTAATGTTTCCAGATTTGTCGTTGTACATTTTGAAAACATCAGGGATGAGGAAAAATTAAATTTCAGATTTTCTATAGTATTTAAATTGAGATTGAAAACGGCCTGGTTGTTCCAACGTCCGGTCCACCCACCTGAGACAGGTGAAGAGGGTTGATATGTCGGCTATCAGTTCCGAGGCTCCCTTGTTCTCAGCACACAGGGCCTGGGTCTTCTCAAGAGCCTGTACAGTCGGCTTCAGCTCGTCCCTGTTGATTGTCTTCCTACCTCCCTGATGAAGAATGGGAAGACCTGGTGTAATAACATGGTACATACCATCGTCGATACTTCACAGGCTGTATACACTAGGCTCCTCCATCACCCAGGAGGACCTATGGCCAATCTGTGATGTCGCTATTTTTAACGAATCAAGACATTGTCCATCTTCCTAAGGCAAGGGAGTTAACTGACTGTAAAAGTCCAGTTTCCACCCTTGCCGAACTAAGCTGGAATTTCTGAGTTTGATCATAGCACCACCAGTGGCTATTACGAGTTATGTCCCTTCTTTGGCACGCCTATTGACCAATCAGATTCCACCTCTCATATCACTTGCATTTGCTTCAAACAAAATGGCGGCGCCTTGTCAAGACAATCTGATTGATAATCAAAATCGTTTTTGTAATATAAAGGGTTGTACTTCGCGAAGTGAATCAAGTCATGTGAGCACCTCGATTGAAAAAAAGAAAACATTTGGAAAATATCTGTTGACGCCGATTTGGCAGTACACATGCTTTGCAAATCCTGCAATCGACCTAAATCTGCACGGCAGTTTATGAAACTGGATGTCGATTTCATTGCGCAATTTTGTTTGGACTATGCATAGACTCCTTGGTCCAGCTAACATATAACTCCATAATTGCAGCTTAGTTTGGCAAGGATGGAAACTGGACTTTTATTGTCAGTTAACTCCCTTGCCTCAGGAAGATGGACATGGCCTGGTTTATGTAACCAGCAAGTGATCAGACCAATGAAATTACACCACACAAATACATCGCACAATGTTTCTCGTGCAGCCTGCCAGAGCCTTGCAGCCCTCTGCTCTACACATTGCTGACAATATGTTGCCTTATCTGTTAGGGCAGGGACGAGTCCAAATTTACAACCCGGGGACCCATCCCCCTATTACCCGGCCCTACCCAGGGACCCAATGTAGGTCTCAAGAGATGGGTACAAATGTCCAATTAGGATTGTTTTTACCATAGCCCTAGCAAAACGTATTTAGATACATGTATTAAACAATCTGGTCATGCATACACTGCATTTGACATAAGTTATATCTTTATTCAACCATATGAAAAATCAGAAGGAATGGGTGCATAGTCAAAAAGAAATGCAAACATTAGTGACTTGTAGTGCAACCATAGAGTTCTAGGCAATTTTTGTCATTAAACAATATATCACATGACCTTACCACGGGTCCGGGTAGTCCTGTGGGTACCAGGTTCCTACTCAGTACCCACCCGACCCGGGTACCCAGGTACCTGGGTTACCCGTCCCAGCCCTATTCCATGTAGTTAGAGACAAAGTATTTGTCCCTGAAAGCGTTACCTTCTTGTGAGTATCGATGACGCTAGCAGCGTAGGCCAGGAGGTGGATGTACTTGTGTTTGTGGTCAGGGTTCACCCTTGTACCAGGCTTAAACAATGTGTCAATAAGCAGATCTGAAATTATCATTAAGTAAGTGTCACTCATATGACAATGAAAGTAAATCTTTGCACAAGGATTGTCTATGTTATGAGTGGCCTGTAAATCTAGAAATTGAAACAGATTCCATGGGCTTACAGACTACTTCCGTAGGTTTGTTGCATTTGCCCTGATCGATGTCACTGATTTCTTATCATCGTCTACAGTTTTATTAATGATTACATAAGCAGTCTGTGCAGATATTATTGTTGACCTATTACTTTATGGGAATTGACTTCAACATCTTTTAAGTTTATAGAGGTATAAAGGTCAAACTGGTGTGCACACTCTGCCTAAATCTGCAACACTATCGGATTTACTTTGGGTGCACAAGTTTGTTTATGATTATACTACTCTTAACGCAGAGAATACTGAAGTCAATTCTAAAATTAAGTCTTTGGAGAAGGATAACATATCACTGATGTCACAAAGCCCCAACACGATCCCCGCACAAACATGAGGTGTGATGAATCAATTCTAAACTAGAATCCCATGGTAGGTAAAGAAGATGTTTTGTGCTGTCTAGAAACACAAGTCTGACATTGAAGCCAGTTTATCCTGCTACCTCCACAGAGGACTACTTGCTCACCTAGGAAAGCAGGGACTCGGATGAGTTCAACTGGAGGAGAGTCATGTTCAGAATACATCCTGAACAACTGAAAGGAATACAAAGACAGATGCACATTATGGTGTGTTTTCAGATTTGGAGTTGTTATTGAATATTTGATACTGAATATTAACAAAACGAACAAAGATACAAAATATCGGATCACACCATGATATACTATTTGGTCAACACACTTTTCAGATATATCGTGGCAGCTTGTTAATGATGGAGTCTGACTGGTTGATTGGCATCATAGAAGTTAGTGAGTAAGAAAATAGGGGTGTTATGATAAATCGAAATATCGATATATTGCTATTGGTAAGCACTTAAAGTCAATAAATTGATTGTTAAATCAGTGTCCGAGCAATAGTATTAATTTCAGTTAGGAATATCGATAGTTTCGATTGTATTTACAATATCAATAAAATACATGTAATGCTGTTCAAATTTGTTTTTCTTTTGATCATGAGTGGTAGTAATTTACACATGGTAATGTGGAAGTTTCTTTTTCTTAAATTATTAGGGTAAAGAAAAAACAAATCAGTCATATCTCAAACTTTACTTCTTATTAGTTGTTATGGTTATCACATTCAAAGGAAACTTCAGTTCCAAGGTATAATTCAACTCTAAAATCCATCTAATATGATACACTGAAAACTATTGATATTTATCGCAATAGTTGCTTGCAATATCAATAGTTATCGCAATAGTTTCTTTCAGTATCAATAGTTATTGCAATAGTGATTTCCAGACCAATAGTCACCCCTATAAGAAAACATACAACTTTATGGATAACAACCATGGAAACCATCCTGTTACCATCATAACTGATCAGCCAAGTGACAGAGCCTGAGCTCCAGATATGTATAGTCGCCATTGTTCACCCAGCAACAGAGTGATGGCAAACCATTCAGTGATGTAAAGATTAAATGGTAGGGTATATGTCTGTTACCACGGAGATGTCTGCTGGGTTGAGGGCCTGCCGGGACAACATGGAGGACAGGGCCTGACAGGCTCGGGGATAGGCGGCCGCTCCACTCAGGGCCATCGTTATGGGCGTCACATCCAGACCTCTACAACAACAAGCACTCTGAGTGAGTTGAGTTGAAGGCCGCTTTTAACAGTATTCCAGTTATATCACATAGCTTGATGTGGGGGAAGTCCCAAAGTGATGTAGGTCTCAAACGTTTACCACTTTGGTGAAACTCACGAGCACGAGTATGGTGCTGACAAACCTAGATTATAATCGGAGTGATTTTGTCACATTTCTTAAAAAACAGACAACTTATTGGTCATATTCTCCACCAAAGGAAGATTCTTATTCTTTATTTTTTTGTTTTACCCAAAGCTGAACATGGAGGTTCGAAGCACACATAACAAGATTGATGGCATGAGATTAAGATCAACATCTTGTATTTGTTGAAGTGAGTCGGCTAGACTTAATCCTGCTTTGAACAGTGTTTCACTTTTATCACAGGGATATGAACTTATGACCAGATGATTCTGGAATGGCAAAGGGAAGCTACTCTGCACAACTTACACAATGTACCACACTTCTTGACTCATGGAAAATAAATGACACAAAGTCAGTGTCTAAGGTATACTGGGTATGTTTGCCAGTCAACATTCAGGTTTTTAACAGATGCTCAGGGTGACATGACCCTCCTCATCCTCAAGGTTCCCCACTGAATAAGATTCTGTGCTGTAAGCTATGAAGGACGTCACCCAGAAGACTGCCCTACTGCCTTGTACACTGGGTTATTACACAGGAGTGTTGCAACTAGCTGCTGCCAGCTTACTTCTCACTGGCACACTTCTGCAGCTCCTGGCACAGACGTCGGATGTTGGAGCCGCCCTTCAGCTCCTGGGACAAGATGTGCATCAGCACCTGACTGTACAGGTATGTGTGCTCTCCGTGGCAAACCATTTTCTGAAAAATAATCAGGGATGCAACAATTATTATTCAGTGACTTTGAAAAATACTCAATTCTGATTGGTCAGTTCAGGGTCTCAAATCACAATAATAACCCCTGGCTTAAAAAGCTAATAAGATGTCTGCATCATCGAGGAAGACAATAACTACAGAAAAGTTTTTCTTTCTCAAACATTCGCAGTAGGTATTTGGGAATAGTGATATGTACAATTATGTGTTAAAAATACAGAGATGTGCTTACTACAACATTGTACAATATTCAAAAGTTTTTACAATACATTTTAGGTGCATGACTAAGAGTGAACTTCATTTTAGAGAAAACAGAGTTCGATCTCCTTTAGCTCCGACTGTGATGCCTTATCTTGTGTGTCACAATGAGTGATGTGATATTGTAACAGCGGCAGTACCACCTTAGCGCCATCATATATCCACAGCAGTTTAGCAGCATGAGCAACGATCCATTCCAAACAATAACAGAGCAGTGACCTCCATGATTTCTTTTGTTAGACATTGCTCCCGAAACATCCTTTTTAGTTGTTATGTAACAGGGCGAGGACGGGTAACTCGGGTATTCGGGTCCGTAGGGTACGGAGTGGGACCTGGGTACCCACAGGACTACCCGCACACGTGGTTAGTCACATGACATATTGTTTAATGACAAAAACCATCTAGAACTACCCGTATACTTTGCATGTCTCTAATGTTTGCATTTCTTTCTGACTATGCACGATTCCTTCTTACTTTTAAATGGTTAAATAAAGATAAAGCTTCAGTGTATGCATGACCAGATCATTTTATAGTGTTCCTGAATACTTTTTTTCCAGGGCTCTGGTAAACAGTTCCCAATCGGACAATTTGTACTCATGGCTTGAGACCTACAGCGGGTACCAAGGTAGGGTCAGATAATAAGGGGGTGGGTACCTGGATAGTAACTTTGAACTCATCCCAGCCCTATTGTGTAAACATAGTCAAGGAAATTTTACCAAACTTAGTTAAGTAAACATGTCACGAAAACACACAGTAACAATGTATGTATGAACACACCAGCTGAGTATAGAGATATAGAGTTGGTGAAGGTCCAGATCATAACACACACAGTCTCGTTAGAAAATGCTTTCTTAATAAGTAACCATGGTAACATCTTGAGTATCTTACTGTGAATTCTGGCAGGTTCTTCTCCAACCCATCCTCCCCTGCCTCCACGAAGCTGGATATAGAGGTTCTTAACACCCTCGAGAACACCTCAATTTGATGACATGCTGTCGACACACTGGTTATCTCCCCTTGGAAACCAGCATCCGATATCAACTGTAAGAAAACAGTGTTTAACAAATATGATCTAATGTAAACACAAATGGCCCCCGGGATAAACCTACTTTGAGAAAAGAGCAAAATTTCTAAATTCATTCATATAAAAGTTATCATTGTTTATAAAAATGAAAAATTTACCTTGTTAATTTTAACACTTGTATTCTATGATGTATAACCATGATAACAACAATAACTGAATCAGAAAGACTAAAACACATCAAACAGATGATTCTAGAGGTTCTCAGGTAATGTTTTTCCAATATTTGAACATGAGAAAGTCTTTGGCCCAAGCTGATTTTCTTAAGAGATGTAGAAACAAATGGTACAAACATGTTGTAAAACATTCATCTTCGGTCACAGACTTGCTCATGGATTTATTTTTTTTAAGTTTGACATATCACCCTAGATATAATCATGATAATAATCATAATAATGTTTCTGGTAATGTCAGATGCCAAAGGCAATGACTTGCAAGTGTAAGAAGACAAATGCTAGTTATACACCTTTTGAACATATCAATACTTTTCATACATATATTTCAAAGATTTCTGTAAACTTAAATCTGACATTTTCCGTGATCCAAAAATGAAGTTATATTGTATATACCCCGGTACTTATCTCAACCTTTAATGAGCTAGGGCAGTTACTGGAGGAAGGGTTTGTCAAAATGACTATATATTTACAGTGAAATTAGATTTCAGAACTTCTTTGATAGGCATTTAGAAGTTGGAGTACTAAGTAAGGAAAAGAATTTATGGATGAACAACCCCTTTATTACAATTAAGAGCGACGTTTTGGTGTAGGTTCTATCACCGTTATCAAGCAAGTGCTTTTCCTTACTTAGATTTCGGAAGAGAAAAATATTGAAAGCAAATATGTGTAAGCATGAGTACCGGTATGTATTTAGAATGAACTGCCAACAGTAACTACAGTTGCACCATAACATTGGAAACATGTATGAGGTTGTCATGTGTGGGAATGACCTGCCTTGATAGTGAAGTTGAGCATGAGGCAGTCTGGGTATTCTTCAGCCAGCTTGTAGAACAAGGATCGCCATGTCGGGTACTCTATCATCTCGGCCAGCCAAGACGGAGTCTGTAGGAACACAGACATGAAGGGAAAATAGTACAGTTCATATCTAACATGCCAATTGCAGGAGGTGATGGAGTGAGTGATGCAGGTCTCAGAGGGTTACCACTTTGGTAGGGGTATGGTGCGGACAAAACTAGAAACATAATTGGGGCAAACTGGGATTTGAACCCACTATCAAGGGTTTCTGGCATGCCCAAGAGACGCAACTTTGACAGTGAAATGTGCGCCTTAACTAACTGGCTGGATCGCCCGTGCTGGGGGTCTGGGGACCTCCAAGAATTAATTCTAAGGGTCCTGTTAAGTAATGAAATGGTGTACTGTAAGATTTGATAATTCAATATTTACAGGACCTTTATATTTCTTGCCAAGAATTTGGTACTAAGAATAATCTTTTTCTCTGCATCTATTTCTATACATTTGTGAGTACTGGTGCACATTTCTGTGTCATATAAAGCCCTGATATGGGAGATAATTTCAGCAAAGTCCATGCTTCAACGACATGGGACATAACTCTTGACTTCTTCAGCACAGAATCAGTGGCTTTTGCAATAAGAATGTTAAACTGGGCATTGTATAAGTGTTCATGAATGTTTTAAAAACACTGAGAAATCACAAACTATATTTGCATGGATGACATGTTCAGATAAGTAATTTACAGTGATTTATTTTATGAAAATGTCGTCAGCAGATCAGTGATCATAATGACTTAATGAGGGAAGAAAGCCTGAAGTACCATTAAGTTGACACACATTAAATCCAACTCACTCTTGTTGACTTTCTTATCGATCAGCATGTGGACAAAACATGTAGCACACCTTTATCATGTTATAGAGGAATACATATAGTTTATTGTGTCGAATCTGTCAACATTAAAGGGAATTCACTATGTTTGTCGTAAGAGGTGACTATCAGGATTGGATGGTCAGGCTCGCTGACTTGGTTGATGCATGTCATCATATCCCAACTGCGTGGATCAATGCTCATGATGTCAATCACTGGACATCAGACTTGACTCGATTATTTACAAACTGCTGTCATATAGCTGGAATATTGCTGAGTGTGGCGTTAACAACAAACAAACAGTTATGATACATTCATGTCACATCATAATTTAAGTGTGGAGCTTTTAGCATATTTAGGTACCACCAATGATGACCGATAACATGTTTCATACTTTAAAGAACTTCAATATAACATCGGAAAGTCAAACATCTTCATTGTCTTACTGTTGTATTCTCAAACAGATTCCTAAAATTAACAACAGCATCACTTGAACTGTGATGCAGAATGAAATAAAAACATGATAATACTCCTCCTTCAGTTTTCACAATGTTCCCCCCAATCCTGTCAATCTTCCCCAGACAACATCTGCATGACTCCTCATTGTCCAGTACTCACTTCACCCTCTTGAGTGAAGATGGAGTCCGCCTTCTTCGGGTCAAAGTGTTTGATAATCATCAGCTTGAGATGACTTTCTACCAGTTCTTGAACTTCATTTATGCCAACGCCTGCAATGTGTCACATCAGAGATCAAACTAGATGACAATACTGCTGAGATGCAGTTATCAGTTTGTCTTCAATGTCTAATGTTAAAGAAATTCCAGGGGCATCCTTACATGTCATCACCATTTGGGCTGGTAAATGTTTCATCATACAATACCAACATCAGCTACAACACCGAGACATAGCATGGTACGCTATATTAATGTGGTTGTTAATTTATAATGGATCGTAATGGCGCAAGCTTACTAGTGAGTGAGTATGGTTTTACGCTGCTTTAAGCAATATTACAGCAATATCACGGCGGGGGACACCAGAAATAGGCTTCACACATTGTACCCATGTAGGGAATTGAACCCAGGTCTTCGGCATGACGAGCAAACGCTTTAACCACAAGGCTACCCAACCGCCCCCGCAAGCTTACTAACCTATTTAATAAGTCATACGCACAATGTTAGTTTTCTTTGTTCAACTTTCATGACACATCAATTAAGATTGATTGATGCTGATTTTCTTTACCGAGTTCAGAAAACAAAGTACTTGTCATTAGCGACTCAAGGACGGGCAACTCTATTTTATCGCGGTGTCACTATTTGTGGTGTGATACATGTGGAATATGAGGTTTAATCACTTTCTGTTTTGGATTTTGCATTATCAGTATGCATACGACCCAGGTTCGCTCAAGGCAAATCGTCCAAACAAATGGGTTTTTTTTCTAATTAATTTCAAATGGAGGTAGGGGTAATTACACTTCAAAAACATTTCAGAACCTATCATAAAAATTGTAAATGTTTATACTTATGAGTAGCCGTGACATACCGCAACGAGTCCTGAATTCGATCAAGCATTGAAATATCGTGCTCAGATTTGCAAAAGTAAACAGTCGACAGGGGAGTGGTTTACAAGATTTACCGATACCGCGATAATATAGAATCATACCATATAAACTACGCGCACTAGGTTGTATGTCAAAATCATGCTATCTTCCCAAGTCTGCAGCAAGTGTTATCCTATCTCACACTAGGCATTTCTTCCTTCTTCTTTCGATCCTATGTGCTTGAACAAAGATTCCAGCTTCTAAAAATGCACAGGATTATAGTGTGTGACCCATTTGTTTGGGTGGTGACCATGGTGATACTAAGATATGTTCGGGTGATTTGTTTTTTAGAAGCTGAAAACTTTGTTCAAGGGCGTTATAATTCCACTGTTGTACAATGACAGTTACAATTTATTGTAGGCTACCAACCTCTTCTAGTTGAAACAGTGTGCTGCTTGAGGGTCAGAATTCTATTTGTTTTAACTTAACAGCAGGTAAACAAGTTCAACAATTTCTTCTGGGGGGAATTCTACACATCCCGAGAATACTGTTAAATATCCCTGTACTGGCTGGGATTCCAAGTTCCACAGAACCAATGTTGTTGAAAGAGGCGACCAAATGGATCCAATAATCAGGGGAGATAACTTGAGTGATTGCATGTCATTGTACCCCAGTGTTCTAGGATGTAGCTTATCTGCTTATAATATCAATCACTGTATTTTATGGGCCAAACTTAATTATTTACAGGATGCAGCATCAAACAAACTTTTAAATAGCCTCATCTTTTACCATGTTAACATCATTTCACAACTGACTAACCTGCTTGTATTAGCCAGTCAGCCAAAACATTAACAGTCTGTGCTATCGCTAAGTAGTTGTCTGACAACAGTTCCACAACCCGCTCTGGTGATCCACCCGCTTGCAAAAATCTGTTGACAGAAATTTCCAATCATCTTGATGAATTGTATCATATGTGTATGCAATGTACATAATAAGATATGTTCTAATCTGTGCGTAAATTCAAAAGCAGCAGCAGGTTTCTACAGTCCATGCTGGTTGGTTGGTTTGTTGTTTAACGCCGCACTCAGCTATATTCCAGCTATATGACAGCGGTCTGTAAATAATTGAGTCTGGACCAGACAATCCAGTGATTAATATCATGAGCATCGATCCACGCAATTGGGATCAATGATATGCATCAACCAAGTCAGCGAGCCTGACCACCCGATCCCATTAGTCTCCTTTTAGGACAAGCACAGTCAGTTTTTACGGTAAGCATGGGTTGCTGAAGACCTATTCTACCCCGGAATCTTCACGGGTCCAGTCCATGCAAAAGCATAACATGATAAATCTGGAATACACCAAAAATCATAACACTGGGAAAATGTGACCACATTTCCTAAGTCAAGTTGTTAACAATGCTATGGAAACAGTTTAACATGTATATTACCAGTTCACCCCTTTAAAATAAGACATTCACTGATTCAGCGTATTTAGCCACAGGGAGTAATTGCATCAATTGCCGATTTCAAAAAACAGTCCAAAAGAATTATTTCAAGCTGTAGGTCAACAACAATATATGCTTTGGAATTTTGATGAAGTATGTATGGTCAACAAAACAGTAACGATTTAACACGTTAAATGAGACAGGAAATTGTTATATAAACAACCCAATGATGGCACATGCCCACTGGCTCCATCCCATCAGCTGATAAACGCACAATTCCTTGCTAACAATGTTTAACATATTTAAGGATGTTAACTGACGGCAAGTGCACATTACACATACTGACATATATTCATATATAAAAATACTATATTTATCATATTTATTAGAAGGTGTAATGTTAAAGCATTTATAGTCTTATTCTTTCTGACACTTTTTAAATTCTTGGTGAATCATTTAAATAGATAGGTCTTTATTTCCACTTTGTACAGTGAAAGGGATTGATAAACAGACAGAGCCTATATAAATATATCTCCCCATCAAAGTTGAAACAACTGGTAGTAGTACATATGTTATACAGTAGTATAAACTTGATATTATGTCACATGTGGTACATAAAGGTAAACAGTTGTTGGTGAGACATATGTAAGAGTGCATGTTTATACGAATCTTTTGCTCATAGTGAAGAAATGATGTACAGAATCAACAATATAAAGAAGCATTTCTTTGTCTAGGTTGACGTTGCCAAACAGGACAGTTCGAAGGTCATATCTATTAACATAATAATAGCTTTCAAATCTAATCTCTGTGTAATTTGGACAAGTAAATAGGTAGTGTAAAGCAGTTTCAGTGAAAAAAACACATGTACATACACCATTATCGCTAACAAATCTTTCAAATTTGTGACTGTTCAAATCACTGCATCCTAGTCTTAACTTGCAGTGAATTATCTGATTTAATGTGAACCAATATTTTTAATTATGTTGGATTGCCACTTAAAAAGAGGTGATCATGGTGATTATAAGTTGTTGCAGAATCATGAGGGGTACACATGGTACATGGGATTTTAGGCGTCCCCCGTTAGGTTTTTTACCATGAGCCAGAGGAAAGTGGTAAAAACCTAACGAGGGATGCATAAAACCCCATGTACCCCGAGTAATCCTGCTACAACACATTTTTCTTACTGACATGTTTTAATATGACATTGTAAAAGAATTCAACAAATTCAAAAGTGATAGAAAACAGCTGTTCGATTGAGCTGAGGTGAACTTGTGCTATGTCATGTGACTTCCATTGTGTGTGGCTTTTTGCTTGGAAGTGGGGTATAAGGGATTTATTCTGCCACTCAGAAATCCCTGTGCAGCCTGAATGTGCTCATGGCAGGGTATAAGAGATTTATTTCTCTGCTGAGAAATTGATTTCCCTCCAAGGCAGGATACATAGTATTTTATCAAGATCACAGGGACCAGTCAGTTCTCATCATTCTGACATGGAAGTATGATAAAGTATTTTGTATACATAGTAAAAGTAGAGCTATGTTTTAACTTTCAGCTGTGTTGTAACTTGTACACGCACCTTTTGAGTACGGTGAAAATGTTGGGCTCCATTATGTAGTCCTTGCTGCTAAAAGATTCAAGACAGTCTTTCTGTGTGGCCTGTCTCTCCTCCTCATCATCCTCCATGAACGGATCCATCTCAGGTGACTAAAGGACAAATAATTTGTGAATGTTGACTACAAAATATAATCATTTGCAACTGTTCAAAATGCTGTATGTACACAACGTTGGGAACGTTTGAAATATATAATGAATAAATGTTTGAAATGTAAAATGAATGAAGTTTGGAAATGTAATAGTGCTATTAATAAATTGCTATGAAGGTGCAGGTCAGAATATATCAGAATTTAGTGCTGAATAAATGATTAGAAATATATATTTTATTTCTACGGTCTATTGGTTTAAACTTTAATTAAAGCAATCACATTCTGAATCTTACTTTAAAAAATAAAATGGTACGGGTCAACCAAATTTGGGTACGGGCCCTCTAAATATGAGTATAGGTCAGCCAAATAAAGTATGAATAGTCCAAAAACAGGTTCGAATCTGACGAGAATTTTAGCATTGTTTAGGTACGGGTTAACCATGTTTATTGGGTATGAATCTCCGTGGGTACCGATCATCTAGTTTTCGTAGAAGTTCACAGTAACCATAAGGGAAAGCTAGCTTCCTTAATTATTATGATTATGATTATAATAATTGTTGCAACAAAGATCATATTATAGTCGGCACGTTTCATTTTACACATTATTAATGTTTAGATTAGATCTAGAAATTTCATTCATCTAAGGTACCCCAACATCGTCCTCTGACATCCCCTCGGCATGGTCCTCTTCGTAATCAGACATCGTGTACTCGAATGAGATGCGCTGAACTCCTATAGTAACGTTTTCAAATCATGCAAAGAGTATTTTTTAAGAATACGCGGCCATGACAGGTTGAGAAACTTCAAATTTGGGATTTCCCCGGGTACCATCTAAAATTCGAACCGACATCTAAAGCGGACATGGAGATATTTTCACACGAATATCTAAACTTTATTTCCCCGTAAATGCACTTTAATAAAACAAGTAGATGGATATGTTAGTACATCTAACAACAATAGATTATATATGAGACTACAAGTGTGTGTGTTCTAAAGTTTGTCCAGGTTTTTATCCCAATCCAAGACCTCAACCAAATACGCCCAGCTTTATGCCGGATGTTGCATTGCCTTCAGACGACCCCAAACGAACAAGCGCACCACAGCCAACATGTGGGACTGCGACGGAAATGTTACTGCTGAGATGTAAATAAACATCAAAAGATCATGTTATCCTGCTCTAATCAAAGCCCAAGTCTCATTTTGGAGGCTCTTCGTATTTTGACAACCCCGGAAAGACAAAGTCACACAGACTGTAAGTAGTATACACCATGCCTGATCGAAAGTCTTGACCGTTAATGGTAGGTACAGTATCAAGTTTGTTTATTTACGATCGGTAGGCCTACTGATCAAATGGAAAGATACAATTTGTAAAAATTGTTTTGTATATATAGGAACTAATAACTAATAGTTTAATCAAATTAAATATCGACTTATTGATGTACAAAGCATCTGAAACTTAAAAGAGAAAAGGTTTCACGTGTTGTATTTTGCTATCAGTACAAATTGAGTACAGGAAAATATATTAAGAAGAATGCTGATTAATGTGTTGTTATTAAAAAGAGTGACTTATTAATTTGTTGTCATTAACAAGAGTGACTACATGTTATTGAATGCTGCAGCCAGTGATATATAACAACCACTTGTAAATAATCAAAAGAATATGATTCATTAGTGCATGTTATGAAGAAAGATTGTTAAAAAGACATAAATCTTTTTCAGCTGCTTCATCTGCAGACAATGGAGAAAACCAATTTGACCACCTGCTCCAAACTAAACTTCTGTCGCTCAATAGAAATCTGCAATCTGACAAGTTCTCCTCGCTGCCATGTTTGTCAGCCCTACAGACTCAGACATCTCCGTCAGACACTGACAGGTCAGACGTCCGATGGAAGTACACGTCTGCATGTCTTCATCTTCTGTTCCTGCTGCAGAAACATCTGATTCAGGCTACCAGAGATTTCCAGGAAGAGATGAAGAAGAACCCTCCATCCATGAAGACACCTCACCAAGTCCCCCCACTTTCTCCAGATGTGCTCAGTATCGAACAGGAGAAAACAGTCTTGACCACTCTGCAGTTCATTGTCTGTCTTGGAATTTGCCCACATGTTGATAAAGGTGTCGGAATTCCTATCGAGAGGAGATCAGGATTTGGAAAGCTTCTCAGTGGCAGCAAATTGATGGAAGTATCGAGAAAAGAACGTTATTCTAGGCTGGGATTGTGTGGACGCATTTTTGCAGCCTGTTTAAATGTACCATCTTTATCAGCATTAGTTCTTTCACGACATCTCTGTGATTTTTTAGCCATTCTTCTTCAGCTGAACCACTTTACAGGGATATTTGATGGTCAGAAGCGCAATTTAAATCCTTCCCTTCGTTCTGAAAATCAGACTGTTAATGTTGAATCGAATCAAAATGACAATACCAGCAATTGTCCACCAAAGAGGACTGTGAGTGAATTATTAGATTCAACAGATTCAAATACTAGAACAAACCCTCAAATTGTTAACCCCCAGGATTCCCACATATGTCATGAAGATTCATCATCAGTTTCAGAAAGCAGAATGGGAGTAAATGAAAGCAAATGTTCAATTTCAAATGCTAAGTCAAATGCTGTGGCTGATAGCTGTCAGAAAACTGTTTCTCAAGCCGATGAATACCTGAGTCTATTACTGGGTGAGTTGAGTGTAGTGGATTCGGACCAGGAGTTTGCAGAGGCCGGCCTACAAAAGCTGATGACAAGGGTCAGTCCGGCGATGCTGGTGAGAGACTTGATGCTGCTGCAGGGGGCAGCCAAACCCAGGGCAGGTGCAAAGGTCAGTGTAAATAAGTGCAGGTGTCAAAAGTAGGGTGTCATGATACATTGTCCTGGTGGATTGTTTGTTTGTTGTTTTACGCCGCACTCAGCAATATTCCAGCTATATGACAGCGGCCTGTAAATAATCGAGTCTGGGCCAGACAATCCAGTGATTGATATCATGAGCGTCGATCCACGCAATTGGAATTCGATGACATGCATCAACCAAGTCAGCGAGTCTGACCACCCGATCCCGTTAGTCGCCTTTTACGACAAGCATAGTCGCCTTCCTGGTGGATTGATACATACTGCAATACTTGTGTCAATATGATACGTATCATGATACTCCATTCTGTTATTTTTGTGTGAAATTATTCTGTTTCCATGTGGCCCAGCTAGCAAGAGGCTGTTGCTCCATACCTTTTTTTGTATTCTTGTGTGTCTTGTTAGTTAGGCTTGTTCTGGGAATATAATGCAGTCAGATTTAGCATTTTGTTTTGCTGATTACAAGTAGTAGAGATGATATGCTTACCTCAAGATATGGTTCACCTCATTTTTAGAACTTACCCTATCTCACACAATGCATTTCGTCCTTCTCTTTCGATCCTGGTGTGGAAATTATGCTAGAACATGTTTCCAGCTTTAAACAAACTCACCCACACACATCCCAGCCGTAACCAAGGTTATCATCACTATCAGTGCAACAAATGTTATATTTGGGATACCACCTCTCAGTAAAGTACAGATTCTTGTACTTTTTTAGGTTGAGTCCCGTCCGGGATTCGAAACCCACACTGTCAGAGTGAGGCACCTAATTGCCAGCACACAAAGTCAGCGATCTAACATACTCAGCCACCATGGCTTAATTCCACAAAAATGAAAGTCTGACAGCTGGTAGTCTAGATCACATACTTTGTGTACCCCTCTGACAGGTGTAAAGTGGCACGGCTACCATGGTCGAAAGCTATGAACACACAATGCCATTTAGAAAGTGGTCAGATGCAACAATTGTTATATTTGGGATAACACTTTTTCAGTAAAGTTCAGAAACTCGTACATTTTTTGGTTGAGTCCCGTCCAGGATTCAAACCCTCACTGCCAGAGTGAGCATGGTGAGGCACCTAATCGCCAGCACACAAAGTCAGCGATCTAACCCACTCAGTCACCGAGGTTTCCACAAAACTAAAGTCTGACAACTGGTAGTCTAGATCATGTACTTTGTATACCCCTCTGACACTTGTCAAGTAATCAGACAGCACAAGATTTGTGTGTTGGTCAGACCACTGATAGTGATGACCAATGTGGTCAGAGGGGTACACAAAGTACGTGATCTAGACTACCAGTTGTCGGACTTTCATTTTTGTGGAAGCCTCAGTGGCTGAGTGGGTTAGAATCACTATCAGTGGTCTGACCAACACACGAATCTCATGCTGTCTGATCACTTGACGTCCCCAGCTAACTTATTCTCTTTCCTATTGCTCTTGTGTGGAGATGTTATTTTGTAGTACTTAGAGATGACATGTTTACCTCAAGATATGGTGCACCTCTAGTGTTTGTGCAGAGTTGTGTCCCTTAGCCTGGATGGACTGATCATAGGTTTGCCACAGTTGCGATCCATGGTCTGACAGCGCTATACCAGTGCTCAGGGGTTTCATTTTTGAGGTAATTGTCTTAAGATCTGCATCACTCTGGGTTTCCCAGCCCCTCAGTAAGGTGACTGTGCGATCTAACCCACTCAGCCACACTCTTTCAAATCAGAATTAGATATGACCCACCCATCGACTCACCCATGCATGTACAGTAAGGATCTCTACCATTGTCTACATTCACTGATTCAGATGAAATAATTGTAGAAATGCCTTTAGTCATGTTGGTCATGTTGGTTTTATCTTTAATTCTCCATGTTTTTTTTCGTAACACAGTCAAAAGGTCAAGGCAAGCCTCTGCCTGTGTCTCCCCCATGGCTGAGACAAGTGTGTGGGCGCCTGATGACAGACATCTTGATGCGGCCCAAGGGCCTCCTGCATGTACTGCAGGGTATGCTACCCCCTGGCCCAGGTGAGATGTCACAGACTCATACCCAGGGGATTCTAGGGAGGGATTTCATTCATTACTTATGAGGGAAGACTTTTGTTTAAAGTTGGATTTACGGATCTGCTGACCCCAAAATAATGAAATGTGGAATCTTTTTTGTTATTCTGCTGAATAATTGTGCATACAGTAGGCTATATCATACCCCCAACAAGACAATCTCAACTAACATTGCTGACATATTTAGATAACTCTTTGAATTGAAAATAAATTATTTGAAATGTCCATCATGGTCATTATTATTTATTGTTTTTCAACCAACAAACCAGTTTTTGCCAAAAAACAACCTGTAAACCACAAAATATATCTGACCTTACTGGTTATAAACATGATACAAGAGGGCTTATTTTGGGGGATTATGTAGCTTGAAGTGTCTGGTACTGATGGATCACTCCAAAGTGGCATGTGGCATGCCTGTCATGACTCAAATTGTGCGATATGTTTTGGTTTGTGAGATAAGGGTATCATGATGATCATGACACCCCTAGTGGATATACAGCAGTGATGTGTATTTATAGTAATACTATCATCCAATTGGTCTTAACATGTTTAAAGACAATTTATCTTATGACTATGCATTTTATTATACGCCAGACCGAAATAGTTATACCAAGGAAGTCCGTCCAGCCATCCGTCTTCTGAGGACATGTTTTGTGTGACCCATAACTTGAAAACTACTTTATAGATTCTTTTCAAACTTGGTGAACATGTTTTATACCTACAACAGAGGTGCAGTGCGAAGTTTGATTTCATATATGTGGATTTTCTGAAATATTGCAGCTTTTTAAACAATATAAACGTAGAATTTGTTTTTTTAAACATTTGTGTGACCTATAACTTGGAAACTACTGCATGGAGTTTTTTCAGATTTAGATTTAAGTTTGATTTTGATATGTGTATTATCTGAAAAATGTGATGTTTTTCATGTTGTGAACTTTGAATGTTTTTTTTTACTTCAACATTTGTGCGACCTATGACTTGAAAACTACTTCATGGATGGGGGTACAGTTTCTATATCAATAGGAGAGGTGCAGTGCAAAGTTTGATGTCGATAAGTGGATTTTCAGAGAAAATATTGATTTCTTCATGTGTTAAACTAAGAAATATGTCATGGGGGTATCAGAGAGCCCTGCTCACTTTTTGCGTTGTTAGTATTTGTTTCACCATATTCACTGATTGTAAAAATAATTATAATTTCTAAGTCAATTTGACAATGATGAAAACATCAGCACTAAAAGAATTCCTGTTTTCAACTTGCAGCCCCATCTGGAGATTCTGTTGACTGGCAGAGAAGCCAGGCCATTGCCATGGTGATAGCACACTGTCCCATGCACACAACATCAGTGGAAGAATACTACTCACATATCTCTCCCCAGGTGACTAATTTAAGGATTTCTTTTGGTATGAAAATCTCATTATAATCACATCTTTTACTCCTATGTGACACCTCTCTGACAAATCCTTAGAAGAACATGTCAGGTGAACTTTCTCGTCAGCCTATCAGCATTGAGGCTTCTAAATTCTCAGTATGGGTGAAGCATTCCGAGCAGCATATTTCATTTGTGTTTGGCAAAAGCGCACACAAATGGCCAGTTCTGAATGGATATAATAAAGGAAACTTTGTCATATTGTTGTTGATATCTTACCCAAAAAGGAGTACCATCAAAGGAATATTTGTGTTCACATTGGTTTTCTTTTGTTAAAAATGAAATTTCTGAATCAAGGTAGTAAAGAAAAGAAGCTGAATAGTACAAAAGTCCACACATCCTTCATATGGATGGGGCTGTCAATGTATTCATAAAACTATATTTAATTGTTTACACTATCAGTTATTAGGTTTGCTTCATCACAATGATCCTAAAGTAACCCAGAGGTTTCTGAGGGTGATTGTGACCCTCATGAAGGAGATGACCAGTCAGCATCCATCACTCGGACAGAAGCATCTGCTTGACCCACTGTTGACCGCACTACAGCAGTGTGTGGACAGTCAAGGTGAGGGAGGTGTCACAGCCCTAGTGTGGTGTGTGTGTCTGTGTGTGCTGCTGACTCCACTACAGCAGTGTGTGGGCAGTCAAGGTGAGGGAGGTGTCACAGCCCTAGTGTGGTGTGTCTGTGTGTCTGTGTGTGCTGCTGACTCCACTACAGCAGTGTGTGGACAGTCAAGGTGAGGGAGGTGTCACAGCCCTAGTGTGGTGTCTGTGTGTGCTTCTGACTCCACTACAGCAGTGTGTGGACAGTCAAGGTGAGGGAGGTGTCACAGCCCTAGTGTGGTTAGTCTGTGTGTCTGTGTGTGCTGCTGACTCCACTACAGCAGTGTGTGGACAGTCAAGGTGAGGGAGGTGTCACAGCCCTAGTGTGGTGTGTCTGTGTGTCTGTGTGTGCTGCTGGCTCCACTACAGCAGTGTGTGGACAGTCAAGGTGAGGGAGGTGTCACAGCCCTAGTGTGGTGTGTCTGTGTGTCTGTGTGTGCTGCTGACTCCACTACAGCAGTGTGTGGACAGTCAAGGTGAGGGAGGTGTCACAGCCCTAGTGTGGTAAGTCTGTTTGTCTGTGTGTGGGGCTGACTCCACAATAGCAGTGTGTGGACAGTCAAGGTGAGGGAGGTGTCACAGCCCTAGTGTGGTGTGTGTGTCTGTGTGTGCTTCTGACTCCACTACAGCAGTCTGTGTCATGGTGAAGTATTTCAGTACTTCTTAATGTGTCTACTCATTGCCATCACTGAAAGCAGGAATATATCTGAATAGATTGGTGTGGGTGTCAGGTTCTGACTCAGTTGTTTTCAGACAAATGAAAATTAAACTGACATCATTCATTTGCCATGAGAGGATTGTTCTTTTTTTAGCCTTTTTAACATTTAACTTCAGGTACATCAGTGACTCCCTGGAAACAGGTGGTAGTGTGTGACAAGTCAATGACCCGATGTATAGGAGGTATTCACAAGGTACGCATCACTGATACAGTAATCCAGATTGGTAACACAACAGGATTCAGCCTTGATAGTCAAGTAATGAAATAGGCTCTTTTTTAAAAAGTTCATTCTTTGAAAATCCTTGAGACATTTTTTCTCAGAAACCACGCAGTTGTACAGAGTTGCATCCCTTGGGCATGCCAGGAACCTATGATAGTGGATCGAATACCAGATTCGCCCTGATCATGTTCATTGATCTGCCCTTGTTAATGAGTTTCACAAAAGAGGCAAACTTCTGCATTGCTTGAGGATTTCCTCCCACATCAAGTGAGTGAGCAATATCACGCAATATCACGGCGGGGGACACCCGGAATGGGCTTCACACATTGTACCCATGTCGGGATTCGAACCCGGATCTTTGGCGTGACGAGCGAACACTTTAACCACTAGGCTACCCGACCACCCCCCACATCAAGACATGAACTACGGTTTTAATGAACTCAAAGGTACCACTAATGTTAGTTCGTTATAACCATAGTACGTTATAAGCATAATACAGCATATATGCAACAAATGGCCAGGACTAAAAAATAAGTGGTAAGCGTGTTTGTTATAAACGTAGTTTACTGTAATGATAGTACTCAAGTACTGTTCAAAGTGGCATTAAACCAAACTGATTCACTATATTTTTTGCAGCTGTATGTGATCAGCACTGAAGCCAGGGGCTGTTTGTGGCCAGCCCTCCGTCGTTATGTTGCGGTTCTCTTCCAGCTGTACTGCAGCAGCAAGGAGGGCGTGTCACACGTCAGGTGGGTACACAGGGGACACATTCTCTTGGTCAGGAGGGCGTCTGTGAATTGTCTGTAACAATTACAATCTTCCCACTCTTGGATCTGTGCTATCATCATTCCACAGAGCAGGTGCCCTGTAGCCAAGGTTTGACAACTGAAGATGTTGTTTGGGTGGTTACAATGTTTAACCTGGTTGGTTGTGTGTCATCTGATCTTGATCCTGTGGATTGTTGTTCATGCTATCATTCACTTGTTTATCTGGCTCAGTCTCAATAACATACAGGCCCCCTCATGATATTGCTGACTTCATAAAATATTGACAAACCTGAGACCTGGATTTCTCTGCTGGGATGTTGGTGTGATGTTGCAGTAGTGTTGATGTGATGTTGCCGTGATGTTGGTGTAGTGTTGGTATGATGTTGATGTGATGTTGCTGTAATGTTGTAATGTTGGTGTGATGTTGGTGTGATGTAGGTGTGATGTTGCAGTAATGTTTCTGTGATGTTGCTGTAATGTTGCTGTCATGTTGCTGTCATGTTGCTGTGATGTCGCTGTCATGTTGCTGTAATGTTGCTGTCATGTTGCTGTAATGTCGCTGTGTTGTCGCTGTCATGTTGCTGTGTTGTTGCTGTTATGACGCTGTCATGTTGCTGTGTTGTTGCTGTAATGTCGCTGTCATGTTGCTGTAATGTTGCCGTCATGTTGCTGTCATGTTGCTGTGTTGTTACTGTAATGTCGCTGTCATGTTGCTGTAATGTTGCCGTGATGTTGCTGTGATGTTGCTGTAATGTTTCTGTCATGTTGCTGTGATATTGCTGTCATGTTGCTGTAATGTTCAATGATGTTGCTGTGATATTGCTGTAATGTTGCTGTGATGTTGCTGTGATGTTCCATGATGTGGCTGTAATGTTGTGATGTTGATGTAATGTTGCTGTGATGTTGCTGTAATGTTGCTGTGATGTTGCTGTAATGTTGCAGACAATGGTGTAACCTCAGTCTGTCCTTTGTTCAAGGTCATCGTGTGAAGACATTCTCATCACCTTCCTCAAGCAGGCTGAACCAGATGTTTCCCTGGACTTTCTTTGGTTGCTGGCCACTGGTGTCCATGGTAACAGTGTGAAGGATGTATCCCAGTGTCCCGCTCAGTTGGTGTTTCGGCCCGGAGACAGTGGTGGGCTATGTGCTGTTATAGCCTCTTCCGACAGGTGAAGTGAAGGGTCAACTAATCTTCTTATACTGTTGGTTTGCATAGCAAGCTAAGCGCTTTTGTCCTGACAGGTTGCAGCTAAACACATGTGGTACAAATCTGTTCCATATCCCCTAGTCCATCACTTTTTTTATATTCAATACTGAGAACCAGACAATGCTATTTTTAGTGTTGTCTAATTGCAGCCAGTGAGAATAAGGGTGTAGACAGGAGCCCAGTTTTTAGTGTGTAGGACTGAGGGCTTATTCAAAATACACTAATGATACACATGTACAGTGAAGAAGACAGTATATATGTAGTGTAACAGTCTACTTGTGTTGTGACAGTGGTGAGGAAGACAGTATATATGTAGTGTAACATTGTACTTGTGTTGTGACAGTGGTGAGGGAGACAGTATATATGTAGTGTAACATTCTACTTGTGTTGTGATGGTGGTAAGGAAGACAGTATATATGTAGTGTAACATTCTACTTGTGTTGTGACAGTGGTGAGGAAGACAGTTTATATGTAGTGTAACATTCTACTTGTGTTGTGACAGTGGTGTGGAAGACAGTATATATGTAGTGTAACATTCTACTTGTTGTGATGGTGGTGAGGAAGACAGTATATATGTAGTGTAACATTCTACTTGTGTTGTGACAGTGGTGTGGAAGACAGTATATATGTAGTGTAACATTCTACTTGTTGTGATGGTGGTGAGGAAGACAGTATATATGTAATGTAACATTCTACTTGTTGTGATGGTGGTGAGGAAGACAGTATATATGTAGTGTAACATTCTACTTGTTGTGATGGTGGTGAGGAAGACAGTATATATGTAGTGTAACATTCTACTTGTGGTGATGGTGGTAAGGAAGACAGTATATATGTAGTGTAACATTCTACTTGTTGTGATGGTGGTGAGGAAGACAGTATATATGAAGTGTAACATTCTACTTGTTGTGATGGTGGTAAGGAAGACATTATATATGTAATGTAACATTCTACTTGTTGTGATGGTGGTGAGGAAGACAGTATATATGTAGTGTAACATTCTACTTGTTGTGATGGTGGTGAGGAAGACAGTATATCTGTTGTGTAACATTCTACTTGTTGTGATGGTGGTAAGGAAGACAGTATATATGTAATGTAACATTCTACTTGTTTTGTGACAGTTGTGAGGAAGACAGTATATATGTAATGTAACATTCTACTTGTGTTGTGACAGTGGTGAGGAAGACAGTATATATGTTGTGTAACAGTCTACTTGTGTTGTGACAGTGGTGAGGAAGACAGTATATATGTAGTGTAACATTCTGCTTGTGTTGTGGCAGCTGTGAGGAAGACAGTATGTATGTTGTGTAACATTCTACTTGTGTTTTGACAGTGGTGAGGAAGACAGTATATATGAAGTGTAACAGTCTACTTGTGTTGTGACAGTGGTGAGGAAGACAGTATATATGAAGCGTAACAGTCTACTTGTGTTATGACAATGGTGAGGAAGACAGTATTTATGTAGTGTAACATTCTACTTGTGTTGTGATAGTTGTGAGGAAGACAGTATATATGTAGTGTAACATTCTACTTGTGTTGTGATAGTTGTGAGGAAGACAGTATATATGTAGTGTAACATTCTACTTGTGTTGTGACAGTTGTGAGGAAGACAGTATATATGTTGTGTAACATTCTACTTGTGTTGTGACAGTTGTGAGGAAGACAGTATATTTGAAGTGTAACATTCTACTCGTGTTGTGACAGTTGTGAGGAAGACAGTATATATGAAGTGTAACATTCTACTTGTGTTGTGACAGTTGTGAGGAAGACAGTATATATGAAGTGTAACAGTCTACTTGTGTTGTGACATTGGTGAGGAAGACAGTATTTGTGTTGTGTAACATTCTACTTGTGTTGTGACGGTTTTGAGGAAGACAGTATATATATATATGTTGTGTAACATTCTACTTGTGTTGTGACGGTTGTGAGGAAGACAGTATATATGAAGTGTAACATTCTACTTGTGTTGTGACAGTGGTGAGGAAGACAGTATATATGAAGTTTAACAGTCTACTTGTGTTTTGATGGTGGTGAGAAAGACAGTATATATGTAGTGTAACATTCTTCTTGTGTTGTGACAGTGGTGAGGAAGACAGTATATATGTAATGTAACATTCTACTTGTGTTGTGACGGTTGTGAGGAAGACAGTATATATGTAATGTAACATTCTACTTGTGTTGTGACAGTGGTGAGGAAGACAGTATATATGTAATGTAACATTCTACTTGTGTTGTGACAGTTGTGAGGAAGACAGTATATATGAAGTGTAACAGTCTACTTGTGTTGTGACAGTGGTGAGGAAGACAGTATATCGGGTATATATGTTGTGTCACATTCTACTTGTTTTCTGACAGTTGTGAGGAAGACAGTATCTGTGTGGAGACTCGGGTGCGCTGTCTAGTGGAGCTGGTGAAGCACCTACAAGACAACAGTGTCACAGGGGACTTCTTCATCAAGTTGCTCCAGGTACAGGAAGCTACATTCGCTGATCTACAAAGTAAAGATCATTCTTGAAATTTTAGAGCTTCAACATATAATGACGATAATTTATCATGACATTTGATTGGTGAGTGCGTATGGTTTTATGCTGCTTTTAGCAACATTCAAGCAATATAACAGCAGGGGACAACAATATATATATTCATATGTGTAACTAATGGGTAAGTATTTGAGTAAAATTTGTTTTCAAAATTGTCACTTACATTGCAAAGATGCTCCCATTGTCCAGTGCCTATGAAATCCTGATTTTCAATTAAATTCTGCTGGGAACGTCTCTGTACATAGATAATAGTCCCACCCATTATTTGTTAGTCAGCATAATTTCAGTGAAAACAGAATCATAAATTAATGAGGTTTCACAATATGATAACCATAATTTCTTTTGGTAGTTATGCATGATATGTTGTCTTGTTCATAGGAGCTAACCATGATGGTGTCATCTCAAACTGATGATGAAGACACAATTTCTGTCTTCTCCCCTGAGCCAGGGAAAGAGTTGTTAATGCTGGAGCTTCAAGATACACAGGAAGTGGAACTCTTCAATAGAAGGCTGATTGTGCTGAACCTTCTTGCCTCCATGTGTGAAGAGCTGGGACCGTCCTGTCTGAGAAAAACACAACACATTCTAGCATTTGTCAGAGTAAGTTGTTGTATAGCATGGCCTTACTTGTCCACACAACACTGATCTTTGAACACACTCAGTACCCCTTAACTTTGTTTCCCCTACTACATCACTAATCCCTGTGTTGCGTGTAATTTGTCATGCTTCCTTGGGCGTGACATCATCAAAGTGTGGGTTAAGATTATGTGCACATGTTCCTATTACGTTTTACAGCAATACTTAAATAATGTATGTAAACTCATGACAGACATCATAGATCTCAGATTGTATGTATTTAGACCAATTTATGCTTCTGGTTTTCAACTTGGATAAATTTTATGGGACCAGGGTGCAACCTGGTTTTGTCTGGTGCAACTAGGTTTTTCATGTCAACATGCATCTGGTGCATTTTAAATCAAGTTCCTTAAGTCGAGCCCCGTATAGCTTATCCATTTGCTTAAGTCGAGCCCTGTATAGCTTATCCATTTCCATAAGTCGAGCCCTGTATAGCTTATCCATTTGCTTAAGTCGAGCCCTGTATAGCTTATCCATTTGCTTAAGTCGAGCCCTGTATAGCTTATCCATTTGCTTACCATGCTTACAGTATTTTCTTGTGTACAATACACATGTGAGTATAATACGCACCCCTCATTCTGGGAAGCAGTTTTTGGGAACAATTGCTGTCTCATATATAATGCTCAGTTAGAAACTGCATTGTGTACCTTCATTTGAAAAAAACAAATGTGCAGAAGACAATATTGTAACATGCAGATGATTTTCAAAGTCATGTCCATGAGATGACTAAGTGGCCATTATGATTGCTATCACAGAATGGCAGCATTGTAGATATCAAAGTTTTACAGTGTATTATTGAGCATGTTGAGCTGTGTGGAGTTTAGATATCAGTGACCACATCTGGATGCAGGCTGCACTGGAGCAAGGCGTGGAGGTGTGTGGAGTTTAGTTATCACATGTCTGGTTGCAGGCTGCACTGAACCGAGGTTAGGAGGTGTTTGGAGTTTAGTTATCACATGTCTGGTTGCAGGCTACACTGGAGTGAGGCGTGGAGTTTAGTTATCACATGTCTTGTTGCAGGCTACACTGGAGTGAGGCGTGGAAGTGTGTGGAGTTTAGTTATCACATGTCTGGTTGCAGGCTACACTGGAGTGAGGTGTGGAGGTGTGTGGAGTTTAGTTATCACATGTCTGGTTGCAGGCTACACTGGAGCGAGGTGTGGAGGTGTGTGGAGTTTAGTTATCACATGTCTGGTTGCAGGCTACACTGGAGCGAGGTGTGGAGGTGTGTGGAGTTTAGTTATCACATGTCTGGTTGCAGGCTACACTGGTGTGAGGTGTGGAGGTGTGTGGAGTTTAGTTATCACATGTCTGGTTGCAGGCTACACTGGAGTGAGGTGTGGAGGTGTGTGGAGTTTAGTTATCACATGTCTGGTTGCAGGCTACACTGGAGCGAGGTGTGGAGGTGTGTGGAGTTTAGTTATCACATGTCTGGTTGCAGGCTACACTGGAGTGAGGTGTGGAGGTGTGTGCTTTAGTTATCACATGTCTGGTTGCAGGCTACACTGGTGTGAGGTGTGGAGGTGTGTGGAGTTTAGTTATCACATGTCTGGTTGCAGGCTACACTGGTGTGAGGTGTGGAGGTGTGTGGAGTTTAGTTATCACATGTCTGGTTGCAGGCTACACTGGAGCGAGGTGTGGAGGTGTGTGGAGTTTAGTTATCACATGTCTGGTTGCAGGCTACACTGGAGTTAGGCATGGAGGTGTGTGGAGTTTAGTTATCACATGTCTGGTTGCAGGCTACACTGGAGTGTGGAGTTTAGTTATCACATGTCTGGTTGCAGGCTACACTGGAGCGAGGTGTGGAGGTGTGTGGAGTTTAGTTATCACATGTCTGGTTGCAGGCTACACTGGAGCGAGGTGTGGAGGTGTGTGGAGTTTAGTTATCACATGTCTGGTTGCAGGCTACACTGGAGCGAGGTGTGGAGGTGTGTGGAGTTTAGTTATCACATATCTGGTTGCAGGCTACACTGGAGTGAGGTGTGGAGGTGTGTGGAGTTTAGTTATCACATATCTGGTTGCAGGCTACCCTGGACTGAGGTGTGGAGGTGTGTGGAGTTTAGTTATCACATGTCTGATTGCAGGCTACACTGGAGTGAGGCGTGGAGGTGTGTGGAGTTTAGTTATCACATGTCTGGTTGCAGGCTACACTGGAGTGTGGAGTTTAGTTATCACATGTCTGGTTGCAGGCTACACTGGAACGAGGTGTGGAGGTGTGTGGAGTTTAGATATCACATGTCTGGTTGCAGGCTACCCTGGACTGAAATGTGGAGGTGTGTGGAGTTTAGTTATCACATGTCTGGTTGCAGGCTACACTGGAGTGAGGTGTGGAGGTGTGTGGAGTTTAGTTATCACATGTCTGGTTGCAGGCTACACTGGAGTGAGGTGTGGAGGTGTGTGGAGCTTAGTTATCACATGTCTGGTTGCAGGCTACACTGGAGCGAGGTGTGGAGGTGTGTCGGGCCACCACGGAGGAGCTGACCGGGCTGTTTGAGTCGGAGACACTGAGTATGGCTATGGGGCTGCTGACGGCTGTCATGGGAGGAGCTGTGCAGGTAGGCCACTCTGTTGGTTGTACAAATAAAACTGACTGACTTTCATCCAATTTCATTATTTAATAATCAGATCTTATTTCTCGCTACCGCCTTACAAAGATCTGAGGACAGTCCGTTACGGATCACGTCAGAACGACTTTCCACCAACTTTGACTGACCAATGAAATGACTAACAAGAAGTCAACATTTGCCAATCAGAAAGCAGCTTTCTGTAGTTATACAGCACTAGTTTCAAACTGGAGACTTCCATATGAGACTACGCTTGAAAAATATGTTGACAAAGTTCTCAATTAAAACTTTGAAAAGAGAACAAAAGCACATTCTGGAATGTCTAATAGATTGCTGAAATTGTAGGGCAGCTATGCAATGTTTATCCCTTTGAAGCAAGGGATAGACAATGATTTTGACGGAATCGGTTGTACATTTGGAATACCCCATGTTAACCTTTTCGAGGTTGCATGATTAGAAACACATTCCGAATGTCACTTTCCTTATCTTGTTTGCAATGTTCTGATTGTCAGATGAAAGGTCCTTCTGATGTGACCCGTAATGGGATGTCCTCAGATCTTTGTTTTGCGGTACCAAGAACTAAGATCTGATTTTAATGAAATTCTTTTTTTTTTATAAATTTGTAAATTATTGAGGGATTTGTCATTTATTATTCGGGAGGCATAAAAATTGTTACATAAAATTCGGGGGTTGGCAAAATATGATAGAGTCCTGAGACCAATCTCTTTCTTCCCTCCCCACCTCCAAAATAAATCACCAGTCCCTCTCCGGACTGGCCTATATGCATTGAAATAAAAAATGGATGCAAATACTATCCATTGTCCTTGTGATGCAAAAGAGTTAGATTGTTTGAATGATTGAACTAATATTATTAAAACATGTATGTAAGATCTGATTTTTCTGTTTGGCTAAGACAGTGTGAATGAAATATTGTCCTGGGCATTAAGCACACATCTGTCAATTCTGCAACAGGTTGATGAGGCTGACAGACAGACGATGCAGGAGTTGTTGCCCCTACTTGATGGGATCAGACAGGAACATGCATCAGACGAAGTGAGAGAAATGGCAGATGATATTCGTATTGCCATAGCAACAAGAGGAGCAGTATGGTCAGAGCTGATGAAGAGCAAGGGAGATTTGAAGAAGCCAACATCACAGGTAACAGAATAAGCTTCAAAACGTAGCAGCAGAGGTAGAATTACAGTGTCTGATAGGCTCATGGGATCTACTTTTAGGATTCTGGGTTAGAATTGGTCAACCTTGTTAAACTATTGGATTAAATGGATTGAGTGGTAGGACTCAATGACTTAGTTGATAGCGTGCCAACGTACCCTGCTGTTGTGGATTGTTTCTTTAATAATAATCAGTGGATCGTTTGGTCCAGATTTGATTAGTTACTGGCCTCTGTCGTATAGTTGGAATATTGGTGTGTGCTGCATTAAAAAACACACACTGCAAGAGAAGCACCTGACCTTTTTCAAGAAAGACAACTTACTGAATTAGAAATCAGTGACAGTTGTCTTTGCTGGTTTAAAAAGATTAATTGGATATGGTGATTAAATGAGTAATGTTTCTCTCTTACTCAAACCAAGACCTTACCTGCATAAATACTACTTGGTATGAAGGTTTTCATTGTGTTTTGTATACACTTAAGCTATTTTGCCCCACAGTAGTAAAAATTGAACTCAAAAGAGTGTATGGGAATATGCACATGACCATTCTTTCACACTTTTAACAAATCCAAAAATGTAACCTAAGTGTCTGATAAGTACTGGGGTAAGGCTCTGTATTTGTAAAGCTCTAGTATCAATTTGTTGGATGAAGCCATTGTGTTATATACCATGTGGTAACATTTAGATGACATGCATGTGTCTGCTTGTACTTTAGGCAAAAGACACAGATGCCGCCAAGAAGAAGGTCACTGTCAGTAAACCTAAGAAACCATTGATAGAAGTCCTTTCAGAGACATCAAACGAAACTTTGCATGAGGTCAACAACTGTCAAGAAAGAAATATAAGTCCTCAAATGACCAGACACAATGATGAGGTCGATCACAAGCCAAGCCTTGAAACGCAGACAGGGCACATGAGTTCAGGAGTTCCACAAGAAGGACCAGCTCCACCTTACTCTGCATCATCTGAGCATCAACCCATGTCCTCTCCCCCGGAGGAAGACTCCCCTCATGTATGTGGGAGAGGAGGCTCTCCTGAAGCAGGTGCAGAAGGAGGCTCTCCTCACCCGAGTGGAGAACTAGAACAAGCCTTCAAGGAGCTATGTGACCCCGAGATCCCTGTCCGAGGTCATGGTTTGCTGCGTCTGACTCACCTCATACAGAATAAGGATTCCTCAGCTTTGTCTCGTCTGGAGACCTTGGTCAAGATATTTGAAGAGAATTTACAACATCAAGATTCCTATCTTTATTTAGCATCGGTTAACGGACTGGCTGCCCTCACTGACCGATACCCAGATGTGGTGGTGCCAAGACTTGCCAAGGAGTTTGCAGAGACAGGCCCTCAGAAGTCGGCAGAGCTAAGGATGAAACTTGGAGAAAGTTTAGTTAAGGCAGCAAGAAATTTAGGTATATTTCATTATAAAGGACATTTTGATTGTTACATTGCAATGCAATCATTGTTAGATGCCTGTTTTCAGTCCATTACATTTTTTTGTTAAGTGGAGTCTTTAAAATAAAATCATTCTGTCTATTTCATACGTTATTAGTTAAAACGTCCACATGTATGTCAGATTCCTGATAGGACTCACATCCTTTGTTGTACATGTACCCAAATCAATGGTAAGACTCAGGTCAGTGGTAGGACTCAGGTCAATGGTAGGTTTCCGATCCATGGTAGGACTTAGATTTGTGAGATCCATGGTAGATCTGTGATTGGACTGCGATCTATCAAAACTATGCTATTAGTATGTAACTAATTCTTTCCTGAAACAGGTGACATGATCCCCAAATATCGAGAGCTTCTACTTGCTGCTGTTTTGTCCGGAGCTAGGAGTGATGACGCCATGGTCCGTGCCAGCAGTTTGTCCAATCTGGCCGAGATGTGCAAGCTGCTGAGGTTCTCCCTCGGAAATGTGCTTCACGAGGTATACACCAGTGCCTCATTGCCTTTGTTGGGGAAAAAATTCAATGCTCTTTTAGGCTGTGTTTGAGAGCAGTATTTCCATTATTGATTCAAAAAAAAGTCTTGCAATAGTGTGAGATTCCATAAGTATCAAATATTAAATTTAATGTAAGATTAACAAAATTGTTAATTGCTGGATGCCGTAAACAAATGTGTTGTAAGGAATATTGTATGGACAAACAACCATGTCTGAAAGCAGTAGTCACTAAAAAATAATCCACTCTATAAGAGTCTGTTTATGGTCAGTCTGTATTAATCACCAAAGCCTATTCCTGAAAGTTGTTGTTTATGTAGATGTCTTCTATGAAGGGGCCACTGTTCTAATACCTTCCCTCCCACCACTAGGTGTTTGAGTGCTGCTCCAGCATCGTGAAGACTGACCTGGACCCTGAGGTCAGGAAGGCATCCATCTTGACAATAACCCAGCTGCTGCAGGGGTTGGGAGCTGATGCACCCAAGGTGAGTGTTCTTTCCTAATGGTTCTGATGTTGCCATGGAAACATCAACATTGATGTAGGGCATTTTGTGTTCTGATTCAAATGTCTTGCCTTGACAAGCACATGAAGCACTTTCATTTGGTTAACATCTTGCAACCATAGTTAGCTCCAACATTTTACAGATTTATCTAGCTTAAAGCAACTGATGGCAAAGAGTGTTTGGGACTAACGTGATCATCTTCTCCCGAATTCCATCATATTTCTGTTGATAGTGTTTTGTAATGCTTGTGTTTATGTTCTAGACATTGCAACTGAATTCATTTCTTTTTTTGTTTGACACTACTCTTGATCATTCTCTGTCCATCTGCAGTTTCTGGGGAGTGTGCTGCGAGACCTGTATCGGCTGCTGAAGCTGGTCCAGGCCTCTGATGGGGATGCCATGGTGCGCACTCACACCCTGCTGGCTCTCAATGAGCTGGACGTGATCATGAGGGCAGCACTCTTTCCTCAACAGAAACTGGAGAAGAAGATCACAATCCTGCATCCAGAGTGATGACACATGTGGAGCCAGGACAGACTGATGACACATGTGGAGCCAGGACAGACTGGTGACACATGTGGAGCCAGGACAGACTGGTGACACATGTGGAAACCAGGACAGACTGATGACACATGTGGAGCTAGGACAGACTGATGACACATGTGGAGCCAGAACAGACTGGTGACACATGTGGAGCCAGGACAGACTGATGACACATGTGGAGCCGGGACAGACTGGTGACACATGTGGAGCCAGGACAGACTGGTGACACATGTGGAAACCAGGACAGACTGATGACACATGTGGAGCTAGGACAGACTGATGACACATGTGGAGCCAGAACAGACTGGTGACACATGTGGAGCCAGGACAGACTGGTGACACATGTGGAGCCAGGACAGACTGGTGACACATATGGAGCCAGGACAGACACATGACACATGGAGCCAGGACAGACTGGTGACACATGTGGAGCCAGGACAGACTGGTGACACATATGGAGCCAGGACAGACTGGTGACACATGTGGAGCCAGGACAGACTGGTGACACATATGGAGCCAGGACAGACACATGACACATGGAGCCAGGACAGACTGGTGACACATGTGGAGCCAGGACAGACTGGTGACACATGTGGAGCCAGGACAGACTGGTGACACATATGGAGCCAGGACAGACTGGTGACACATATGGAGCCAGGACAGACACATGACACATGGAGCCAGGACAGACTGGTGACACATGTGGAGCCAGGACAGACTGGTGACACATGTGGAGCCAGGACAGACTGGTGACACATATGGAGCCAGGACAGACACATGACACATGGAGCCAGGACAGACTGGTGACACATGTGGAGCCAGGACAGACTGGTGACACATGTGGAGCCAGGACAGACTGATGACACATGTGGAGCCAGGACAGACTGATGACACATATGGAGCCAGGACAGACACATGACATATGTGGAGCCATATTTGCTGTAAGAGGCGAATAATGGGATCGGGTGGTCAGACTCGCTGACTTGGTTGATGCATGTCATTTTATCCAAATTGCATATATCGATGCTCATGATGTCAATCACTGGATTGTCTGATCCAGACTTGATTATTTACCCGCGTCATATAGCTGGAATATTGCTGAGTGCTGCGGTAAACAAGAAAACAACAAACATTGTGTTTCATCATTCCAGATGACATTGGACTTTCTTTGTTCCGATTGTCAATCACTGGTTTGTCTGGTCACAACCAGTTACAGGCTACCCTCACATAGCTGGAATATTGTTTATTTTTGATTGTGCCATTAAACACCAAGTCAAGTGATTTAGGTTCGGATATACCTATCTCTCTCATGCTGTAACATGTCGTAAATAAATATTCAAGATTATCTTATTTTGCCAGGTCTGTTTTTCTTGTTTTCTGAGGAGCCTACCCAAAAGTGTGCGTATGTAAACAAAAAAGAGAATTGTGCTTGCTTATTTTGAACAGCTTTTTCATACATTTCTTTAACACTTTTATTATAAGAGTTGTTGTTATCCCCCCGGCATATAATATGGGGGGATATAGTCGTTGCCTCGTCAGTCTGTCCGTCCGTGCGTCCACCTGCCCGTCCGTAATCATTTCGTTTCCGGAGCACAGCTCGAAACACTATTTTTCACAATAACTGCCTGATATATCAAACAGATCCTGAAGTGGTGCCTTTTGCTATTTGCGGATTTTGAGGATTTTTATTTTTTCTCGATTTCAATGGAAATAATTTTGACTTAGTCACAAAAAGGTGGTGGATTTCGTTTCTGGAGCACAACTCAAAAACCGTAAATATCTTTCAACATAACTTGGCAAATATATCAAACAGATCCTGAAGTGATGCATTTTGCTATTTGCAGAGTTTTTTGCAATTTCCATGGAAACAATTTGGACTTGGTCTCAAATGGGGGTGGTGGATAGCTCAATAACTACTCTTTTATACAGACAGACAGATTAAATAGACATTCTCTCATCAAGTCGGACTTAAAGCGAAAATCAGATATGTTCTTTCAATTTGTGGGGCCAGGGAGATCTTTATATTCTGATGACTTGATCTGAACTCAACCTTTTTGAATTTTGTTCTTTTTTCACCATCTTCATATTTTAACCATGAAAATATGTTAAACAACCATGCTAGACTCAGTTTAGAATAACAAATATAGCAGTACACCCAACCGAACCCACCAAAAGGACAAGACGAACATTGTATTGAGTACAGTATTTTAATCATTTCAGGTGAAATATGATAGTTTATTCTGGCACATAGCCAGCAGGATAGTTGATCTTGACATTGGCGGGACAGTTGGGGGTGGGGCAGCACTTCCCGGGGGCGGGGTTGTCCAAGTGGCAGCTTGGCAGCAGGTTCCAGTTCACACACCTGGGGAGAAATATAAACATTGTCAGCTCGGATGTAACATGCTTGTGAATTATCATTTTAGCTTAGATTGTTTTGTCATTTAGTTCAATGTCTGCACCAGGTGTATTGCTTTCAGAAATGATTAATATCATATGAGTATGATCCGATCCAGGGCTGGGATCGGTAACTCGGGTACTTGGATCGGGTGGTTCCTGAGTAGTACCCACAGGATTCCCCGGATGCATAACATAACATATTGTTTAATTACAATAACAGTTAAAGTCGCTTATGTTTGCACTTTCTTCTGACTATGCTCACATTCTTTCTGACGTTTATACATTTAAGTAAAGATAAAACTACAGTGTATGCGTTTTATATGTGTATCTTTTAGTTTTTGCCAGGGCTCCGGTAAAACCATTTCCAATCGGACATGTACCCAACTCTTGAGACCTACAGTGGGTACCCGGGTAGATAGGTTGGACTCGTCCCAGCCCTACTGAGGTCATACATGTTCAGGATCTCTGTCATGGATGACTCTGACAGTCAGTGGGTTCACCTGGATTTGCACTGGTAGTGTCCGGTCTTCCCATCAGTGCAGGTGCAGCGGTAGTCGCAGCCGTCGACCCAAGTCTGACCCTGTTGGTAGGACTGACCCTTGTACACACACACATCTGAAAACATGCGTGGAGACATTTTAGTTTAGCTGGCAAGAAACTATAGAGTGGAGTTTTGCTGGAATTCATTTATCTCCTATATTGTACTTCATGACACACGATGTAGACATGAGGCTTTACAACAAATATTTCCCTCTCTGAGATCTGTTGCAATATACCATCAATATAATGTAATTTTAATGCTATTTTTTGAAGAACCCAACTAAACACTCTTGTCATTGTTGGCTTACAATCCAAACCTGGAAAAATATATAGGCGATCCATCTTTTAAAAGTCAATATATGATTATACTCTTATTCAAAATTATATGTGATAAAAAATATGTTTTTACAATTGAAAGACAAACTATGAATGAGTGGTACATATAAGTAAAAGAAGGTATTAGTTTAAAATTTAAATTCTGCCTCAATCAATGAAATGACATGAGTTGGGCACCTATTGTTTGAAATTGTACATATAAGTTAAGTAAGAATTATTTATAAAATTTGAATTTTGTCAAAACAATTAAAGATGTGACAGTTGTGCACATACGGACAGGGGTAGGGACCCCAGACTCGCGTTGTTTGTCTGCACAGACCCCCGAGTCACGTTGTTTATCTGCGCAGACCCGAGACTCAAATTGTTTTTCTGCACAGACCCCCTACTCACGTTGTTTGTCTGCACAGACCACAGACTCAAATTGTTTGTCTGCACAGACCCCCTACTCAAATTGTTTTTCTGCACAGACCCCATACTCACGTTGTTTGTGTGCACAGACCACAGACTCAAATTGTTTGTCTGCACAGACCACAGACTCAAATTGTTTTTCTGCACAGACCCCCTACTCAAATTGTTTTTCTGCACAGACCCCCTACTCACGTTGTTTGTGTGCACAGACCACAGACTCAAATTGTTTGTCTGCACAGACCCCCTACTCAAATTGTTTTTCTGCACAGACCCCCTACTCACGTTGTTTGTGTGCACAGACCACAGACTCAAATTGTTTGTCTGCACAGACCCCAGACACACGTTTGTCTGCACAGACAAAGGAAGGACTCCCTGTACTTACTACTGAGGCTAGGGCAGTCAGGTTTAGCACAACAGGCTCCTGGTTGCTTCACCATCTGACATCCAGCTGGGAGATTCTTGTAGTTGGGGCACCTGGAGCAGAGTAGTGTCACATATATTCTCTACTTACATATTGGGGTATATCAATTTTTATTTACTGACCAATAACGAGTTCCTGTGCATGCTAGGGGATGCTTCAGATTGTAACATTCAAATACAGTGAAACTTCGTAAATCTGGACCCAGCTTTCCTGACAATGACTGTTGTGAAGATTTACATATATACACAGGTCATTACGCTGTACCATGCATCAGGGTTTTGTATTCTGGGGGTCACAATGTTTTCTACTGAAATGAGAACAATTGCGGGAATAATTGTCTAGTTTTACTTTGTTGAAAATGTTTTGAAATGGGCCGTTCTCTGTTAGATTAAGCCGTTATAGCTTTTTTCAATCAGATCCCATCTTCCCGAGGCAAGAGAGTTAACTGACTTTAAAAGTCCAGTTTGGACTTTAAAAGTCAGTTAACTCCCTTGCCTCGGGAAGATGCATGCATCCTGGAGAGTCCGACAGACGTGTAGCCTCTGTAATCTCTTGTATGTCAATGCACTTACTGTCTTACTCTATGACCTATGGTTTGTTTGTTATTGTTCAACGCAACACTCAGCAATATTCCAGCTATGTGATAGCGATCTGGACAATCCAGTGATTGACATCACGAGCATCGATCCACACAATTGGGATACGATGACATGCATCAACCAAGTCAGCGAGCCTGACCTCCCGATAGCGTTCGTCGCCTTTTACGACAAGCATGGGTTACTGAAGACCTATTCTAACCCGGATCTTCACGAATACCATGCCCTATGGTGTTCCTGGGCGATTAGATCCCAGGCACCCAAAATCCACTAATGGGAGACCCGTGGTTACAGTGTGTGACGTCATCGTGCCCAGACAGCGCTAGTGTATGGGTTACCTTGTCCGATTTTCCGTTTCTTTTTCAGGCTAGCTGACTTGCTGACTGTGGCCTTTAACAACCCCCTCACTCACTCACTCACTCATATGCACGCCGGGGATGCCTGACCCAGGTTCATTTAGACTGACACTTAGTCCCAGAAATGTTATCTTATTTAAAAATATATATCTACAAAATAAATAATAATCAAATTGAGCTTAGAACAGTCCTTAATTTCAGGAGCTGAGGCAATCTAGACTTGCCAAATACTTCTCGACTGGAGTTGGACTCCTTTTTAATTTATTCTCCAGGGTCTGGGAGACGGTCTAAGGTTCATTGATAACCTATGGTTTAGGAACTCATCTGGTCCACATTGGTGCTTGGTACTAATTCATAAGTACTGGATAAACGTTGGGTCAGTATTGATACTTACACAGACTGGCAGAGGTATTTTCCAATCTGAGCACTGACACAAGTACAGTTTTTGTCACAGCCATCTGCCCAAGAGTCGCCTTCGTTGTATGTTTTGCCCTTGAAGACGCACACTTGAGCTTTTGAAAGTAAGAGAAGGTTCACTCAATACATCATGCACTTATTCATATTTACACTTACAATAACTAAACATGTTATATATTAAACTTATTGTAATGGGCACCAAAGTAACATTCACTTTTAAAGCGTTGTTTAATGTAAACTGCCCAGCAAAAGAAAGTACACACCCATATTCTATGGTGGCTACAAATGAAACAAACACGAAATGGTTTTCGATGGTGATGTATTTAATACGGGTATCATAGTTGTGTTATTGGTCTTCAGTGTTCAGCGAGAGTTTTCAGCCTACTGACGTTTTGAAAATGTTTATAATTGTTTGGTCTAATCAAAATTTGCCCTGCAGTTTATGTTAAGTAATAATCATACAATTATAATGACATTTTCGGAACAAGAAGGAACGTCTTGAAGGAGCATGACATGTGAGTTGATATGATACAGAAATTCCATAAAATCCTGACTACTTACTTGATCCTGTGATGGCACCATTTGCTGTTGGAAAAATAATAATTGCTATTTAATTTTATTAAATTTATACCTATCAGTAAGTGATTGCCTCTTATGTACTGACCGTTTAGTCAATATTTATCACAATGTTTTTCAGACCATTTTCACCGAGGCTGTCTCCGTGGTCTAGTGGTAGAGCGGAAGGTTCGGGGTTCGATCCCAGGCCGCGTCATACCAAAAGACGTTAAAAGATGGTACTTGTTGTTACCCTGTCTGGCGTTCGGCATTAAGGGGCTAAAACAAGGACTGGTCGGCTCGGAGTCAGAATACTGTGTCTGAGTGGGGTATTCATGTTAAACTGCGGGATGGTATCTCATTTGGCTTGCACAATATATCTGCATCAGTCCGGACTTGTACAAGCAGCCACACACACACACACACACACACACACACACACACACACGTGCATGCACGTGGCCATGTAAGTGCAATAATCTTGAACGCGATGTTAAACCCAATTTTTTTACCTCACCACTTTCACCGACGGTGATCAAGTCATGGTGATATTTGATTGCAGTTTAAAAAAGGGAGGAAGCTGGCGTGGTAGCTAAGCAGAATATATGACTGCTGGCATAGCCACGTGGGGGGTTAAAATGGGTTCCAACCAACCTAAGCTGGTCATGTAAAGAGGCGACTTAATGGATCTAATAATCGGACTTGGTTGATTGCGTGTCATCGTACCCCGACGGCATGGGTCGTTGCTCTTAATAGCTATCACTAATTGGTCTAGTCGAGACGACCGCCTCCGTGGTCTAGTGGTAGAGCGTCCGCCCAGAGAGCGGAAGGTCCGGGGTTCGATCCCCGGCCGCGTCATACCAAAAGACGTTAAAAGATGGTACTTGTTGTTACCCTGTCTGGCGCTCGGCATTAAAGGGCTCAAACAAGGACTGGTCGGCTCGGAGCCAGTATACTGTGTCTGAGTGGGGTATTCATGTTAAACTGCGGCATGGTATCTCAGTGAGCTGGCACTATAAATCGGCATCAGTCCGGACTTGTACAAACAGCCACACAAACACACACACGTACATGAACGTCGCTATATAAGTGCAATAATCTTGGAAGCGACGTTAAACCCCATTTCACCTCACCTCTAGTCGAGACTCTATTATTAAGAGGCTCCTGGCATATATGTGTCAACAACAAACAAGTAACATACGGCATAAATTGCAGTACTGTGGACAGTTTTCCTTGGCCCAGTCCGAATACTGGCCACCACAGACCGTCTTCCCGTAGGCCGGACAATTGTTCAGCTTGTCAGCACAGCTCCCGCCCAGAGCGCTGGTAGTTTCTGGAATAAGAGGTTGCCATGCTAGACGTCAGAGTGTCGTTCTAATAATATCGATACTACCATAACAAACATATATGTTATACCATCCTCGATTAGCCAGTGTATTCGATTTACATTTTATGGTAAGTACAATATACTGGATAATCGAGGGTGCTGTATTTGTTACTCATGGAACACGTCGTTTCCAGAAATGTAATATTTTCCTGAAACATGTCACAGTGGCTGACATTTGTTTTGTTTTCTTGTTCCCCGTTGTATGCCGTTTCCATGGATGCAATGAAATAACTTATACGATAGAACCGGATTCTGTTCTATATATGGTGTTTTCTAGTTGTCTGACATATTATTATCATCATTATCATCATCATCATTATAATTATTATTATTATATGTATATCGCCACCGTCATCACAATAGGTATCAACATACAATGTACTTATATCATCTTTTCATAATTATTATTAACGTAGTTAATAAGCGATTGCGTAGCTTATATTTAACTCGTCACGCCAAAGGTCCGGGTTCGATTCCCCACATTGGTACAATGTGTGACGTCAGAATGTTGCTAAAAGCGGTGCTGCTATACATACATTGTTAGCGATTGATTTCGAATCATAATAATACTTACGACAAAGGTCACAAGTTTTTTGACAGTTGATCTGGGCGAACTCAACATAGGTAGAACACAGGTCACCTCCAAGGTCGGCACAATTTGGCAGCTTGTCCACACATTGTTGTGAAGAGGGACTTGTTTGTGAACTTCCCGCTGGTGAAATATAAGCACCGAGTGGCAACGATTAGTAAGAAGATCTGACCAGAGTGCACAATCGGTGATTTCAAAATCAAAACAAACTGTGATTATATACATTTTTTGATAACCGAAAACTGTTAATAATTATGAGATGGGGGTCTGTAATCTGGAATGCAACACAATAAAATAATCTGATTGTATATAAAACTCTTTTTTCTTTTTTTTAAATCTTCAGAAACCCTATCGTCAGCCTTAGAAAACTGTACAGCCTAAATCTTCAAAGAATATGACACCCGTGAAAATCCGGGTTAGAATTGGTCTTCAGCAACCCATGCTTGTCGTAAGAGGCGACTAACGGGATCGGGTGGTCAGGCTCGCTGACTTGGTTTGATGCATGTCATCGTATCCCAATTGCGTGTATCGATGCTCATGATATGAATCATTGGATTGTCTGGTCTAGACTCGATTTTTTTACAGAACGCTGTCATATATGGAAATGTTAAACAACAAACAAACGATTAAAACAATCTGCACAAAACATCAAACCATATTTAATCGCTTGATTGATGGTCGCTGTGATACTAGAACTCGGCAAGTTACCGCAATGAAACAAATATGTACCTAATGTGCTACCCCCTCCCCTCCCTACCCTTCGCCACCGGTGCGTAACGAAACTATGGCGCTCATGCATATGCATCGGGGTCAATCGTCGGATCGAGGTATTTGTTCCCGTGTTTACCACTGGGATGACAGGATCACCCAAGTAACGGTAGTATCCAGTGAGGCTGTTGTTTCGTTTGCAGCTGACCAGAGAAGAGCACAGTGGCGCTATCTGTATACTCACCACAGAATCCGCAACAGTTGGCCTGCGCCCACTGCGTGTATGTTGAACAAACGTCTTTCCCATAGCTCACACAGTTCTGGATCTTGTCTGTACATGTCTGGCGCTTCACGATCAAACCTGATACCCAAATAATAATAATAATAATGATAATAATAATGATGATGATGATGATGATGATGATGATGATGATGATGATCATCATCATCATCATAATGGTGAGGTTGATGATTACTAATGTCCATTTATAAGGCGCCACTCAATTCATCAAGTGAACGTTTACGAAATAATTACTCCGGTCACTGGATCACAGTGCGCACACATTTAATTATCAGTCACTTTACAATATCATCCTATCGGGTACCCATTCACTGCTGAACTGAAGAACATTTCGTTTGAGGAGACACCACATGTAGGCCGTGTTTCAGTGTGGGGCAGCACCCTCCAATACATTCCAAGGAGCCATGTTGCCGAGTAGAACGGTCACCCATCTCAGTGCCGTCACACATACACACAACACGATACACACCAAACCGAACCAAACCAAACAAATAATTGTAATTTTCTCAAAATAACGAAGACACGAAAGGAGATTTTTTTCAATAAGCCGCTTTCTGGAGATTGATTGGAAGGCTGGGATAGCCACGAACAAGGGAACGGTCATCTTCCCGAAGCAAGAGAGTAAATTGACTTTAAAAGTCCATTGGAAACTGGACTTTTATAGTCAGTTAACTCACTTGCCTCGGGAAGATGGGGAACGGTTTGCTGTGATCTTTTTCTTAACCATTACTGCCCTCACTAATTTTCCTTCAGGCGAAAATAGATTAAATTTAATGTTTTAATCCTTTCATTAAGAACATAGATGCTTGACTGAATCGTGTATACCTCTGCAGGCAACGGTTGATATGGAAGTAATTATGTTCCTTCTGAGATCGGTAAACATTTATTCATCATCCAATACTGTTTTCAACATTAACGTGTATTTATTGTTGGAGATAATTTTCTTAGGATTTCCCCTCGTGTCTTGAGGGGCGGTGGGAAGCCTAGCAGTTAAAGCGTTCGCTCGTCACGACCAAGACCGAGTTAGAATCCCCAATTTAATCCCCAATCCAGAATTTAAACATGTTTCAATAAAGTGCATATTTTAGGCAATAAGTCAAATAAGGATAAGATAAGTATAATATATTTTGAAATAAGATGTGCAAATCAGATACACAGGCACTTGCCTAACACATGGAGCACCAGGACTTACAACGAACTTGGTACGATAGCATCCCATGCTTGTCGTAAGAGGAGACTAACGGGATCGGGTGGTCAGGCTCGCTGACTTTGCTGATGCATGTCATCGTATCCCAATTGCGTAGGTCGATGCTCATGATGTCAATCACTGAATTGTCTGGTCCAGACTTGATTATTTACAAACCGCCGTCATATAGCTCGAATATTGTTGCGGCGTTAAACAACAAACAAACAGACAAACTAACTAACCATTAACCATGATAAATCTAGAAACCAGTAAAAAGCTGAACATGAGAAGCCAACAGGTTCCCAAGACAAAGCCACATCTAGTTCGGCTAGAATAGATTGTGAGCTGGTAACCAACCGAGGAATACATTTCGTCAGCATTTAAAAGACCTGTCACTCGCCCAAAATTAAAAAGAATAAACAAAACGAACAGGCATTAATACGTGTTAGAATGAATGAAGACATGTTAGTGTTAGACATTCAGAAAAGCATGTCAGCTCGGTGTGAGAGGAAAACCTTTCGTAGCGTAGTCGGAGATCAACGGATCCTGGAATGCTTAAGGGACGCAATTCTGCACATGGAATTTATACGAACGGCTCCCCTTGCCTCCAATTTTGTGTTAGCCGAAATTACAAAATAAATAATATATGAAAACACATAATCCTTATGTAAGCGTTTGGTTTCAAATTCAATTGAGCTTTAACAAATATGTATTGAGTGAGTGACTGAGTGAGTTGGGTTAAACGCCGCTTTTAACAGTATTCCAGTTATATCACGGCGTGTCAGCTTGATGTGGGAGGGAAGCCCGAAGTGATGCAGGTCTCAGACGTTCACCACTTCGGTTAAACCCACGAGCACGGGAATGGTGCTGACAAACCTAGAAACATAATCGGGTTGAACGGGATTCGAACTCACAATCATAGGTTTCTGGCGTTCCTAAGGGACGCAACTCTGCACAGCGAATCTTGGCGCCTTAGACGACTGGGTCACCTGTGCCCCCCAAATATGTATTGAAGAGATTACATGTACGTGTACTTACCCGATACCGAGGCTAATAAAGACAGGAGTATAACAAGTTTCGTCATGGTGAATTGTATGAGATGACTTGTATGTTGCAGTGGACGAGAGATGCTCTGCTTCGGGTTATATAGCGATGCTCCACCTACCACAGTTATAACGAAGAGATTAGTTACAGTCCTTGACAAGTGACCCCCGCCCATGTTGTACGCTCACCCCCGTTGTTTGCGCGGAACTACCCCCACCAAACTGTGATTCACACACTGATAATCACCCCCAGAACTTGTTTGAAACAACGTCATTAGAGAAATGGAAAACTTACAAGTCTGGGAAGGAAAACAGGGTACAGTAGATAGGGATTAACTGTCTGTTGATGCGGTCCACCTTGTCAAATAAATATGTGGACTTCGAATCATGTTTATTTCGGATCCCAATTTGGGATAAAAAATGTACCGAAAACAGCATTCCTTCTAATTTTGGACTTTCTTTATCTTTTACGTGAGAAAGAGTAACCAGATAGTCTAAATAAGGCCATTTTCTACATGTCTCGTCACAAATAAAACATTCCAGAAATGCATGGACTTTTAATTAATTTTTGTAAAATATCAGCTGAGAAATGTTGAGGATGAACTTAACTTGGTTCCTAAATGGCATTGGGTATTTCTGTGTTAAAACAGTAACTGGCATATTTGAATTTAATTATTCAGTAGTATTTTTCGTGATGTTATGCTTTGCATTGAAATGTCCTTTCACTTTGGAATCGTCAAAGTGAGCTTACGTCATGCATGGGTTTGCGTCCGCCTATAATCAAATATCACTGTTTTGAGCACGTGCGTGTTTGGTTTATTGCAGTGAACAGTAATTCAGGTAGGGGCAGACCGTTTGATAATTGGATGGGGTGGTGTGGGGTGGTGGCCAAGCCGTAGCCAGCTCCGCCAGTGGAGCCCTTCGTCTGCAAATCTCCAAATACACTAATTCGTGGAATATACTACAATACTTATTCGAAGCTCTACCTTTCTTTAAAATGGGTGACCGAAAAATATAGATCGGTGATATGTTGTACATGTACCATATCCTCAATCGACGCAGTTTAAAACCGAGCAATAATGTTTTTCATGGGACTGAGGGAGTATGACCAAATAAGGCAGTCAGCGGGGATATAGGTTGGCTCCCACCCACAGTACGTCAATGGGAAAGTGTGACCAAGCTCGACAAACATCTCAGTCAAATTCCACGAGACAGTGACAAGGAAAGTGTTCAGCTGGACTAATCCAAAGGCAGAAGTTAACAAAAGAAATTGTAACTTCAGAACCCATACTAAATTCAGAAGTCTCCATATTGAACATTTTGCACCTGACAATACATTCAATGTACATCACATATGATCCGAAGTAAGAGAGACAGCCTTCACTAAATATCAACAAGTCCGGCGAACAGCAGTAAACTGCATTCGTCACCACTCGCCCCTTTCCGTAACCTGCATTCGGCTTGTCCCGGAATAACACGAGTTAGTCACGAATGCAGTTAACTCATCTCTTGGCAACAGAGGCAATGGAAGGGAGAATCTACGCCCGAATAGCACCTTCAAATCTGAATATAATGTAGAAGCGTATATCCGAATTGCAATGGCAAGATGTCACGGGAGAGCTCTGGCGGTTTCCAGAAGTGGCGTGATTCCTATTCGTATTGAAACTGGGCGCTATCGAAACTTCCGGGGGCACTGGTGGCCCAGTCGCTGTGCTGAGTTGCGTCCCTAGGGCACGCCAGAACCTATGATCGTGGGTTCGAATCCCAGTTCGCTCGGATTCTGTTTCTAGGTTTGTCAGCACCATGTCCATGCTCGTGGGTTTCACCAGTGGTAAACGTCTAAGACCTGTATGACTTCGGGCTTTCCTCCCACATAAAGCTACCAGATAAATGGTGCATCTCGAGTCATGGTTCTATGACGTCACACGTTATGCGTTATGCGCATCTGTTCAGACAACATACCAGTATGTTCGTTTGTGCATCGAACTAATCTAATATCTCTTGAATATGAGTTAGTCGTCATATATTAACCAACACGTATGGTATTCGCGTTTCTTTTGGTGGTGAGTATAGTTTAAGCTGGTTTTATTTTATCAAGCCCTTTATGTGCCAAAACCTGCAAACGTATTTTAGATAAACGTCAGTAATTCCTGTATCGAAGCTAGAATTCTACGTTTTTATTCTATTGTATTTTATATTCTTTTACTTTTGTCCCTTGTATATAAGATTTGCTGTGTTGTATTCAATACATTATAAACCACCAGTTATATATATCACCAATTGGAGTGGCTCTTTTTAGTTCCTGTGAATTTTATTTTATATATGTATATATGGAAAAATGAGACTTTAATAAATTGTCTATTTGTCTGTCTGTCTTCCTAACACGGCTAAGTGATGCAATTCAGCACTGTTTAAAAGTGGTTCTATGCCATATTTGGAAGAGCTGGAATCACTCTTTTAAATTTGAATTTTGAATTTTGAATATTTCCAACTACCAAATACTGTTTTGAATAAAACAGTATTTGGTAGTTGAAAATATTTTATTGAAGCAAAAGACAACGTGAATATAAAGGCTAGTATTCACTTTTGATAATTATATAAAAGACATCAGCTGATCAACATTAACCGACGTGTATTATATTACAGCCACGTCCTGAAACGTCAGTCACTCTGGTGACAGAAAATATAACGAAACGCGCTCGGTTCCATACTACCAAGGATGAATATACAGAAAAATACCTCGAGCATCTCTCTCTCTCTCTCCCCTCCCCCCCCCCCCCCCCTCTCTCTCATTGTTATAATTACATCAACATGGGTATACAAAATTTCCATGATTCTTGAGAAATATCAATAAAACTAATTGTAACATAGCCAGGTTTTACCTAGCACAGTTTCAGGACATACTAGGCGGCTGACCATATTTATACCGCTAAATAAAGGAGTGCCTGTCTGGTTTATCGTGTCATTTTGATAAGTACCTCTAGTGAGACCAATGGAGTCTTTTTTCTTTCAGTAACGGTACAATGTTTAAGCAGGCTTTGATTACGTCATTACTTTGCCAGACGTGCCTATCTCTCGTGCCGTCTACGGGTAGGTCTATATCAAGAGCAGCACACGGCGTTAAGTTAGATATCTAAGGTAACTCCAGTATGGCGTCCCGGATAATCGCCGTGCTGTCGTGCTGCCTCGCCGTGTCTCTCGGGGCCGACGTTGTCAGGCAGATCACAGGTTAGTTAGGTGACGTCACTAAGACATTAACTTACGCCTTGGAGAAAATTGCTGTTTGCGAGTGTTTACGTGTCACATATACTGTACGCTTAATGTGTATCTGACAAGGCGCGCTATCTTTTGTTAGTCATTGCAAAGCGATCAGGAGTCGAGAATATTAATTGTCACTTAATTTGGCGAACGTTCTAAGCCGGTAATTATTTTAATAATATAAAAGTTTCCTGAAATCGATTTTGAATGTGTATGAAATTATTTTGAATTTAAAAATTAACGAACAGTTGTTCCAGATCCAAGGATTTTAAATTGAAGCATATTTTAGTTCTTAAAGCCGTCGTGCCATATATGTTACCTATTTGATAAGAGTACATCTGCTTTCATATCGCAGGGTATACCTATTTCGCAAACGTTTTCTAAGTAGTATTCACTCACTCATTCACTCTATAAAAAACAGTGTACGGTACCCAGATAATGGTAGATTGCATTTGAAAGCAATGACACTTGCAAACCCACAATATAGAAATATTTCAATCAGTATTATGAAATCAACTCAATGGAAAATTATATGCCCTTGTCTGTGACTCTCCTAAGAAAAAACTGAAACATTTGGCTTTGCAAAAGCGGACATGTTTTGTTTAAAACAACTATGATTTTTTAAAGGTAAGGTTTGAACTTTGTTCATCAAAACACACAAAACCTTTTTCTCTCTTTTGACAATATTTAATAGATTACCCATTTGCAGTCGAGCTTTATGGAAATAATTAAGGCCTTAATATTTCAAGAAGACTTGCAAATGCATGGTATATGTGTCAGTATGTTCGTAAAATCTTTCTTAAAAAGACACTAATGGCTAATGTATCGCTCGTTTGTTTGTTTGTTGTTTAACGCCGCACTCAGCAATATCACAGCCATATGGCGGTGGTGCTAATGTTTTGTGACTCCCCATAACAAAACAGAAAAGCACACATTCCGTGGGTAATATCCGGTTGTTGCTCTTAATCACACAACTTTTCATGCAGAATGATATTAAGATCTTTTATATTTTTCACATAAACATTTTAAGTAACCGGTATCATACCATCATCACAGGGATTGAGTTCGTGAATGAATGTAGTTTTACGACGTATTCTTCAATATTCAACCTGCAAAGTATGGACAAGACAGACCAAGGGTTGATAGTATGAACAACAAACCTTTCCGACACAAAATCAACAGTTTTACACTTTGTAACAGCAACTCATTCAGTACTGGGAATGACCCTATGGACTGTTGAGTGGTATAACCAATGATCACGCGCGTAACCGGGTGTCCCGCGTGCGCTATCTCATCACGTGGGGTCAATGAGACACCAAGTCCCCGAGTTCTGGCTTGGGGAAACTTGACTTCAGAGTGAAGTTAATTGGTCTTTATCTTTCGGGATGATAAAATCCCTACATCCCATAAGATGAAGACACCCTGGTCTGTCCCTGCCGTCTCTATATGTATTCAGTTTGTGAGCGAGTGAGTGAGTATGGTTTTACGCCGCTTTTAGCAAAATTCCGGCAATATCACGGCGGGGGACACCAGAAATGGGCTTCACACATTGCACCCATGTCGAGAATCGAACCCGGGTCTTCGGCGTGGCGGGCGAACGCTTTAACCACTAGGCTACCCGACCGCCCCTATTCAGTTTGTAGGCGCACAGGTTGTACATTGGTTGTTTCCCTTGGTTGTACCAGGATTCGCACAATGCCCTCGCTGGTTGGTTTCACCAAAGTAGTACCGTCTAGTATCTAGTTTCGGTTTAACAAACCTAGTTTAAAGCCAAAAATCTGGTTTACATTCAAGAATCTAGTTTACATTTTACATACCCAGGGTACACACATGTATCTGTTTACATTTTACATACCTAGGATACACACAAGTATCTGTTTACATTTTACATACCTATGGTACACACACGTATCTGTTTACATTTTACATACCTATGGTACACACAAGTATCTGTTTACATTTTGCATACCTAGGGTACACACAAGTATCTGTTTACATTTTGCATACCTAGGGTACACACAAGTATCTGTTACATTTTGCATCGTCTAAGGCGCCGCGATTCGCTGTGCAGAGTCGCGTCCCTTGGGTACGCCAGAAACCTAAGATTGTGGGTTCGAATCCCGGTTCACCCCGTTTATGCTTCTAGGTTTCTAGACCTGCATCACTTCGGGCTTTCCTCCCACATTCAGCCGACACGCCGTGATTTAACTGGAATAATGTTAAAAGCGGCGTTAAACCCAACTCATTCCATGGTACGCATTTCTTATGGCGGTGAGTGTAGTCCATTCTCTGTGTACATGTATGTAGTTTATATTCTACGTATCTATAGTTTAATCCCAAGTATCGGGTTTATGCTCTCTGCGCCTAGTTTATGGTCTACACATCTGGTTTTCGTTCGGCCTAACTCTATTACGCTTTGTGTGTATAGTGGGCGCTATACTGTGTTTCAGTCTGTACTTACAAGGGCAAGACGTACCAACAGGGGCAGACATGGACTGAGGGCTGCGAGGAGAGCTGCGAATGTGTCGACGCTTCTAAAGGCTACTACAAATGCAAATCGCTGTAAGAATTTTCAGGCCTGAAGAATATCAGATTATCCTAACTTGTCTCTTCAGTCGGATATAATGAACCTTATTCTAAATTCCCAGCGGTAATCGACGTTCTTATTCCATCCGACCGCCTCAGTGGTCTAGAGAAACAGCGTCCGCCCGGAGATCGCAAGGTCCGGGGTTCGATCCCCGGCCGCGTCATATCAAATTGTTACCCTGTCTGGCGCTCGGCATTAAGGGGCTAAAACAAGGACTGGTCGGCTCGGAGTCAGTATACTGTGTTTGAGTGGGGTATTCATGTTAAACTGCGACAGTCCGGACTAGTACAAGCAGCCGAAGGCGACGTTAAACCAATTTGACCTCACCTCTTATTCCATCCTCGATTATCCAGTGTATTGTACCTCTATTCCTTAAGAATAAATATCCTGAACATTTCCGCAACTATATTCGAAAGATAAATAAATGGCAAAACAGATCTCTAAGCAGATTACTGAGCGAGAGAAATGCTGCGCTAAGCTGCTGATAAGTGAGACGGAGTTGGTGACGTCACTTCCGTAATGAAACTATAATGGCGAATGGGATGTCCAACGCACCCAGCAATGCTTTGTACACTTCCATGTATATTGTAAATATGTTACCATATTGTTCCTAATGACTTTAGTGTATCAATTTCATCTAATTATTAATTACGCGACCTTTGTATTAAAAGTGGTTTTAATTCCCTTAATTTCTTGCGAACTCTGCAGTCCAAAAGACCATCTTTGTCTTAAAAGGGTACTAGGTTCAGGCAATTTTTATTCAAGTCGTTTAGACACCATTTTGTTTTAAAGTTCATGAGGTGTGTTAATCTGGCTGCAAATAATTATGCTAATAAAAACACGATATCCGTGTTTCACACAAAAACGTGTTCATCTGAACTGAAAAAGTACAATGTACATTTGTGGCGCGTAGTCCCTCGTTGAGGTTCAAACCAACACCGGTGGCCCAGTTCGCCGCAATTCGTCACGCAGAGTTGCATCCCTTGGGCGTACCAGAATCCTGTTAATTCCAGATTCGCCCTGATTATGTTTCTAGATTTGTTAGCACCATACCCCAAGTGGTAATCGTCTGAGAGCTGCATCATTTGGAGCTTTCACCCAACGTCATCACTGTCAAGCTGACATGCCGTGATGTAACTGAGATTCTGTTGAAAGCGTCCTTTAGCCTCAATCACTCTCTCAACCCAACAGATACAATGACCTTTAGTCAAGAGTGACGGAAAGGTTGCCGAAGGATAGGTTTAAAGAAATATCTTATCTGCCCTACTGCCGTAACCGCGAGCTGCATATGTAGGTGTCCTTTGCTATATTTGAAATGCACTATCTTCACTATCTGTATTTTAACTCTGTGTGAGAAGGAAATCCGATAAACAGGTGTTTGTGAGAGTGGACGGGTTATGAAAAACCCAAAATGAAGATAGCGCATTTATAGTTGAGTGTAAAGAGGTAGAGTAAAATATGAAAATTGAATATATTTTTGATGAACGCAGAAGACATCTGCTAAATGTATTAGGAACAAAAGTGGAGAGGTCATAATGAAGGGCTATTTTCCATACGTGCGTATGTTAAATTATGTTAGAATATTGTTGTGAAAAATATGTATGTATGTCATAATTATTCTCTTTGTTTCAAAGAAAGACACACACGAATATGTCATTTGATAGCCTCAGCTCTATAAATAATATCATATTGGGGAAAGATATATGAAATTGCAGTTTATACATTAAAAATATAAACATAAAATTCAGTTTCTCTTTTCGAATCCGGCTTTGCCTTAAACATCGAAAAAAGACATAAATGTGATACTGGTTTCTAGATTTAGTTACTTTTTATTTCGACCAATATCTCTCTTTACATTCGTTTTCATAAGAATAAAGCGTTATGGGAGAGACGCCTTGTGTGGAGATATGGTTATTATCCTCAGTGGGAAATATTCCAAACTGCTTCTAAATCATCTTTTATTTATTTCCGATACCCGAAATGTTCTACTGATATTTACATGTATGCATGGCCGTATCATAGTGTACATCGCTCATCATGCTCAGAACGAGAGATATTCATTAGGAACTCCTTGTTATATGAGGTAGGCGATACAGTTTGAACCTGATTTAGTAATTCAATCATACCAAAGAAACATTTATGAATCAACAATGAGGAATCATGCTGTTTCCAACTAGTCTTTGATATAGGCTAGTGGACACGCTGGTGGTTAGAGGAATCACTGGGTTGTCTAATCGAGATTCGATTTTTTATAGGCCGCTATCATATAACTGGAGTTGTGCAAACAATCAAAGCAAAGAAGGAATCGGGTGTCTACACTTTGTCACGTGTGCCACGGCAGCGTTTCTCGACAGTAGTGGACTGTTGCTCATATTACTTTGCCTGGTCCAGACTCTTTTGTTTACAGACCTGGGCCCCGTTACACAAAGCGATCGTAGCGCTAAGGTGATCGTAACTACTATACTTAAACATAGACTTACGACAGTCGTAGCGCTTCGATCGCTTTGTGGAACGGGGCCCTGCATGAAATAGCTGGAATCATATTGATTGCGGCGTAAACCAATATGCACCCCCAAGTTTTTAAATCATAGACGTATGGGAGATTGATACATATACATTCCAAATTGCACTCATTAGTGACTCATTAGTAGCATATGTTCACGTGTTTTACAGGTGTACACTTGACTTGCCTTTGCATGTGTTTGGGACGAGTGCCACCTATGGGGCAGGATGCGCTCACTTTTTCGCGAACACTTTGTATCATCACTATTTGATAGTGATTCACAAATAAATCTTTCCTTAATCGTACAGATGCCAAGTTTACAGCAATCTGCCTCCGAACTGCCCCCTGACCAAGGCCCCAGGGGAGTGCTGCAGTAAGCCCTCGTGTGGCTTCACCGGTACTGGGGGCACCTCTACTGGCACTGGACAAGGGCAAAGTAGGTTTCCTAGCATTAGCGCCATGGTTAATCTATCGCCTCCATTTACTTTTTACTCAGTCGGACTCTCCTGACAAAGACATGGCCGCCGTGCCAACAGCTGAAATACAAGCCATTATACTCCTCTTCAAAAGTTAAGACTGCATAAGTTTAATTGTGCACCACCCTTTCTGAAGAAATATATACCATATTATATCAGTATTCTATAACCAGTTTCTTAATGTTGAGAAAGTTTGGGTAGATAGCTGAGATGATTCTCGATCATGTGAACGGAGTTATCGCGCTGCGGTCAAGGTCACAGCCAACAGGACGTTGACCACGAGACAGGAATTTTGACCGTCTGTCTGTTGAGCACGTGCCTGAATGAACTGATAACAATATGTATGTGTACTAGAATTGAACCGATGATAAGCTATGATTCGTGCTGGAAGATACTCCATTATCAGGATTCGTGGGTACCAAACCATTCCATATAACCATTCTTAAAGTTCATCAATGTACTGGGTACAATGTGTCAAGCCCATTTTTGGTGTCCCCCGCTGTTATATTGCTGGAATATTACTAAAAGCGGAGAAAAACCATACTCTCTCACTCACCCAACAATATACGTCCTCATCTATACATGCTGTTTACAAGTAAATACCTATGGAATTTATTAAAAATATTCTTATGATGAGAAGGGGCGGTTGAGTAGCTTAGTGGTTAAAACGTTCGCTCGTCACGTCGAAGGCCCGGGTTCGATTCCCCATGTGGGAAGCCCATTTCCGGTGTCCCCCGCCGTGATATTGCTGGAATATTGCAAAGAGCGGCGTAAAACCCAACTCACTCACTCTTATGAGAAGAAACGTTTCAATTTATAGAACTAAGCCGGTTATTAGAACTTAAGTCAACTCAGACTCTAATGTATGGTGATGATGAATTGTGATCCTCGTTGTTTCAGTGACCGGAACAGGCACAGGTAGGCCATTTCATAATCACAATTTACACACCTGGTCTTTCCCACATTTTGACCATAAACATGTTTAGCTGTTAAACTCAATCCTAAACACGTCAAAATTATGGGAAATGGAGGAAGTTTAGGTTTGTGTTTAGAATCTAAAACTTTTTTTTACGTGTAGGAGTCGCGTGAGTTTTCAGACATGGCGTTATATGGTGATCAGAAATACAAACGTAAAGTTAAAGTAAACTCGGGCTAGGTCTGGGACCTAAACTTCACATACCTTAACAACTATGAAGCTTTATGTTTCTTTACAAGGTGGCTATTTTCCAGCAATAGAAAACATGTCGCCATCATCGTATTTTATAATTTTATAAGACGTTAATCTCAGGTCTCTCCAACAGTCAACTGTGTGGATAAACTCACCAACTGCAAGACCTATGGCACCACCACTTGTAACGACCCTCAATACGCCACGTGGGCGGCCGAGAACTGCGCCTTGACCTGCATGAAATGTGAGTTCAGCCAGAACGGGTACAGACTTCTTGTCCGCTATCCTGTGACCAGTGATATTGTAGCCGGGCTAGTCTCTATCGCGTCTACAAGGTAATATAACACTGCTTCAAGAGCTTGAACATATTGACAGCCATCATGGTTAGACAGTTTAATTCACTGCATGTGTGTAAGCATGTGTTTACCGGAAAGATACTTCGAAGGATGACTACGTGGTAATATATATTCTATCCGACATTATCTCAGGTGGTACAATGACGGGAACTGGAACCGGAACTGGAACGATGACAGGAACTGGAACTGGAACGATGACAGGAACTGGAACGATGACAGGAACTGGAACCGGAACTGGAACGATGACAGGAACTGGAACCGGAACTGGAACGATTACAGGAACTGGAACAGGAACCGGTACTGAGCAGGACTACACTGATAATATTGCATTTAATGTATATAAACTAGTAAAACATTGCTCAATGGTTCTCAGACTAAATATCGGTGTCACCAACTCCACCAACTATTGCCCAACATTAATGTAAACATTTAGTTAAGTTCTCCAAATCCAATGATATCCTAGCGATGTTTTCTGGGTATATAGAAAGTAATCGCGGAGCTTGTTTTCGTATCGCAAATAATCATATAATATGAACAACATGCTATGCAAAATGTAAGACATATGTTTTATTCCTTATATATGATATTTATCATACGGAAAACACACGACTTACGTTTAAGACTTACTGCTGTTCTCTAGTGTAACTTAAGAAGCCGCGTAGGAATATAACACTTGAGTGAACCACCTCATTTATGATAGTGTCACACTGATTTGCAGCCATGCTTGTTTACATAAGCACTCACACGTCGCGAACCACTATTTAATCATTTAAGAAACGCTTTTTTGCGATAGTTATTGAGAAAGTAAACACCATGTCGATGTTCAGAGCTTACTAAAAGTAGTTTCTGCTACGTGACCTCATATTTATCTGATTGGTGTATCGCATGGATAACACCACACTCAAGCGCACTGATGACTTAACGCCCATAACACCACTGCCACAGGCTAATTTACATATCACCTGACCGGACTGGACTTTTCTCTTGTTTGTAAACAAACGCGTATATTCTGAAAACAAAATAGACTGGTCTAATTCAAGTCTTTTGGGGCGCTTTGCATATTGTTCACCATAGTTACATAATGTATATAGATATGCTAATACAACTGCGACAGTGAGGTGCATGGCAAAATATCTTTGTACATCAAAGTGGCCGTATCGCTACCTCGACGTATGGCTTCGACGACAGCACGTGGCATTCGTTGCTAACTCGTCCCATTCCTGAACAAGCCGAATGTAGACTCGTGCCCCTTTCTGAGCATTCGTGACTAACTCGTGTTATTCCGGGACAAGCCTTCTTTTCGTGACTAACTCGTGTTATTCCGGGACAAGCCGGATAGCGACTCGTGCACCTCTCATGGCCATTTTTGCGACCGGGTTCCGTCTTAGCGCAAACCGGCATACCTAAAACAATTGTCAACTCGTTGTGTAATGGTTCACATATATTTCCCAATATATTATATATATTTCAGATACAATTTAAAGCACATCGGGTCATGCGGAATTATACAATATGATTGAACACATTTAACTGTCACCGTGTCTTGGGTATATTTTTGGATATATATCAAAATTTATTTCTGAGGGATTCTTTGACGAAGAACTTGAAATCATACGCGCATTCTAATTGGTTTGTCGTATTTTTGCACATAACATTCATCGATAGGGGGACGAGTCTTTTTGTAGGTTACGGAAAGGGGCGAGTGGTGACGAATGCAAGCCTTCTTGCAGGTTACGGAAAGGGGCGAGTGGTGACGAATGCCTTTCTAAGGATTCTGTATTGGCGTATGAACACGAGAAATACTCCGAACAAGAACGATGGGGTGGCGAGACCGGCCATTTGGTTGACTGGTGCCATCATACCTCGACCGCGTGGATCGTTGCTTACAATATCAATTACTGGTTTGCCTGGTGGTGTCTCGATGATGTACGGTCAGCCGTCATAGAGGAGGAACTTTGCTTAGTGCGGCGTTAAACAGCACACAAGCTTTAATATTCAAAGCTTGTTCAAATTTGAGATGTTAAAAAAGGAAGCATTACAATCTTATCAACTAATGTAAAGACATGTAGCTTTTTAAAAAAATATGTGCTAGATATAACATAAATATCTTTAACCGATTTAATTGTGTGGGAGTAACATACGAGGCTCTTACAGGTTAGATAAACCAGAATATATGTACGTCACCCATTTAGGTAATTTAAAAGCCATAATATATATTAAATTAAGTTTTCATTAACAATTTCTGTCAATATTTAATGGTGATCTTTTTAAAAGAGCTTTATTTTCTTTTACAAACTTCGAAATAATTCGTTCGAATCTTATATATCTTTTCGTTTATTATTTGTGGTATATAAACCATCATGTGGTTGTGCATGTTAATTGAGGAATCCATTTTTCTTCTACCAAATCTGCATTTGTTTTTAGTTATCTCTTGTTAATGTAATAAGGTATGTGACGCGGATCTAACATCCATTAATTTAACATTCTATTCTTATTCTATTCTCCGTATACACTGCAGTGTGGAACCGAAATCTACATTTGTCCACATGTTATAAACAAAAGCGTTTTCCAAAAATTAATTTAAATACTCGGGTTGATATTGATCGAAGTACTCATATCCTGACGCGCCTTCTGATTGGCTTGCAGCGTGTCGACGCATGGCGGCCTTCGAGAGGGACGGGTCGGGGCGGGGAGGGGTCGAGTCTTGTTGTAGGTTACGGAAACATGCGAGTGGTGACGAATGAGCACGTGCAGCCGTAAAACCAATGTAAACAAAGGATAACTACGCAAATGGAAATAGCTTTTCGTGTTGAAGGATATTTTGTCAATGAAAGTTAACCTTTCTAAGACAAATGTTTATCTAAATGTTTAGACTCGTCAAAATTGAAACCGATTAAACACATATGCAATATCTTGAATAGATTGTAAGATGTGACGAATCGTCACATGGCGCTGGCCTGTGACTAGGGTACTCTGCATTATTGAACTCTGGGTAGGCGAGTGGGATAACACTAACCATTATTTGAAAACAATATTTTTTATCGCCCTAATCAAATTATAATTGTCCTATGGGTAGTGTTATTTAACAGTTTAGAATCATTATATTCATGGGTATACTAATTGATAACTATCAATGTTTCATCTCCAAATCTAAAAGAAAGGTATAATCATTATATGAGTTATTGAAGTGTTTTATACCATGTTCAACAAAGTGTTACGGCTGTACATACCCATATCTGATCATGTTTTAAGATTCTATGAAGTGCTACACGTATATACCTCATGTACCAATGTTACATTTATGTCTACTGAATTGAAATGAAAATATTAAAAAAAGAAGAAAAAAAGGTGTTACCGCTGCATTCGCTGTTGCTTCTGATGTTAGCAGATGTGCCCTCATGTCAAATTTCCGGATAACCTTATCGCATGTCTCTGCTACAGGCAACTGTGTGGACAAACTCCCCAACTGCAAGACCTATGGCACAACCACTTGTACCGACCCTAAATACGCCACGTGGGCGGCCGATAACTGCGCCTTGACCTGCATGAAATGTGAGTTCCACCTGATTCATATACATGGGGAGGGATGAACTTTTTTTTTATTATAAATTTTTATTCAGTCATATACACAGGATACATATGCACTTGGAAAGCAATACAGCTTTATGAATACAGGTACTTCTCAAAAGGATATGGTACAGAGGAGGCCTAAGGCATAATCCACATTATGGTACAGATGAAGGCATAATCCACATCATGGTACAGATGAAGGCATATTTATGTATACAATTAAGAAGATGCGGTATTTATGGTACATCAAATTATGTTGCAAACAACAAGTGAATAAGTTATTTTGCAGTTTGAGTAAACAAAGCCCATTTTCTATTAAAGGCAGAGAAGTCGTTATTTCTACGTGCAATATGATATTCAACGTCATAGATACTTCTTATTGTGTTCTTAAAAGCAACAAAGTCAACATTTTCATTCTTAATACACTGGACAAAGATAAATCTTTTAGCAGCTACAATCAAATGGTTAATTAATACATCAGAGGTACCAAAGAGGAGCTCGTTGTCAGTTATAAGGATTTTCCTATGCAAGATATGAGTCAAGTAAATACAGAAATCTGACCAAAAGTTCTTAACAACATGACATTCGATATAAACATGAAAAATATTTTCTTTGTGAGTATGACACATAGAACACTCATCGTTATCAATAAGTTTCATTCTTAATAACTCACGTTTAGGGAGGGATGAACTTATATGGCGACACGTAAAAGCTACGGCCTCGAAATGCAATGTGGTAATATGTAAAGTGTCTGCCGGTGCCTAGATGATACACATCCCAGTGCCATGTAATCCAGTCTCTCATATATGAAATGGAGTTTAACGTCGTCCTAATGTGTGTGTGGCTACTTGAACTAGTCCGGACTTAGGCCAGTTTTATAGTGCTAGCCCACTGAGAAATCACGACGCAGTTTGACATGGAAACCCCACTAAGACACATTATACTGACTTCGAGCAGACCAGTCCCTACAAACCAACTGCTTGTTGAACACAAAGATACTTGCTGTCTAATTAGTAGATGTACCTATTGGGTTTTTAATGTAGATGTTTCGTAGATACCTGTAAATTTCATTCAAAACTAAAAACGCGACATCATGTCTCCGTTGAAAATGAAAATTAAGAGGTATCAAATCTATATTGGAAACCTCTATTTGAAAATACGCTTGGTTTATTTCCATTCTACCATGAAACAATAACAAAAGGTCTCGATTTTGAAAATTAAGAGGTATCAAATCTATATTGGAAAACTCTATTTAAAATACGTTTGGTTTATTTCCATTCTACCATGAAACAATAACAAAACAACACAAACTCTTTGGTTATAGCGGAAATGATTAGTGATGTGGCATCGGTTGAGCCTTATATTTTCAGTCGGTTGAAAGTCCGATTTCAGGGATCAATGGCTTTAATCTACATTATGTCTGCTTTATGTACCCATACCATAATTGTCACCATATTACTTGAACCACTTCCCTGAGACACTACACAATCATGTAGGCAGGTGTCCAGTAAGCATTATTCAAACTAACATCACCAGAGAAATTGAAGCGACCTTTGTAATGTTTTGTTCTGAAGTACACACTATTACGAAGTTCTACAGATGGGATGTCTCAGCATTGTAGCACGGTAGACATGACACAGTACGTGATAGAGTAATGCCAAAGTCAAGCTGTGTTGATGTAACTGAATTGTACAATACGCTCTCTAAATATTTGTTCGTCAAGTTAATATATCGCCATGCTTGCTGTAAACAATGTAGGAACCACAACATGTTATTTAGCAACGTTAAGGGTGCAAGATCAGTATTAAAACTGCAAAATGGGCTGGATTGCGAAAGAAGTTGTTTTGAAAATATGTTTTCTTTCGCGGTTGTTCGGCAGTTAACGTAGATTAACGGAGAGACAAGGTCATGTACTAACGTAGATTCGATACCTCTGGAGGACCAAAGAGAATGCAGGATTTTAGAATGTCATTGTAGAATGTTTGCTTTCGTCATTAAACCTGTGGGTATTATGGTCAAGCTCAGTGACTTGCCAATGTCACCTATTGGTTTGAATTATTGCAATAGCTAACTGCGGCATTAAAGTACATTCACTCATGCTATGGATTCGGACACAGGTTATGGGATTGGAACTGGGACGGGTACAGGAACAGGAACAATAACTGGAACCGGAACTGGAACAATAACTGGCCCTGGAACTGGAACTGGTACCGGAACAATCACTGGACCTGGTACTGGAACCGGAACCGGAACGATTACAGGAACCGGAACAATCACTGGAACTGGTACTGGTACCGGAACAATCACCGGACCTGGTACTGGAACCGGAACCGGAACTGGAACTGGAACAGGTGCAGAAACGAATCAAATCTACTTCAACATTCCGTTGATTATATTTATGTTCTAAAATTTTGTTTTAACAAAAGTATGGCAAGCTAAAAATAAAAAATAATATCAACCTGACAGTGCACACATCAAAACGGAGGCTTAGTTTTACTTTTGATATTCCATTCTGATTTTGTTGAACTATTCCTTTCTCTAATAAAAGTTTTGTTTTAAGAATTTTAAGAAAAAAAGGGTTTGTCATGAGCGTTCGTTTTGACAGGTTACTGTGTGGATAAACTCACCAACTGCAAGGATTACGACACCAGCAAGGTCTGCAGTGGAGAGTACCAGCAATGGGCAATCGACAATTGTGCCTTGACCTGCATGAAATGTTAGTTTCGGTGATTTTATGACACATGCATATTTGTGACATGTCCTTCAAAGTATACATAGAATAGTCATACTGTTGTTACAAATACCATATTTATCTCAATGAGTGAATGAGAAAATACGAATTTACTATCTATCTCATTGTCTGTGATTTCACTGATAGATCAAACTGTTTCTACACCTTTACTCTGCCTGTCAAAGCTTTTGTCCTTATGTATGATTTGTGTGAACAATTACTTTTGAACGTTTATTTGAAATATTGTAGTTGAGTATATGGTTTGTATTTAGGTACTGGAACAGGAACAATTACTGGACCTGGCACTGGCACCGGAACTGGAACAATCACTGGACCTGGAACTGGAACTGGAACTGGAACAATCACTGGAACTGGAACTGGAACTGGAACTGGAACTGGAACAATCACTGGACCTGGAACTGGAACCGGAACCGGAACCGGAACCATCACTGGACCTGGAACTGGAACTGGAACCGGAACCATCACTGGACCTGGAACTGGAACCGGAACCGGAACCATCACTGGACCTGGAACTGGAACTGGAACCGGAACCGGAACAATTACAGGACCTGGAACTGGGACAATTACAGGAACTGGAATAGGTACAGAAACGATACGAATTTGATTCAACATTCCTGAGATGCAATGTTTTACAATTTTGTTTTAACGAAAGTATGGCAAGCTAGAAAATATAATATCAACCTGACAGTGCAAATACATTTAAAAGGAGGCTTAGTTTTACTTTTGATATTCAATTCTGAGTTTGTTTAAAAATTCCTTTCTCTAAAGAAGTTTTGTTTTAAGTATTTCAAGAAAAAAATGTTTGGTCATGAGCTACAAGGATAGCATCGACATCAAAATAGACAAATATAAAACTGAGAAAGGTCAGCCGAGCGTTTGTTTTGACAGGTAACTGTGTGGATAAACTCACCAACTGCAAGGATTACGACACCAGCAAGGTCTGCAGTGGAGAGTACCAGCAATGGGCAATCGACAATTGTGCCTTGACCTGCATGAAATGTTAGTTTCGGTGATTTTATGACATATGCATATTTGTGACATGTCCGTCAAAGTATACATAGAATAGTCATACTGTTGTTACAAATACCATATCTATATCAATGAGTGAATGAGAAAATATGAATGTACTATATATATCATTGTCTGTGTCATTAATGCACGTACAGGGGATTGATTTCACTGATAGATCAAACCATCTCTGCACCTATACTCTGCCTGTCATATATTTTGTCTTCATGTATCATTTGTGTCAGCAATTACTTCTGAACGTTTATTTGAAATATCGTACTTGAGTATAGGGTTTGTATTAAGGTACTGGAACAGGAACAATTACTGGACCTGGCACCGGCACTGGCACCGGGACAATAACTGGACCTGGCACCGGCACTGGCACCGGGACAATAACTGGACCTGGAACCGGAACTGGCACCGGAACAATAACTGGACCTGGCACCGGAACAATAACTGGACCTGGCACCGGCACTGGCACAGGAACAATCACTGGACCTGGAACCGGAACTGGAACAATCACTGGACCTGGAACCGGAACTGGAACTGGAACAATCACTGGACCTGGAACTGGAACCGGAACTGGAACTGGAACCATCACTGGACCTGGAACCGGAACCATCACTGGAACTGGGACAATTACAGGAACTGGAACAGGTACAGAAACAATACGAATTTGATTCAACATTCCTGAGATGCAACGTTTTACATTTTGTTTAAACGAAAGTATGGCAAGCTAGAAAATATAATATCAAACTGAAAGTGCAAATACATTTAAAAGGAGGCTTAGTTTTACTTTTGATATTCAATTCTGAGTTTGTTTAAAAATTCCTTTCTCTAAAGAAGTTTTGTTTCAAGTATTTCAAGAAAAAAAGTTTGGTCATGAGCTACAAGGATAACGTCGACATCAAAATAGACAAATATAAAACTGAGAAAGGTCAGCCGAGCGTTTGTTTTGACAGGTAACTGTGTGGATAAACTCACCAACTGCAAGGATTACGACACCAGCAAGGTCTGCAGTGGAGAGTACCAGCAATGGGCAATCGACAATTGTGCCTTGACCTGCATGAAATGTTAGTTTCGGTGATTTTATGACATATGCATATTTGTGACATGTCCTTCAAAATATACATAGAATAGTCATACTGTTGTTACAAATACAACATTTATCTCATCGAGTGAATGAGAAAATATGAAGATAATATTTATTTCATTGTCTGTGCCAGTAATTAGCGACGGAAACTGCTACAGGTGATTAATTAATCTCAATGAGTGAATGAGAAAATATGAATGTACTATTTATCTCATTGTCTGTGTCATTAATGCAGGTACAGGGGATTGATTTCACTGATAGATCAAACCATCTCTGCACCTATACTCTGCCTGTCAAATATTTTGTCTTCATGTATCATTTGTGTCAGCAATTACTTCTGAACGTTTATTTGAAATATCGTACTTGAGTATAAGGTTTGCATTAAGGTACTGGAACAGGAACAATTACTGGACCTGGCACCGGCACTGGCACCGGAACAATCACTGGACCTGGCACCGGCACTGGAACAATAACTGGACCTGGAACCGGAACTGGAACTGGAACTGGAACTGGAACCATCACTGGACCTGGAACTGGAACCGGAACCGGAACCATCACTGGAACTGGAACCGGAACTGGAACAATCACTGGACCTGGAACCGGAACTGGAACTGGAACCATCACTGGACCTGGAACTGGAACCGGAACGGGAACAATCACTGGACCTGGAACTGGAACCGGAACGGGAACAATTACAGGAACTGGAACAGGTACAGAAACGATACGAATTTGATTCAACATTCCTGAGATGCAATGTTTTACAATTTTGTTTTAACGAATGTATGGCAAGCAAGAAAATATAATATCAACCTAACAGTGCACATACATTTAAAAGGAGGGTTAGTTTTACTTTTGATATTCAATTCTGAGTTTGTTTAAAAATTCCTTTCTCTAAAGAAGTTTTGTTTTAAGTATTTCAAGAAAAAAATGTTTGGTCATGAGCTACAAGGATAACGTCAGCATTAAAATAGACAAATATAAAACTGAGAAAGGTCAGCCGAGCGTTTGTTTTGACAGGTTACTGTGTGGATAAACTCACCAACTGCAAGGATTACGACACCAGCAAGGTCTGCAGTGGAGAGTACCAGCAATGGGCAATCGACAATTGTGCCTTGACCTGCATGAAATGTTAGTTTCGGTGATTTTATGACATATGCATATTTGTGACATGTCCTTCAAAATATACATAGAATAGTCATACTGTTGTTACAAATACAACATTTATATCAATGAGTGAATGAGAAAATATGAAGATAATATTTATTTCATTGTCTGTGCCAGTAATTAGCGACGGAAACTGCTACAGGAGATTAATTAATTTCACAGATAGATCAAACTATTTCTACACCTATATACTGACAGTCAAAAGTTTGTCTTCATGTCTCATTTGTTTCAGGCATTACTTCTGAACGTTTATTTGAAATGTTGTAGTTGAGTACAGGGTTTGTATTAAGGTACTGGAACAGGAACAATTACTGGACCTGGCACCGGCACTGGCACCGGAACAATAACTGGACCTGGCACCGGCACTGGCACAGGAACAATCACTGGACCTGGCACCGGCACCGGAACTGGAACAATCACTGGACCTGGAACCGGCACCGGAACTGGAACAATCACTGGACCTGGAACCGGAACTGGAACTGTTACTGGAACCGGAACTGGAACAGGTACTGTTACATACCCGGGTGGAGCTGGTAATGATTGCACACTGAAAAACTGAGTATTTCTAGACAACATATGTTGCGGATAAACTGAAGACACATGTCGTTTCAAATATAAACCTATGCTTTATTACACATCCATGGTAATGCTATTCCGTGAACGGGTCCCCCCCCCCCCCCCCTTTGAAATATAAAAAAAATCCAAGACCACAATCTGAATAACATAGCTGTGATAGCTAAGGGAATCGTTTAAACGTATAAAATATGTATCTATTATGGACGTTACCACCCAATCAACTGTTCCTATAAATCTTCATAATCCTGTTGTGTCGTCATAATTCATGATGGCGCCCTCCCTTGACGTCCCATGTACATGACGCTACGAACAACAACTCTCTTGTGTATTCGCCTTATAGAAAGAATATCGGTTTACTGTGGCGGAATGTTGGTTTTACAACTGATATATTTCAAACTGTATTGTGCATGTAATCGAAGCATGAGCAGTGGAACTATGCCATATAAACACGCCTTCCCGAGGCAATTACGTGAACTGACTATAAAAGTCAAGTTTCCAATCGTGCCGATCTAGGCTGGAATTTCCAGGCTCGATCGAAGCGCCACCAGTGGATGTTACAAGTTATGTCCCCTCTATGTACCCCTATTGACCAATCAGATTCCAACTCTCACATCTCTTGCATTTGTTTTAAACAAAATAGCGGCGCCCAGAGAAGACGATTCCATAATCAAGATCGATTTATTGTAATAAAACGGGTCTTACCCCGCGAAGTGCATCACATCCCGTGAGCACCTTGATTAAAACATGAAAACATTTGGAAAATATCTTTCGACGCCTAGTTGACGGTACACATGCTTTGCAAATCCTGCAATCGACCGAAATCTGCACGTTGAAATCCATGTTGTTTATAAACCGGATGTATAGTTCGTTACCCTAGTTTGATTGGACTTCGCATAGACTCGTTAGTCCAGCCAAAATGTAACTCCGGAATTCCAGCCTAGTTCGGCGAGGGTGGAAACTGGACTTTTATGGTCAGTTAAACTCGGGAAGACGTTTGGAGCACTCTCAAATTGGTGTGTTTGTTTTGTGTATTGTTCAATCCCGTGACGTCAGTGAATTGTTGCAAATAATTAAATATTACATAATCTCTTACTCGTGACGTCATGGACATTTTCAGTAAACTTCTTCAAACGATAGATCGACTGAGGTGATATTTCTTCTTTTCTTAGATACAAGACTATAGGTATTCAGTTTATAGAATAACCATGATATTCTGGAAAATAATTAATTTGTTAAAAAAACAACCCGGTATTAATATTATTAAACGTTCACTGGATGTCTTGAAAAAGGTTTTGGGTCCTCACAAATCTATTTCGTTCCTCCTCTCCTTCTAAAGAATAACTTGCGTATTAATAAACGAAATATAGTGTCTCTAAAAAGCCCTATTTAATCTCCTGTTTATGCAGGCGCATGCGTGGACAAGATGCCGAACTGTGCTCAGTTCGGAAAGGCTGTTTGTACCCAGGCAATGTACGCGCAATGGGCGATCAACTCATGTCCGCTGTATTGTAACAAATGTCAAGGTGGGTACAACATATACTCAGAGGTAAAATTATGATGACATACAAACTACATAGAGAATTTGTCCAAAAGATTTACTGTCTTGGATGGAATTAACCACATGGAAAGAACAATGTCTGAAGTTCAGAGGCAGTTCACAGTCTTTAGCGAGTGTGTCCATTGCACTGATTCAGGCCTGACACTTTCGCCAGATTGAGGACTCTAGATGTTGAAGGCAGGCCTTGAAAAGGGCAATTCGTTGAGTTTCTACACAGAGACCTTACTGTATTCAGGGGAAACATAGGTTTCAAATATGCCATGTGTCAAGAGCAGACTGAAAAGGATCCAGTGACCAGGCTCAGTGGCTGATTGTGGGCCACTGTGCCCCCATCGTGCCCCGATCGTCACCTTGCTTTCAGCCACTGGGTCGATACAGTCAAGGATCGATTACTTACAGGCCGCTGTGATATTGCTAGACTTGCTGAACATATTAAAGATTGAGAATTAATGTCTCAAATATGTAACGGATCAGACTGAAAGAGGCTCCAAGATAGATGAAAATGTAAAGTCCTTTAATGTTTTTATGTAACAGCTTGAACACGTTTACCCTTTCATAGTAGGTACAACTGGTACCGGAACTGGAACCGGCACTATTATCTACCCCGGAACAGGAACTGGAACTGGAACAATAACTGGACCCGGAACCGGAACTGGTACTGGAACAGTAACTGGACCTGGAACTGGAACCGGAACCGGAACCGGAACTGGAACAATTACTGGACCCGGAACTGGAACTGGAACTGGCACAATGACCGGTAGTTTGATAACATTATCAGTGTGAACATAGAAGGGTGGCATGACATGTTTAGGATTTAAACATATTAAGATTCAGATCAGTTCTTAACCTACGCGATTTAGATAGAGGTGAAGTGAAATGGGGTTTAACGTCGCGTCCAAGATTATTGCATTTATATAGCGACGTGCATGCACGTGTGTGTGTGTGTGTGTGTGCGTGCGTGCGTGCGTGCGTGTGTGTGTGCGTGCGTGTGTGTATGGCTGCTTGTACTAGTCCGACTAAATTCTCCTTGAGTGTATTTGTTCGGACGAAGAAGATAGACACAATTTAATGGATAACAATTTCTTTAATACTGTGAAAAGCGATGTTTCGGTATAGATCCTTGACAACGGTATAAGGATCTATACCGAAACGTCGCTTTTCACAGTATTAAAGAAGTTGTTATCCATAAAATGGTGTCTATCTTGTCATCCGTCAACTTCTAAGTAATGCCTATCAAACAATTTCGGACGAAGAAGGCATATAGTTGTACACAACTAAGTACGTTACCAAGAAAGGGGCTAATAACGTGATCCGTACGAGGTACTGACGCGTCTTGTCAGCTTTGATGCTCATGTCATATAATTCTCTAATGCAGAGTTGCGTCCCTTAGTCGTACCAGAATCCGTTCCATTCCCGTGCTTGTGTGTTTCACCAACGCCTCGGACCTGCATCAACTTTGGTTTCCTTCAGCATTAAGCTGACTTTCCCTGATCAAACTGAAATACTGTCTAAAGTGGCGTTGAACCATATAAACTCACTCACTCACTCACTCACTCACTCACTCACTCACTCACTCACTCACTCAAAAAACCCTTGCAATTGGGTTCATAAAGTTTGTCGATTTGGTACGGACGGGTAGAAACATTTCCACACACAGTCAGATAATCAAACAAATGTTTTAGATCAAATAATGTGGTAGACAGATAGCGCCACTATTAAGAATTAAACACTGCTGAGGGGCGGTCGGGTAGCCTAGTGGTTAAAGCGTTCGTTCGTCACGCCGAAGACCAAGGTTCGATTCCCGACAATTTCTGGTGTCCCCCGCCGTGATATTGCTTGAATATTGCTTAAAACGGCGTAAAATCATACTCACTCACTCACTCACTGATACACGTAAGAGGATTTCTGTAGGCACCGGAACTGGTACTGGCACAATTATCTACCCTGGAACCGGAACCGGAACTGGAACTGGTACTGGTACCGGCACTGGACCTGGTACAGGAACTGGAACTGGAACCGGAACCGGAACTGGCACGATCATATATCCAGGTGGAACAGGTTATATTACAACGGGGCACAAATTAAACACAGGATACTTTTAAACACAAACCAGTCAAACGTCCTTTCTTCCAGATAGGAAAAGCATGTGTGATGTCAATACAGATTCTTACAGAATAGTTCTTCAGCAACCCATTCTTGCCATAACATGCGACTATGCTTGTCGTAAGAGGCGACTAACGGGATCCGGTGGTCAGGCTCGCTGACTAGGTTGATGTATGTCATCTTATCCTAATTGCATAGATCGATGCTCATGATGTCAATCAGTGCATTGTCTGGTCCAGACTCGATTATTTATAGACCGATGTCGATTTGGTACAGACGGGGAGAAACATTTCCACAAACAGTCAGATAATCAAACAAATGTTTTAGATCAAATAATGTGGTAGACAGATAGCGCCACTATTAAGAATTAAACACTGCTGAGGGGCGGTCGGATAGCCTAGTGGTTAAAGCGTTCGTTCGTCACGCCGAAGACCCAGGTTCGATTCCCGACATGGGTACAATGTGTGAGGCCCATTGTTGGTGTCCCCCGCCGTGATGTTGCTGGAATATTACTAAAAGCGGCGTAAAACCATACTCACTCACTCACTCACTGATACACGTAAGAGGATTTCTGCAGGCACCGGAACTGGTACTGGCACAATTATCTACCCTGGAACCGGAACCGGAACCGGAACTGGAACTGGTACCGGAACCGGAACTGGCACGATCATATATCCAGGTGGAACAGGTAATATTACAACGGGGCACAAATTAAACACAGGATACTTTTAAACACAAACCAGTCAAACGTCCTTTCTTCCAGATAGGATAAGCATGTGTGATGTCAATACAGATTCTTACAGAATAGTTCTTCAGCAATCCATTCTTGCCATAACATGCGACTATGCTTGTCGTAAGAGGCGACTAACGGGATCCGGTGGTCAGGCTCGCTGACTTGGTTGATGTATGTCATCTTATCCTAATTGCGTAGATCGATGCTCATGATGTCAATCAGTGCATTGTCTGGTTCCGACTCGATTATTTACAGTCCGCAGTCATATGGCTGGAATATTACTGATTGCGGCATTAAACAATTAACAAACAAACAAAAACAACTTGGTCATTACATGACCACCACGATTTCCTCTCTGAAAGTGGGACACTGAGGACTGTGTGTATAACCTTCATGCCCCATACCTACACAGGTGCTTGCACGGACGTGATCCAAAACTGTGCTGCGTTCGGCACGTCTGTTTGTTCTGAAGCTACCTACGCTGTATGGGCCAAGGCCAACTGCGCCAAGACTTGTAACCTTTGTTGTGAGTACTTTTTCACGTATCGTTTCTGAACATTTGTTGTTATACTTGGTAGTTTTACAATGTAACACCAAGGGTAAGGGCGAATGTATGCACTTGTTGATACCACCTTGTGATTAAAAAGTAAAATGTGGATTGCATTTTACAGCCCAAACTGGAACCGGTACTATGACGGGAACTGGAACCGGTTCTATGACGGGAACTGGAACCGGGAGCGGAACCTTTACAGGAACAAGTGAGTGAGGAATTTACTGTGGGAAAGTGTATATTTAATTAGTAATACTGATGCACACTTCACTTTTAATTGGAAAATATAATGTTTAAGTTAGAAAATATATGTGATACCGACCTCCCTTACTAAAAGCATTGCAAATGAACAGATATATTTTTGATCAGGACTTCAACATCGCCATTCAGTTTATCTGGTGACAGTTTTGTATTAAGGAAAAACACTTAGTATCTCAAATGGTATCTCTTAATGAATACAGATGTTATCAACAATTCATGCACCAAATATAGATTGAAATGCCCCGGGAACACAATGATTTGGTAACCACAGTAGGATCTCAGGTTCATGAGTGAGTGAGTATTGTTTTACGCCGCTTTTAGCACATTTCCAGCAATATCACGGCGGGGGACACCAGAAATGGGCTTCACACATTGTACCCATATCGGGAATCGAACCCAGGTCTTCGGCCACCCGACCGCCCCTCTCAGGTTCATGATCAGCGGACAGAGGCATACAGCATCTCGCATACAGTCATGGGCATGATGTGTACGAGGTGCTTGGAAACCTGTGGTTGGATGTATCGTGGCAGATCGTTGCAAATTATTATGAGAGAGCACAAGAACATTTGCTACTAAATATTTTGGGCTGCAGTACTTTTCACTCATGAATAGAGATACTGTCTAGACTTCAGATTTCAGGATTCCAACGTTGCCGAACATAACCACTATAGAGGGGGCTCAATCATGATTTGGGGGGGATCAGTAGAGCTTGAAGAACCGATCACCATGTCCTACAGCGGTGCACGATGACAGGTGTGCGCTATGGGTGATGACATTCTGGATGTATACGTGAGACCGTATGCTGGTGCATTTGGCCCGGAATTCACAGACTTCATCCTCATGGAAGATAACGCACGACCTCATCGTGCCAGTGTCGTTGATGCCTCCTTAGAACAGGAGACCATTGTCCGCATGGAGTGGCCAGCAGGTCACCAGACCTCAACCCTATCGAACACATGTGGAATGAGCTGCAGATCACGACACCCTGTTCTTCCGGCAACTCTACGGGAACTCTTCAAGGCTATTACTGAAAAGTCGTATTTTGTCTTGGCAACCATCCAGACACTTATTTGGAGAATGAGAGGACGGTGCCAGGCTGTGGTCGCGTCACTTGGATCACATACGTACTACTGAGAATTGTCGTTTTTTCACAATGAATTTGTTTTCGTGATTTTTTTACGTTTCAGTTTTGGTCAGATACTCTTATTTTGACGGGTGATCTGACCGATTATTGGTCACGTGTTGTTTGTTGGCATTGTGTGGCACATGACAAAGGACTTTTGTTCATTGAACGTGTCTTCACGCAATATTGTCTTTAGCCGTGTCAACAGATGCACAGATACCTTTTAAAGTGGTGATCCTTAGCAAAATTTGCGTAATATATTGCCATAGGTGGCAGGGTGGCGAGGTAGCCAGATGATTAACGCTACATGGTTACAGCATGTTACACCAAGGACGATGTTACAGTATATGTTTTAACTAGGGCATGGATACAACATATCTCTCAAATATTGTTAATCTCCCCCAGGTTCTGGCTGTGCGTTCAAAGGTCAGGTCTACCAACAGGGACAGGCATTTGTAGATGGATGCAAGCAGAGATGTACGTGCCAGGACGCTAAGACCGGCCGATATACATGTGACGATCTGTAAGTGCTTGATTGTTGAAATAATTACTTGCTTGTTGAAATAGATGCTTGAAATATAGGCTGGCTTGAAATAAATGCTTGATTGTTAGATAAGTGCTTGCTTGGTGAAATAGATGATTGCTTGGTGAAATAGGTGATTGCTTGTTGAAATAGGTGATTGCTTGTTGAAATAGGTGATTGCTTGTTGAAATATGTGATTGCTTGTTGAAATAGGTGCTTGCTTGGTGAGAGAAGTGCTTGCTTGTATAATGACGCTGGCTTATTGAAATAAGTGCTTGCTTTTTTAAATAGGTGCTTATTTGGTGAAATAGGTGCTGGTTTGATGATAAACTTACTCGCTTGATGAATACCACCTACTGATGTAAGTGATAAAATCATTATGATTTTTTCCATGTGTATATAATGGTGCGATATCCCTTAATGACATACCACAAGATACTGTCATCACTGCTGTGACACAAGTTACCTATGAATGTCTGCTGCTGGTGAGGGCACGTCTTAGACGCTGATATTCGCCGTCCAGAGTTGCATATCTTGTGCACGTCAGAAACCTTTGATCGTGGGTTCGAATCCCGATTATGCTTCCAGGTTTATCAACACCATACCCGTGCTCGTGGGTTTCAACAAAGTGATAAACATCAAAGAGCTTTCCTCCAACATCCAGCTGACTCCCTTGGTTGTTTGTTGTTTGTTGTTTAACGCCGCACTCAGCAATATTCCAGCTGTATGACGGCGGTCTGTAAATAAATCGAGTCTTGACCAGACAATCCAGTGATTAACGCCATGAGCATCGTTCCACGCAATTGGGATCGAGGACATGCATCAACCAAGTCAACTACCAAATCCCGTCAGTCGCCTCTTACGACAAGCATAGACACCTTTTACGGCAAGCATGGGTTGCTGAAGACCTATTCTACCCCGGATCTTCACGGGTCTGACTCCCTTGAACTGTAAAACTGTTCAAAGCATTTCACTCACTCACTACTACAGGGGAAAATGTTTGATGCTACAGGTCCTAAATATGTCTGCTACAGGTGCTATGTACGATGCAACAGGTGTTATGTACGATGCTACAGTGTTATGTACGATGCTACAGGTGTTATGTACGATGCTACATGTGTTATGTACGATGCTACAGGTGCTATGTACGATGCTACAGGTGTTATGTACGATGCTACAGGTGCTATGTACGATGCTACAGGTGCTATGTACGATGCTACAGATGCTATATCTCCTTCAGGTGCTATGACTTCACACTACCAGCATCATGCACCATGTTGGCTCCCAAGCCCGGCAAGTGCTGCAAGACTCCCAGCTGCCCCTCCAGTGTGACCATCAGCTACCCACCAGGCTACAAGGAGGAGTGAAGCATGCCCCCTTCACATTTTGTATTGTGCAATAAACTCATTAATAATTGCTCTCATTTTAACTGGCCACCTCATACCGGTACAGCAGATACATTGCCCCAGATGGTCAAGAGACAGTGCAGATGTGGCTTCAGATAGTTGTAGGAGTGAGTGAGTTGGACAGTGTGTATATGCTCCTGGTGGTAATTGGACAGTGTGTATATGCTCCTGGTGGTAATTGGATAGTGTGTAAATGGGCTGATGGTAATTGGATAGTGTGTATAAGACACAGATTGTAATTGGATAGTGTGTACATGGTCCTGGTGGTAATTGGATAGTGTTTATATGGTCCTGACGGTAATTGAATAGTGTGTATATGGTCCTGATGGTAATATGAGTGTGTATATGACACATATTGTAATTGGATAGTGTGTATATGGTCCTGATGGTAATTGGATAGTGTGTTTATGACACAAATGGTAATTAGATAGTGTGTATATGACACAGATGGTAAATTGGACAGTGTGTATATAACACAGATGGTAATTAAATAGTGTGTATATGACAGATGGTAATTAGCTAGTGTGTATATGACACAGATGGTAATTGGATAGTGTGTATATGCCCCTGGTGGAAATTGGATCGTGTGTATATGGTCCTGATGGTAATTGAATAGTGTATATGGTCCCGATGGTAATTGGATAGTGTGTATATGGTCCTTATGGTAATTGGATAGTGTGTATATGACACATATGGTAATTGGATAGTGTGTTTATGACACAGATGGTAATGAGATAGTGTGTATATGACACAGATGGTAATTTGACTGTGTATATGACACATATGGTAATTGGATAGTGTGTTTATGACACAGATGGTAATTAGATAGTGTGTATATGACACAGATGGTAATTGGATTGTGTGTAGATGACATAGATGGTAATTGGATAGTGTGTATATGACAGATGGTAATTGGATAGTGTGTATATGACACAGATGGTAATTGGATTGTGTGTATATGACATAGATGGTAATTGGATAGTGTGTATATGACAGATGGTAATTGGATAGTGTGTATATGACACAGATGGTAATTGGATTGTGTGTATATGACATAGATGGTAATTGGACAGTGTGTATATGACACTGATGGTAATTGGATAGTGTGTATATGACACTGATGATAATTGGATAGTGTGTATATGACACTGATGGTTAGTGGACAGTGTGTATATGCTAATGATGGTAATTGGTTTAGACGGTCAATGTATGACCACTTATTGTTTAGGACAGTCAGTGTATGACCCCTAAAGGTTTAGGAAAGTGTGTATATGACCCCTAATGGTTTAGGAATGTCAGTGCATGATCCCTAATGGTTTAAGACAGAGTGTATATGACCCCTAACGGTTTAGGATAGTGTGTATATGACCCCTAACGGTTTAGGATTGTGTGTATATGACCCATAATGGTAAAGGATAGTGTGTATATGACCCCTAATGGTTTATACAGTGAGTAAATGACAGGTCTTGTCAATCATGCATGAAGGTCGATGTTCTCTAGGCAGTTTCTGTAGGACATAAACACGAACCAGAAAGAAGGCCTTGTTCCAACTTCTTTGCACTTGATGAAAACAGTACACTTAACATATTTATTCATACCAACTTCGTTTTTAAATACATAGATCACAGTATACATATATATATTTACAACACTGACACCAAAACGAACAAACAATTTCAGGGGAAAAGATATAATACTGTTGTCACTGGGTCCTAGCTTTCAACATAGCCTGTTTAGAAGCCAGTCTTCAAAGAAGCACACATTCCGTGTCATAGCATCATTCCAGCAATATCACAGCGGGGTACACCAGCGGGCTTCACAAATTGTACCCATGTGGGGAATCGAACCCAGGTCTTCAGCGTTACAAGCAAACGCTTTAACCACTAGGTTATCCCACCACCCCGGCTGTCACGGAAGATATTATGTTTATATTTTGTATGGTGTATTTTCTGTACTCAATTAAGTTCAACAAATATGTTATATCATTAGTTTCCCAAGTGCCCTCATACCCTCATTATTTCTACAGTGGATTCTGACACTCACATGGTGAAGTCTGCCCCTACATGGACTGACCACATTCACCAACAGTCAGTAGGATTCCACAAATATAGTATAAACTACACAATCACAGTACATATACACATAGATAATATATACAGAGAGGCAAAAGAATGCATACCAAGTTTATTTTTTATGTGATTCAAAATTGAAAGAACTGTTGCTAATTTGACCATGCCTATTTAACCCTCCCTCATTCCTATACAGTTTGTAAAAAGTAATCTGTGGCTGGATAATCTTGTGTAAAAGAATATTGAGTCAATGAAGACTGGAGTACGAAATGAATTTGCTACCACTGACCCTACATGTTTGAAATTTTGTAAATTTCAGCTGAAATTATTTTTTATATTGATTTTCAAAGACAAGACACCCATTATCAGTTGTGTTCTATACACACAAAAAACATTATATATTTTTAAAAGTTTAAAATCAAATTATGTTATAAAGAATGAAACAATATGGAAGTATTATATGAGTGCTGACTAAGTTTGGATATGATATTGCTAACTGAAGATATTTTCAATCGAAAATCAATATGATAACACCAACAGAGAAGTATAGTTTCTTTGGCTCCTCCGTCCATCTCCTATTGCAGTGATATAGGAACGTTATTACAAAGCCATTAACACCCCAGACTTTGGTCAAGAATAAAAGCATACATGTTGTTCAATTAGACATTTTACAAAATGTCACTGGACAGAAAATGGATCTCACTTTTAAAAGCATAATAAATACACAAGTCTGTTATACACTTCTTTGGCAGTAATATCACATATCAACAAGGGAAGGAATTACAACGTAACTTTGGTGAAGACTTTCAAAAGTAGTGAAGTCCCTGGTATAATGCTGAATCTTTGGTGATAGAGCAATGACATTACTAAATAACACAAAGGACATAGTCATGTGAACTTTAGGTTATGTAATACTTAATTCATAATCAGTATACAAACAGAGAAAGTGTATACCATCAATAAAAGCTGGAGGAGATATTTAAAGCTTGCAATATTTATTTAATGGAAGTGGATTATTGTAAAAGTCGCTAAAATACATTAAAATGTCCAATAGTGTAAACTGAGCTTCATGTTCACTTTGGAGTTCAACATCATGAGCAGAAAGTATTGGTACAATATCATCACAGCCAGTACATGGCGTCTTTGGAAACAGGAAGAAATCTGGACCACATGGCTAGATCATTTCAGTTCAACATTTTTGTCTAAAGGCACAAGTAAAATATCACCTGAAAAGATTAAAGCTGCAGATAAAAACATCCTCATCAACATGTATAGGGTTATTTTAACTGTTAACTTCAAGTATGGCATCTTTTACCAAAACAATATGACTGTGCTTATCATATACTGTCGTGGGTAATAATTAGCTTAGAGATCAACCTCTTGTGACTTCATTCAGTAAAACAGATGGTACCAGTCCGTGCCTTCAACATCTAGCCAAAGACTCAGGCAAATATATGTTCTGTTGAGTAAGTAACTATGGCTTCAGAAGCAAAGAACATTGTTGGGTTCCAAGGAAAGGGTCACAGACTCAAGGAAACCTCCAACTTCTAGGGCCATAAAAACAGGTGAACATTATAAAAGAACTTGCAGGAATGTGGTTTATTACATCTTCTGGCCGACTCGGAAGACGTTGCCGTTCTCCAGTCTCTGTAAGATGGTGGCTTGTTCCAGAGGGTTGCAGTCGTAGACAGTTTCTGGCGGGACGCGGAATGCCCAGGCCAGATATGAGTCCATCTGCTGACTAGTGATCTCGGGGTCAGCCAGGCTCAGTGCTCTCTTGAGGTCATCAGGGCTCACAGGACTGAAATACATAATGACGTACGGTTGGTTGGAGGTGGGAAATTGGGTTTAACATTTTGTTCAAGATTATTGCAGTTATATAACGATGTGCATGCACGTGTGTGTGTGTTTGTGTGTGTGTGTGGTTGCTTGTTAGTCCGGACTAATGTCGATTTTATTGTGCTGGCCCAACGAGACACCATGCCGCAGTTTTAACATGAATATCCAAAACTCAGACACAGAATACTGACTCAATCGCCAGGCAAGGTAACACAAATACCATCTTTTAATGTCTTTTAGTATGACACAGCCGGGGATTGAACCATCACCATTCCACTCTCTGCATGCTCTCCCACTAGACCATGGAGGCGGTCTGGTTGGGAGGATATATAGATGGTAGGATGTATGGTTAGTTTTTGTTTGCTATTTAACACTGCACTCAGCAATATTCCAGCTATGTGACAGTAGTCTGTAAATAATCTAGTCTGGACCAGACAATCTAGTGATTGACATCATCAGCATCCTACGCAATTGGGATACAATGACTTGCATCAACCAAGTCAGCGAGGCTGACCACCCGATCCCGTTAGTCACCTCTTACAACAAGCATAGCCGCCTCTTATGGCAAGCATGGGTTGCTGAAGACATATTCTACCCTGGATCTCATGGTTGGTAGAATGTATGGTTGGTAGGAAATGTGGTTGGTAGAATGTATGGTTGGTAGGAAATGTGGTTGGTAGAATGTATGGTTGGTAGGATATCTCGTATGGTTGGTAGGATATGTGGTTGGTAGAATGTATGGTTGGTAGGACATGTGGTTGGTGTGATAGGTTGTTTTATTTGGCATTCATGTTATCTGACTGTGAGCTGATTTATATGTACATTTTCCATTGTGTGATTATTATCAGTTGGATTTGAATTCATCCATGCAAACTGTCCACTCTTTTCACATCAGCAGTCAGTTATCTGTTCACAACACTGCATCATTGGTTGCATTACCTTCAGATTACTGTTTACCATTTGTGTTTTCTCTTGCCTCGTTTGTTTTTTGTTTAATGCCACACTCAGCAATACTTCAGCTCTATGATGGCAGTCAGTGAATAATCGAGTCTGGACCAGACGATCCAGTGACTGACATCATGTGCATTGAGATACAATGACATGCAATAAACCATGTCACCTAGCTGCAACCTCCTGATCCATTTAGTCACCTCATACAACAAGCACAGGCTGCTGGGGACATGCATTCTTACCAAGAATCCAAACATTGTTTTTTCTTGAATGTAAGGAATTAAAATAGAGTTTAATTCTTCTTTGACAGTCCTCCAATCATATGAAAAGGTGTAAGCTTGAGGTGAGGGAAAGGTTATAATTACATGTCTCAAGACATTTACTTTGGTGCTTCCACCAGCAAGCCCTGCTGTTGACAAAGGACCACATCCATTTGTTTACAAATGACAGACCTTCATTAGCTCCAGTAAAGCAACAAATGTACATTAATCATATCATCCCTAAATGGTCGCCATCTTCCTACAACATTGTTTGTTTCTTGTTTAACGTCACACTCAGCAATATTCCAGCTATGTGACGACAGCCTTTGAAAAAAACGAGTCAGGACTACACAGTCCAGTGATTGATATTATGAGCAATGACCCATGCTGTCGGGTCAATGACACTTTCAACCAAGTCACCGAGCCTGACCACCATATCAATTACACTTCCTCTTACAACCGGCCTAGGTTGCTGGGGACCACTTCCAACTGGTAACCCCACAGGGCAACACAACACCAGTCATGGATGTTCCAGGTGTACAAGCTTCGACCTACTCTGTGTCTTCCAGCTTCACTTTGATGTCTTCTACATAAACTTTGCGCTCATCTTTCAGCCATTTCTTAACTGAATCCAAGAATGGACCAGTTCTACCTTCATCATCCTACAAAAAAATAAAAACAATGAACAAAATTTTAAACCTTCTGAAACACAAATTCAGCTACATGCAATAATATTAAACATGACGTGAGGTGAAATGGGGTTTAACGTCGCGTCCTAGATTATTGCACTTATATAGAAACGTGCTTGCACATATATATATGTGTGTGTGGCTGCTTGTACTAGTCCGGACTGATGCCTATTTTATAGTGCTAGCCCACTGAGATACCATGCTGCAGTTTATCATGAATACCCCACTCAGACACAGTTTACTGACTCCGAGCCGACCAGTCCTTGTGTTATCCCTTAATGCCGAGTGCCAGGAAGGGGTAACAACAAGTACCATATCTTAACCTCTTTTGGTATGACGTGGCCAGGGATTGAACCCCCGACCTTCTGCTCGACGGGCGGATGCTCTACCCCTAGACCACTGAGGCAGTCTTTATGAGCCATGAAAGATATATCTGTGATAATGGGAAAACATGTGATACTATTAACCTGAATATGTATGAAATGTTTTCAAGCTAAAGACAAGTATCATCAGAATATGACAAATACCCCCAGCCCCTACAATGGCAAATGGCACCACTTCAGCCACTGGTTAATTCCTGGTACATGTTCTAGTTTAGATGAAAACTCTTTTGCGTTTTTCAAGTTATGCTCTCGAAATGAAGTATGGAGGGACGGACAAATGATGACTATATAATGTAGGGGGGACGATGGGGCTTTAATGAGCTATAATGATCTCCTGCAATACGTTTGGTTAGACTGGGGCATCAGGGAGTTTGTGTTTGTGTGTTTGTTGTTTTACGCTGCACTCAGCAATATTCCAGCTATATGACGGTGGTCTGTAAATAATCGAGTCTGGACCAGACAATCCAGTGATTGACATCATGAGCATCTATCCACGCAATTGGGATATTTGACATGCATCAACCAAGTCAGTGAGCCTGACCAAGGGAGTTTGTGAGTCAATGTTGTTTACTGCCACAGTCAGGACAATAAAAACCAGTGACTGATATTATGAGTAATGTCACCTACCATTAGGGTATGCTATGACACTCAATCAACCAGGTCATCCTGCCTGACCACCGGAACCTAGTCACCCCTTTTGACAAACAATGAAGTGCTGGTGGCCTGTTATAACCTGGGAACCCAGGTTTCAGTTTGTGGCTGTAACTGACAAAATACACAACTTCTCATTCCCAAATAGCAAACTAAAATCTACTGACCTCCATGAAGAGATTCTTATACTCCAAATCAGGTGATTCCTTGGCATCCAGCTCGACCTCGGCGGCATGCACCATGGCTAGCACGGCTTCCTCCTCTATGCCAGAGAAGAACTCCTGCAGCCCCGCCCTGAAGTCCTCCCGGGACAGCTGGCCCTGGTTGCCCTGCTCCGAGTCCATCTTGGTGAGGGCTGTGATGAGTTTCTGGATGAGGAGCAGCTGCTTGTGGTAGACCTCCTCATCAACCTGACGAACAGGGAAAGGTCATCAATGTGGCAGGGAATTCTCTTTCTGCACTGGAGCTGATACCCATGTAATAATCACCATCTTGATTGTATTAAATAGAATACACCCATGAAGACTGTTAAGCTTGCTTCACATTAGGGTAAGTGAGTGAGGTTTAAAGCTACTTTGGACTGTATTCCAGATATATACTCCAGTCAGCCCACTGTGGGAGAGAGCCCTAAACAAAGCAGGTCTTAGACATTTACCAGTTTCATGACACACAAGCCTGGTATGGTGCTGACAAACTCAGGACCATTATCAAGGTGAATCAGGGATTCATACCCACAATCTAGGTTTCTGGAACACCTAAGAGATGCAACTCTGTAGAGAGAATTATGGTTCTCAAAGACAATATATTAGGGCTTCAAAAAGCAAGCATCACTTTCACATACTTGGTGGCACAGAGCCATAAGTGTCATAACAATCTTATCCGTCTATAGGTACTTGGGAACAAGAAAAGGATGAGAGGTTGGTGTTTGCTGGTGATGAAAATCTAATAATTAAATTACCCAGGCCGAATATGAACCTCTCATTAGGATCCAAAGTATGGATCACTTTTCTGTCTGTGGATGCATCATAAATCCTCAGCACATGATGCAGGAATTCTGCAAGACTTACCTCCCCTGTGAGCACCCCCCAGAAGAGTCCAATGTTGTCATCATTGGCATAGCGCTGCAGGGCGTCATGCAGGTTGTAGCCCCACTCCATCACCATGGTATCCAGGGAGAAGCGACGCTGTAGGTACATGTGCAGGAACTCTGCCATATTCTCACGCTTTCCATCAGTTTTCTGGGGAATAGAGTACAACATGGTTGTAGTACTTGGTTGTAATACACAGTTGTAATACACAGTTGTAATACACAGTTGTATTACTTGGTTGTAATACATGGTTGTAATACATGGTTGTAATACTTGGTTGCAATACTTGGTTGTTATACATAGTTGTAATACTTGGTTGCAATACTTGGTTGCAATACCTGGTTGCAATACTTGGTTGTAATACTTGGTTGCAATACATGGTTGTAATACTTAGTTGTAATACATGGTTGCAATACTTGGTTGCAATACATGGTTGTAATACTTGTTTGTAATACCTGGTTGTAATACTTGGTTGTAATACTTGGTTGTAATACATGGTTGCAATACTTCGTTGTAATACATGGTTGTAATACATAGTTGTAATACTTGGTTGTAATACATGGTTGTAATACATGGTTGTAATACTTGGTTGTAATACTTGGTTGTAATACATGGTTGTAAATACATGGTTATAAAACTTGGTTCTAATACTTGGTTGTAATACATGGTTGTAATACATGGTTGTAATACTTGGTTGTTATACATAGTTGTAATACTTGGTTGTAATACATGGTTGTAATACATGGTTGTTATACATAGTTGTAATACATAGTTGTAATACTTGGTTGTAATACATGGTTGTAATACTTGGTTGTTATACATAGTTGTAATACTTGGTTGTAATACATGGTTGTAATACATGGTTGTTATACTTGGTTGTAATACATGGTTGTAATACATGGTTGTAATACTTGGTTGTTATACATAGTTGTAATACTTGGTTGTAATACATGGTTGTAATACTTGGTTGTTATACATAGTTGTAATACTTGGTTGTAATACATGGTTGTAATACATGGTTGTTATACTTGGTTGTAATACATGGTTGTAATACTTAGTTGTAATACTTGGTTGTAATACATGGTTCTAATACATGGTTGTAATACTTGGTTGTAATACATGGTTGTAATACATGGTTGTAATACATGGTTGTAATACTTAGTTGTAGTACTTGGTTGTAATACATAATTGTAATAAATGGTTGTAATACTTGGTTGTAATACATGGTTGTAAAACATGGTTGTAATACATGGTTGTAATACATTGTTGTAATACATGGTTGTAATACTTGGTTGTAATACTTGGTTGTTATACATGGTTGTAATACTTAGTTGTAGTACTTGGTTGTAATACATGGTTCTAATACATGTTTGTAATACTTGGTTGCAATACATGGTTGTAATACATGGTTGTAATACTTGGTTGTAATACTTAGTTGTAGTACTTGGTTGTAATACATGGTTGCAATACATGGTTGTAATACTTGGTTGTAATACATGGTTGTAATACATGGTTGTAATACATGGTTGTAATACTTGGTTGTAATACTTGGTTGTAATACATGGTTGTAATACATGGTTGTAATACTTGGTTGTTATACATGGTTGTAATACATGGTTGTAATACTTGGTTGTAATACTTGGTTGTAATACTTGGTGTAATTTCATATCAATGCCTTGGTGTTTTTGTAAATTAGTTACAGAAGAATGTGGAAGACAAATATATATTGCTGCTCTGATATTCACTTGAATGTGTGGGGGCTGTCTAATGACATGCCATCTGGAAGAATGAGTGAGTGAGTGAGTGAGTGGGGTTTAATGCAGCTTTGAACTGTATCCCAGTCACATCACAGATGTGGGATGTAAAGTTTGCAGGTCTCAGACATTTACCAATTTGGGGAAACCCTCGAGCAGAGGTTTGGTGCTGACAGACCTAGAAACATAATCAGGGTAAACTAGGATTTGAACCCATGATCATAGGTTCCTGGCGTGCCAAAGGGATGCAACTCAGCACAGCAAATTGAGATGGCACACACACACATCCGGAATACCTCATCCTCAATGCAGTCAGCATTCTACAACAGCTCTTGAAAACCTGGCTGGGCAGTCTAGAGGTACTTGTATGCTTTTGAAGTAACATAATTGTGTTTGGTAAAAAAATTAGAGCGCCAACAACATTACTTTTGTTGTAACCAAACTAAGCACACTTTGTCATCCGCAGTATCAGGTCTCGGACAACCAGAGTTTCTCAATTATATTATAATGATGATGATGATGTGTTATTTTACTTTAATTGTTAAAACAATCACCTGGGCATCATGGGCGCCCTTTTCCCTCCAGATATCCTTGATGAGGAGTGAGCAGTCTCTCTTGCCAAGACGCCGGTTGCGGACCTGACCATCTGACCTGAGGTAGGCTGGAATGTCCGCACCACTGCCCTGAAAGGAGGTCAGGAAAAAATATAGCTAAACACTAACACAATGGACTCAATTTCAGATTGAAATCTTCTGCTAAATGTGATAATTACAGCGCTTTGCAAAAATAGCTGTAGAGCCGACTAACACCTGAAAACTTTCAGTAGCTTAAACCATATAAGTGCATTTTGTTTAACGTCACACTCATCAACATTCCAGCTATCTCATGCTGAAAAAATAATTGCGTCTTGTCCAGACAAGTCAGTGGTTGATATTATGAGCAACGACCCATGATGACTCCTTTCAGTGAAGTCATCACCTGATTCCATTAAGTTGCCGAAAGAGTACTTGGGACATAACACTAGGAAGCCAAACAGTTCAAACTACAACCAAAACCACTTTTAACACACATCAACTTGCACCTTTTGTTACATTTTTTCAGTTGATCTTCACCTAAATATTCTCGCTATATTGAAAGAAAAAAAAAAAATTCATCAGATGAAATCATTCCACCTTTGAATCGAAGAAGTCTGCCCCAGCGGAGTCGACAAGTCCACCTGACCCGATCTCAGTGAGCAACACGTCCACCAGCTCATTGCTCCGCTTGCCCTCCGCCATCTCCTTCCATCGTGCCAGGCCACCATTGATGTGGTCGGCACATCGGTCCCAGTCCGGCCTGAAGCAATGTAAGGGCAGAGTTCACTAAAATGTCTCTTTCAGTGAAGGAGTCTGTTGGGTTGGACACCTCAGTAAATGTCTGTGTTCATGTTGGTGTGAAGGCAGTGTGTTGATGTCTGATGTTGGTGTGAAGGCAGTGTGTTGATGTCTGATGTTGGTGTGAAGGCAGTGTGTTAATGTCTGATGTTGGTGTGGAGGCAGTGTGTTGATGTCTGATGTTGGTGTGGAGTCAGTGTGTTGATGTCTGATGTTGGTGTGAAGGCAGTGTGTTGATGATGTGTGAAGACAGTGTGTTGATGTCTGATGTTGGTGTGAAGGCAGTGTGTTGATGTCTGATGTTGGTGTGAAGGCAGTGTGTTAATGTCTGATGGTGTGAAGGCAGTGTGTTGATGAAGGCAGTGTGTTGATGATGTGTGAAGGCAGTGTGTTGATGATGTGTGAAGGCAGTATGTTGATGATGTGTGAAGGCAGTGTGTTGATGATGTGTGAAGCCAGTGTGTTGATGATGTGTGAAGGCAGTGTGTTGATGATGTGTGAAGGCAGTGTGTTGATGATGTGTGAAGGCAGTGTGTTGATGATATGTGAAGGCAGTGTGTTGATGCCTGATGTTGGTATGAAGGCAGTGTGTTGATGTGTTGATGATGGTGTGAAGGCAGTGTGTTGATGATGTGTGAAGGCAGTGTGTTGATGATGTGTGAAGGCAGTATGTTGATGATGTGTGAAGGCAGTGTGTTGATGATGTGTGAAGACAGTGTGCTGATAATGTGTGAAGGCAGTGTGTTGATGATGTGTGAAGGCAGTGTGTTGATGATGTGTGAAGGCAGTGTGTTGATGTCTGATGTTGGTATGAAGGCAGTGTGTTGATGATGTATGAAGGCAGTGTGTTGATGATGTGTGAAGGCAGTGTGTTGATGATGTGTGAAGGCAGTATGTTGATGATGTGTGAAGGCAGTGTGTTGATGATGTGTGAAGGCAGTGTGTTGATGATGTGTGAAGGCAGAGTGTTGATGATGTGGGAAGGCAGTGTGTTGATGATGTGTGAAGGCAGTGTGTTGATGTCTGATGTTGGTATGAAGGCAGTGTGTTGATGATGTATGAAGGCAGTGTGTTGATGTCTGATGTTGGTGTGAAGGCAGTGTGTTGATGATGTATGAAGGCAGTGTGTTGATGTTGTGTGAAGGCAGTGTGCTGATGATGTGTGAAGGCAGTGTGTTGATGATGTGTGAAGGCAGTGTGCTGATGATGTGTGAAGGCTGTGTGTTGATGATGTGTGAAGGCAGTGTGTTGATGATGTGTGAAGGCAGTGTGTTGATGATGTGTGAAGGCAGTGTGTTGATGATGTGTGAAGGCAGTGTGTTGATGATGTGGGAAGGCAGTGTGTTGATGATGTGTGAAGGCAGTGTGTTGATGATGTGTGAAGGCAGTGTGTTGATGATGTTTGCATGAAGGCAGTGTGTTGATGATGTGTGAAGGCAGTGTGTTGATGTCTGATGTTGGTGTGAAGGCAGTGTGTTAATGTCTGATGTTGGTGTGGAGGCAGTGTGTTGATGTCTGATGTTGGTGTGGAGGCAGTGTGTTGATGTCTGATGTTGGTGTGAAGGCAGTGTGTTGATGATGTGTGAAGACAGTGTGTTGATGTCTGATGTTGGTGTGAAGGCAGTGTGTTGATGTCTGATGTTGGTGTGAAGGCAGTGTGTTGATGTCTGATGTTGGTATGAAGGCAGTGTGTTGATGTCTGATGGTGTGAAGGCAGTGTGTTGATGTCTGATGTTGGTGAAGGCAGTGTGTTGATGATGTGTGAAGGCAGTGTGTTGATGATGTGTGAAGGCAGTGTGTTGATGATGTGTGAAGGCAGTGTGTTGATGATGTGTGAAGGCAGTGTGTTGATGATGTGTGAAGGCAGTGTGCTGATGATGTGTGAAGGCAGTGTGTTGATGTCTGATGTTGGTATGAAGACAGTGTGTTGATGTCTGATGTTGGTGTGAAGGCAGTGTGTTGATGATGTGTGAAGGTAGTGTGTTAATGATGTGTGAAGGCAGTGTGTTGATGATGTGTGAAGGCAGTGTGTTGATGTCTGATGTTGGTGTGAAGGCAGTGTGTTGATGATGTGTGAAGGTAGTGTGTTGATGATGTGTGAAGGCAGTGTGTTGATGATGTGTGAAGGCAGTGTGTTGATGATGTGTGAAGGCAGTGTGTTGATGTCTGATGTTGGTATGAAGGCAGTGTGTTGATGTCTGATGTTGGTGTGAAGGCAGTGTGTTGATGATGTATGAAGGCAGTGTGTTGATGATGTGTGAAGGCAGTGTGCTGATGATGTGTGAAGGCAGTGTGTTGATGATGTGTGAAGGCAGTGTGTTGATGATGTGTGAAGGCAGTGTGTTGATGATGTGTGAAGGCAGTGTGTTGATGATGTGTGAAGGCAGTGTGTTGATGTCTGATGTTGGTATGAAGGCAGTGTGTTGATGTCTGATGTTGGTGTGAAGGCAGTGTGTTGATGATGTATGAAGGCAGTGTGCTGATGATGTGTGAAGGAAGTGTGCTGATGATGTGTGAAGGCAGTGTGTTGATGATGTATGAAGGCAGTGTGTTGATGATGTGTGAAGGAAGTGTGCTGATGATGTGTGAAGGCAGTGTGTTGATGATGTGTGAAGGCAGTGTGTTGATGATGTGTGAAGGCAGTGTGTTGATGTCTGATGTTGGTATGAAGGCAGTGTGTTGATGTCTGATGTTGGTATGAAGGCAGTGTGTTGATGATGTGTGAAGGCAGTGTGTTGATGATGTGTGAAGGCAGTGTGTTGATGATGTGTGAAGGCAGTGTGCTGATGATGTGTGAAGGCAGTGTGTTGATGATGTGTGAAGGCAGTGTGCTGATGATGTGTGAAGGCAGTGTTTTGATGATGTGTGAAGGCAGTGTGTTGATGATGTGTGAAGGCAGTGTGCTGATGATGTGTGAAGGCAGTGTGTTGATGATGTATGAAGGCAGTGTGCTGATGATGTGTGAAGGCAGTGTGTTGATGTTGTGTGAAGGCAGTGTGTTGATGATGTGTGAAGGCAGTGTGTTGATGATGTGTGAAGGCAGTGTGCTGATGATGTGTGAAGGCAGTGTGTTGATGATGTGTGAAGGCAGTGTGTTGATGATGTGTGAAGGCAGTGTGCTGATGATGTGTGAAGGCAGTGTGTTGATGATGTGTGATGTGTGAAGGCAGTGTGTTGATGATGTGTGAAGGCAGTGTGTTGATGATGTGTGAAGGCAGTGTGTTGATGTTGTGTGAAGGCAGTGTGTTAATGATGTGTGAAGGCAGTGTGTGAATGATGTGTGAAGGCAGTGTGTGAATGATGTGTGAAGGCAGTGTGTTGATGATGTGTGAAGGCAGTGTGTTGATGTGTGAAGGCAGTGTTGAGATGATGTATGAAGGCAGTGTGTTGATGATGTGTGAAGGCAGTGTGTGAATGATGTTTGCATGAAGGCAGTGTGTTGATGATGTGTGAAGGCAGTGTGTTGATGATGTGTGAAGGCAGTGTGTTGATGATGTGTGAAGGCAGTGTGTTGATGATGTGTGAAGGCAGTGTGCTGATGATGTGTGAAGGCAGTGTGTGAGGGTGTTTGAGACATACATACCTAGGTGTGGAACTCCTCTTGAGAGTCTCCAGCTCCAGGTAGAACTCATCTCTCTGCTGTGTCACCTGCTTCTGTACATCAAGCAGAGCCCTGAAAACATGTGAGTCATGTACTAGTAGGTCGCACTAGGTCCCCACTAAAACAATAAAACACACTGCATACAGACGGGTTATTTCCGTCATCACATTTTATTCAAATTCAAGAAATAGTTTTACAGTTACAATGCTGACTACAGCACATCTCTTTAAAATATAGTGTGAATGTTTGAGTGAATGCTGTTTAACATCAATATTTCTGCTTACCATGGCACTTTGTACATTAACATGTCTGATTTGTTTGTTGTATAACACTGTAAATGATTGAGTCTGGACAAGACAGTCCAGTGATTGACATCATGAGCATCATCCAAGTCAGCGTCCCTGACCACCCAATCCTGTTAGTCGCCTCTTACGACAAAAATAGTCGCCATTTACGGCAAGCAATGGTTGCTGAAGACCTATTCTACCCCAGAACTTCACGGGTCTAAAGCAGTTTGAAACCAGTGACTGAAATCATGAGCAACAATCCTCACCTTTAGGGTTCGATGACCAGCAATACAACAAATTATAGAGCCTGACCAATCAATCCCCATTTTAACTGGCTCTTACCACAAGATGGGGTACAATGAACCTATTCTGTAGGGTTCTCAGTTAGGTGGTTTATTTGCTATTCATTGTAGACTTCACATCCAAGCAAATGTAATGAACGATGACAGAAGCTATTTGAAATAATCCTCCTCCTAACCTTCCACTTAACCTGACCCTGAGCACAGAAATGGATGCCCTAGGGATACAGAACCAAGGACAACAACCACCAGTATACAGAGAACGGGATGCAAACTAAACACTGGTGTTGTCTCCTTAACCCAAAGATGGATTGTGGACTTCTGGATATTGGCAGGTCATTTCACATTTCCTTGACAACAAGTTTAGACTCCTCTACAAGGAGGTCATCCCTGGAGTACTTTGACTACACTTACTCATGCTCAACCTGCAGTTTCCTGAAGTCATCCTTTGAGACTGCACTCTCCTCCTCCAGTTTCTGGAACCAATGTGACATAGTGTGATGACATGTGACATAGTGTGGTGAAATGTGACATAGTGTGATGACATGTGACATGGTGTGGATACATGTGACATAGTGTGGTGGGTGACATGTGACATTGTGTGGTGACATGTGACATAGTGTGGTGAAAGAAGTGACAAAGTGTAGTGAAATGTGACATAGTGTGATGGCATGTGACATGGTGTGGATACATGTGACATAGTGTGGTGACATGTGACATGGTGTGGTGACATGTGACATGGTGTGGTGACAGAAGTGACATAGTGTAGTGAAATGTGACATAGTGTGATGACATGTGACATGGTGTGGATACATGTGACATAGTGTGGTGACATGTGACATGGTGTGGTGACATGTGACACAGTGTGGTGACATATGTGACAAAGTGTTGTGACATGTGACATAGTGTGATGGCATGTGACATAGTGTGGTGACATGGTGTGGATACATGTGACATAGTGTGGTGACATGTGACATAGTGTGATGACATGTGACATGGTGTGATGACATGTGACATAGTGTGATGGCATGTGACATAGTGTGGTGACATGGTGTGGATACATGTGACATAGTGTGGTGACATGTGACATAGTGTGGTGACAAGTGACATAATGTAGGGAAATGTGATATAGTGTGATGACATGTGACATAGTGTGGTGACATGTGACATAGTGTGATGACATGTGACATAGTGTGGTGACATGTGACATAGTGTGGTGACATGTGACATAGTGTGGATACATGTGACATAGTGTGGTGACATGTGACATAGTGTGATGACATGTGACATAGTGTGATGACATGTGACATAGTGTGGTGACATGTGACATAGTGTTGTGACATGTGGCATGGTGTGGATACATGTGACATAGTGTGGTGACATGTGACATAGTGTGGTGACATGTGACAAAGTGTGGTGACATGTGATATGGTGTGGATACATGTGACATAGTGTGGTGACATGTGACATAGTGTGATGACATGTGAGATAGTGTGGTGACATGTGAGATAGTGTGGTGACATATGTGACATAGTGTGGTTATATGTGACAAAGTGTGGTGACATGTGATATGGTGTGGATACATGTGACATAGTGTTGTGACATGTGACATGGTGTGGTGACATGTGACATAGTGTGATGACATGTGACATAGTGTGATGACATGTGACATAGTTTGGTGACATATGTGACATAGTGTGGTGACATGTGGCATGGTGTGGATACATGTGACATAGTGTTGTGACATGTGATATGGTGTGGTGACATGTGACACAGTGTGGTCATATAGTGTTGTGACATGTGACATGGTGTGGTGACATGTGACATGGTGTGGTGACATGTGACATAGTGTGGTGACATGTGACATGGCGTGGTGACATGTGACATAGTGTGGTTACATGTGACATAGTGTGGTGACATGTGACATGGTGTGGATACATGTGACATAGTGTGGTGACATGTGACATAGTGTGATGGCATGTGACATAGTGTGGTGAAATATGTGACATAGTGTTGTGACATGGTGTGGATACATGTGACATAGTGTGGTGACATGTGACATGGTGTGGATACATGTGACATAGTGTGGTGACATGTGACATAGTGTGATGACATGTGACATGGTGTGATGACATGTGACATAGTGTGATGACATGTGACATGGTGTGATGACATGTGACATAGTGTGGTGACATATATGATATAGTGTGGCAACAGAAGTGACATAGTGTGGTGAAATGTGACATAGTGTGGTGACATGTGACATAGTGTGGTGACATGTGACATAGTCTGGTGACAAATGTGACATAGTGTGATGACATGTGACATAGTCTGGTGACAAATGTGACATAGTGTGGTGACATGTGACATAGTGTAATGACATGTGACATAGTGTTATGACATGTGACATAGTGTGGTGACAGAAGTGACACAATGTAGTGTCTGATGTGGATGTAACATCATGCGGTGTGGATGTGACATGTTGTGAGCTGTGGATGTGACATGTTGTGAGCTGTGGATGTGATGTAGTGTTGAAGTGATATCGTGAGATGTGGGTGTGACATGGTGTGAGCTGTGAATGTGACATGGTGTGAGCTGTGGATGTGATGTAGTGTTGAAGTGATATCGTGAGATGTGGATGTGACATGGTGTGAGCTGTGGATGTGATGTACTGTTGAAGTGACATCGTGAGATGTGGATGTGACATGGTGTGAGCTGTGGATGTGATGAAGTGTTGAAGTGACATCGTGAGATGTGGATGTGATGTAGTGTTGAAGTGACATCGTGAGCTGTGGGTGTGACATGGTGTGAGCTGTGAATGTGACATGGTGTGAGCTGTGGATGTGATGTAGTGTTGAAGTGATATCGTGAGATGTGGATGTGACATGGTGTGAGCTGTGAATGTGACATGGTGTGAGCTGTGGATGTGATGTAGTGTTGAAGTGATATCGTGAGATGTGGATGTGACATGGTGTGAGCTGTGGATGTGATGTAGTGTTGAAGTGACATCGTGAGATGTGGATGTGAGATGGTGTGAGCTGTGGAAGTGATGTAGTGTTGAAGTGACATCGTGAGATGTGGATGTGATGTAGTGTTGAAGTGACATCGTGAGCTGTGGATGTGAGATGGTGTGAGCTGTGGATGTGATGTAGTGTTGAAGTGACATCGTGAGATGTGGATGTGAGATGGTGTGAGCTGTGGATGTGATGTAGTGTTGAAGTGACATCGTGAGCTGTGGATGTGAGATGGTGTGAGCTGTGGATGTGATGTAGTGTTGAAGTGACATCGTGAACTGTGGATGTGATGTAGTGTTGAAGTGACATCGTGAGATGTGGATGTGACATGGTGTGAGCTGTGGATGTGATGTAGTGTTGAAGTGACATCTTGAGCTGTGGATGTGATGTAGTGTTGAAGTGACATTGTGAGATGTGGATGTGACATGGTGTGAGCTGTGGATGTGAGATGGTGTGAGCTGTGGATGTGACATGGTGTGAGCTGTGGATGTGATGTAGTGTTGAAGTGACATTGTGAGCTGTGGATGTGATGTAGTGTTGAAGTGACATCGTGAGATGTGGATGTGAGATGGTGTGAGCTGTGGATGTGATGTAGTGTTGAAGCAACATCGTGAACTGTGGATGTGATGTAGTGTTGAAGTGACATCGTGAGATGTGGATGTGACATGGTGTGAGCTGTGGATGTGATGTAGTGTTGAAGTGACATCTTGAGCTGTGGATGTGATGTAGTGTTCAAGTGACATTGTGAGATGTGGATGTGACATGGTGTGAGCTGTGGATGTGAGATGGTGTGAGCTGTGGATGTGACATGGTGTGAGCTGTGGATGTGATGTAGTGTTGAAGTGACATTGTGAGCTGTGGATGTGATGTAGTGTTGAAGTGACATCATGAGATGTGGATGTGAGATGGTGTGAGCTGTGGATGTGATGTAGTGTTGAAGTGACATCGTGAGATGTGGATGTGACATGGTGTGAGCTGTGGATGTGATGTAGTGTTGAAGTGACATTGTGAGATGTGGATTTGATGTAGTGTTGAAGTGGCATAGTGAGCTGTGGATGTGATATGGTGTGAGCTGTGGATGTGAGATGGTGTGAGCTGTGGATGTTACATGGTGTGAGCTCTGGATGTGATGTAGTGTTGAAGTGATATCGTGAGATGTGGATTTGAGATGGTTTGAGCTTTGGAGGTGACATGGTGTGAGCTGTGGATGTGATGTAGTGTTGAAGTGACATCTTGAGCTGTGGATGTGATGTAGTGTTGAAGTGACATTGTGAGATGTGGATGTGACATGGTGTGAGCTGTGGATGTGAGATGGTGTGAGCTGTGGATGTGACATGGTGTGAGCTGTGGATGTGATGTAGTGTTGAAGTGACATTGTGAGCTGTGGATGTGATGTAGTGTTGAAGTGACATCGTGAGATGTGGATGTGAGATGGTGTGAGCTGTGGATGTGATGTAGTGTTGAAGCAACATCGTGAACTGTGGATGTGATGTAGTGTTGAAGTGACATCGTGAGATGTGGATGTGACATGGTGTGAGCTGTGGATGTGATGTAGTGTTGAAGTGACATCTTGAGCTGTGGATGTGATGTAGTGTTCAAGTGACATTGTGAGATGTGGATGTGACATGGTGTGAGCTGTGGATGTGAGATGGTGTGAGCTGTGGATGTGACATGGTGTGAGCTGTGGATGTGATGTAGTGTTGAAGTGACATTGTGAGCTGTGGATGTGATGTAGTGTTGAAGTGACATCATGAGATGTGGATGTGAGATGGTGTGAGCTGTGGATGTGATGTAGTGTTGAAGTGACATCGTGAGATGTGGATGTGACATGGTGTGAGCTGTGGATGTGATGTAGTGTTGAAGTGACATTGTGAGATGTGGATGTGATGTAGTGTTGAAGTGGCATAGTGAGCTGTGGATGTGAGATGGTGTGAGCTGTGGATGTGAGATGGTGTGAGCTGTGGATGTTACATGGTGTGAGCTCTGGATGTGATGTAGTGTTGAAGTGATATCGTGAGATGTGGATTTGAGATGGTTTGAGCTTTGGAGGTGACATGGTGTGAGCTGTGGATGTGATGTAGTGTTGAAGTGACATCGTGAGATGTGGATGTGACATGGTGTGAGCTGTAAATGTGATGTAGTGTTGAAGTGACATCTTGAGCTGTGGATGTGATGTAGTGTGTAAGTGACATCGTGAGATGTGGATGTGACATGGTGTGAGCTGTGGATGTGATGTAGTGTTGAAGTGACATCGTGAGATGTGGATGTGAGATGGTGTGAGCTGTGGATGTGATGTAGTGTTGAAGTGACATCGTGAGATGTGGATGTGAGATGGTGTGAGCTGTGGATGTGGTGTAGTGTTGAAGTGACATCGTAAGATGTGGATGTGAGATGGTGTGAGCTGTGGATGTGATGTAGTGTTGAAGCAACATCGTGAACTGTGGATGTGATGTAGTGTTGAAGTGACATCGTGATATGTGGATGTGACATGGTGTGAGCTGTGGATGTGATGTAGTGTTGAAGTGACATCTTGAGCTGTGGATGTGATGTAGTGTTGAAGTGACATTGTGAGATGTGGATGTGACATGGTGTGAGCTGTGGATGTCAGATGGTGTGAGCTGTGGATGTGACATGGTGTGAGCTGTGGATGTGATGTAGTGTTGAAGTGACATTGTGAGCTGTGGATGTGATGTAGTGTTGAAGTGACATCGTGAGATGTGGATGTGACATGGTGTGAGCTGTGGATGTGATGTAGTGTTGAAGTGACATTGTGAGCTGTGGATTTGATGTAGTGTTGAAGTGACATAGTGAGATGTGGATGTGAGATGGTGTGAGCTGTGGATGTGATGTAGTGTTGAAGCAACATCGTGAACTGTGGATGTGATGTAGTGTTGAAGTGACATCGTGAGATGTGGATGTGACATGGTGTGAGCTGTGGATGTGATGTAGTGTTGAAGTGACATCTTGAGCTGTGGATGTGATGTAGTGTTGAAGTGACATTGTGAGCTGTGGATTTGATGTAGTGTTGAAGTGACATAGTGAGCTGTGGATGTGAGATGGTGTGAGCTGTGGATGTGATGTAGTGATGAAGTGACATCGTGAGATGTGGATGTGACATGGTGTGAGCTGTGAATGTGATGTAGTGTTGAAGTGACATCGTGAGATGTGGATGTGATGTAGTGTTGAAGTGACATCGTGAGATGTGGATGTGAGATGGTGTGAGCTGTGGATGTGATGTAGTGTTGAAGTGACATCGTGAGATGTGGATGTGAGATGGTGTGAGCTGTGGATGTGATGTAGTGTTGAAGCAACATCGTGAACTGTGGATGTGATGTAGTGTTGAAGTGACATCGTGAGATGTGGATGTGACATGGTGTGAGCTGTGGATGTGATGTAGTGTTGAAGTGACATCTTGAGCTGTGGATGTGATGTAGTGTTGAAGTGACATTGTGAGATGTGGATGTGACATGGTGTGAGCTGTGGATGTGAGATGGTGTGAGCTGTGGATGTGACATGGTGTGAGCTGTGGATGTGATGTAGTGTTGAAGTGACATGGTGTGAGCTGTGGATGTGATGTAGTGTTGAAGTGACATCGTGAGATGTGGATGTGAGATGGTGTGAGCTGTGGATGTGATGTAGTGTTGAAGTGACATTGTGAGCTGTGGATGTGATGTAGTGTTGAAGTGGCATAGTGAGCTGTGGATGTGAGATGGTGTGAGCTGTGGATGTGAGATGGTGTGAGCTGTGGATGTGACATGGTGTGAGCTGTGGATGTGATGTAGTGTTGAAGTGATATCGTGAGATGTGGATTTGAGATGGTTTGAGCTGTGGTGGTGACATGGTGTGAGCTGTGGATGTGATGTAGAGTTGAAGTGACATCGTGAGCTGTCGATGTGATGTAGTGTTGAAGTGACATCGTGAGATGTGGATGTGACATGGTGTGAGCTGTGGATGTGATGTAGTGTTGAAGTGACATAGTGAGCTGTGGATGTGAGATGGTGTGAGCTGTGGATGTGATGTAGTGTTGAAGTGACATCGTGAGATGTGGATGTGACATGGTGTGAGCTGTGGATGTGATGTAGTGTTGAAGTGACATTGTGAGATGTGGATGTGATGTAGTGTTGAAGTGGCATAGTGAACTGTGGATGTGAGATGGTGTGAGCTGTGGATGTGAGATGGTGTGAGCTGTGGATGTGACATGGTGTGAGCTCTGGATGTGATGTAGTGTTGAAGTGATATCGTGAGATGTGGATTTGAGATGGTTTGAGCTGTGGAGGTGACATGGTGTGAGCTGTGGATGTGATGTAGTGTTGAAGTGACATTGTGAGCTGTCGATGTGATGTAGCGTTGAAGTGACATCGTGAGATGTGGATGTGACATGGTGTGAGCTGTAAATGTGATGTAGTGTTGAAGTGACATCGTGAGATGTGGATGTGAGATGGTGTGAGCTGTGGATGTGATGTAGTGTTGAAGTGACATTGTGAGCTGTGGATGTGATGTAGTGTTGAAGTGACATCATGAGATGTGGATGTGAGATGGTGTGAGCTGTGGATGTGATGTAGTGTTGAAGTGACATCGTGAGATGTGGATGTGAGATGGTGTGAGCTGTGGATGTGATGTAGTGTTGAAGTGACATCGTGAGATGTGGATGTGAGATGGTGTGAGCTGTGGATGTGATGTAGTGTTGAAGCAACATCGTGAACTGTGGATGTGATGTAGTGTGGAAGTGACATCGTGAGATGTGGATGTGACATGGTGTGAGCTGTGGATGTGATGTAGTGTTGAAGTGACATCTTGAGCTGTGGATGTGATGTAGTGTTCAAGTGACATTGTGAGATGTGGATGTGACATGGTGTGAGCTGTGGATGTGAGATGGTGTGAGCTGTGGATGTGACATTGTGTGAGCTGTGGATGTGATGTAGTGTTGAAGTGACATTGTGAGCTGTGGATGTGATGTAGTGTTGAAGTGACATCGTGAGATGTGGATGTGAGATGGTGTGAGCTGTGGATGTGATGTAGTGTTGAAGTGACATCGTGAGATGTGGATGTGACATGGTGTGAGCTGTGGATGTGATGTAGTGTTGAAGTGACATCATGAGATGTGGATGTGATGTAGTGTTGAAGTGACATTGTGAGCTGTGGATGTGATGTAGTGTTGAAGTGACATAGTGAGCTGTGGATGTGAGATGGTGTGAGCTGTGGATGTGATGTAGTGTTGAAGTGACATCGTGAGCTGTGGATGTGACATGGTGTGAGCTGTGGATGTGATGTAGTGTTGAAGTGACATCGTGAGATGTGGATGTGAGATGGTGTGAGCTGTGGATGTGATGTAGTGTTGAAGTGACATAGTGAGCTGTGGATGTGAGATGGTGTGAGCTGTGGATGTGATGTAGTGTTGAAGTGACATCGTGAGATGTGGATGTGACATGGTGTGAGCTGTGGATGTGATGTAGTGTTGAAGTGACATTGTGAGCTGTGGATGTGATGTAGTGTTGAAGTGGCATAGTGAGCTGTGGATGTGAGATGGTGTGAGCTGTGGATGTGAGATGGTGTGAGCTGTGGATGTGACATGGTGTGAGCTCTGGATGTGATGTAGTGTTGAAGTGATATCGTGAGATGTGGATTTGAGATGGTTTGAGCTGTGGAGGTGACATGGTGTGAGCTGTGGATGTGATGTAGTGTTGAAGTGACATTGTGAGATGTGGATGTGATGTAGTGTTGAAGTGACATCATGAGATGTGGATGTGACATGGTGTGAGCTGTAAATGTGATGTAGTGTTGAAGTGACATCTTGAGCTGTGGATGTGATGTAGTGTTGAAGTGACATCGTGAGATGTGGATGTGATAGAATACCTCATAGGAAATTACGATAAACTCAAATCATAATAATGTTATTGTTCAAATACTAGTAATGACTTATATTATAGGAAAGTTATTCTAAAGGTTCCTTTGACCTGGTCCAATATATAATGTATCCACTACAGGGTATTGTTATACCTTATGTTTAGCTTCTAATGCCTCAAAGTCTCGTCGGGGTATCACGTCACCATAGTTAGCTACCATCTCATTCAGCCGCTGGGTCGCACTTTTCTCATCCTCACGAGCTTTCCTGTAACCAGTAGTATCAGTTATACATGAAACAAAGATACACCCCCAAGGTTCTGTAGCTCACCTCCATCAGGAGTATTTGCACTAATAAAGGTTATAATGAAAGGTGAACAAGAATATGCGGCCATAAGTAACAGAAGTTCTGATGCAACAAAACAGCATTAATATTTAATGACAACTTTAATAATATGATAGTAATGATAATAATGATAGACTTTAATAATATCCAAGTCCACATAAAACTGATGTCAACTTCAGTGTAGCTCCTTGTGAGCTGAGGAGAACTGGTCTGCAGACCTGTGGCTAAAATATGTCAAAAACAATGATTTTTAAGGTTTTTAGGGAAACAGCTGTAATATTTGAAAATAAGCATGTCTCTGATCCATGTTAATTTTCTTATTGCAAGTAAATAAAGAACTTCAAATATATTATAAGAAAATAGGTAGTCTTGTTTATCCATACTACCCATCTCACAATCTGAAGTCTTGATTATTGAATGAAGAAGTACTATGTCAACAGTACACATACACATAATTTTGGCCCCAATAGGTATTGCAATATGTATCACAATACAGCTCTCCGAATAGTGATATATTGCAATACGATTATGTGCCAATCCGCCAACCCTACTCGTAGTAACCCTATCTCACCTAAGTGCTATTTTAAGTGTGACGGGGTCTTCCTGGGCCTCCTGTGCATCCTGGAGGCTCTGTTTAGACACAAGATAGTCCTCCTGCTGGTAACGGAGGTCATTGATGTCCGACACAAGCAGTTTCCGAGCATCAAACTCATCCCGATATTTGCGGTACTCTTCTTGCAGCTTGTCCTGCAGTCTGACCACCTGTTCCTCGAGGTCCTTCTGCTTGTTCCTCATGGAGGAGATCTGCATCTGCAGTCCTGTGTTGTGTGCTTTCAGCTCGATGATCTCTGCAAGGAAATATGGTGTGTGAGTGAGTATGTCTTCAAGTCTTCCGATGGGCCTATAAAATTCCAAGGAGTCTCATGACAAAGTCTTCACAAACTCCAAAAGATAGATTTGGGATTGTCATTGCCTGTCCAACTGTATCTTATCTGGACTGCATGTATCAGTCAGTGTGTGGCTTTGTCACTCCTTTGAACAGTGTTTCAGTCATATCACAGAGTGTTTCCTTGATATGGGATGAAAGTGAGTGAGTAGGGTTTAACAGCGCTTTGAACAGTATTCCAGTTATATGACAGCATGTCAGCTTAATGTGGGAGGAAAGACTGAAGTGATGCAGGTCTCAGACGTTTACCACTTGGGTGGAACCTATGGGTACGGACATAGTGCTGATAAAATGAGAGCCATAATCAGGGTGAGTCTAGGATTTGAGCCCCCAATCATGAGATTCCAGTATGAGTAAGTGAGTGGTAAATGAAGCAGCTCAGACAAGAGTGCGTCCCCTGCCCCACACAACAGTCAAGCCAGGCTGCCAAAATAACTTCAAGTGTTTTAAAAAGAAGAGTGCCAGTTTTAGGCACAGATCGAAGTCCTACCTTGTTTCTCTTCTTCTCGGAGCGCCATGACTTTCTGGTCACACTGCTCCGACACTGTCACCAACATTTGCTGCAGGAAAGTAATCAGGTTGTTATGCTTGAAGATGTATGTAGTATATAGCTACTGCATGACATCAAGACGCCAACAAATGACTGTGTATTCAGGGATAAATATCTTGCTGGAAGGTATGCACAGTCACACTGACAAAACTCAACTGAAGTGGTTCACAGTCACAGTGTAAAGCGGTTCACAGTCACACTGACACAACTCAACTCGAAGTGGTTCACAGTCACACTGACACAACTCAACTGAAGTGGTTCACAGACACAACTCAACTGAAGTGGTTCACAGTCACACTGACACAACTCAACTGAAGTGGTTCACAGTCACACTGACACAACTCACCCGAAGTGGTTCACAGTCACACTGACACAACTCACCCGAAGTGGTTCAGTCACACTGACACAACTCACCCGAAGTGGTTCACAGTCACACTGACACAACTCACCCGAAGTGGTTCCAGCTCCCTGATCTGCTGCCTCTGACTTGCCAGCATCATCTCGTACTCGTTCTTAATGGCTGCCAACAGGTGGCGATATGTCTTGAAGTCTTCAATCAAGTACTCAAATACTTCACGATGGGCCTAGGAAATTACAAGGACACTTTCATTACAGTCTCATGATGAAATCTTCACAAACTCCAAAAGATAGAGCTTCAGGCTTGTCATGGCCTGTCCAACTGTATCTTATCTTGACTGCATATATCAGTCGGTGAGTGGCTTTGGTTGAGTCCCATATTCCAAGAATGAGCCATCTAATGGTGGCCATCATATGTAATGTAACATAACACAACATAACGCAATGCAACGTAACGTAATATATATATAAATCTTAATCCCTCTCTTCTTATACTGGCTTCCAATCAACTATTCCATATCAATCACTGTATTGTTTTACCCATCATGAGTTGTTAATGCTATTTATGTACATCAATCAGGCTCATACTTTATACTGCACTGTTGTGTAAACATCTTGCATAAACATCAATTATCCACGTGTATATTAAACTCCCTTCTTCACATATTTGTTCATCACTTGATTGGTAACAGTGTTAGTATCTTCACTGAAACATTGCAGTCATTGCAATAAAGAAGTTGTATATCCTTATAATTATCTCCCTTGTTCATCACACCAACTAAATGCCACTTAAAGAAGGTATTTTCCAAACTTTAGTGCCATTTGAATTTAATAATTATATTTACTGAAATCATCAAATTTTTACAAGGTCAAATATTTCATGTGCAACTCTACAAAATGTTAGTGTGTAGGTGAAGGTTGTATGTACCTGGAGCCTCAGTTCACTTGGTAAGACTTCTGTGACGCCAAGGGCTCTCAACTCCTTCTTCAGAAAGTTCTCCAGCTGTTCCAGGAATCGGGGCTTGGGGATCATCTTGGGTTTGCCGCTCTCATCCTCACTGAGCATCACCAGGCTCTTGTTCTTGGACAGCATGGCTGATGTTGCAGCCAGTGCCTGACCACTGGCATGTGCTGGCCATGTGTCCAGCTCTCCGGCCTTGGTGTCCACATAAGGCTTGAATGGATGAAATATGTAATGAGCATTGGCTTTAACAAGCGCTTCACGGGTAATAAATTAATCTGGTTTAAGGTAATACAGTTTTCAGTTTGCATTTCACAGGCCCACCACCCCTACTGAAAAGCAGCAGGTCAAGAAATAAATTGAATATGAAAATATTTATTTTTATTATGTCACCCGTTTGTAATATAGACCCTCTTATACAATAAAACATGTTACATAAATTCCATGTCTACATCACTATCATAGATAAAACATAAAATTAAAAAAGGGTGGCTTAATTAGGCCATATGAAATATTATATCTTTTCAAGCAGATACCAGAGATTGATGTAATGAACAATATCCCACACTGACAGTGTATGAACATGTTCCCGAGGCAAAGGAGTTAACTGACTGTAAAAGTCCAGTTTTCACCCTTGCCGAACCAGGCTAGAATTTCTGGGCTAGAAAGTTTCACCACCAGTTGCTATTATGAGTTATGTCCCTTTTATGTCCCTCCTACTGACCAATCAGATTCCACCTTTCATATCACTTGCATTCACTTCAAACAAAATGGCAGCATCCAGTCAAGACAATCAGATCGATGAAAAAAGATCTATATTGTCATAAAACTGGTCTTACATCGTGAAGTACATCAAATCATGTGAGCATCTTGATAAGAAACATGAAAGGAATTGGAAAATATGTGTTGACGGAACACATGCTTTACAAATCCTGCGATCGACTGAAATCTGCACGTTACGAGATTTTGATTGGACCATGCATTGACTTGTTAGTCCAGCCAAAATATAACTCCATAATACCAGCCTTATTCAGGCAAGGGTGGAAACTGGGCTTTTATAGTCAGTTAACTCCCTTGCCTCGGGAAGATGGGTTAGGAATTCCCAGTGTTCAAAATTAAGGGTGTCCTGGGGTTCTTAAGGCTGCATCAACATATATTTAAATCTAGAGCCCCTTCAATATTTAACTTTTAAAATACAGGCAATGATAAAAAACACCTTGGATGTTTAACTTTGAATGCTGACTGAGTGAGTAAAATGGGTTACATGACATTTAAACTGTATTTTGTATTTGAGTTATATCATGGCACGTCAGTTTGATGTTGGAGGAAAGTCCAGGTGGGGCCTTGTGCTTTTAGCCCCTAAATTTGAAAAAAGGCCCACATTTCCAAAAACAATGGGGCATTTTAACATTGTGCTGTATAGGTGTACCTCTGAATTATTTAAGATTTTCACAAAAAGGGCCCATGTCAGAAAATTCCTAGTGTGAACCCTGTCAGGTCTTAAGACTCTTTCCACTTTGGCAAAACCTACAAGCATGGGTATGGTCCCGCAGTTTAACATGGATACCCCAGTTTGATACAGTATACTGACTCCAAGCCTACTAGTTCTTGTATAGCCAATTAATGATGAGCACCAGGCAGGGTAACAACAAATAACCATCTTTTAACATTGTTCAGTATGTTATGACGGGGGATCAAATGACCGACCTTACATACTCCGGACAGACATTTAATCCTCAAGACCACAAAACTGGTCTAAATACGGTGAACTGGGATTCAAACACATGATCCTAGGTGCCTGGCATGCCTAAGGGAAGCAACTCTGCACAGTAAATTGCAGTGCCTTAGACTCCAGTGCCCCAATCCAGGTAATTGAAACATGTTGTCCTTGTTGAGCTGTCTACCATGCAATGCAGGATAAGCACAAAATATGAACATATAACTGACAATCTGTCTCCACCTGTAACTTTACACATCAAGTATACTCGTCTCTTGGGAATAACCACAGATAAATACAACTTCTAAACATATGAATAGGGAACACAAATTGACACATACCTTGAGTGCTTTTGGCAGGGGAAGTGGATAATCCTTGTTTTCTAATCTGTAGCTGGGGCCACCGAACACATCAAAACGATTGGTAGCTCTTGGTGATATGCTGGCTATTTTCCCACTGAAAGTTTAGATCATCTCATTTGTCAACGCATGTGTGTTTTGGAATGCCTCTAGGCATTAATGTAAACACTAGGGGGTAAACTTTATATGTATCTGTAAGAGTGAGTGAGTGAGTGAGTTTGGTTTTATGCCGCTTTTAGTAATATTCCAGCAATATCACGGCGGGGGACACCAGAAATGGGCTTCACACATTGTACCCATGTCGGGAATCGAACCCGGGTCTTCGGCGTGACGAGCGAACGCTTTAACCACAAGGCTACCCGACCGCCCCTTTCTGTAAGAGACTGACTCATGACAAATCCTGTGAATTGTCAGTTTTCCAAAGCCAGAGTCAAGTAAAATTTCTGCTTGTCCAGTAAGATCAGACAAATACTTGACCATACATTTAGACTAAATATACTGAAAATAATGCTAAAATACATGTTCGGAGTAGACTCAAAGGTTTTTCGGAACAGACTGCAGCCTAAAATTGTAAATATTGTATTCAAACGTATTGGGAAAATTCTAAATATATTTAATTTAATCCTTAATCATATTGGTGAAATATGTTTCAAAATATCATTATCATATGAAATCATAGAAATCTTATGTTTAGCATCTCTGCATAATGTATCAAATCTCAACTTTATCCCTGTGTTTTGGGTTTTCAGATGCCAAAGAAACATTCATAGTTTTCTCAGTAAATCACAAGAACAATCATAAAACATCTCACTCATTAAAGACAACTATATATTAAAATCAAGCCATCATCGAGTATTTACAATGTCTGTGTGAGGAACAACCCTTGTTATAATGAGTGTACTCGCGATAAAAACATGGCCGTCGGAAAACATATGAGGACAGAAAACATATGATCTGACGATAGAAATCGTTTTAGAATTGAATATTCCATTATTTTTTTTATATTCAGTCTGAACCACTAAAATAAGACTGCTGGTCTTACCTATTGCAGTAATGTTATACAATGACCAGTTACTACATCATCTTGTTCACAAGTCTGTTTACTGAGATAAAGATCTAGTCTAAATCAAACGCCATTGTGGTGATTTATTAATAAAAGAAGTTAATGAAATAACCTCATTAACCATATTTGTGTAGCAGGCTTTGCAAATTAGTTAAAACAAGTCCAGGTTTGTGTTTAAGGTACTGGCAACATCCATTATTGAACCACGAAATGATATTCAATGAATTCGCTGTGTAACCGAAGACATTTTGGAAACTTTTGCAGTTGGATAATAAGGGTCATAAACATATTGACCATACTATTTCTTCTGACCACTTACCCTGATAATGGTGGCAGTCTCGCCAAGGCAAATTTAGTTTCCGCCATTTCAATTGCTATTCCGTGTCAGTCATCATTTTGTTTACAAAACACGAAAGTTTTCGTAGGAATCCTACTTCGAAAATCACAACCTTCGACGATTGTTACTCGGCGCCATCTTGAATCACCATGGGAACTTTGTATTAACGACATTATGTCCCAGGATAAGTTGCCTACTATAGTAAATGTAATAATATCTGTTTACGATTTTACACATATATATAATATATTAAAGGATCATGGTCAAAGAGACCTTTTTTGCATTTATCGTGAATGCTGTAACAACAAAACAACGCACTCATTTTTGGCAAATATCATGTACTTTCCTTAAGCCAAAAAGCCTACTATCTATAACACCTAAGCGAACAACCAAAAACGCGTGATTTTTCATATCCCTTTTCAAATTCAAGTTAAAAGAACGGGGAAATCATTATCTGCTTTATTGGCAAACACCGTAAAATTTAAATAAGCACGACTTTAATGACTTGAAACAAACCTGCTTGGTCTGGTTCGACGCGAGTTAGACGTTTATATTTAACAGTCAATGGCTGAAATTTTCACTTTGGCATTTTACAAAATGCCAAAATATTTGAGTCATTTTACAATTATTTCCGTCAGATTGACTTCAGGTTATTAAGAAGTTGAAAAGGGTAAAAAACCCATCACATTACACTAATAATGCTAGGATTAGAAGCCAAAATATTAAAACAATATACATTGACTTTCGTTTCCTTTTAATCCTATCATTTTCAGTCACTTGGTGATGAAATAGAGCATAGAAGTGTTTGGAATAGAAGTGTTTGGAATTCGTTATCATAATATAATAAATGGAAAAATAATTGAAAAATTATTCAAATATTTTCATTTTACACATTGACAGTACCATAATATGTTATGAAATATATATTATAAACCACTGAAAATAAATTTACATAAAGTATTTCATATTTCTCGAGAGACATTAGACCATTCATTTACATGTAGATTTATTACCAACCGCTTAAAACAAAAGCCCACGCTGTTTCGGTCGACACCACTGACGCTTGTAACCTACGGTCAAAGGGAGACAATCCTGAAAGTGACGGTTAATGGGAGGTTGTGTCCTGCAAAGGATCATACTCGTTTTGTAAACATCTTACCTGTAAAGGACGATGTATTGACAAAATGACAACCTAGTCTAGCGTGGAACAAGCAAATCTGTTCTCACAAGGAAAGGGTTAGTGACACAGGAGAGCAGTATTTGGGAGTTTACAAACGTCGCTTAACACGATCTTAGCAATAACTGAGTTACGTCCCTTTGACCGTTCATCAACAATAATAGCAAAAAGTCCAATTCCCATTAAACCGTATTTATATAAAATTTGGCAACATCGTCTACACCTCACACCCAATATATCTACTAAACAGGCCCAAATCCGAGACCCAGCATTTATGATCATTTCACAATGCATTTAGAAACCAGATGTCTTATATGATCAATGGGGCACGGGTGGCCCAGTCGTCTAAGGCATCAGAGTTCGCCGTGCAGATCGTGCATTCGAATCCCAGAGTCGATCTGATTATGAATCAAGGTTTGTTAGCACCAAGTCCGAGTTCGTCGGTTTCATGAAACTAGTAAACGTCTGATACTTCGGGCTATGTTTCCAACATCAAACTGGCATGTCGTGAAATAACTAAAATTCCAAAGCGACCTTACCAAACGCATTTATTCTTAGATTATAAAACACAATTTTGGATATTTTGTGGGCGAAGCAAATGGAAACTGCGTTCATAAGTAACAGCAGATACAGAAACAGACAGATATTTGTCTCAGGGTTTACTGTGCTATATACATAAGCTTGTCGATGCAAACTGACGGGCAAAAGAAGAATGAATACACTTGAAAATTGAATTTCACAAAAGCTAATTTACAGGTGTTATCAAAACGTTACTAGGATGACAATACCAGTTGTGTGGTATTCATGGGTGCGGTGCATGTAATACCGCCTACGATACCCGTATCAAATACCAGTACATCACAATGGAATAACCAGTTCTTGTTTATTTTTATTGTTCAGCCACCATGGGTGTATCCTTTCTTTGGCCGGAAGTGTAGTTGCTCTTGTTCTCTTGCACACTCCGAAGTAACTAACACTCCGTATTCTACATAATAAGCGCCCAGGGCGCTCTCAAAATTAGCATAGAGGGCTCTTATTAGAATATTATTTTGGTGGGGAAAAAACCAGAGTTGAAAAATCGTTAAGTTCGTGATTTATGCTGACAGCCTGAAATGTTTATATACGACAGATATATTTTTCAAGAATTTAATTGCCCATAATTAAGTGTATATAACACATGGTCGAGTGTGTATTAAACACGAATGTCTTGTGTACATTGATCAATCGGAAGGGGTGCTAATTGGGATTGGTCACTTGCCCATACATCAGCAAATATCACCGTGCGCGCTTATTAGAGCGGGGCGCTTATTACGTCGAATACGGTATGCACAGTACACAGATTCAGACACCTTGTGACGAGGAAGGCCACAGTTCACCACTACCATCATCATCATTATTATCATTATGTCATAAGTAGATTTGAATAGTCCCAACGTACTGTGGTGATGAATTGGTTTGCTTGGAGTTTCAGATAAATGCCGATGGAACATTTTACGTCCATTTATTTCGAAAATTGTAACAGATTTTTATTTATTAAAGAAGCAATTTGAATGAAAACTTGATACAAATGCAGCACAATAATCACAGTAAATTTTAGTTGCACGCGTGTAATTGATTGTAAAAAGTTCTTGAATTAATTTACTGATTATTGAGCATGTACAGATTTTGACTGTCCAATTGGCCGTAAATACACAACATTCAGAATTCTGGATATGTTGATAAACTGCACACAAGCTGCATATTGGGATTTGTATATAGATGAATGGGAAACACCTGAACGTATGATAATTTACAAACGTATAATATTGTCATCTTTTCTGAAAAGCTACATTGTGATTTTTTAATTGTTTTACGATTAAGCCTATGGTATATCAGGTCAAATATATTTTTTACATTTAAAATCTCACTTATCCTTTAACTTTTATGTAACGTCAAAGTTAAAAGTTGGTTGTTTTGATGACGTAATGACGACGTCATATAATAAATCTTTGGTGGATGTAACAATCACCCAGAAGGCCACTATTTCTTATATGGCTATGGGTATTGAAGATGATACATATTTGATACCGAATGGGTATGAAGATAAGAACCATATGAGAAGTGTGCAAGTTCTACGGCAGATTTCACCCCAGACCATATACAGATATGGTTTCTGGTTTCGCAAATAACATGACAGTATAAACACAATACTTGTTCTTTTGACGATTAATAAGCCCCAAATAACTTCTACATAAAAGTACTCTTTATAACTTACCAAAACTCTTTACGTACTATTTGATTGGACTGTTGAACTTGGTCAACCAATAGAATAATGTGTTACAAAGTACACAATATTGAATTTTTGCGTCACATCCGGGTTTTGTTTCGAGTTAGTAAAGCAAGATGGCGACGACGGGAGAAATTTCTTCGTCTGAAAGCCCTAATTCTACCTCGCAAGATATGACAGATCGACTGAAGCTTCTTTACCCCGCAGTGAACGAGGATGACACTCCGATACCCCGCTCATGGAGCCCAAAAGATAAATACAATTACATCGGCCTTTCTCAAAATAATCTGCGTGTTCATTACAAAGGTATAGTCACAAATTCGACATTTAGGGTTACTCAATAAACAGCTGATAAATGCGACATTGTGTATGTAGTTGATAATATGAACGTAGTTAATACAATGCACTAGGAATGGTTAAGAATTGTTTTTTTTGCCATCTGTAATATCGCACAGCCAGTTTAAGTCTATGAAATAATGATTTCCGCGTCGGCCAGTCCGATACCCTGTGCTGTTGGCATAATTGATTCCTGAGCTTGTTTGGACATATTGACAACTGTGGTCAATGGTGAATGGAGATTCTCCATTCTATCTGGATCATTTGCTGATTTATGTGAAGATGACCATGGCTTGCTAACTTGATTGATACCAAATAGTTATTATTGATTAATTAACCTTTTATGTCATAGCCCATGTCATTATTTAGTCATTAAATGACAAATAGACATCCATGAAACAGAGCAGTTAAATTGATTGCCCATGTTTATCTTGTCTATGCCTTAGAATATACATATAACTTTAGAAATTCCTTGTATTAGAGTGCCAGCTGCAGTTGAAATTTTTATGGCACAGTTAATAATGTATTACAAGTGCCCGATGTCTGAAGGGGTCATGTAGTATCATATGTTTTGATAACAATTACCCTGTGAGGAAGTTTACCATATGACACCAATGATAGAGTTTTACACAAGGAAACTGGACAAGCACTTGGTAAATTATGACTATATGAATGTGCTTAGTTCACTGAATGATTTACAATATAAACAATATAAAGGTAAGAGCTCATGGTGAACATGGTGAAATGGCATTCAAATAGTTTCAAGATGGATGAAAACATATGACCCTTGTTGGCGTACTTGAATTCCATAGGGCACACCCAAATAACTTTATGAGTGCAAAGTTGTACAGGTGGAAACTAGTCCATACCATATTCAGATATCGCTCCTTATAATTTATGGCACATATGAAGTGAAATTAGTGAAGTGGCACTTTCGATAAGAACTTTGGAACTAGATAAGTGTTTTGTGTATACTTATTGTCCTATTTTGTGTTTATGTATTTTAGGTGTGGGCAAAACCCCTAAGGATGCTGCAAGCGTGCGCGCTACCCACCATATTCCTGCAGCATGTGGAATATACTACTTTGAAGTGAAAATAATCAGCAAAGGCAGAGATGGGTAAGTTTGTTATTAAACATTTTAGATATTTGAAAATGGTACAAGAACAAAACCATTTCAGTAAGCATATGGCATGAAGAAGACCACAACAACTTCATAACCGATATCCCTGTGAAGATCTAGGTTATAATTGGTCTTCAGCAACCCATACTTGTCGTAACAGGTGACTACAGGATCTGGTGGCCAGACTCACTGGCCTAGTTGATGCATGTCATCGTATCCCAAATGTGTAGATCGGTGCTCATGATGTCAATCACTGGATTGCCTGGTCCAACACGAGCCATCATATGGCTGGAATGTTGCTAGTGTGGCTTTCAACAACAGATAGAACATCACAATAGATAATAAAAAACCCATTAAAAAATGCATTCTTTTATTTAGATATAGAAAATGTATGCATGATGATTGATAATGCTATGTAGGGTTGTTAATCATTAATCAGTAGGTTTTGGCTCTGAGGCCATTTCTAAGTGAGTGATCATGGTAATATTTCTTATTTGTCTATTCAATCATTTTTCATGAATTCTCTTTCATCTTATTTACTGTTGATATGTGCTTGTAATCCAAGTGATAACGGAAAGGAGTGTTACATGCAACACAACCATTGGTTTCATCGGAGTAATTGGATGCACTTTCATAACTAACGCTGATTTCATAATGTTTGATATGTTGATCAGACTGAGTTATCATGGTTATATATGATGGACAGAATGAAGTTCAGTGAAAATAGTCACAATCACAAAATATATGTAGTGGAAGTCAATGATAGCTTCCGTGATAGCTTAGGTTGGTCAGTCACTTTATTTGCAATACATATTATATATGCTACAGTGAGTGGGTTAAAATTTAACGTCACATTAGCATTATTTCAACCATATAGAGATGAGAACAAGTTGATATAATCACAAGTGGTTCATGAATACAAAGTTATTATATGCTACAGTGAAGTTACCTGAGATCAATGGCAACAGGATGTTTTCATGACATTATCAGCTTTTGAAAGGACATTCTTCTATATCATTACCGACTGCCTCTGTGGTCTTGTGGTAGAGCGTCTGCCCAGAGTGAGAAGGTCGGGGGTTCAATCCCCGGCCGTGCTATACCAAAAGACGTCAAAAGATGGTACTTGTTGTTTCCCTGCCTGTCACTCGGCATTAAGAGGTTAAATCAAGGACTGGTCTTCTCAAAGTCTGTATACTGTGTCTGAGTGGGACATTCATGTTAAACTGCAGCATGGTATCTTGAATGCAACGTTAATCCCCAATTCATCTCACCTCAAATATGCCGCTGTTCAGCAGTGAATGGGGTACCGGGTAATAACGGGTCATGTCAGTGATAACCTGGTGCCTGATGAAAAGAAATCTTTGTAACTGATGATCAATTTGGTTATATGAGTCATAAGGCGTTGTTAGCTGCCTGTACAGGAGATTTGAAGCAAACAACTGTCTTGGGGTGCACAAGACGTTTTAGCTTGTAAAATCCTGTACACTGTGCTAGTGACCCATGTAATTCACATTACTGATTACTAAGAGTACCCAGTGATAGTTTGAATGAGTGCCAGTGTATCTAGGATGGAGTCTTGTTTTCTGTGATGTGTGCCATTCTTCAACCATGTTTGACTATTATTTTTTTATACAATATCTATTTATAATGAAAAGCAGCAATAGAAACTAACCTTTTCAGTCCACTAGTTCATAAATGATAACAAATAGCAAAACCCTTAAAAATGGCAAATTTAAACGAGTCCACGGAGTCCTTATGATACTTAAATATAGGGCAGTTTGGCTAGTACTATAGGACTAGTGCCAATTTCTAACCCTGGAAAAGGTTGTTGATGATGTTACTAAGCATGTGAAATTATTAAGCATTGATTCAATTTGTATGGGTAAACCTCATGCCTGTGTAAATGCAAGTGACCTGTTTGTGATGCTAAGGTTGCAGCCTTAGAAATTCTTTTTTTTTTAGACTTGTCCAGAGGACGAGTTTTAACTTCAGAGTTTGTAGCTAGTCTTACGTGAACAATTGTTCACTATGTTTACAATTTCTGTCTTTTTTTTTGTTCCTATTTTTAGCAAACTTGAAGCATTGAGAACTGGTTCAGAAATAAAGATATTCAAAGCTATAGATAGCTTTTGGTTATTTGGGTATTTTACCAAGGGATTTGATTTTGATTGGGTATCCAAGTTTTGAGGGTATTCAAATTTGTTTACCCACTTGTTTCTTGACATTTGGGTATTTAACTTAAAACCTGTTTAGTAACAAACCCTGTAAATTATTTAAAACTATGAGAATAGAAGTATACCCATCTGCGTCTGCTTGCAGCTCCCTATCCGGGAAGCCATTTTTTGTTTACAAAACCTAGCATTGTAGGAAAGGCGATATTGTTTTTATTACCAATCAGCGACTGATTAAAGTATGACATGTACATTGACTAGACAAGATGTGCTTTTCAATGTGGCATCTATCAGTATGTTTGTCTCAGAAGCTTTTCCAAATGTAGCTGTCAGTAAGTGAATTTGGCAATCGTCTGATACACAATCGTTTTATCTGATAGTCATAATATACACATTAATTATTTTTGAATAATGATTTATAGTTGTTGAGTATTTGATACGCTAGGATTTGTTTGTGTATTTGAGTAATGTAATGCATATTTTACGCAAATATGCAACTTATCTCAAGCTCTGATATATAGGATTTGTACTTGTCCTCAGCATAATTTAGTAGTCTTGGTCTAGCATGAACTGTGAACGCAGAGTTGGGACTGTTTTAGTTGGATGAGTAAAATTCAGGATAAGTTGATATTTTGATGATGTCCCTCTGTGTGAGTAGACTGTATTTGAATGTAATATCAAGTCCGAAAGGGTGTGGTCGTCTGGAGCACTGCAGTTTGTTGTGCAGAGCTGCGTCCCTTAGGCGGCCCAGGAACCTACTATCCTGAATAACGAAAGCAATTTGTTTCCCACTTTCAAATAGAAACAATTTCACTTTAGGCTGTAAAAGGGGTAGGGTTCGGTTCGTTTCCGGGCCATATTTTGAAAACTGTTGAACATATTTCAATGAAACTTGGGATATGCATATCTCATCAGTTCAACTTAAATCTGTCTAAATTTTATTTTGTTGTTACATTTCTTTGGAAACAGTTTGGTCTCAAACAACTCAAGGCTTGGTTTCTGAGCCATAACTCTGAAACTAATGAATTATTTTGCATGAAACTATACATGTGCAATGACCACATGCTTAACTATTGCCTTTTCATATTTTTCAATTTTTGATCTTTCCATGGAAACAATTTGGACTTTGTCTCAAACCAGTAGTGTTTGTTTTCTGTCAAATCTGTACAGCTAATGAATATTTCTGCATAAAACCATTATCTTTCCAGTCTTTAATTTGCTGTTATTGTTCTTTTGATTTGCAAACACATTTTAAGTAACTACTTTAACTAATGCATAAAAAAAAGGAGGGGAGACATATGTTTTTGAGTAAAAAGACTTTGTAGTTCATAATGAAGTAGCCAGGTGGGGATTCAACATCAGAATAGGCCCCCAATAACCCCATGTTTGGCCGTAATAATACTAACAATAACAATAAAAAGGAAGCTCGGATCGTGTGATATATTGGCTGATAGTGTGAATTGTTGTCATGCTGTTGACCATGAGTGTGCCAAGTCCAAACACTTCCAGTCATATGCACCTGTAGGAATTCAGTTTAACTTTCATTTGGTGATTTTTAGGGTGGCTGGACTGGATCCACTTGACAATCTTCTTAACAGGGCAAGGGAGTTAACTGACTGTCAAAGTCCAGTTTCCACCCTTACTGAACTAGGCTGGACTAATGAGTCCATGCATAGTCCAATTAAAATCGCGTGACGAAATCAACATCTGGTTCGTAAACTGACATGCAGATTTTGGTCGATTGCAAGATTTGCAAAGCATGTGTACCATCAACATACCGTAATCAGAAATTTTCGAAATTGTTTCATGTTTTTACTCAAGGTGCTTGCGTCTCCCTTCTCAGCCGAAATGGTGCTACTTCTATCAACAGGAAATCACCTCGATCACTTTTCCGTGTTGTTCATTATTCTCTATGTGAAATGTTGATAAGTATCTTATTCTGTTTGTGCCAATCGATAAATCTTTATTTTGATACATATTGTGGGATGTCAATTGTTAGATTAAGAAATAAACTCCATAAACAATAGTCAAAGCTTTCTTAATACCGTATTCACTGTAATAAATGCCCTAGGGGTGTTGAAAATTTATAAAGGTGGTGCTCATTATTACAAAGCACATGGAGTTAAATTTGTTGTCAGTGACTATTCAGTAGTGAAGAAATAGAGATGAAAGTTGATGAAACTAAAACTAAAAAGATAGAAAAAATCTGCACTTTTTCAGTAAGAAATCTGTAGCTTAGAGACTTTTAAGTTGCCAGAAGATCCATAGCTGCAAGTAGATATACTTAGCTGATATTAAATGAGGAATGGAAGAGGGGCAATCATAACTGCAGATGGAAATTTTAATCATGGGACGGATAATTTCAAGTGAGTTGAAGAATGACTAATATTTCAATTCTTGCTTGACTATTTATAAACTTTCACTGCACTAGAAGTACCTTGGCGTAGCAGTGGCTATTGTATGTTGTCATCAGGTTTGTGTGTGATGCCCCATGGGTCGATGACCAACACCTGAACTTTGACCTTCTGGGGTGGAGTAAGTAGCTTACTGGGTAAACTAGTTTGCACCTGACAATGGACAGCAATGTATGCCAAATATATCAATGTTTGCACTTGTGGCTACATACTGAGAATCTCTCCTGGGTGTCTTTTGATGTCAAATACAGCGTAAGAAGTTTTGCACTAGTCTTCTAGTCCTTGCCAAACTGTCCAATAGTTAAGGTATCATAAGGACCAGTAGAAATTTGTCCTTTTTAATACTATCTTTATAAGGACTATTACCTGTGAAGATACAGTTTAGAAAAGGTCTTCGGCTTGCTTGCTTGCC